TGTGCGATTTCTTTAAAGAAGCCTACGCAGACTGTAAGATCATCACCAACACCCAAGCCGTTCAAGACAGAAGCACAGCAGTATGTGGATGGTATGCCATATTGATGGGAAAGCTATTTTCCAAATATGGTCTGGATGAAGCACTTCGAATTTTCCGAAGAGTCTTTGATGATGACGAAAAGCTGGAAAACGATCAACTGGTTCTCAGTTCAGGTGCCCTGGAAGGTGCTGGAGCCTTTTGGGACAACAAAGTGCAAAAGGCAATTCAGGATGGAAGACGGAAGAAGAAGACAGAACCCGCACAGTTCCATACGAAACTGGCTAACGAATTGCACAAGCCCAGACGAGTGCATTTCAAAAGACGCAAGGTGAAGAGCAGAGCAATTGACCATATATGGAGTGCAGATCTCGTGGATATGCAACGGTTTGCCCGAAGCAATAAGAACATCAAATTCCTGCTAACAGTCATCGACTTATACAGCCGCTATGCCTGGGCAATGCCTTTGAAATCGAAGACGGGTACCGCCGTGAGAGATGCGTTCGATAAGATTGTCAGTACATCCGGAAGGACACCGCTAAAACTCTGGGTAGACGAAGGCAAGGAATTCTACAATGCCCCCATGAAACGATGGTTATCACAACACAACGTCATCATGTACAGCACCCATAACGAGGGTAAAGCGGTGGTGGTCGAGCGCTTCAATAGAACGTTGAAGGCAAGAATGTGGCGTCACTTTACAGAGAAATCCACGAACACGTACCTCAATGTCCTACCTCATCTACTAGACCGCTACAACCAGTCAAAGCATAGAAGCATTGGGATGACACCTCACGAAGCATCGAACGGTAGAATACCAAAAGATGCAGATCAACAAGACCCCCTGCAGTCAAAACCCAAGTTCAAAGTGGGTGACGAGGTGCGCCTAACCGTATCTAAGCGTCATTTCGAGAAGGGCTACACTGCGAACTGGACGGAGGAAGTATTCGAGGTGGATGAAATCCTATCAACATCACCACACACCTACAGGATTCGTGATCTGATGGGAGAACACATCATCGGATCGTTTTACGAAGCAGAACTGCAACACGCCAGAGAGACCGGTTTGAGATTCGACAAGGTGTTAAAATACAACAAGGATCAACGTCTTGTGCAATGGAAAGGCTACACAGATAATAAATTCAATACCTGGCTCACAAAGAAGGATGTGAACAGTCTTCGGTCATGATTCACAATGTCATTCATATTGAAAAATAAAAAATAAATGATTGAGTGCTATGTACAAGCTGATGGCGTTCATGAGAATTATCGCATGAGTATGAGGGGTATACTGCTGGACACTTTCACGAGTGCGTTAGCACGACGAAAAATATAAGGGATACGGTATGTACAGAGTATGTATGGTATAATCCAGTTATCCCATGTACTATTCCAAATAGAGCGCGATCAGCACTAAGACATGTATCGATTATCCCACGAGTACGAGCAAGAGTACATGTACTCTTGGTACGAGGGGTACACCGCTGACGCACTCACGATTGAAAATATAATGGGTACGGTATGCACAGAGTACGAATGGTATAATCCATTTATCCCATGTACTATCCCAAATAGAGCGTGATCAGCACTAACATCTCCCTTATTTACTCTGTCGCAAGACCCGGGGAATATTCGTGCTCCGAGCGGGGAATATCGCTCTATTGACAGTTGAGTCCTCTTTCCAAGATTCCTTTTGAATTCCTCTCTACCATCTCTGTATGAGAAGAGACCACGGAATTCCGTATATGTATAGCATCCACCGATCGTGCAGTTCGCTGTGATGTCATTGCACAGTGTATGTATATTATGTGCATGTGTGTGTGTGTGTTTGTGTGGTACATGATGCATCCTACAATCCACTGTGACGTCAATGCACACTCCATGATGTGCGCATCCATGGTCCGTGTGCCTTACGTATTTCCACCCCTGAAAATATATGAAAATCAAGTACTATGAGAGTAAGAATTATATGAGCAGAAAGCTAGAAAAATCCTCCGTCTCATCGACCTTTCAATAGAAGAAAGGCATTCACATCTCAATCTGATATCATAGTCGAAAGATTCCAAACCCGAACAAAAAAGACTCACCATGACGGGGGCGTCTTTCCGCTTTCGAAACACATCGTGTTCTCCAAGGTCGTCACCTCCCCGTGGCGTGACCCCTTGGTCTTGTTTGAGACGTCTAGACGTAGCCTTGTTTACAAAGGTCATCGCGGCGTGAACTTTGACCTCGAGGTGAAGTAGTCTCAACCTGCAGTTTCATTATCGACTCCTTCTTGCAGTGTGAAGAAGCTAAAATGGCGTGGACATTTTCTGAGACGTGCAGAGCAGAGAAATGGTATTTATTTTCATGCGATAATGAAGAGTTCTCAATCCGTCGCCTCAGTGCTAGCAAGACAACCAGGGATCTTGACCCGATGATAGCACATCCCAGAAGATTCGATATGTCACCACTCACTGCTGCTGAGTATATTATCTGCAGGGTCACCAGTCTGATCTTGAATGTGAAGAATAGGAAACAGCACCTTCCTAAAATCGTCATCGGTGGTGTGGAGGACTACGGAACTATTAGTGAGACTGATGATGGTGTCATACTGCGAAGGTGGACTGATGGTAGACACTCATTCTACAAGCTTAGTGACATGCGTGACGAACCGTGCTCTCAACACATCATCGACCTCTTCGCTGATGCAACCTATTTGGATTCCAGCGACGTAATGCAACTTGTCAAGGAGGTGAACGAAAAATGAAGTCTCTCGAGTTGATCGTGTGCGTGTACGACGTAGTACCAAGGCCGTTCAACTCCGTGCCGTTGCAACAAGAGTAACGCGGATTCGTGTGCGAGTTGGTACGATCGACATCGGCGACGATGGATTTATCTCCAAATTACCCGAGTCGACTGTTGACACGATGGCGGTGCAAAGGAGGTCGTCGACTGACAGTTCCATTGCTGACTGGGTGGAACCATTGGTGCACATCAGAGCGTCCGACAACTCCACCTCGTACTGCGTGTCACGGAAGAGATCATGGGTGAATCCATCCTCACACGTATTCGAAGAGTAAACTTTGTGGTCTCTCATCCAATACCAGCTTGATGAAATCAGGACAACAAGAACTGAATTGTACTACCTTTCTCCTCCACTCCATTGCGATATTCACTGTTCGTTCCATTATTCTTTGTAATGACATGTATCGTATCTATCAAGAACTGACCTTTCTGACGTGTGTGCGAGCAGGACCATTTTTGAAAAATTGCATGGGGAGGTGGGGTAGGTCACGGAAAAAACTTCATGATAAACACCATATTCAACATTCTACTTTTTATACCCACTCCCATCCGGGGCAAGGTGGCCCAAAAAAGTGAGATTCAAACCCACATGTGCACAACACATATTTTCAATAATACCCCATTTTTTGAGGTAGGGGCACCCCCTGGCACATATTTTTATCCGCAAAAAAACCGGGCCAAAAATAATTTTCACCGCAAAAATGGGGTACTATTAGTACCCCATTTTTCAATAATACCCCTTTTTTGGGACCCGGGCGCCCCCTGGCCCAGAACCCGCTCGTCCCTTCCTACTCACAAGCATCTGCATGCCGCACTCACACAACGAGCAACCAGTTTGGGGAATAGGAGGGTTTGTCAATTGCTTTGCCAGGCTCTGAGTGAGTGACAGCTTAGAGCTGTGTGAATGTGTGTGTATGGCAGCTGGGCAGGGCCCTGCTGCGGAGGCTGAGTGAGCCGTATGGAGGCAGCCGGGCAGCGCCCGGCTGCGAAGGCTGAGTGAGCCGTATTGAGAGGCTGAGTGAGCCGAGGCTGAGTGAGCCGTCTGAGTGTGAGAGGCTGAATGAGCCGTATGAGGAGCCTGGTAAGCAAGGTTAACTCCCCAAATAGAGAACCTCCTATTCACTGTTAACTGCAGAGGGGGTGCCACAGATTGTGGACAATAGTAGAGTGATATTGAGTTACTGAGTGTACAGTCGGTACATAGGTGACATTCGGTTATGCTCTGGCACCCATAATAAGTGGGCTCAGTCTGTCTGATCAGCGCTTACCCAGGACCGGTGCTGCCAGCTTTCATGGCAGTTTGCATGTGGGCTTCCGTCACTCGGCTGTGCACGGCACGGCTGAAGTCTCCCCAGGAATGGACGGAAGAGCACGCACGGGAGTGGGCATGTGAGCGGCGGTAGGGTGGCACGAATGGAATCGCTTGAAATCTTGCCTGGAGAGAGCGTCAGCAAGGATGTTGGTAGTTCCCGGTATGTGACGGGCGGTGACCATAAAGTTACCCTTGGCGCAGATGAAGAAGAGCTGCCGTAGGAGTGACATCACATTAGGGCAGCGACTGGTGCCAGACTTGAGAACAGCGGCGACAGCTTCGTTGTCGGTATGGAAGCGGATACGCTTGCGACACCACTGGTGGCCCCACGTAGCACATGCAATGCAGATGGGGTACAGCTCCTTGAACGTAATGCAGAGCGGAGTGTGTTGTGGTGACCGGGTGTCGGCGAACCAATGCGTGCCGTAAACTGCGCCATGCCCAATGGCGCCAGATGCGTCAGTTTCTATCAGGATGTCGCTGGCCAGCGTCTCCTGGAGATCGAGGAAGAATGACTTGCCATTCCAGCCATCGAGTAGGTGAGACCACCAAAGAAGGTCCAGATGACATTCTGGAGAGAGACGAAGAAATCCACTGCCAATGCGGACAAAGCAAGAACTGAAGTCAGGAACAGTGGACTTCGGAGAACAATGAGCGTGTGAGAGTTTGTTGGAAACAGAGCATGCGCCTTCTGTGTTAACATATTTTTGCGCGTGCGCAAAAAATCATTTTGTTGGGGTGTTGTGTCTCCTTGTTTCCTACATGTATCGTCGAGTCCAGCAATGACAAATACGAAAATTGAACAGCGGCAGTTCTGGTTTCCATGTTGTTCATGCCATGTGACTTCTGCTGCTGCTGTTTTAGGAACCTTATCTGATGAGAGACCTGCAGGGCAGAGGCTTCGCTCAGAGGATTAACTGCGCCAAGTATGATGTGCAAACACGCTATGTTTCATGGAGGGTAAGGAGTCTGGCTTTTGCCTCTTCATTCCGCAGTCTCTTTCTTCTTCTGTTCTTTCTTTCCTAATCCCATGGATGTGGCAAATGGGATGTAGGCCTTTGGCCTCTGGTTGGAGGATCTGATCTATCCTCCCCCACCGTTTAGGAGCCGTATCTGACGCCTGATCATGGGGTGGTGGCGTCCCACGAAAGCGGAAAGGTGGTTCTTGACCAGGGAGTTGTACGACTCCTTGTTCTTGACCTGCCCAGTACGCGAACCAGTCGAATTTTTTTCTTTCCTTATGTATTGGTGTGCACAGTCAGTAGCAGCACATACCCAGAGCACTTTTGTTTGTGATACATGTGTATCTCATATTATTACTTTTTCACGGAAGTATATCGTGTTCTTTCTTATGACACTGTGTGTGCGCTTTGGGATTCTCAGTTATCATGTGTGATTTAAATTTTTTTATCTTCATGACTGCATCGTCGCCAAGAAGTCTTGTTGTTCTTGTTCTTGCTGTTGCGTTTGCTGCTGCTTCCGTAATGTTGTATGTTCTTGGCACTTAAAAAAAATGTTTGGTGTGTGCTCCCTCTGCACAGATAAGCGTCACTGGCCGCATCACTGGAACTCTCACTTGTTCCGAGTCTGTCCCATATGTGGTGAGTTGCACTCAATTGTAGATTTTTATTGTGCAATGTGCATTCTGGTAATTCGTGTGCTTCACTCTCAATACTGGTGCAAAGACTGGGTCATGAGATGAGATGTAGAGAGCTCCTCGCTCGCTCACTCACTCACTCACTCTCTCTCTCTCTCTCTCTCTCTCTCTCTCTCTCTCTCTCTCTCTCTCTCTCTCTCTCTCTCTCTCTCTCTCTCTCTCTCTCTCTCTCTCTCTCTCTCTCTCTCTCTCTCTCTCTCTCTCTCTCTCTTTGGATCCACCACTGAGTATTATATTGCACAACAATACAAGCCTATGCCGCTTTGCACAATCATGTATTGTACCTTGTCTTTCTGTGTTCATTCGGCGTCTGCCCTTGGGTATTGTTCAAGCCAGCTCTTGGAGTAGTTCTAGGCATTGGTATTGTCAGTTGCTAAGCGCTAGGGAAGAAGTCAAGTGAAGAAGTCAAGTGCCACTCATTTGAAGATACACTATAGGTGTATCACACTAAATCCTGAACTAGGTCTTGTTTCAAACTGGGTTTTGTTTCTGTGTCGTTGTGCTGTTGCAGCTGGAACCCATTTCCGGTACCAATGTGTACATTGCATTCATGCAATCCACCGGTTGCTCACAGCCAAACAATAACGTTTGTCAGTGCAATGTAAGTGTAGAGTGAGCAGGACGGTGTGTTGCCTTTGTGTAAGTGCTACGACTGTGTACTGTGTACTGTGTATGGTGTTGTATGGTGTTACACTCACACTCCCCTGGTTCCAGTCTCAGTCCGCACTGATCCGGATTGGTCGACCAATCGGACAGTCTCTGGACCATGTGCTATTTTGTGGATGGGGTCCCGTCAGGTGTAGGACCAACCCTCTAGGTCCTAGCACTGTGGTCAAAGTGTGTGCATAGGTGTCTGATTTGGCAGTAGGGTTTTGATTTCGTCATTGGTGCAGATTGTACAGTCTGGTCTTGGGAACATTATTTTAAACTTATTAGTTCCATGTAGTGAAGGTGATACATGTTGATAATTCCTTCTCTTCTTTGTCTGTGTGCCCAGAGTAACGGGCTGGGTAGATGCACGCGTTCATCACTCTGCGAGTGCCCGTGTACACGAGATCTTGATTACAGCGCATGCACAAATAGCTTTACGGGATCGTCGCTCGTGTAAGTCATCTCCTGACTAGTTTGCACTTTGCTCTACTGTCTATTGAAACCTAGCTCTCATTTTGCTAGGCTTGTAGCATTGCCTCACGCACACACACGCACACACACACACACACACACACACACACACACACACACACACACACACACGCACATGCACGCACGCACACACACACACACACACACGCACTCTGGGACGTATCGTTGAGCAGCACTGGAGCCTCTTATTAAGCCAGTAGTGACCTATAATATTGAGTGAAGCATGAAACTATGGTGTAGGTATTATGGTTGACAGTGAGTTTTTGATACCCAAGTGTGACAGTTGTATTTGGTCGGGGCTTTCTGCACAGGACATGTTTCTTTAACTCTGGCTTGGCTTCCATATCCTTCGAAATGCATTAACCCTGCTACCGTATATGGCATGTATGCGTAAGGGAAGGTGACTAGTCTTCAACCAATGCATGGGTAACAGCACAGGTGGCGGTGGCAGTGGTGCTCTAGTTTCAACTCCCCTTTTGCAACCAATCCCGTTTGCTCATTGCCCAATTGCTCATTGCACGATTTTTCCTGTGACTACAGGTATGACGTTTGTCCTGCGGAAATTGCTGGCTTGCCTGTCATACCGCGACAGCCATCATCTATTGTGGGCCTGGAGGGTTGCTTCAATGGTACTTGCTCAGGGCTCACCCAGTCTAGGTAACATTATTGCTAGGACAACACTGGATGAGATGATTTCCTGGTTCAAGTCTGATACACTGATAATGCCTTACTCTTACTGTACCAGTGGGGTTTCTGATACTGTACACTGATAATGCCTTACTCTTACTTTACTGGTGGCAATACATATACCCCCCCCCCCCCCGCTACTCTACTTGTACTCTACTTGTACTCTACTTGTACTCTACTTGTACTCTACTTGTACTGTACTTGTACTCTACTTGTACTCTACTTGTACTGGACACTTCTTTCAGAAATATTATAACTGAGCTTCTTGCCTTTAATTAACAATGTTTTAGTCAAAAGTTGATCCAGTTATTTTTCAGCCCTATCCTCCGAAAGATATGCACACATCTTCATCACACCCTGAGCTATACTGATTAATTTTAAAGCGATTCGAATTGTTAGGCCAGGACCATCTTCATGAAGTGATGAAGATGTTTGGATATAATGGGTGGTTGCGGTGGAGGCTTTGCATCTTGAGGAATATCCTCCAAAAGGTGAACCATGATACGATTAGGTTTCAGCTAGGTTTTGCATTTTAGGACAGGTTTAGCATTGATCAAAGTACTTGTACAGATACCCGTTTCTGATCAAATTTTCTGAATCGGGCTTCAACCTATAAATTGGTGAATCAGATTTGAAACTCCCAGGGGTCGATTGTGTTTGAATTCTGATGGATTGTAGAACAAGTACCGTAATCTCGCGCATTTAAGGACATGTTCTTATTTTCGAATATAAGAGCACTCTCGCTTATAAGAACATGCACTTATAAGTGAATGAAAATCACAAAACCACATGAGGTTCATCATGGTTACATTGTACTGGCGTTAACCAATAATATGCGTACTTACGCATGTACATGATGATGCGATGTTTGTCTCTCGCATATACATGTACATGTAAGACCATTGTCTTACGATCGAACGAAAATGCACTTGTGAAAGGACCGAAAACAGCGACTTTTCGATTACAAGGCCATGGTCTTATATGCACGAGATTACGGTACAAGTAGCTTTAGCTGACACTTGCTATGACCATCCTCGTCCACACATTAGTACCGGTGGCATTGTTTTAATGGGGACAACACATTCTTGAAGTTCTCTGAACAAGTATATCATGTATATGCTTTGCCTGTTGTTTGCCAATGTGCTTGTTTCAAATAACTGTACCCACACATGCAGTGACTGCCGTGCAACTCAAGGCTGTGCCTGGTGTACCAGGAGTGCGTCTGGTACTGAGCTGTCGTCCAGTTTCTGCACAACCGACTGCCAGTGCTTCGGTGGCCGACAAGGCGAAAAGAACCCGAGTGGCAACTGTGGTAGGTTTGTTGTTATGCTTTGATACCTGTAGTCTCCTGTGACTACAGGTGCTTGCTGAATGCCGGTGGGCCGTCCAAAAGGGGACTGTGCAGAAGAGGTGTGTTCATGAGTGTGTGAGGGTATGGCGATGACAAGGAGCATGCGAGTAGAGCCATGCACTGCCTTTTGCGCCAAGTCGTTAGCGCCCTTTCCTCCATTGACCGACTTCGTCACCTGCATTCCTGCTCATCTTACCCGCCTTTTCACCTTTTCTCCTCATTTTAGCCCTGGAGTTTGCTTCTCCTTGGTTTTAGAGTAGTTTAGAGTAGTTATTGAGTTAGTTTGAGAACGTCTCAAGAGTTGAGTTCGTGTTCTCCATATTAATTTTATCGATTGTATTTCTCCGTTGCTGTTTCCATGAGGCTGTTTTAAAATATTAGTAAAGATTTCGAACCACTCGTGTGTTCATTGGTAGCAGAGGATGGTTTCGTCGTAGTTAGGCAGTTCGCGAAAAGTGTACAAAGTGTAGCCAGCGCAGTCATGGCCTCCAAGGACGATGTCAAGAAGGACTTCATGGAGGACCCAGCTACGGACGAAGGTGCCAGTACAATTACAAGCGCAAAGAGTCAGCCCATGGAGTCAGCGACAGAACTCCGAAAAGCCAAGCTACACGCCAAAACAGCCTTCACCAGGCACCTGAGAGCAGTGCTGGTGCAACTTATGAACGAAGAAATATTTACGGAGAACGTAGACGGCGAGCTAACGGAACTCGGCCATAACTACGAAAGTGTCTAAAATATAGTGATGGACCTCGCAAGCGTTTACAAGGCAAGCCGCGACGAGAGACTAGAAAACGTTCTAGAAGAAGCAGACGCGCTGGAGCAGCAGCACACCGCAACAGTGGACCGCGTGTTATTAGAAGCACGCCCACGCATAGGGGGCGAGCGCTTCACCGACTCCGCTGAGCGGTGGCGCCCGGCAAAAACTGAAGAAGAAAAATACAGCACGAGCGTTGCAGGATACGGCGCTTACGGGCTACGGAAAACGAGCGGTCCTACCGCCTTGGAAACGGCATGGCGACATGTGCGAAGTGCACGAGAGGCAGAGGGACACACATCACATCTCGACTGGGACACCTCCAGGCGTCTGCATAGCAGCAGGGAGGGTGTCCATGGTGACATCGGCTCGGCGTCATGGAACGCAGTGGCAAGTGGTGCACGCAGTACGGACGACGGTGCTGCAGGAGCTTTAGCGGACGACGAGCAAGCAGTAAAAAGCGGCGCACGTTGTACAGACAGCGGCGAACAGAAGGATACTGCAGGAGCGGACGCCGAACGACAAAGAAGCGCACCCAGCGCCGGCGGCAGTGTGCCGGGGTACGCTGAAGGTTCGGACGCCGAACAGACTGCCAGCGAGCGCAGGCAGTGCAGCAGGGGTTAGCGATGAAGGCACTGGTATTGAACAGTCAGTGACGTTGACTGCGTCCACCAGCGCCCGGAGTTTGATGGCCACTAGCGCTGGCAGTGAAAGTACGACGCATCCTCTCAACATCGTGGCGCTATCGGGGAACAGCGGGCAGGCCATCCCTGCAGAAGGAAGTGCTGCAGGAAGCACTACCACTACCAGTGGGCATCCCGCTACTGCCCGGGTTTTTGCCTCATCGCTAGTGGGAGGCACGACTCGTCAGGCCTCTGCATGGTCGTCTTACGTAGCGGCCCCAGTGACAGGTTCTGCCATGCTTAGTACCACTACCAGTTCTGCTCTTCATCAGCCTGTTCACAGCGCTAGTGCTAGCGCTCCGTATCATCCTGTTTACAGTGCTCCGCATCAGCCTGTTCACAGTGCTCCACATCAGCCTGTACAGGCAGTCCACAGCACTATGTATCAGCCTGTTCACAGCGCTGTGACAGCACCTGCCAGTGTGCTGACAGGGTACAGTGCATGGCCTCAAGTGAGAACCAGCAACCCTCAGCAGCCCAGACAGCCCCAATCCGCTGAGCCTTGGAATCAAATGAAAAGGGTGAAGATCAAGGTGGAGACTAAATCGGCAACACCAGCAGCAAAGTCAGACAAGAAGACATCCTCAACCTTTCTGGTGCAGAATGCCACCGAGGGGGAGTCGTCACTGCCAGTTGTACGTGACGGTGTTGCGCTGCGCACTGTGCCTGTGGTGCTGCGCAACGTCAATCGCAGTGTTATACCGTACACCTCCCAGGTGGATGTGCCCAGGGCCTCACCAGCCAGATGTTTCTCGCGTACCATCTACTTTCCACAGCTGAAACTGCAGCGGTATTCAAGCTGGAAGAGGCTGGCACTATGTGCAAGAACTTGTAGACCACGTTTGGAAGAGGTGGCTAAAGGAGTGGGTGCCGCCACTGAATTCCAGACGCAAATGGCTGCAAGAGCGCCGGGATATCCGCACAGGTGACGTCGTTCTGGTATTGCAGCCGGATGTGTGTACATGTGTGTGTCTGTGTACATGTGTACATGTGTGTGTGTGTGTGTACGTGTATGTGTGTACGTGTGATGATGTAATGTATTTTCTTTTCTTGTAGATGCAACTGTAACTCCCACCACCATGGTCCCTGCAAGCACAGCAGTACCTATGCCTTCGGTCACAACTAACTGTAAGTCCAATTTACTGTCCATGCAACAACCAGTCGCTGTGACAGCACCTGCCAGTGTGCTGACAGGGTACAGTGCATGGCCTCAAGTGAGAACCAGCAACCCTCAGCAGCCCAGACAGCCCCAATCCGCTGAGCCTTGGAATCAAATGAAAAGGGTGAAGATCAAGGTGGAGACTAAATCGGCAACACCAGCAGCAAAGTCAGACAAGAAGACATCCTCAACCTTTCTGGTGCAGAATGCCACCGAGGGGGAGTCGTCACTGCCAGTTGTACGTGACGGTGTTGCGCTGCGCACTGTGCCTGTGGTGCTGCGCAACGTCAATCGCAGTGTTATACCGTACACCTCCCAGGTGGATGTGCCCAGGGCCTCACCAGCCAGATGTTTCTCGCGTACCATCTACTTTCCACAGCTGAAACTGCAGCGGTATTCAAGCTGGAAGAGGCTGGCACTATGTGCAAGAACTTGTAGACCACGTTTGGAAGAGGTGGCTAAAGGAGTGGGTGCCGCCACTGAATTCCAGACGCAAATGGCTGCAAGAGCGCCGGGATATCCGCACAGGTGACGTCGTTCTGGTATTGCAGCCGGATGTGTGTACATGTGTGTGTCTGTGTACATGTGTACATGTGTGTGTGTGTGTGTACGTGTATGTGTGTACGTGTGATGATGTAATGTATTTTCTTTTCTTGTAGATGCAACTGTAACTCCCACCACCATGGTCCCTGCAAGCACAGCAGTACCTATGCCTTCGGTCACAACTAACTGTAAGTCCAATTTACTGTCCATGCAACAACCAGTCTACACTTGTGACTAAAGAAATTCTTCCCAAGTCGAGTTCATGAACCCCGCCGATAGTATTGATCTAGTTGCTGTAAAAGTTGAAATATATAACTATTCAGCTGTATCTTGTACGCGCTCACTGAAATCCGACCCAACGTGCAAAGCTGGCGCCCCTCAACTTCCACGGCCCTGGACGCCCTCGAAATGGAATGAATGCGGCTGGGCGTACACATGTACACGTGCAATGATGTAATCGGAACTGGTCCTGGGCGTCAGCTTTGTACTTTGGGTTGGATTTCAGTGAGCGCGACTAGTCACAGTGATGCACAGTAACTATATTACCGGTATGTCCTTTTTATGTCTACATTTAGTATTGGCTCCACAGCTGAGTTTCAAATTTTATCTCTTGCGAATATTTCTCACGTTTCGGTACACGATGGAGTGGGTGGTGTGCTGTTCTTTTCTTTTTTGCTTTTCGTTCAGCCGGAGCCTCTTATGGAGCTGCCGTGCCATCTCTCTTGGCTCTAGTTCTCCTGATGGTCGCCACACTCCATCTGTAAACGCTTGCCAGCATGTCTGCCCTGCAAGAACACGGGCAAGTTGCGATGGCATCACCATGGCTACAGTGCATGCAAGTCAGTAGCTGCCGGTGCACTGCCAAGGTTCGCTCTGTTTATCCTGGCGGCTTCCGTTGTGTACGAGTGCTTTGCCATAAGTAAGGCCATCTACTTCCTCTATGGCCGACTGACACGGGTGTACGATATCTGACCACCTTGTTTGTCCCACATTCGTTAGTTCATCATGCGCACATTCAAGTGCTGTCAGGTTTAGTTTCTAGAAACCTCTTTACTAATTCATTGTGCGCGAAATTCTAACTTTTCCTTGTGCTATTGGCGCTTGCACTTCTGGTAACATAATTCATTTAGAATTCTCTAGCACATCTGTATTCACTTGACGTTTAGCACATGGATGTGAGTCCATCTGTTTTACAAACCACACTCCAATATGAATTCCCGTAATGAATGAACACTTTGCGCCACCCCGGCTTGTGGGGAGGAGGTCCCGATCAATCTGCATTGTTGTTTTGCATACTGTATGCATTGGTAATCTATATGTAGGTTTAAACTCATGTTGCAGTGCTATCACGGTTGGAACCAGGGAGTCGTAAAATACCGGTAGGCGACACGCCACACATTTCACGATCCGAGGATTGCTGCACTCGACCCGCGAAATTTGAAGCGTGATTGAAACGTCGTCGTCATCTTCTTTTTCTCAATTGTTTTTGCTATATTCTTCGAGGCTATTCTGGATCTCCAGAGCGAAAGCTGGTTGTTTCTGATACGTACCACACATTACATTAGGTTGAGCCGTGGCTTTTAATTTTTTTTTGGAAGTTCACTGCTTTGGAGACAACGGAATGTCAAGGTAAATTATTCACTGAAACAAGCCCACATACCGCCTTCATCCATCTACCCCAAGCCAAGCTTGTTGACATGCTACGTGAGAGGCGGGACAAGACTAGCCTCGTGACCAGACGATTGGAGCGCCTTGCTGCCTCCAGAGAGAGAATGGACACTACAAAGCACAATGAGGAGTATGCATCCATATTTCGCCAATTAGAACCAGCCATGAATGCAGTGCGTGAGCGTGTTGAGAACCCAACTTGCAAGTGGGCAACTTGCAGAGAAACCTTTTCAACTATAGATGACCTGCAAGTTCATATCGATTTCACTCACCTGAATATCGAGGAGACCTCAACACAACGTCAGCCCCTCTACAAATGCCGCTGGGAATCCTGCAAACACACCGAATTCAAAAACAGGCAGGAATTCAAGTCTCACATCACAAGGCACACTGGACGACAGGAGGATTCGTTCTTTGCCATTCTTCTAGCTGACGAGGCAAAAGCATTATCAATCACCCGAGCAGATCCGCTGGCATCCAGCTGTACTACGGTGGTGCCTTCAGCAACATTCCCGGTCGCAAAGAACTTATGAAGTGCTGAGGAACAGCGGGTTTCTGCGTCTGCCAAGTGGGCGAACACTATTGCGTTATTGCAATTACACACAGCCAGAAACAGGCTGGAAGCCAGCAAAGATGGCAGAAATGCGTCAACTATATGAGAAATTTATCGAAAGTAAACGTGGCAAGGGTGATCAAAGTTTCATCGGCGGCCTCTACTTCGACGAAATAAAAATCAAGGAGGGACTCGTCTGGGACTGTGGCACTAATGATCTAATCGGCTTCGTGGACAGCGAGGAACCAGTTGTTGACAGCAATGATCAACTGGTCGCAACACATATTATGCAGTTCCACTTCAAGTCCCTTTTCTCTAATTTTAATTTCCCCTGTGCATACTTCAATGCGAACTCACCCACCTCCAGTTCCATAAACGACATGTTCTGGACTGGCGTGGAGCAGCTCCACAGTTATGGATTCCGGGTACAAGTGTGTTGCTGCGACGGTGCGGCCAGCAATAGAAAGTTTATGATGGACAACCAGGCACTTAATAGTGAAAACCCTGGCTCCACCCTCAACCCGTACGGAAACTGGCCACTCTTTTTCCTGTCAGACCCGACCCAACTCATTAAAAAGATGAACAATTTCTCAAAGAGCGGATACCAGTCATGGTGCACACGCCCCCTAACCATTAACAACAAGCCTATACTGTGGAGCCACATTAATCAGGTACTCAAGCGGGATCAGGGGAGAATGGTCCAATGCACACCCTTGAGGGAGCAGCATGTTCAACTGACGTCCTTTTCTAGGATGAGTAGCCGGCTGGCGTCCGACGTATTTAACAAAAGAGTGGAAGAGGACATGCAGGGCAACCAGCAACAAGACACAATAGGGAGGTTTCGCTCTACGTAATTACGTATGAAAATCCGTATGTCGTACGCGCCGGGGAGCGAGGGCAACTTTCATACGTAAATCTCTCTACGGATTTCCGTAGGAAAGCTCTTTCCTACGTTGGGTCCTCCGTAGGACTTTTTGAAATATTTTTTCGCATTTGTCCATGGCAACATTCAAGCCGCGCGAAACACAGGTACACACACCGTACACCAAGTGCAAAATAAGATGGAAAACGCGGTTTCGGTTCATGGTGCATGCGATGGGCGCATGCAGCCAACGCGTCTCCAAAGCAACAACGCATGTTTAGCAGTCGTGGAGAAATCACGTAGAGCGAAACTCAACAGCTCTGATTTTTACGTATGAAAATTCCGTGCAGTTCATACGTTATTTTCATACGTAATTCCGTAGAGCGAAACCTCCCTAATCTCTACCAGGGAGTTCATGCGTAATGTTAGGGCACTGGATGATGTGTTTTCGTCCCATGAGAAAGTTTCGAACCCACGGGACAGTATTCCCCGCGCACTGTCGGCGACAATGCAGTGGTTTGACCAATGGCATACACAAACGGAAAAGGTGCCAAAAGCATTCATCTCACACCAGGTCTACACGGATATGAAAATAACGGCTGGTGGATTTGCAGGACTGGTACAGTTCATAACATGTGACCACAGAGTGAAACACCTTAACTTGTACATACTTCCCCATCGATTGACACAAGACTTTGTTGAAAACTACTTCAGCCTACAGCGTAGCACAGGCGGTGCAAACCAGAATATGACAGCCAGGGCATACGGCTATCAAGCTAATGCTATTGCTCAAACCCATCAGTCGGTCATACCCAGCAACCTCGGGCGAGCTGCTCTTGATCTGCCCTTGACTATGAGGAATACCAGCAACGCCCCAAGTGCGAGCAAATAGTGCACCAGCCATCGTTTCATATCAAATCGCAGGCGGCCATGGTGTAAGTTGCAGTGCATGTAGTGTGAGGACACGAGTTGTGCAAACTGCGTCAAAGCTGTACTGTAATACAAATGACACAAGTGTAGGTAACTCACCCCAGGATGATGCAGAAGCTTCGTCACTTGAGTGATCTTCTCGGCTTTGTTAAATCGGGATCCTGATGTCCCTCCGAGATACTTCATGAGGGTTGACAACTGCAGAACTGTGAGGTTTTCCAATAATGATTCGGGCTTTGATTCTGTTCGGAGGATTGTAGCAGCAGCTTCCACATCGTTTATCCGCAGTTTCTGCCGCACGATGCCTTCAGCTGGTGGGGCCTGAGGAGACGCTTCTTTTTTTCTTTTCATGCTGCCTCAAACCTGTGCGCAATGCAATTGACTGGTTAGCCGGCGATAGTCCATACTGCTTCAAAAGCTGCTTCTGCTTGCTCTTCATGAAGTACTGGATAACAAGTTTCAGGAAGTCATAGCTGCGAGTCTTATCATTAAACAGTTGGCGGATGAGGAGATTTGCTTCCAGGTGCTCTTGCATTGCACTCACGGCGTGTTGCTTGTGTGTGTTGAGCATGCTGGGGAACTGGAAATGGGTTATTAAATTAAGCTGGTGAAACAAGGAGCATGCAGCAGGCACAAGTACAAACGAGTTACGTATGCTTCTGCTCTTCATGCTGTGTTGCAGCTATGGGTGCTGCATAGCCATGGTCACGGAGCGGTTGGTCATTTCTGGGCAACGCTTAATTCTCAGATGTTTGGAGAATGGCTCCTAAATTCTCCAAACAAGGCTGGAGGCTTGTCACGGCATCCTTGCCAAATAAAGGTATACCGTATTTTTCCGGTTGTAAGTCGACCTTTTACGACTTAAAATAGAAGGAGAAAGGGAGGGGGTCGACTTACAACCGGGATTCGACTTATAACCGGGAACTATCAGTATCCAAAAAATGACCTGCACTGCATGCACGAGTGCACCATGTTTACACATTTTGCCAGTTTATTGGCCTTTTTCAAGGATTGGGACGTTATATCCTCCAATAAGGAATGTTTACATGATTTGTTGTTTAGTAGCAGGGAGTGGTTAGTAGTGCTTCTTTGGGTGAAAACTTTAAAACGCAGAATTGAGACCTCCAGATAGGGGGGTCGACTTATAACCGGGGTCGACTTACAACCGGTAAAATACGGTAAGCTGCAGCAAGTTGTCGTTGCGACACCTTGCTCCTTCCAGCTCACGCCGCACGGCCACCAAGCACCAACCACCATGGTACTTTTCAGCAAGGTGAGACAAATTGTCAATCACTGGTTTGGGGATGGCTTCAGCAGCTTTGGATGGTGCTATTGACGCTTTCCTGATAGCAGCGGCAGCCGTGGCATGCAGGTAGCTTATCAGATTCGCTAGCACTGCAGATGTAACTTCCAAATCTGAAGAAGAGAAAAGAAAAAGACAACATATAAGGACTGGTGGTTGCAGAGACTGTACTAGTATTCAAAAGCCAGCGTTTGCATACAGTCTGCTCGCGATAAGTCACGCACAGTGTCCTGGAATAGAAAATGCGCGACTTACCGCGAGTGCGCGACTTACATTATGCACCACGTCATGCATATGTACAGCCGTCATTTTTTCTTCTGCATAATATGTGGGCTGAACACGCGTACAAGCACTGAGCGCACGGTAGATCTACACTGTCTGTAGTCTACACTGACTGTACACTGCTGTACACGGTGAAGCCATGATGAAGGCATGATCGAGAAAGACAAGTAACGACCCGTTAATTTTGCCGTTTTGGTAGGGATTTGACAAGACGCACTTCTGTTTCCGTCGTGTAAACACTTCGTTTCCCTTTGCTTGACGATGCCTTCTCATAAGAAAACGAAAGAACAGCGAACAGTGGCTGATCGACTGTGTCGAGTGCTAATACACCAGAGACTTGTAACCATGGACTGTCCATGGTTACAAGTCTCTGGTGTATTAGCACTCGTCATATTTGAGTAAAAAGCCGCCACGATGAGACGTTGCTGACCAAACAGTGCACTGTGTGTACGTGTAGTGCAACAAAAAGTTCAAAAAACGCGGGAAAATCGCGGAAAACGCGGTCTTTTAAAAAATGGCAAAAAACGCGGAAAAAAACGCGGCCGCGGAATCGCAATTTTCCCCGGGGACAGGGTGGTGATCCATCCAACAGACTGTCAGTACATGTATAGTGATTGTATACAGTGTGTTACATAATGTACATGCATGGCCATGACTTTTGTAGAGACGTGCACGTAGATCTACGTCTCACCTACCCTGGGTACACGTACAATGTACGTATCCCAGCACTGAGCCAGGCCTTCAAGTGGGTCAATAATAATGATTTATTATAATAATGTTCTGGGTTCTTCTAGCCAGGCAAAAATAAATTATACGTTTCTAGTAATATTGACTGAGTACGAGGTCAATATACAGTCGTCCCTCTCTAATCCGGCACTTTATAATCCAGCACCCTCGATAAACCAGCACAATTTTCAGTAGCCAAAATGTCCTCTTCATGTACATGTACATTGCAGCAGTAAATCAGATTTGTTAATCCAGCACCCTCCCTAATCCAGCAGATTTTCGTGGCACAAATGGTGCCGGATTATAGAGGGACCACTGTAGCCTTTTTAGGAAATAAAAGCCGAGTAAAAGACCGAGGCGAAGCCGAGGTCTTTTACGAGGTTTTTATTTCCTATCTGACCAAGTACGAAGTCAATATTAGATTTATCACGACAAACAGTCCGTATTTCAAATTCCAGAACGATAACCTCATGAATCCCGGTTTTATGATTGCACAACCGTTGCACCACCACCTACTCATGCAATGACAATGCTGCACTAGGCACCGTTCTACTGCGCAACCCCTAAGCAGTCAAATATAAACAGTCAATATAGCCCTAAGCCAAGGAGTGAAATATGCAGGAATATTTGACTGCTTAGGTATGGCAAAAATCTATGTGAGTCAATACTAAGGGAGTGATAAAGTACTGTATAGTGGACATGGAAATAATAATTCGGTCGCACGTCTAGCGGCCCCAGGGCGCTGGTCATGCAGCCGTGGGTAAGCACACATGCAGCCTGCATGGTCGCATCGGATCAACAACATGACTGACCACCTGGCACCAGCACTGCATCATGCAACGATTCCGTTCTGTACGCGCTGAGTGAGGGCGCCGGCCCCGGTCAATCGACTGGATTTCCATATCCACGACAGTAGTAGTATTACTAGGACTCACACTAGTACTAGGAGGGCCGAGGGAGCGCGAGCAGGGGAAACAGCTACCCCGTAACCCATTGTTAGGTTTCATAAAACTAAGAGATTTATAGTAGTGTCTTGCCATGCCAAATGCAACGACGTTCTGGGGTGAACCCCGGACTGCACCCCACACAAATGTGCCCTTGTGAACCCTCTAGTAGTACAGTACAGGTAGTAGTGACTGTAGATCATAGAGACCGCAATTCCCTTGAAATTGAATGGCATGAGAAGACACAACAACTTCGACAAATGAGTAAGGGGGGGGGGGGCTCAATCAGAGTAGGGGACCTCTATCAGAGTAGGGGGGGGGGGGGGGAGAGGAGGGCGCTGCACCCCCCCCCCCCCTACCTCCCCTTGGCTAGAACCCTGATTTTATCACGCATGCATGCTGTGAGCAGGACATTGTGTAAAAATTGTTTACACTGACCCACTGTATCTACTTCATGTACACAGCTGACATTGTTCCTGCACAGGCACAGGTCTCACTCCCTTTTTACTGGTATGAGCATACGAATACACACACTCAACTTAACTCCAAATTGCACACACACACACGCACGCGCGCGCACCCGCACACACACACACACGCACGCACGCACGCACACACACACACACACACACACACACACACACACACACACACACACACACACACACACACATACACACACACACACACACACACACACACACACACACACACACACACACACACACATGGGCACCACAAGCACAAGGACGGGCATTACTAGTGTACACTCCGTAGTGAAATGTCATGCAGTAAGCAATATAAATTATCTGAGCAAGGGATTGTGTGACCATTGACATTTCTCTTGTAAAATGTTGCAATTCAGCAAGGCTGTGTCGAGGAAGTCTGCAAAGCATGAAAGTATTGGCAAAGAAAACATGTTACAAATTTCTAACGAAATGCTCTGCTTGTCTTCAGGAATTGAATGCATCGGCTTGCTCAATATACGATCTATCAATGTGTATGAATTCATTGCATGGAAAATTGATTGAAATGCACTGTGCAAGACATTCAGGATTACCAAATGCAATGGCATGCTTCGATTAGTTACAGAATCTTTCAGAGCATAATTAAAATACAATCAAAGGGAGAATCAGCAAGCATGCAGAGTGAGCTCAACACGAATGGAAAGGAGAGGCATGTCAATAAAAATAAAGACCTCATTCCGCTGAAAATCAACAATATTCAATGAGAAGAACGCCGTGACATCACTCGGCTATACAGGAACGTTCTTTGGGACATTGCCTACGGGAAGGTCACGCGGCATCAAATGTTTCACAATAACATTATCAAGATGGCATGATGTTCTATGTACAGTAGCTAAAGACACAATGCAGAATTCTAGGTTCACTAGTGGTTGGAATGGGACATTTCATTTCATGGTATATTGGCAGTCAATAGCAATGCTATTTTTATTGCTCGGATTGAGTTACTTTCATTGCGAGTGGCTATTGCATCTTCAATGGATATTATTCTAGTTGCCGGTTGCTGCCATCACTGCTGGAGACGCTGGCTGTGACAGGGAGTGTCAGATCCTCTGTCACTTCCCCGCCGGACGGAGGAGCAGTTGCACTGGCTGATCCTGTCATTGTCGCTCCAGGCATCACACTCCCGTCACTCGCAGTCTGCTGCATGTCTGGCGGTAGATTCACGACAGGCGGAATTGGTGGCGGAAGGCGCGCCGGCAGAGCGAACTGCGAATCCAGGAGATCAGCCGTGGCAAGATGGGATTGAGGAGTTGGCTGGCTTGCCGCCAACGGAATATCAACCAGCACTGGAGCGGTGGAGCTCAATACCGGAGATATGGGCGGTGGAAGATTGATGGCAGGTGGCAAATCAGACAAGAAATCCACTGACTGTGATTGGAATGATGGCGACTGTGGTGATTTTTGCAAACCGGCAGTCTTCTTGTCTTCTGATGTTGATTGTCTTGCAAATCTGCTTGTGTTTCTTTCTTTGCTGCGACTTCTTCTCATGCCACCCTCATTATCGGCTCTGGATGGTGTTTGTGATGCATCAAGATCTTTACCATCTGTTACTGGCTTGAACAAGTCACTCTTGGATGAGGAAGAGAAGGCCCGACGCCTGGCAGCTGCAGATGAAGTGTCTGGCTTGCCAGGGTGCTCCGCTGCAGACGAGGCCGATATAGATCTTGGTTTTGAAAACACTGATAGGCCTACAGAAACACATGCAGAATGATAGCAGAATTTCAATACAGTATCTAGAATGTATTTGAGTACGATCAAAAGTGCGAGTTGCTAAAATTAAAGTGGGGAGACATGAAATAGGTTTTTATGCGGTAAAAGCTGCGGGCACACTGAATAGTTATCATGTTATTGCCCTTACTTCCATGTCCTGACTGACATATTGCGAACCCAGCCGTGCAACACATAGATAGTACAGAAACTGGCCATCCATAGTACTCATGCTACAGTCACGCCTTTCTACAAAGCTATATTATGCACACATCGAGAGAGAATGATTTCAGACCTTGCACGCCACCTGGAACAAAATTATACACCGCTCCGAAAATCCCACACTCTTATGGCGCTTTGATTGCGAGGTTGATCAGATTGTGGAATGAGTTCGCCCGAACTCAGCTGATTTATTAGTTTACAATTAGCCAAGCATGGCCGGCTGGTGATTTCAGAGTGCTTGACGAGCTCACTACCCCAGTCACACTCACTGGTCGTTTCACCGCCATCTCTTATAGGAAAGACTTACTGCTGTTCAAATCTTCTGATGACTGCGGAGATGTTTGTTTCTGTCGCTTTCTGCCTCTGGGTTCGGTTATGGGATTGGTCTTCTTTGGCTCTGCGGATGAATTCCGGCGCCCTGATGGTGGCGAAGGGGAGCGGATCTTCTTCAGAAAGTTCCATCCTGCTCCAGATTTAGATTTAGGTTTTGCTGGCGGCAATGGAGCAGAGAATCGGGTGTGGTTGACATCTGTACTTGTTGCTTTGGCCAATTTAGAGCCCTTCATGTGTGAGGCGGCACTGCGTGAAGACTCAAGACTCTCCTGGAACGCAGCCATGTGTTCTTGCATCGAGGAGCTGTACGCCATGTCACTGTCAGTGAGGAGAATCAGCGGCTCGGCTCTCGGTGAGGTAGTCGGTGCAGGCGGTGCAGGCATACGGTCATCACCCGTCGGCAATACATCCATGTGCTGATGGTCAAACGACGAAGGCGCGCTCCGCTCGTCGTCTCCACTGTTTCCAAACGATTGGCCGTGCAGCGCACGCATGGCTGTGAGGTGATCAATGTTGAACGCAGCGGGGTCCAAGGTGCAGGTGCCAACTACCTCTCGAGTTGATGCGTCTATGCTTCCAGGTGTGACAAGAACATCTGACATCAAGAACAATCAAGGAAGCAGAGCATATATCAGGTTACAGTCACACCTTCTAAATTGTAACCAATTGCAACGAACAAGTACAATCATCCGCAAACGATGAAGGCCATTTGTATATTAACACTAACACATCCCAGGTAAGTCTTCCTGACTCATGAGCATTGTCGTGTTTACATCAGCAGAGACAATCTCTCTTATCCGGACCTCCCATATCAAGACATTGTCTTCAACAAGACATCCTGCAGGCTTGCAGGTACATCTACTTGAAGTACAAGTTAGATCTTGAAAAAATCCCTTTCTTGCTGCTCAGCTGGACAACTTCAACGCCCAAAGGATCGTAACCCTCCGCTCTATCACGTAAGTTTGTGAATGGCATCAACCCAGGGGCAGTGAGCCCAACTGGAGAAAATAGACCGTCATATGCACTAAAGTTGCAGTGTGTTTCTGAATGAGGGTTCTGAGGTATATATCCCCTTCAGTCCCCGAGGCTCTCGAGTAAGAGCGGTTCCACTGCACTGTGAATCATCGCATATCCTTCAGTGCCAGCACTTTGAAGTAATACCTCACACATTGTAGTTAAGCTAACGAAAAGTAGGAGAAGTCTGAAAAGATATTCGGAACACTGTAGAACGGGTAATTTTAGCGACTATCAATTTTAGCGTTTTCCCATTGCCAACCGGTTAGCGACGTTTAATTTTAGCGATTTGCAGCGATTTTACTCACGGATCACCAGTGCACTACTAATGTCTCAACGGATTAGCGACTTGAAACTTTAGCGAAAATGAGTCGATCGCTAAATTCGCTAGGGTTTTTACGTCGCTAAAATTACCTGTTCTACAGTAGTTGTTGCTGCTGCTTTTGCTAATCTTTCGTGTTCCCTCCTAACCCTTACTTCCATATATGGCCGTGGTTGGCTATCACCCACTCTCTTCACTTTGGCCGGTGTTCCCACTGAGTCGTGAGATGTTGTCACAAATATAAATAATTATACCCCGGAGGATGTACCCAGTGTGCTGACAGTGCTCAACACCGCGGAGGCCGCAGAGCGTAATACAGAACAACAAGGACAATCAAGGGTAGTTTGCTGCTACTTCAAGTTTCATGCTCTCGCCAATATAAATAATATATTTGCCCATTGAACTTACGCGGCTGATGTATTTGCGGAATGTCAGCATTGTGTCGGCTGGGAATGACAGGTGGGAGTCTTGGGTCTGATCTTAAACCAGCAGAACAAAGTCCTTGAGACGGACCGGTAGCTACTGTACTCTTCAGCACAGAACCAGTTGCAGCAGGGCTTAGGTCTGCATCGCACACACTCATGGAGTTATCAGCACCGCCGGAAGATGAAGACAAGGAACCACTGGTTGGGGGTTCGACATGCCTTGGCAGTGATGAGCTGCGTTGATGCGTCTTTTTGGCCCTCTGTTTCTTCTTGGGTGGTGGAAGTGGCATAGAGAAACGCTCTGGATTCTCTTCACTTGATAGCCTAGCTAGCTGAGCACCTTTGGCATGTCGGGATCTGGTTTCAGGTAGGGGCGAAGGAGAGCGTGGCTGAGTTCTGTGATGTGAGGGCAGTGTAGATGAGGTGAATGGATCTCCCTCCTCTGTTGATTCAGCAAACGAGACAGCAATATTGGGCACAGAGGAGCCACGCTCGCGGCCTGAATATGCCACCGATGGTGATAGTGAGTCTGGCGTTGGCATTGTGTTGTCTTTGGTTGGCGTCTCTTCTGCTGTTCGTGACAGGGGTGATGGAGATCGCAGCTTCTTCGTCAGACTGCTCCATCCACTGGCGGAGTTGGACCTGGACCTTGATTTTGGCGGTGGTAAAGGTGCAGAGAATCTGGAGTGATCAGCTGCAGTGCTCGTGGCTCTGGCCAGTTTAGCGCCCTTCATTCTCGATTTAGGGATGCGTGGCTCATTACCATCTAGCCCAGGACTGTCATTGTCACTGATTACGATAAGAGGCTCCACTCGTGGTGTAGGCAGAGTCGTGTCTCTTGCCAAACCTCCCTTCGCAGTAATAAGCGAGCCACCGGATGGTGAATCGCTGGCATGCACTGCAGCATTCGGATCAGTGTGATGTCCACTATGCGTTGTCATCGGGTGCTGGTGACTACCATGGTGGCTGGCTGGAGCGGTAAACCTTGGTGCAATCTCCATTGGCACTAGCATACCTGCCGGTTCTCGCTGTGAGTGAATTTCTGCAAAACAAAAACAAAGTCAAAACCATCAGGGACGTCGCACACGGTACGGTCACTACGGTATTGACCGTACCACTATTTGACCCAAGTACCCCGTGAATCAATAAAATGCACTGATTTGGGCTCTAATGTCCAAGATTTTCGGCTTAGCCACCCCTCCCCCACGAGGAAATTGTACTTCAGATGGTTGGCCGTACCACACTAAATCACCTTCCGACGCCCCTGACCATACTAACATTGGAGAGCCGGGTGGGGATTAGCAACATAGTACATGATACAGCAACAAAAAACTCCATATCCGGACGTTCTTAGTCTGGCCACGTCCCTCTTCTCAAGGGGGAAGTAGCAGCTTTCGGCCTGTATGGAGGAAAACATATTAATTTTGTCAGTATCTACAGCTTGGAGAGTTATGTTTCTGGTGTGTGAGGTCGGCCAGAGAGCGCGTTTGGTGGAGGTGGAATCACGTTATTTACGTCCCTCTTCTGACATATCTAGAGTCATGAAAATTGCCATTTCAACGAAAAAGAGCCCCAAAAACTATTGATTGGCATACAATAATGTCAACTTTCATTTAGTCAGTACGTATGTTTCCAGTTATGGGCGATTCCAGTTTTTTTTTTCTACAAAATCCACATATCTCCAGACACTGGGGTGAATGATGGAGTGTGGTGGGTAGTTATGGGCGATTCCAGTTAAAGGCAGTGCTCGGTCCCAACCTTCCCGGATCTGAGGAATTTTCCTGTACTTCAACAGAAATGCTGGACCACATGCATTCTAGTAGCAGTGGTGAGGCTTCCTGCAGGGCTTTTCGTGAATTTATCACCACATTGTCTTCTTTGAATAATTGTTGTTGGTATCAAACTTCTTTTAGTTATCATTATCTTTATGATTCTGGCACGTCACGGTGGGTGCGATGTAGCACATCATAGCATCACTAATTGCATCTATATAACTGCTCCGTTGAAAACTTGCACACCATTGCATACCTGCATGATGAGGGCAATTTTGCCGAAACGTTGGAAAATTGATTGAGAAATGAGTGCGAGTTTTGCAGAGTGAATGGGAAGAGAGCGAGTCTGCTCTGAAACCTTTTTTCACATGCATTCTAGATTATTAATCAATCTTTGGACATTGTAGGTAACCTGGAGCATCATCTCCCAGAAATTCAAAGTTCAAAAATGGCTGATACCCACAGGTAACATCTTGAAATCAATGAGCCAATAGGTGAGTCGATTCTGTGAAATATAGATAGGACTAGAAAACAGGAATTCAAAAGAAGTTCACCATAGAATTGCATGAGGACGGGTGCAGTGTGGAGTCCTTGGCTATAGTTCCCCGCAATTCAAATTATTCAAATACTGTAATTTCCCCAAATTTTCGGTGTACTTTTATTTTCGGTACTTTCGGTGCGTCTGTTTCATGCCTAAAATTTCAATACACCGAACAAACACTACCACACATAATCCAAAAGGGAACTGTTTCTCTGTACCTAAAATTTCTGTTCACCTAACCTGGCCTTTTGCCCTCATGCTGAAAATATTGAGCACTTAAAAATTTTCTGAACTTAGAGTAATCAACACCTTACATTTCGAAGTCTGCTGAAAGTGTTGAACAGTCTCTGCTTGCTTGCATGATAACCATACCAAATCCCAGTGGCTAGAGCGAAGATCCCTGGTTGGAAACCTAGCGGGGACAGTCAATTTGTTCCGACATTTCCCTTTTGAGTCCCTCGGACCTACTTCACGAAAACTTCGCATTGCCTTTACAACCGAATTTTCATGAGTGTAAGCTGCACTGAAAACACCGGTAATTCACCAAAAAAGGTCGGTGCGGTTTATGCTACGATGGCTAAATTCTCATCAGGGTAGATGTCTGTATTCTACGATGGCTAAATTCATCAGGGTAGATGTCTGTATTCCGCTACAAAACATCTGAATGCGGCATATACACAGCAAAGTACGGTTCTGTACATTTTAAGACACAAGTTCACAATGGCGATATTTAAAGGTGCGGAATATAGTGTTATCACACACTCACCTAGCTCAGAGTCCTCTGGTATCCCAGAGATGAAGATTCCAATATTGGCTGACGGCCGTCTGGTTTGGGATGGAATCCTTTCAGCACCAGGCTCTGGAGAGTTGCCACCACCAGTTACAACCACATCTGTTGGACTGGGAGAATACTCTCGGTCATCACACACCCGCATGGCTTGCTCAGCACCTCCAGAAGATGAAGTAAAGGAGCCACTACTGGTCGACACAACATGCCTTGGCAGTGATGAGCTGTGCTGAGGCATCTTCTTCCCTTTCTTCTTCTTTTTGGGTGGCGGAAGAGGCATAGAGAAGCGTTGAGAATTCTCCTGGCTTGACTCTCTGGCTAGCTGAGAACCTTTGGGAGCGTGCCTTCTTGTTTCAGGTGAGCTGGAAGGAGATGGTCGATGTCTCTGCGGTGGAGGTAGAGTGCATGATTTTGTGAATTGATGTTCTTCTCCCGTCGAGTCATCAAATGACATGGCAATGTCCGGCACAGAGGTGCCGCGCTCACGGCCGGAATAATCTGCCGAAGTCGACAGTGATATCGATTGTGATTTCTGCACTGGCTTTCGCTTGGCAGACGGATCTCTTGATTGTGATGGAGGTGATGGAGATCGTACCTTTTTCTTCAGAGCTTTCCATCCACCTTTCGATTTAGACTTGGACTTGGCTGGAGGGAGAGGTGCGGAGAAACGTGTATCACTTCCTGAGCTGGTAGCTCTGGCTAAAGTGGAGCCTTTGAGCCTGGATCTCTTTTCTGGAACACTGTGGTCTACATCTTCAGCATCACTGAAGGTGATAAGAGGTTCCGCTCTTGGCAATGAAGCTGATTTGCTCTCAGTATCAGCTGTTTGTGGCTTGTAGAAGGGTGACAGTCTGCCTGCTTCCACGTCATCATTGCCATAAGAGACTTCATGAGAGTGGCTACGTTGAAGGGATGCTGCTTGTGCAGCTTTCGGATGTAGTTCTGACCGAGAAGGAAAGCAGGGTTAACGCAGGTATGCACGTGTACACACAGACACATGCACACACATACACACACATACACACACGCACGCACGCACAAAACACACAAACACACACACACACATACACACACATACACACATGCACATTCACATGCACACCAACACACATTCACGCAGAAGGACAACAAAGGTGAGAACCGTTTTAGTGTGACGCCCTCCACTATATCAACTCAATTCCACCTTCTTTGCTGAACCGGACCAGCCGAAATCAGAGTCCATAGGTTCACTCAGCCCAATCGCTTAACTGGGAAGATATCAATAAAGCACAGGTCTTTTTTTACCAATACCAATTGCCAATAAACTCAAGCATCTCTTATCCAGATACCTCAGATACGGGCACGTCCCTCTACCGGGAACCTTCAGCTTGGGTTCCTATGGCAAAATGCTTCGAATTTGGGGGTTTGAACTTTTTTTTTCGTTTGCGCAAGTGCTTATTTTGTCACTATCAACCTGTGTAATCCACACGTTGTTATTAATGGATCATTTTGTATCCCTAACATGTGCAATACGCGCCAAATAAACTTCTTCAACAAATGATATGATACATGGTAGATGAGTTATCCTGAGATATGGGCAAATCTGAGATACGGGCAGTGCCTGGTCCCAAGGTGCCCAGATAAAAGGCGTCCGAGTGTATACGAACATTAGTGTGCGTGTATTGATTGCCTCCTTATCTCTTGTCTCCTCCGATTGCCGTGTTTATGTCTTCTTTGTCGTGCGCTAGGTGTAATTTGTGAAGTGTATTTTTTATGTGTGCCATATTTCTTGATCAGGTTTGCAATGTTGCAGAATTTATGTATGCACCGTTGCTATTAGGGAACGAGTTGACAAATGGGTAATCCCTGAAGCATTTGAGAACACTGGGATCACGGCCATGCGTTGGGATATCGCCAAACCACCTTGACAGCATGGTTTTTGGTAAGCATGGCGTTACGGTACAGAGTCAATTGTTCGAACAACTGACTATTCATGCTTACTAGACCACCTGGTCAAGCCGTACTTTGCAAAATCACAATGCATGGCATAGGCCATTATTGGGTTAACTATTTAAAATATCAGCAATCCCAGGAAAATGTATACGTATGAGTGATTGTCACACATCTCTACTATAGGTATGTGCCCTCAGCACTGTTCAGCCACCAATATACATGTGCCGAGAACACCGAGCATGCCCATCAATCAATCACACACACGCACGCACACACGCACACACACACACACGCCCCCCCCCCCCCCCACACACACACACTAGTTCTTACCAAGTTCGCTATCCTCGGGTATTTCCAAAATGGCATCCGCTCCTATTGCTGATGGCTGCCGCGAGACTGGGCGTCCAGTAGTGCCAGGCTCTGGGGAGCTAACACCTTGGAGCATCTGGTCCATTTCACTGGGACTTGGAGTTGATTCCCGGTCACTGCATACTTGCAGTGCATGGGCAGCTCCACCAGAAGTTGAATATCCGCTCGAAGACAATGAAACGTCACGACTGAGGACAACACGGGGCACTGAAGAGCTCCTTGGACGCTGCCCTTTCTCGGCGTATCTCTCATCTCCACGAGGGGACAGCCCTCGTCTTCCTGGAGGGAGTGTTTTGACCTGACTGGAGACCGTACCACTATCATACTGGCTAGATAGGGATGGAGTAACTGATGATTGTGTGAACTCATGGTCCCCCTGACTGGTGCCCTGGTGTACGCTAATGCTGACCTCCGGCACAGACCCTCCGCGGGTACGGCTGGATGCCGGTTTGAGAGCACTTCGTTGCATCGCTTCACGCCACCTAGTGTTCTTCTGGGGACGATCTGCCAAGGACGTTGCCGAGCCGGCATCCGAGTTCATCCGATCACGGCTAACAGCTAGATCGTTAAATGAGCCCATTGGTGTTGAGATGCTGGATGATCGAGATCCTCTCATCGTATCTGAGCCCGACAATGTCGAAGTTCTCTTTCGGGAAAAGGCCGATATCCTTCCCAAGGTTAGAGCCTTCGACTTCCAGATAGCAGTGTTCGTCGATTCCAAAGCATCCCAGTCGGACGTTTCACGCGATGACGTCGTTGTTGCCTGTTGTTTCCTGCGCGCAGCTCGCTCTCCATAGGACAAGGTTGATTTATCGAGGTCTCCACTCTGGCTTTGGGTGAGATCCTTGCGTACTCGCTGCTTACCCGTGACGGTGTGGTACAAGGTGTCGGACACATCTTTGTGTAGCTTGTCGTGGGACACCGTGTAGAAGAAGAACAGAGCGAATCCTTGCAGGCTATTCGTGACCGTGAATATCCACTGGAGCACCACGCTCCCAGTGCTGATCATGAACAGTCCAATGATCCAGGTCACACCCAGCAGAAAGCACAGGCTGATGCTGGCACGCGTCTGCTTGGCTCGACGTGCGTTCTCCTTCTTGTCGTTCTTGCGCAGGTTGGCGCCCTTCTTGCGCCGCCAGAGGACGCGCAGGACTAGCCCGTAGACAACGCCATTGAACACCAGCATTGCCGCCACCGGGCCGTAAACTCCTGCGAAGAATGGCGTGCCGGTCACAAAGCAGCTGTGAGCACACAGAGGCCAGAGGGGGTGCACACGAGTCACAACGGTCATGCAAGGAATACCGCTGATATGCAGTGGTACTTTTACTGCAAGTCTCCCTGCTAAATTTTAAAAGTGTACCAAGTAAAATTTAAAAAAGAGAAGAAACACATGAGAACGAGTTATGCAGCAACTATCCACGACTGTAACAAGATGATTAACGGTCAGAAGGTGCGATAATAATAATTCTCTTTTTTTTACATTTTATTACTGGCTCAGTATCCGAGTTTAAGAAAAAAATTGGCACGTATTTACTGACCTTCGCAGTCACTGTGCAATACATATGAAATATATACAGTCACTATTCAGGAGGGATCAACCCAACTGACATCCCACGGATGCGTAGAAACACGAAGGCAATCCTTCGGCAACTTCCATTCCAACCGACATAATGCTAGAGTCAAAGCTAACACCGCGAACTTACAAAGGATCTTGAGGTTGAGCCACTTCGATTGCTGAACACCCTTCGTTTACGACCGTCCTCATGGAGTACTGATTGCGTGAGAAATAGGCTGTGATAGTTGTCACCACAAATGGTAGACCTTTGAGGCAAACGGCAAAGAACACAGCACAATTTTCACTCAAAGTTATGGATATGGCAGGAGATTCAAGTTTGACTGTATCAGGAGACCAAATTGAACATGGCATGGCAGTATTTTCTTGAAACGTCTCCATCCGTCAACGAATGCCCTGCAGCAAATTTCAGTTCAAGCAATTCATATTTAGCCAGTTTAGACACCAGACACCAGCACTTTGTGACTTTTCCCACTCTCCAGGAGTGGACACATCACCACGGCAGTATACACTGGTTCACGCATCACTTCAGTGTTACATATACAGCCGGGGTCTTGTCTCCCTTGAGGACTAGGATGCATGGCTGGGGAGCTGACAACACAGGCAGTAGCATGTACATGTACATGTAGATGCGTTGAGTTCTTCGTCCATTGTTGTTCTCACATCTTTGCTGATTGTAATAAAAAACTTTGTGTCGAGTACTGTAGTGTATGTGCTGACGATACACTCATGGATATTTCTTACGTCATCATTATCATATTGACGTTGCGCAGATCATTTTAGTATGTCTGCCTTTTTGTATTGACACACGTGTCTCCCTGTTCTTGTTCCGTTGACATAATTTACTTGCAATTGTCGTTGGTCTTCTTCTAGTCTCCATGTAATCGATCAGAGAATAAACCGAACCCCGTCTCTAGCTGAGACACTACAAGTATGTACATGTAGAAACACATGTTACCACACAGTAACAGGCAATGCTGGCCTGGGCAAAGCAAGAACTCAACAACATGAAGAGTGTCCCATCGACACACGTGCCATGATGTGCCCAGCGTGTTTAAAGGGGAAGTATACCCTAAAATCAAATTTTCACCAGTTGTAGTCTTCGGGGTGCTGAGTCGAATGGTCTTGGTCCGAGGAAGCTGAGACGCTCCCTTCCTCCTTTATTCCCGATCGAACTCGCGCACTTCCACCGAAACTGGGTGACTGCGCCCTACTAGATGGGGATTTGTATGCAAAATGTCACTAAAAGCGCCATTTCGTTCTTATAAAGGCACGGATGACCGCCATTGGCCCATATGTTGTAGTCTTTTGGACGCTGAGTCGACTGGTTTTGGTCCGAAAAGGCTGCGATGCAGCGTTCCTCCTTTATTCCCAATCAAACATGGTTGAACAAGCGGTCACGTGCTCCTGCGTACACCAGTCACCTGGTCACCGTGCCTGCAGGGTACAACTTACTAGCCTGTTTGACCTTTTTTGGGTGCAGTCCTGTCACTTGAGTTGAACTCGAGTTGAACCTTGGTGTGAAAGTTTTCGCCTGCTGGCGCGGTGACCAGGTGATTTGGGCACCCAGTAGGCCTTGGCGGATAATGCCGGCAGAAAAATTGGCAGAATTCGGTACTTTTTCTGGTAAGTTTCATGCATGTTTGGTATGTGGATAAAGAAATGGAGCAGAATTCGAGGAATTGCCCGCCATAAGGTTTGTATGGTTCTGCCAATTTCGGTGCAAAAAAAGCAGAATCTGCCACCTTTTCGAGCATTATCCGCCAAGGCCTAGCACCCAGGAGCACGTGACCGCTTGTTCAACCATGTTCGATTGGGAATAAAGGAGGAACGCTGCATCGTAGCCTTTTCGGACCAAAACCAGTCGACTCAGCGTCCAAAAGACTACAACATATGGGCCAATCGCGGTCATCCGTGCTTTTACAAGAACGAAATGGCGCTTTTAGTGACATTTTGCATACAAATCCCCATCTAGTAGGGCGCAGTCACCCAGTTTCGGTGGAAGTGCGCGAGTTTGATTGGGATTCAAGTAGGAAGGGAGCGTCGCAGCTTCCTCGGACCAAGACCATTCGACTCAGCACCCAGAAGACTACAACTGGTGAAAATTTGATTTTAGGGTATACTTCCCCTTTAAAGCCCACACCCTACACCACCACCACCACCACCACAATAGGCGCCACTACCACCACCATCACACCATCGCTACGCCAGTGCGGAGCAGTACAGTGTTTGAAGAGTTGATTAAAAAAAGATTGCATACCAAACGAAAGGCCAGTTGCTAGATAGAGGAAGCGCTGCTCCCCGCCAGTGAACACAAGAATGAGCTGGCGGTAGAGGTGCACGGATTGCACAGCCATCCAGCAGAAAGTTGACAAGAGAAAGTACTGTGTCAGAATGCCCACAGCCTGACATGCAGTGTCGTTGCTACGTGCACTCTCCAACGTGATCATGAAGGTTAGGAGCAGTGTAAGCGAGACGCAGAGGCCGATCAGGATTTTCGTTTGAACCTTCTGCCGCAGAGTTCTACAGAAAAAAGATGCAGTTCAACACATTATATTGCCACAATACACATTCACAATGATACATTATGCTCAGAAGTATGTCCACTAGGCATGGCTCAATTTTCTAATGACTATTCCGAACCATTTCTCTAATACATGCTCGTTATATAGTTCCTAGGCGCTCACACAGTCACAAAACGATAGATAGTTCGTCTACAAATAGTAGCAAATGAGCACGCATACTCACCGCGCAAGAATATGCAAGATGATTGTGAACACGAGGCCAATGATGGAGATGCCGCAACCAACGTAGGTTACTATGGTGATGTCCTAGGTCACATGACATTCGAGGACAACACAAAAGGGCTTCCTGTCAGTGCATAGGCTTAAAAACGTCCAGTACAAAATGAATGTCCTGATTACAGTTTACGATGAGTGTGCAGTTTTCTCATGGTTCACTAAGACAGTAGTAGGATCCACCCATTTATACATGTACGTGAGTATTCTTGAATCCATGCATCCTGTACACACACCTTGTACACACTCTCTCTGACGGTCTCTAGGCTTCACTGTAATTGATAATAATACATTAGATCAAATTTTCCGGCAAGGCCCATCATCAGGAACAAAATTTTGTCTTTAGAATTGTATGTACAGTCCGTATCGCCTATAAGGTTGGCGGCTATAGTAACATGCCGGATATAGTGATGAATTTCTCAAATTCATTTTCATTTGCCATAACTAGGTATACTAGGTATCCACAGTTATCGTGTATAGTAATAATCGTCTATTGTAATATATCGCCTATAGTGATCAAATTCATATTTCAAGAGACCTTTATTGCATTATTTTTGCATCGGTTATAGTGATTGATGTAAAATCAAGCGATGTCAGAGGAGAACAGGGTGTTACTTCTTCGTGAAGAACTTGTCCAGTGAGTGTTGTTTGGTGAGTTTTGCTCGTACAAGTTGCCAAAATATGCCGCCATCATGAGGAAATGTTGATTTTGTGTGTCAGGAGCTACAGCCAGCTACATGACATTGTACATGTATGTAGTGCGTATGTGCACGGCGCGCCGAGTCGTTTGACACCCCACTTGCATACATTGCATGCAGTATCGGTAATAGTAATATATCGCTTATAGTGATAAAATGCTTCAAATCAAACACCAACGCTATAGGCGATACCGACTGTGCAAAGTGAGTTCCACTGTATTTTAACATAAAATTTATGCACCACTGGTGCCAGTTAGAACTGGCAAAGTTAATAATGCAATCGGAAATAACTATGCTGAGAAAGCGAGCACAGAGAACCATCGAGGCTCTGACACAAACGAACCTCTTGGCTTGGCGCATCTTCAGTGAGCAGGATTGCAAAATTGGTCAAGTGATCGCAGTCACAGGTCACCACACCCGGTGTGGGCATGACAGTGCGGCATCCTTCCGTACGCCACCGCCGCAGTGTGACATTGTAGAAAGCACAGCGGGCTCCGGTACTCGTACCCTTCAGAGCAAGTACAGGTAGGGCCGGAAAGCACATTATGTGGATCATGATCCATTCTGGCGTGTCGATCCATTGGTAATGCACTGGCAAAAATCATGTGACACGACTAGCTGACTGGTAATGCACTGACAGAAGTCATGTGACACAACTAGTGTCCTGACTATACACTGACAGCAGTCATGTTACACGATTAGTGCAATGGCTATAATGCAGTATGCACTGGCAGCAGTCATGTGACATGACTAGCACTGACAGAAGTCATGTGACACAACTAGTGTACTGACTATACACTGACAGCAGTCATGTGACACGATTAGTGCAATGGCTATGCAGTATGCACTGGCAGCAGTCATGTGACATGACTAGTGCACTGGTAATGCACTAAGTTGTAGCAGTCACGTGACAGGACTAGTATAAGTAGTACTAATAATACACCAGCAGCAGAAAGCACAGGTAAACTTCAGTGTTACATACATCGTTGTGCCACCAAGGACCTACTAGGATCTACAAAGACCTAACAATCAATGATGTCGTGTAGCGCAGGTTCTCAATACCTGATGTTAAATACACGCTTTGAAAAGGATATGCAACATGACTAAAACATTATTTTATGAAATGCAAAGAGGTTTTTTTTTTAATCCGGGGGACTCTCTTTACAGAAGTTGTCCTGTACTTCCACAACAACACACACTTGCACAAGGAAAAATAGCCACATGAACGGTTCCTTGAAGACTAGATTAGCAAGCCGGATACCAAGCAAAGACAGCGATTCTAAATACCTACCATATTGACTGAGAAGTTGGCACGAACAAGTGTTTCACCGTTGCGTGACCTGGTTACATTCTGTCCATTGACCGAAGCACCTAGGATGCTGGATGATCCGATGTCACAGTTGCCATCCCGGAACAGATTGAAGTCGGTAAACTGTGTGAAGACTGCGCTAAAGCCATCCATGCAGAGGTTAGTTGTTTCATTCCTGTTCTCACATGCTGCTGCGTTAAACGCATCAGATGTCAGCTGTACAGATGCCATGCCAGTCATGGCTCCAGCACCAACAGCCAGAGCAGGGGTCTCATCATCTACAAGTGGAAACAGTGTCAAAGCAGAACAACGACTATACTGAACAGGAAAACTGATTTGCTCAAACACACCTTTCCCCTAGACTCTGAGTTGCTCAAACACACCTCTCCCCTAGACTCTGAGTTCCCATTCTAAACATGCTACCAAGGCCAACATACAGTCAGGGAGTCTGTGCAGAAAAGGAGATCACCAGAAGTCCAGAACTCTGGCTAGCCATTGGAATTTCCAGCTCTAGGATCCTGGAAAAGGAAACCACTTGGACAGCGCGACCAAACTTGGCGTGGCCTATGAATGGTCAACTTACAAAAATCCACAGTATAGGGCCTGAAAGTGCTACGTCACAGCATAGCAACAATTTCAAAAATTCAAAAACTGGCCCCATTCTTTTCTTATTACATGCCCGCTGACTGTGACCAGGGTTACGGCCAATCAAGGACATAGAGTGCACCATTTTTCCATAACGTCCCACACGCTCAAGATTGCGGTCATTACCGTGACGATATACCATGCTGTTCGATCTCTTGATCCTCCAAGTGATTTTTCAAGTGCCCACTGAGAAAAAACACTTGGAAGGTCAAGAGGTCAAATACATGACACATACGTGACAGACCTGATTATTGCAGCAGATCTTGGCCAATAACGGACTATCAAGCAAAATAAACTCAATGTTTAAAAGTAACAAATGTCTCTAATTGGTAAGTTACCCGAAAAGGAAGCAGTGATATCCATTGCAGCACCGCTGTTAACAATATTAGCACCGGACACGGAGTCGCCAACAACAGTAGCACCTTGCACACTGCCGGCTATTGTCTGGTTAGTCAGCAGCGAGCTAATCGCACTGGTCACAGCATTCCTCAAACTGGATATGTACGAGAAATGGGAGGCAATTCAACAAAAAGACGCATACGTTGATTTCTATATGTCTACAGCAACCATTGGTGTAGAGTGAATTCCTTTTTCAACTTTTGGTCTGAATACGTACCAACTTCTCAAACTACTTACGCCTTCCTCAAGCAACACAAAACAGAAACAACTATGGTCTAATTCAAAGGATCAGTCGCCGGGGGAAGTGAACTGCCTGAAAAGAGAAGAAAATGCCAGATCCACCAGGACTCAAACTCGGGACCTTGCTTGTCATGAGCAATGCTCTAACCTTTTGAGCTATGGGACCAGGTCGAACCTAGAAGGCGCTGATAAGTTTTTCACTCCAAAGGCACGTGTTGTGAGCTGCCTTTGGAGTGAAAAACTTGTCAGCACCTTCTAGGTTCAGCCTGGTCCCATAGCTCAGTGATTAGAGCATTGCTCGTGACAAGCAAGGTCCCGGGTTCGAGTCCTGGTGGATCTGGAATTGTATTTTTCTTCTCTTTTCAGACAGTTCACTTCCCCGACTGATCCTTTGAATTTAGTTCTCCCAATCCTTTGAAACTATGGTCTAGTTTGTTGAATATATCAATCACCATAGCTGAACCAGACAGGTCACATTACTCACTGGGCATTGTGCAATTCCATCACAAGTACAAAGTCTTTGAACTTGTTGGCATTATGTATGTATGTACCTCCCATACAAGACTGAAAAAGCACAATGGTCTCTTACGTCTCCTGGGCATCATCCGCTGCTGCAGCTGTGGCATCTGCTTGCAAGGTGTTGTCAACAACTGAAAACACATCTCGTGCAATCTGGGACAGGAAGAAGATATTCAAACAAAGTGTCACCCCTCTCGAAAATATTATCACTTTGCTCCAAATGGGAACTTTCACCCAGCAACAAAGTGACGTGTCTCAGGTGTTTGTGCCGGGTAACAATCAACATGCAAAAACACGGTTGGCAATGGACATTCAGTTTACCAAAGCCTTCCCCTTCCCATACACCCAGCCCACCCACCCACAAACACAAACAATCCAGCGTGGCTCGCAAGACATTGCAGTGATTCGGCAGTACGTTGAGTTTGACAAGTCGGCGGAACTAACCATATTCTCGCTCCACATATACTGGCACACACAGAGACATGGACAGCAATAGCGACAACACACAAAATGAAGGGAAGTTGGCCGCAGCCAGACGTGACTATATGTGACTCACCATATTCACGGACTCAGCTGGTAGGTCCAGGTTGCCGTCAGCCAAAGCATCTGCCAATGCTCCAACAACGGTAGTAGTGGCACCGATATCAGTGTCGGACAGCTGTCCTGGATTGGCGTTTGTCAAAATATACAGTTCATTGGCAACATCGGCCAGTTCCTCCGGTGGAATGGCGCTTTCCCGGATTTCTGTCTGTGATAATCAGAAATACACGCATCGGAGTTTCGCGATTGAATGCAGGCCTTCCTTTGTGTTGCACAAACTCTTTGCTTAGATTCTTAGTCCATACACTGCACTTTGTAAGCGGCAATTTCAGTGAAATTTGAGTTTACTAGCTATACTAAATGCCTATTATCCTCATGTTTTCGTGATTGCAGCATTGTCAACATGTGCAGACTGTATATATATGAATATAGTTGAACTGGTACACAACATCACATGACAAGATCCTAATTGCAACACTACTGCTCAGATGGTGAAAAGACCACCGAAATCAGGGAACAAATTATTACTATCCGATAAGGCGATAAACCTTACCAGACGTTCCAGAAGTCTTGCGGTGATATCTGGGTTTTATACACACACACACACACACACACACACACACACACACACACACACACACACACACACACACACGCACACACACGCACACATCCCTGGGTCAAGCCCTTGTGGTGACAGTCAATTTTTTCTTCAGACTTTTCCGTTTACATCTTTCCCTCAAACCAATGAACACAAACATAAACTTATATAGATTTGCACGTGCGCACACGCACACACGCACACACACACACACACACACATACATGCACACACACACACATACACACACGCACCCACGCACAGACAAACAAATGCACACACACACATAGGAAGATAAAACACTTTATGGCGCTATCATACGGTGCATAACTAATCAAATCATCTGGAGGATGCCCAACAATACGAAATTCAGTAATCATGTCATTTTAAAGTCATGGTGCAGTTCACAGCACTGACTGATACTTCAGTAATTGAAATTGTTCTTTTGCAAAATACGCTACATGCATATTGTGGATATTTGGAAGCAGCTCCACATGTTTATGTGTTTCTACTAACGTTTCTTTTGCTCCTCAGCCACAATGATAAACATAGTGACAACAGATGTGGAGGTTCCTCAGTCACAGTCGTACGGCTATTGACCAAAAACAGTGGTTCTTCAGCCACATTACACGCAAGTGTATTGTTTGGTTGACAGACACGGAAAACCACATATTGTGCGTACGTACACATCACGTTTAAAACATATAGGCTATTATTATCATCAGGTTCAGCCTGATTGTATCAGGAATGCCGATTTAGTGGTTAAGTAGCCGACCTCGATACAAGACTTACTGACTGCCATCACTGTTGCGCTAGGTGTCACCAACACACCAAATATATCTGCTTGGTCCTCAACCGCCATATTGAAGCGACGTTGCAGCTCATCAGCATTATCTTCACCGACAACCAGTATTTGCAAGTCCATTTCAACAATTATGGAGCCAGTCCTGCAACAAGAAAGAGAATCAAAACACATTTCAAGCATCATTCAAGAGAGACGGAAAACTTAATCCTGAGCTCATTCACTCCCGCTGGCATACGCAAGGATAGTTGGCGCAGGTGTATGGTATAAGCCCACTGAGAAGATTAGCTACAAAATGCAACAGTAGACTACGGATAGGGTGTCAGAACTCTCAGTTTTGCACAATAGAGAGAGAGAGAGAGAAAGAGTGAGAGAGAGAGAGTGTGAGAGAGAGTGAGTGTGTGTGTGTGTGTGTGTGAGAGAGAGAGAGAGAGAGAGAGAGAGAGAGAGAGAGAGAGAGAGAGAGAGAGAGAGAGAGAGAGAGAGAGAGAGAGAGAGAGAGAGAGAGAGAGAGAGAGAGAGAGAGAGAGAGAGAGAGAGAGAGAGAGAGAGAGAGAGAGAGAGAGAGAGAGAGAGAGGAAGCTGTGTTGCGACTCCGAGATATTTTTATTTTAGTTTATGGCACATAATAATACATAGCCAATACAAGAAAGGGAGGGTGAATCCAACCACGGAAAATAGCATTAACAAAAGAAGAAAACGAAGGCAGGTGACCCCATGTGTCAACAGCAGGTAGCACAATACAGTACTATTTTAGCTGAAATGCAAAATGCAACAGCGAATATCATAAGAGAGTTTGAGCCAAAATGCGTAAGCTATAAAGACAGGTGATTTGATCATTAGGGACAATCGAGGGGAAGGTAATGATACCTGGTGTCTTGTATTTCTCTTTCGCTGGAACCAATCATATTTCTTGAAGTGCCTGGGAATCTGCTTAACATAGATTTTCTGAACGAGTGTACACAGGTGTGATAGGCGTCTATCAGCAAGTGGAGAGGAGGCTACGAGAGAGTATATATGCTTACTGTTATGCATGAGGGATTTTCCAAATAGCCGTTTAATTATTTTCTATGGTGAATTTCAAGCTTGGAAACAGCAGCTGCACTAAGACCTGACCATGTTACGTCAGCGTAATCAAATAAAGGCAGAATATAGCATCGGTAGAATAGAATCTTGCAACTGTTTGGGAGATGGGAAAAATGAGAGAGCAAGGCTCCAAGAGCAGAGCTGGTACGCCAACGCACAGAATTCATATGTTCTGACCACGAAAGAGCAGAATCAATCACTACTCCTAGATGTTTGTGACTGCTCACCATCTCAATAGGCTGGGGAGATCCTGGGAAATACAACGCAATGTTATCTGCCTACACACAGCCGATGATAATGGCCTTGGTTTTGTTGAGATTGGGGGATAGGTGCCAGCGTCGCAGCCAGGACACGACCTTTTCTATGTCCAGCTGTAGAGATAGGTGAAGTTGCTGAAGACGTGAAGTGAGGCTTCGAATTTCATGAGTGCAGTATCGAAGCCTCACTGAGATGCATGCTGTCACGACTTTGTTTCATGCGCATAGCACAATCATCAGACGACATGGTGGGTAGCATTGACCATGTCAGGAGATATTATGTCTTTTATAAGCAAATTGCAAGTGACGCTTAAAGCTTGATGTTACAAATCAACTTCATAGAATATTGTTGTTCACAAAACTTCTAGCAAGCAACAGGAATGTCAAGAATCGATACTGTAGCTTACCTAATATGGAACGGATTCTCAGGAATTGAATCGAGAAAGAACACCTCATTAAGGTTGGTATTACTGAGGAAAAGCTCTTCCACCTGCATTGAGGAAAACAGAACCATTTAAATGAATTGTTGCAAGGGCGCAAAAATAAGTTAACACAGAAGGCGCATGCACCGCGCCGGACACAACACAGTTTGCTGCATTACGTTCAAGGAACTCTACCCGATCTGTGTGGCATGCGCTACCTGGGGCCAAAAGTGGAGCCGCATGCGCATCTGTTTCCACTCGGACAACACTGCAGTGGTTGCTGTCGTGGCATCTGGCACCAGCAAGTGTCCTAATGTGATGGCACTTCTCCGACAGCTTTTCTTCATCTGTACGAAGGGCAACTTCATGATTACTGCACGCCACATCCCTGGCGTCACCAACGTGCGTGCTGATGCCTTATCCCGCCAGGAGCTCCTCTGGTTCCGCAACCTCCACCCGACAGCCAACCGGAACCCATCTGACCCAAGACGCCTTCCATCCCTTCCTGAGACAGCGTCAGCACCTTGTGCCTCCTCGTGATGGAAGTCTGCCCATCTCTCAGCCGGTAAACTGTAATACCCCGAACTGAGATCTCTGACCACGTTGACAGCTCTGCTGTCATTTTCTGTCCCGGCACTCTGCTGTACCCCAACCTTCTTTCTTGCCCATTGCCTTATCACACTAGGCAACTATTGCACAATCTCTGGTGTCGTAGTGGGAATAGGATGCTTTATCAATTTGGGGAGTCAATCTCGCTCACCAGGCTCATCCTGCCAGTGCGGCTCACACAGCCCACCCGGCTCTCAAAAGATGTGACAGGGTCACTCACCTTGCCGCCAACATAAAGATGCGGCCAGGGTCACTTACCCTGCTGCCACTAAAAATAATACTCACTGCGAGCCTGGCAAACAGCGATTGACAAACCCCTCCTATCCCCACAACTCAATGCTCTCAATGCTATGTAGTGTGCATGCAGATGGGTGTGTTAAATGACTTTTTGCGAGCACGCAAAAATAAGTTAACACAGAAGGCGCATGCGCTGTGCCGGACACTTCACAGATTGCTTCTTGCTCAGATTTGCATGGCTGACTGGTGACTCTCTTCAAAGCCCACCCTCCTATACCCTCTGCTTCTTTTCTGCTGTGCTGCACCATGCTGAGGCACATCTTCACCTTCCTCTTGGTATCACAATAACCAACATTCAACATCACATCTCTTCAGTTTAAATAACTGAATAAAGAGGGGAGTCAATCTCGCTCACCAGGCTCATCCTGCCAGTGCGGCTCACACAGCCCACCCGGCTCTCAAAAGATGCGACAGGGTCGCTCACCGTGCCGCCAACATAAAGATGCGGCCAGGATCACTCACCCTGCAGCCACTAAAAATAATACTCACTGCGAGCCTGGCAAACAGCGATTGACAAACCACTCCTATCCCCACAACTCAATGCTCTCAATGCTGTGTAGTGTGCATGCAGATGGGTGTGTTAACTTAAATTAATGAAAAGCCGGGTTTAAAACGAGTCACATGGTGTCGACCAAGTAAGTTCTACTGTCTGCATAATATTATTACACAATAATTATGTAGAATGTCCACCCACAAAGGGGAGAAAGTAGCAGCTTTCAATTCTTATGATTTGTTTATAATTCACAATCCCACCCGGTCTATGTGGTGATTTGTGAATGAAGAAGCAGTTGTGGGAGTGTGGGGTTCAGCCAACAGCCACTTCACTGACAGGGTGTAAGTAGAGTATTTTGTGCAGTCGGTATCTTCTATGCCAAAGTATTAGTTCGGATGCTCTCCGCATGAGGATGGCTGTCATTCTACGTGCTGCAGTCCTGGTGCTACTTGGCAGTCTGCTAGTCCCTAGTGGCGGTCATGGTGCAGCTACCGTGGAAGTGCGTGATGAGATCAGATCCATGGGTGCCAATGTTAAGAGTATTATTGACTATCTGACATCCGGCAAAGGACAGCATCAGGTGTACGATCGCTTGGCAAAGTTCACGGATACGTTTGGAAATCGCTTAGCCGGCACAGCAAACCTTGAGAATGCCATTGATTACATGCTGGACACAATGAAGGCAGGTGGTCTGGATAATGTTCATGGCGAGAGAGAGCAGGTCCCTCTCTGGGTGCGCGGCAAGGAGTCTGCTACTCTTCTTGAACCACGCGGACCCAGCACACACGTGCCAAAAGGGGCACATACCCTCCAAACGGGCAGGGACAACACAACTGTTGCATTCAATCCCCAGAAAAAAATGAGTTTGCGTTTGATTAGGGAATTGTCGGCTGGAGAGTGCATGCTCCGGTGGTGGTAAAAGCGCATGCAGTGGCCGTGGGAATGCGGATAGTGCATGCAGTGGTGGTGGGAATGTGGACAGTGCATGCAGTGGTGGTGGGAATGTGAGGTTTTGCGGAAAATAGTCACAGGACCATCATACCTTCGGTGAAAACACTCTGTTCCCAACGCAGAGCAAGAAAAACGACATTCTGACACCAGACGCATCACACGGCTATCATCTAATCATGGGCAACTGATGTGTTGTGGGAACTGGCCAATATGCAAGTAAGCATTATTCCTTTTGTTCTGACAAGGCTTGCCAATACAGAAGTGTGTTGACTCAAAACAGATGTTATGCAAACAGATCCTCAACCACCAAAGCAAGAAAAATATAAAAACTGCTCTACTCACAGCGTCAGTAACATCTTCTCTGAGGTCCATGTGTTGCTGCGTCCCAACGATAGTCACGTTTTCATCCGGGTCCTCTACATCAAAATTTAGATTGAGGACGTGCAGCTGCAGAGCTGGAAGAAACGACAGAAGGATTTACACTCTGTATCAGTTCTCAGGTCAAGCTGACCCATTGAAAATTAGCCATAGCCCAGTTATCGAGCAACTACAGCAATCATAATTTATACAAAAGAGAAAGACCAAGGAACTACAAGTTACGCTAGACTGTCCACTAACACCACCAGTTACTAAACAATCAGCTCATGCGATAACATTGCACGGCACTGACCGACGGTACTGATGTTCTACAACTAACTGCCTAACAGCTCTAGCACATCTTGGAAGGTTCTAAGTTAAAGAAATAACATAAGGAGGGGAAGGTGTTCGTATCCAAGATGTGCTAGAACTGTTAGCCAGCTAGTTGTAGAACGTCAGTACCGTCGGTCAGTGTCGTGCAATGTTATCGCATGAGCTGATTGTTTAGTAACTGGTGGTGTTAGTGGACAGAATAGCGTAACTTGTAGCTCCTGGATCTTTCTCTTTTGTATAAATTAAACCTTGGCTCTCCATCTGAGTCCATTCCAGCAATCATAATAGTTGTGATAGTGTCTATTAACTTGGCTTCACACTGTTGACAGATGCGTCAACTCTGCTCCTCTCTAACATGTTCAGCGAAGATGCGAGCTGTGTGTATTATTATTATTATTATTATTATTATTATTATTATTATTATTATTATTATTATTGTCTATTGTATGAAAGTGCATCTCCCTATGTGGAGATGGAGAAGTGTATGCTTCTCGTTGGCTGAATTTGAAATAAACGAGAAGCATTGTTCTTTCGAATGACGAACATCTGCGATGCGTGTTTTCTGATTTGTTTTGTTTTGTTTTGTGTTTTTTCTATTTTATTTTATTTTTGATGCTGGTGTCATGGTAATGACACAGAAGGTCGCGCAAGCGCGGAAAAGCGCTTGCACAGTTTGAATCAGTCTCTTTTTTGTCTTGCATTGCAAGGGCCCATCCATCCACCCTTGTGTTTGCCATACTAATATAATTACAATGTGCGGTGCCAGCTGTTGGCAGTCTTGTTTTGTTTTTTGTTTTGTTTCGTTTTTTGCTGTTGTTGTTACTGGTTAGGGATCAGTACCTTCCTATTCCATAGAATTTTATCGATGTTACCCTTGAAGAATAATGCAATATGGCTGCCCGCAGCTAACCCTGAACTTGTTATGGCTGATGTGAGGTATGAGAAAGAACACAATAGGAACAAAAGACAAGTGGACAGCAAAGAACATGTGGGTGCTACAAAAGCTATGCAGTACGGATGGAATGAATAGTAGAATATTCAAATTCATTTGATTTATAAGCGCTTCAAGATTATGAAAACAGGAAAGAAGGTTGGGATCAGGTTGATAGTGGTCATTTATGGACCCTTATTGTCACATTGCACATTTCCTCTTGAAGGAATTTCAGTACTGCTCTACGGAGTGAAATTGCGTTTGCTCAGGTTTTGATAGGTCACTTCTTGATCTTTATCCAAAACTTAGAAAATCAAGATCACTTACCTCTGACTTCTACTATTATTGTCCTGCGCTCAATGAACACCTCTACACCATCTTCCTGCCTTGCTTGAGAGATTTCACAAGTCCATGTGCCACTATTTCTACGACGAACGTTTGGTACAGTGATTGTCGACGGCCACGAATCAAGCACCTCACGTCGTCTTTCCTGCTCTTCGTTTTGCTCCTGCGTGCTAGTAATCTCCGATCTCAGCACTCCATCTTGAAACCAACGAACCGTGGCTACTGGATGTCCCTGGTGTACACACGCCAACTGTAGGGTACTGTCTTCGACTACAAGTAGGGTTTCGCCCATTTTGGGAGGTGGCTCGATACGCAGTAGTTGTGCGCGACCTACAGCAAAAATAAAACCAGGGAAGAAAGATTCATAAATCAGAGAAGGATGATCTGCCCTTCTGGGTACTGGACATTGGGTGATCCGGAGACCAACTCTACTGTCTAAATCGGAGTAGGCAACTCCCGGAGAAGGGTGCACTGAGAAATATTTGCCTCTGGTGAAGGCCACCAGAAGATTAAGGTCAAAGGAACATAACTATTTTCCTCGTGTGTCCTTACACACGTCTGTGTGTGTGTGTGTGTGAGAGAGAGAGAGAGAGAGAGAGAGAGAGAGAGGCAGACAGGCAAAAGTTAGGTCAATACTGGTTGTTATAGGCATCGTGTTATAGGCATCATGTTAGGGCCACTCCTGGCCTCCAATGAGATGCAAGCGTGCATGAACATTTAAACAAAGCAACGCTGAAGAGACTTAAAAAAATGTCTAAACAGCCACTTTTAAAGTAGCTATGTGATTAAGTACACATAACAGTAAAACACACAAGTTTTACTATGGCGGGAAATTTTGTTTCATTGTACCTGTGAGTTGATGACAATTGAATAGGGCCACTCATCTGACAACTCTGCTTGGCTACAGTGTAACCAATGTACATGTACTTGCATGATTTCTTACACAGTAACGGTAAACTTACGGTGACACGTGACATCAGGTGGTGTCCACGGTGGATTCTCCTCCAGTGCTATCCATGTTCCTTCTGTTGGTCTCACAGTGTGCTCATAACCCGGATCAGTGCATTTCAGTGTGCCACTGCCAGTGAAGCCTCCATCACATGTGTACTGAACTTCATTGTCATAAAATAGACCGTTTAGTGAGCCGATCTGTGTTGTGATGTTGTCAGCAAAATACACGGTCGGCAGAGCTGGGCAAGGAATGGCTGCAATAGACAGGTTAAACAAAGAAAAGCCGGATTGATACTTCTATGTAAAGCAGCATTGTCTACGAATTAATTTCGCTCGAAGCTTCTGGTAAGATCAGGAGGATCCTGCTTAACTACTGAATGCAGACCAAACATATTGAAGTTTGTGTCATTGTCAAACCCATACATGAAAAAGAACTAACAGTCACCCCCCAATGCAAATTTCAAGCAAAACAACGACGGTATCACACAAACAACAGGCGCGTCGCACCGGCTTTGGAGGTGGGCGGCCATGGAAGGGGGGGGGGGGTCCGGGGGTCGTCCCCCGGGAAAAAATTTCAAAAATTGAAGCCAATTGCAAGCATTTCCGGGCATTTGGTGCCATTTCAGTGTACGGTAACTACAATGAAAGACTTTTTGATTCTGCAAAAAACCAAGAAGATGCTACGATCGGGGACAAACATTATTGTATTGTATTGTATTTATTTAAAAGGATTCTCCAAAAGCAAATGGATGCTTATCACGGAAGTCTCCCACATAAATATCGCAAGAAAAATGGGGAAATGGGGGAGAGGAGAGTGGAAGATGAAGCATGGGAAGAAGGGAAACAAGTACCTAAAATATCGAGGTATAAAAGCAGGAAAGAAATCGACGAGGGAAGAAATCACCTCTGCAGATAATAGCGGGACATTTAGATGAAAAAAACCCAGCAAGGATTAATTTTAAGGAAAAAAATTCTCAAACGGAAAAGTTCGGAATTCCAGTCAGAGAATATCTATGCTGTGAGTAATGAGCCTTTAGAGCAATGCGAAAATTGACAGAGGACTGAACGCAGCGGATGTGTTCTGGAAGTTTGTTCCATTCCACAGATAAACTGAAGAGAGGGGATTGAAATGGGCGCCAGAACGAGGTAAAACTATAGAGGACGGGTGACGACAACTAAGGGATACATTGAATTTGAAACGAATTAGCAAAGACGGAAACTGGTAAAAGACATGATGAAAATACAGCAAGGACAGAATCTGACGACGCCACTTCAGGGATGACCAGTCACAAGTACGATTAAGAATCTGCTTCGGGGTTTCCCACTCAGGAGGGTGCCGGGTCTTACAAAGCAGATATGAACGAGCAGCAACGGCTTGCAGTCGGTCTAACGTAAGCGAATCTGAATGGGATACGGCGAATGACCAGACAGGGACTGCGTATTCTAACAGTGGTCGTACGTAACACTTGTAGAGCAAATTCACGGTTGAAGCAGAAAGGAAATGGGCCATATGGCGCAACAGAAAAACACGACTGCGAAACTTATGGGTGATAGATTTTATATGGTCAGAAAAATTTAGTGAAGGAGTGATAGTCACGCCGAGATGACAGTGGCTATCACCTTTCTGAATAGGCACACCGTTCATTGTCAAGGGGGATGACGGGCCGGGGGCTAATGCATATTTTTGAAAGGGTAGGTGGACGCATTTACTGGTGTTAAACGTCATGGCAGTAGCTGATGACCATTGACAACACTTATCAATGTCAGTCTGGAGCAATGCATGATGGATAGGAAGTGAGGTGTTTGCTGGAGAAACAAGAATTAAATTAGAGTCATCAGCAAAAAGGGATAGGGTACTAGAAGCAGGGGCATCAGGAAAGGAGTTGATGCACAGGTTAAAAAGAAGCGGGCCGAGATGGGAACCTTGGGGTACGCCAGCGGTGATGGGCAAAGGGTTAGAAAGAGTTTGGCCAATGCGAACGCAAATACTACGATCAATGATGAAGTCCTTCACCCAAGAACAGGCAGAAAGAGAACACCAACCTGAAACAGATTGAATAACTAAATGATGACTAACTCTGTCAAAGGCCTTAGAAAAATCAAGGAACAGCTGGTCACAAGAAGACTTAGAGTCAAATGCACGCGAAACAATTGAGGTAAGCTGTACCAATTGGTCAACTGTTGACCTCTTTCGACAAAAGCCAAACTGGCTGGAACTGATAATTTTATGGCTCTCAACAAACGAGTAAAACTGACGGCTAATCATAGACTCATACAATTTGGCAACTGCATTTAACAGCGATATAGGACGGTAATTGACTGGGTGAGAAGGATTACCTTTTCCCTTGAACACAGGTACAACAACGGCAGATTTCCACTCCCTGGGCTGAGTACTGGACAGCAAGCAGCGGTTGAAAAGGGCGGAAAGAGACTGTGACGTGACCTCAGCTGTTTCACGGAGGATGCGAGTGTTCAGCAGTCCAGCGGTTTTACGTTGAATGGGAAGTCTGGATAGCGTGTCAAATACGGACTGCACAGAGAATGGTTGTATGGAGAACTTCACAGTGGACGTGGGTGTTAAAATACCAGCTGAGTGCAGGTCAGGTGTTAGCAGTGGCGCCTGGCTGTAGCTCGCAAACACTTTGGCTAGGAGATTCGTCTTTTCCGTATTACTCGTGGCTGGGTAGGCTTGGTTGTCATGGTAGAGGTCAGGGATAACCGGAGACGGGCGATTCACATTACAAAGGATCTTTGCTTTGCGCCACCATGTACGGGTTCCATGATGCTGAGCCATGTCTCTCGCCATCCTCTCGTGATAATGGCGTCTCGCCTTCCGGAGCAAGGAAGTAAGACAGTTACGTGAGAGTCTATACGCTATCCAACTATCTGTAGATCCGAGACGTTTGGCCTTGGCGAAGAGGCGATCCCGAAGCCGCCTCTGACGATGGTGAACAGCAGAGTACCAAGGCTTGTTCGATGGAAATGTGCTTCTCCGGACAACGGGAACAAACAACGATACAGAGTCTTCCAGCGCTGTGCGCCACAATGACCAGGCCTCATCAACTGTTTGCGCATTTTGGACGGCATCTAGCAAGGGTAGTTGCCACACGTGGTTGTTAAATGCTTGCCAGTCCGTGTGGGCAAAGTCGAGCCAGGTGTTTTGTGCAGAAGATATTTGGGCTGTGGAGCCTGCTGATCGGTTGTGGACGACATCGAAAACTACAGGACAGTGATCAGATACCGGTGGGAGGATGGTGAGATGGGAGACTGCTATTGGAGCATATGTGATAACTAGGTCGAGTAGTGATGAACTCTTACCACTTGCGGAGTAGCGGGTAGGCTGTTGATCCACAAGTTGCGATAAGCCCAGATCATCCAGGGTGTCATACATGCATGTACCAGCAGGTGTATCAGGATCGGATGCTAGCCATTTCGAGAGGCGAGCGTTAAAGTCGCCAATGACAAATATGGAAGCTTGAGGACAAGATATTGATTGAATGCAGGTCCGGAGTGCGCTGCAGAACTGATCAGGTGGCTGCCAAGGAGGACGGTAACAACAGAACACAAACGTGGAGTTGGGGCGATGCTCTAGCTCTCATTACCCTCCCCCTGGAAAAAATTCAAAAATTGAAGCCAATTGCAAGCATTCCCAGGCCTTTGGTGCCATTTCAGTGTACATTGACTTTTGATTCTGCAACAAACCATGATCGGGGACAAGGATTTGCCACGTTTGCGTTGAGATCATCGCGCTTTGTTGCAGTGTGCTAAAAAAAAACACCGAAAAAGTGGGGCGGCCATGGCTGCCCGGCCGGTGCAGGTCCGACGCCCTTGAACAATGACGGCATTTGAAAACATGGAACACTCAGTATTAGCAGGCACTGTCACTACCTATTCACTAGATCACTTACGACTACATGGAGGTTCAGGATGTGACCAGCTTTCATTCGCTAGGCACTCTGTTAATTTTGCTCAAAGCTACTGGTGCGATCAGGAGGATGCTGCTTGACTACTGAATGCAGACCGAACATAACGAAATTATTCAGACTACATCATACGGTTTGTGTCTTTGTCAAACTCACACTTGAAATAGAACTTACAGTGAACCCGGCCCCAAACAGGCAAGGTATCACAAACATGACGACATTTGAAAACATGAAATTCTCAGTACAAACAGGCATTGTCACTACCTATTCACTAGATCACTTACGACTACATGGAGGTTCAGGATGTGACCAGCTTTCATTCGATAAGCACTCTGTTACATTGCTCTCGCCCTGTTCAAGACGATGCCCGCGATTACAGTCAAAGAAGAATCGATTTGTGTAGGAGAAGTTCGTCCGGTATGCCTCCTCAAATCCGTCATGCAGTTGCTGGATGTCACTCAGCGGGTATGCTGGATTCGTGAAGTTGAGCTTGTACAGATCGCTGTTGTTCCGCGGCATTAGAATTGAGCAATTCCGTCCTGTAGTACACACCAGTGAAGAAATAGCATAAAACAGCCGGTGGTGATCAGCTGTGAAACGCATGTTGCATTGGCCTAGACTATCCCCATGTATTTCTTATTGCACTGATTAAGTGTTCACCACGAGAACAACAAAGACACAGTCATTGCTGCAACTGTCCTCATTAGGTCTTAAGGTATATCCTTACTTGACTACACGAAACCATAATTATGATATTGTTGAATAAGAGAAAGGACGACTGACGACATATCCAGACATAACAACGGGAACAGGTAGGTTGAGAGTCATTGCTACCCGACCAGCGAGAGCAATGAGACAAGGTGTGAGCTTTAGATTGCTGCAGGATCTCTTCACTTATATTCATCTGTTGGGAGTGACGGCGATGATCCCGATGGGCACGTTTCGACCCGGTGGGTGGAAACGACGGCCGAAGCTGGTCAAACCATCGGAGGAGGTACCTAACAATATGAATCATCAACAATAATGGAGCTAGAGTGTGCCAGTACATGTCATACTTACGAAAGCAGTGGTGTATTTCACCATCCAGCATACCATTGGCCAGACACAAGCGGCTGGAGTTTGTCAGATTGCGCGGATGAGCATAGCCTTCGAGACACTCGAATGTCGCCATAGATAGGTAGCGAAATCTATCAGGACCGACCATGTCTCGAGGGAAGAAGAAATTATCTCGTTCCGTTATAGTGAGTGTTTCATCTGGATCAGTGAGGTTACTGGAGATCTGTGTGGCGTACCATCCTGGTCCAGGGTAGGTGCAGTTCACAACTATGTTGTACGCACACACGATACGCAACAAGCAAAGATCAACAGGGTCAAGGCAACTCAATGCCATTAGCCTTCTTTTGGATAGTTCTGGCAGGAACCTAGGGAGATAGGAGTCGGAGTCAAGGATTTTGGGGACAAAGAAATATCTGAAAAAGAAATGGATAATTATCATATTTAGCTAGTAGGTCCTTATGCAATTGTGTTTTTAACGGATATGAAATTAATCCTGTAAAATGGCAGCATCAGAAAGCACTTCCCGGACCTTTGCATACTGACCAATGCCTTTTGGCAGACCTTCCATCGATTTAGTGATATAAGTCCAACAGACTGCAACTGAAATAACATTGTATTTATAAGTCAACTGAAAGATAGTTTGCCCTGGTGAACTCTTGAACATGCATGTATGTCACGTACCTCTGTATATCTGGTGAACATTGTTATAGGCTCATATGCAATGCGGCTTACAGTGTATTGGGCAAGATTCGACCACAGATTTCACAAAATCAATGCTACAGTACATGTTTCAGTGACAAATTAATATTCATTTCAAACTCGTACGGCGAACAATACTTCAACATGTCCGTAAAAGATTCATGGGTACAAGTACGGTAAGTTGGTAGCACCGCAAAAGAATGGCAGTTAGCTATAAAGATATTAAAGCCATTGGGCTAAGTACACTACAAACACAGCTCCACCTCACACTGCAATCCACTTCTGTTTGTGTCACCCTGTCCCAACACTATCAATCCTCCAAGGGACACAATCGGATATTTCACAGCATACTTTCAGTTAAATAAGGGGGGGGGGGGGGGTTGTCAACTGACAACCGCTCTATTTAGTTGCTATTCACTCTTTAGATGAAAATTCTTTTATTAATTATTATTATTATTCGGGCGAATGAAGTTGAAGACACCACTGCAGCTGTACTTATGGTTAAATATGGTTGTAAAGACACACCTGGCAATATGGCGGTAAACACACGCCTGCCAATTATTATTATTATTATTATTATTACACAGCTTCGCGTAATGGAGATACGGTAGATAAATACAAAGTAAAAACATACCATGTCCTGTTCCGCCTCTGTGTTTCTTCAGCAAGATGGCAAAAGCACACACGCACTAACAATCTAACCAGATGAAAAAAAGCAGATGAAAAGAAGCTAGTCGCAGACTGCTGCAGGCCTTCGTCCTAGTTAGTTTTTGGGATTCCATATTCCATAAACTCTTCCATTCCCGACGATCTTGCGCCAACTGGCGTAGTTTGGCCAAGTCGGTTGTCGACTTCATTGGAATTCCTTTGACTTCAACTTTTACAGTACATCAAAGCCATGGCTAGAACAATCCCTCCCAGTGATCACCAATACCCTCCAAGATTGGTCACTGAAAGTCAATCCGTCAAAAACTGAGTGGGTGCACATCTCATGCAACAATGACGCATGGAAAAAGATCAAGCAGCTCGGATCGCTTATGGGTGCAAGAGAGAACCTAGACAGGCGTCTCCAACTTGCAGCTTGTGCATATCGCAATATGTACACTCTCTGGTTGAGATGCACACACGTCGGAAAATACCGTCGATTACAGCTGTCCAAAGCCTTCGTGCTGCCAACCATTCTGTACAAATGCTGCACGTGGGGGTTCACCGAAGCTGAATCGCAGAAACTGGATGTGTTCCACAGAAGGCAGCTGCGGAATCTACTTGGGATAGTGTATCCCAACACCATCTCGAACGATGAGCTCTATCGACAATGCAGCAGTTCGCCCCTCTCGGCAACCGTGAAAAGCCGTCGAATGGCCATGCTTGGCCATGTACTCCGCATGGATCCTGACACACCACCTCAAAAAGCGATGCAGCTTTACGTCAGCCTACAAACTGCTATTCGGAGGGGAAGACCAACAACCACACTGGCGATTACAATTTGGAAAGAGCATGAAGTCAAAGGAATTCCAATGAAGTCGACAACCGGACCGGACAGGCTCTTTCTCTCGTTGTCCTGGCTCGGATCACGCTGGCTGTGGAGAACTTCCTCGGTCCGAGTCAATCGGGCTTCTGGAGAGGCCGGAGCACTGCAGATGTGGTGTGGGCGCAGCGGTGGCTGTCGGATGCCGCGGTGCAGGGGGATTGGAGTTACCACATGCTAGGCCTGGACATGAGCCGTGCCTTCGACACGATCGACAGAGCCAAGCTGCTCAATGTCATGCAGCGGATTACAGGCACAGATGAAGTTCAGCTTATTCGTCTTCTTCTTGATAATACCCATCTGTTTGTTCGAGTGGGCTGCGCTCTGTCCAAACCGCTCCAGAACCAGCTTGGCACACCGCAGGGTGATGGATTGAGCCCGGTTCTCTTCACTTGCTATCTTTTATTAATGATGTTGAAAAATTATTAACAATTTTTCGACATCATTAATAATAGAACTCTTCCTCTCCTCTCCTCCATTTGAAATTGATCAAAAAAATTTCATCTAAAGAGTGAATAGCAACTAAATAGAGCGGCTGTCAGTTGACAAACCCCCTTTTATATACAATGCAGTTGCTTGATGTCCACCACTTTCTGCCTGTACATTACTTACAGTTACAGACGGGTCTCAATCCAGTATACGTCCTATCAGGCAGGCATTCTCGTCGTAGATTTCCAGATGTTATATTGTATCCAGTATGGCAGTCATAGCTGATCAGAAAAGAGCAGTTCAGCGAACTGCTGTTAAATAGTAGTGGAGACTCAGCAGGTCTCTCCAACGAAAAGTTGCTCCTGGGAACAGTAGCATTCTCCAAGCTGCAGCTCACAACTGAAGAACAGCACAGTATCTTGATCAGATGAAACTCCAAGCAAGAACATGACAGCGGGGCACGGTGAAAAGTCCTATGCACTTATTTTATCTTCTTGCACGTGAAAAGAGATAGATTTCTTCAGCTAGCATCTAGATAGAAAGCTACATAAAATAGACTCTTGGTCGTAAGCTACGTAGAGATATACAAAGAGGCAGCCGAGTGAGCGCCAAACCTCTACAACAGTTCAAAGTTGTCTGCAACATTAAGCATGAAGGTCCTTGAAGCCTGCAGTTAGCAGTCGTTAGCCTTTATTGGCTGAGCAAACAACCACTTGCAAATACGTGGCGCGATACGAAAATGGACCCAAACTGCAGTTTCTTACACAGACAGTCCCCTATAACCCCAGAGCTTTTGAAGCATGGATGGCATTCACAGGTCTAGCTACCAAACGTGACCGGACACAAAAATGAACCAAAAATAAAGTTTCTTACTCGGGCAGTCTCCGATAAACCCAGAGCCTTTGAAGCAGGGAAGGCATTTACAGGTGAAGCTACCAAACGTGTTGTTGCAGATAGCATTCGGGTCACACATATGTGTGCCTTCAGCACATTCATTGATATCTGAAAGAGATCATCCCAGATATATATGGATTAGAAATTAGCCTCGGTACCTAGCCTCAGCCTCGGTAGGCTGATCTAGTGCTGCTGCATTACGCATTGCTCTGGCGCTAGAGCGACGGGCTATCGGAATGTCTGTGGTGCCTCCTTTGCACCATGGCTGGTAGCTCGGTTTGCTTAGAGCTCGTAGCTGTAGTGATGAGGTATTTATGGCCGAAACAGCTTGCTGCCTGCAGCATTGGATTAGAAATTACTTCAGTCGAAAGCCATTAAATTTGGACGGTAGAACATGAGGGCAGTGAATGTTTCAGGGGTCGACCTCGGACAACTTTGGTAACGGTCTTGAAGACGGAATTGTCATCATGGCATGGACTTACCCTCTACCAGCCGCAAGATGCTGAATCAATCCGCTCAATGGCAACAGACCGACAGGCATGCCCGCCCCACCTAACCGGACTAATTCTCGTGATTCACGTGATTCTGCCAGACATGTTGTACGTATATTCTATTCTATACTTTCGATTAAATTTTCCAATGGTCCGATTGGTATTGTTGCTAACGGCTTTTGTTGACGTCATTTCTGTCATTTCATTGTATTGTATTACTCTTCAGACATCAATCCTGAATAGCATAAGCGAAAGTAGCAACCCCCGCCACCTACGCAGACATGCTTCTAATAATAATAAATAATAGGAGAACATGTCCATGTTAAAACTAGACTCAGTTTTTGGTGGCAAAGAAGGCATTGTTATCACAAGTTAATCCCAGATGGAAAACGCAGCATCAAGAAACTGGCATACGCACAAGAATTGTTATTGAAACTGCTTATTTCGCTACCGATGTCTTGTCCTCTCTCTCATATGGCGATCTGTAAAGGATTCCATACCCTCAGCTATGATTCTACTCTAGGCAAAGACGCAGCAAACATTGTGGAAATTCTGGAACATTGTCACCAATGCAAAGCAACATCACCCTACCTTCACATTCAAAATCCACACCATCCCAGGTGATGCTGCTTCTATCCGGAGATTGAACGGTGCAGTTGCGAAGGTTTGTAACTAGGCTGGACGCGTTGCGTCGAAATCCTTGCAGACAGTCAAATTCAATGGTTGTACGGTACTGGTAGTCAAACTGTTCGGTCGTAACTTGGACTGAAGTTGATGTGTTAAAACCCGGTCTGGTGCAATTCATGACTTCACGAGAAACACACAGGCACAAATCACAGAAGCCAAGCGTCTTTACAGCCAGAGCCCTACTAAAAAAGGGCAGCAATTTTTTCAAATATTCTGCAATTGCTTAGCCCCCAACTGATTAAATTTGTCACATCTCCTGGCAATGCAGTATCTTCACACTGGACTGACTATTTCTCAAAATGCGAAGACTCCACTGTAGCGATCCACTATAATTATATGGATTATTATGATAAACAGTGAAAAGCAGCGCTTCGTATAAGCTGAGCGGGGGAAAACGCTTACTTTGACATTGCGGAGTGTTCCTGTCCCAAGTTTCGTTGGCTTGACAACGCAGAGTCTCATTGACAAGGTCACTAGTCAGAATGTACCCATCCTCACAGCTCAGCATCACTGTATTGTTGTAGGTGAAGTTCCTGCCAGGCATGTAACGTATGCCCGCTCTGGTTTCGAAGACACTTGTGAAGGTGTTATTATACACAATGGGATAGCCATCGCGGAGAAAACTGATAGCACTGAATCCCTGGTCGGTGCAAATCGCCACTAGAAATCGGAAATCATACAGAAAAGTACAGACATACAATCATCAAACACTGTGTTGCACACAAACGAGATACCTGGTTTCTGGTACTCCAAAGTATGCAGAACCTAGTTCCGATTTATACCATGCTTGCATGCACAGATCATTGAAGCACCGAGCGAAGATAATAGTAGTTTCGTAACAGGAGCGCGGGCACAGGGTTGTGAGACTGATTACAGTTAGGAGCGCGGGCACAGGGTTGTGAGACTGATTACATCGGTGCTACTACTCCACAGAAACAGGCACTGTTCCCAAATTCACATCTCAACTCGTTCTGTTCGCAATATGTACACACCCATTACCAGTGCATGTGCCGCAAAACAGTTGTCAGTATCGTGATGATAGCTATTAACCGGGTAAGGGTGATCCGAATGAAGAACTCAAAGGACAGTACTGTGAACCCCACAGAAACCACTAGGATCATGAAATTGATTATTTATCCATAGGGAGTTTTCCCATGGTAATATTATTTCGATACTTGCATGAATTTTACACCGGCACAATGCAAATTTCATCGAATCAGCAACCACGAGCCAAAGCAAAACTCCACTGCTATACTTACAGTCACAGACCACGCCATCGCCAACAAATCCTTCATCACAAGTGCAATTGAATGAACCAATCGTGTTGGAACAGTCAGCAAACATTGAACAATTGTTCAGGTCAGGGCTGAACACGTTACATTCATCAATGTCTAAATGAAACATGGCAAAGTACAACAGTTTTGTGTGGTTGTCGTAATGACAAGCAGTAGAAAGAAGGTCTATATCTGCATGTACTGGGAAGGATTGATTTCACATCATTGCACACAGCAGTGAGGTGAGTGCAAAGACGGTAAAATAGGAACGTTAGCCATGAAGATACACATAGAGAAGGCTATGACCTTCGGCGGTCATTGCCCGAGGCGGTGATCGAGCTGCTAGAGCAGAAGCAGTTGAAATGTCTGCTGGAATTGGACCATTCAAAAGCTTGGTAGGCTGCAAATTTGACAGCAACTCCTCAGCCTGACCTACACCACACAATCTTTTACAGTGGTGTTTCTAGCTAGTGACCCCCCCCCCCCCTCCCAAACATACTTAGCTTGATACACACATATGCACACCTACACACATTCACACACACATACACTTACACACACATACACTTACACACACATACACTTACACACACATACACAAATGCATACATATTTTAATTTTGGAGTCCAAGAAAATACCTCCAGCAATGACTGCAATTGAACAACGGTACAATATCCTACCTTCACACCCCGGTTGATCGCCATCGAAATTACAGTTCATGTCTGGTGTACAGTCACATACCCTGGAGAAGGTACCCTCGACTTGTCTGTATCCAACATCACAATTATAGTTCAGCCGAGTGGAAAAGTTGTAAAATTCCAGTATCGGCATGGTAACTTGTAGTACCGGTGCTTGTATTACTGGTCGGGGACATGTCAGGACTGTGGGAAAATAAAATACAACATCCGGCTGTCATCATAATGGATTAGTCATTTGAGCCAGAGTCACTGTTTTACTGGCTTATCCGTCTTCACGAAAACTCCACCACCATCAAAAATCAAGGTGCATTAACAGCAGTAATACGAATTGATCACCAGTAGATGTTACCCATCGCCAAGGGGTCAAATACCAAGAGCTAATTCACTGCATCCAAGGGACCCTCGACCAAGCTACCAATAGACAGTGTTGCAGCACCGTGTGAAGAATCACAACTCCGCTTCCTAGCATGTACATGCAATTTGATAGCCACGGGAGCAGACCTGTGCCCAAGTCAATGCCTGCTCACGTCTATTGAACAGTGTAAGAAAAGAAACTGGGTCTCAATTAAACATAGTCTCCTCGCCATTTGTTCAATTAAACAAGTCCAGATTGCTATCAGCCATCTTGAAGGCTAGCATGATGTCATTCCACCTGCAAATGAACTCTACATCAAAGTGTCCATTTCTGTTCACTTCTTATTGTAATCCACGTAGTCTTTCTGCAGTGACGGCTAGACAAATTCGAATACCTGTGCATGTGGCGGGGGTGCCACTCCAGTTAGCAAAACGATCATCAAATGGATCGTTGCATGTCCGCACCAGACTGTCACTGCTGGCATTGAATCCACTGTTGCATTGAAACCTTAGAGTTGTATTCCATACGTACAAGTCTTGCACAGTTGACTCGGTTGGTACCACTCTCTCAGCATTCGCACCAACTTCTGGCTCCGTACAGTTCAGAACTGTCATCGGAAACAACGTAGAAGAGAACAAGTGAAAGAAATCTGATAGCAAACTTGCACTAGGACAGACCAAAAGTAGAAAGTATTGAGAACAAACATTCTTGAGGCTTCTTTCAGTTCTTTTGAATCAGAAAGGAGGAAGCGGTTGGATGAAAAATACAAAACCTATACAGGTATATAATAACAAACAATAAGAGGACAGAGGAAGTGTTTTAACTCTGAGTTTCACTCCCTATTAAAGCGATCATCAGAAAACAGTAAAAAAAATTGTTTTTAACTAGCTCTGCCTCTCGGTTTTGAGCGCTCTCTTGGACAGCCTGGAACCGCTCTGTTTTACAGGTATATAATAACTATGGGCCACTGCGAATCCTAGCCCATTTTATTATTCTTAGTACTTGGAAAGCTGTCAACGCTGCCCCATGGTCAAGTAATGCCAAGTACTCATGTACTTGTGGTGTCAGTTAAAGGAAAGGCAATTGGCTAGCTTTCAATGATACGTTTGCTGATAGCTTTGCAGCTGTGACAAGTAAACTAGTGTCCTGGGGTATGCTAGGGATACCGGTGTCCAGGTCTACAGCAATAGCTCAATATCAAAATTTCACGTATTAGTTTCGTGGAGGCAAAATTGTGCTACTCCGTCAACAACTGTATCCACTTAAAAGCCTTTTCCTGATCCACATTTTGAAGGACTTATGACCTTCTCAAGAACACAATAGAAAAAGTGCACTGAAACGTTAAAGGCAAACCCCGCATATCCCAGTAGGAGTGTAAGACGTACGTGTGCAAATGTCGTTGACCATGCCAAATCCGTGGTGGCAGTTGCATTGGAATCGCTCAGGCTGAGCTCTATTCACGCAATCTGAGTTAGCAGAGCAGTTATGAGTAGCAGCTGTGGTCTCATCTCCACATTCATTCTCATCTGAGAACACAAAAGAAACAGTGAAATGCTATATGGTTTTCTGGTTTATCTGTTGTGTTGGGTGAGTGTTGAAGTGTATGGCGCAAGTCCATCACAAGGCAAATTGATAGTAGAGAAAAATGTACGTTAAGTCTGTAAACAGATGCTATGAACACACTACTACATTTTACTCCCCCGAGAATAGATGGCGGCATGTTCACCTTATTCAATAGGTGGACTAGAGGGATTCTCAGCATCAAAACCCATGCAATCCAACACATCAGTGCCATGGATAGTGCCCAGTAGGACGTTTGAAACATTAACTTAACCGTTGCAGTCGACCTTGTACATGGGAGAACAGTACACACCGCCTCCATATATGACCATATCCCAACTAGTTGGTTTCCAAGATTCGAAGTTCCCTGTAACATGCAGACTCCTCTTTTGGAATGTAGGCCAATAGAATGCCGGAGTAAAACATTTGCCCACTTACTGTCACATGCCAAGGCTGTGTCATTCCACTGGCCCGTTTCAGTGCAGCGACGCACAACTGAGCCAATGCCCGTCTGCTCGAATTGAGGGTCTCCGGCTATGCACCGATAGCATGCAATGGTGTTGTAATCATTAGCAGCCAGAGCCAGGTTGACAGTGGTTAGCGTGGTCGTGTATGGACACACCGTCGTGAGCATACTATTGACAGTAACATGCAGGTCTGATGTGTTGCACTGCACCACTGAGCAATACACATAAAAAAGGCACAAAGAACAAGTTGTTAGGCTCCAGCAGAGAAAATATACCTAGAAAATGCGACAGAGGTCGGAGGCTGATAGTAATAATTATTTTCAACACAGTTCAGATCAGAAGCATCCACGCAATTGCACACATCCAGTCGAGCAGACACTTCTCATCACGATATCGAACGTTTTCGTTCAATTCTCTTCAAGTGACTTCTAGACAGGATGTGTGAAATAGCGTGGATGCTTGCGATCTAAAAGATGCGACAAGTAAAAAATTCTCGTATTACGGAGCTGGGAAAGGTACAAGTGTTGTCCCCTGAATCTCATCGCTGCACCTGAGCATTGTTTTCAAAAGTAACTCTCAACACAGTGACGGAAATGTCAACGGCCATATTTTCTGCTCGTCAGGCGAAATAGCACGTCATCGTACATTTGAGATCAGCGGGAAGAAGATGACGACGTCCACTAATTTAGTATCTGTGCACACGAATCTGCTGTGTGTGTGACTCTGTGTGTCAGCTATGATATCATCTTCTGTGGTTCCATGCCTAGCATGTACGTCTGAACCATCCTGCAAAGTTTGAATGACGTAGGTTGAGCGATCGCTCCGCGAAATATACTTTTTGAAATTCTCTTCATAGTATATCTTCCACCATTGAAATTTCGAATTTCTTCAAGAAAAGTGCTGAGAGGGGTGGCTTGCAACCTCGATATGGCTTGTTCCAGGTATGCTTTGGAGCCATCTTCTGTTGAAGTAGTGGCGGGGATCTGCCCTGCAACTGCTACAACAAAAAATGATTCGATCTGAGAAAGGGTGAGACCGCAAATCTCGGTTGAATATTGAGTATTTCAAGCCTTTTCACGACGAAGATGGAGTTCTTTTTGGAGATGGACGTCGCGGCAAAGGACATGGTGTCCGACGTCTGGCATCTGGTGAAGCCAGGGATCATTTGTCCAGTCAGGTCGGCAGCCTAACCGTCGGTAAGCTTGTGTTTGGATCCCGTTCTGCTCGATGTGGTAGATCACAAACAATTTGATATCGCACAAATTGATCTCAGCATCGTGCGTACGGTATTTTATATTCAGAAAATCCCAAAGTGTCTCTGTATGGCCGTTCTATGCCACGAGAAACTCCAATCAGGCTCCTATGTCCTCTGCCTTCATGATTGAACGTCCACTTCGTTTGAACAACGAACACAACAATCGAGGACGGCTTTGCAATGAAAAATACAGCTATACTGGAGCTGAAAAAAAGAAGAAAAAAAACGTGCTCAGGATGAGACTCGAGTACACGCGCATACTCTCCCAGCAGGTGAAACGCAAATTTTTGTGAAAAATGCGTGACGCCGACTGACCAGTAATTTCGCCTGACGTCCGCTGAGCGTGATGTGGTTCTGAACAGATTGTACAAGCCAGCCACTGCTGATGCAGACCTGCAAATCACAGTTGCTCATCAAAGTACACGGAGGATAGTCATGAGATGTAGATTCGACTGTACTTACGGAAACAGCGACCGTCACGAGGCTCGTAACCAAGGTTACACGTACAGTTATAGGATCCTGGTACATCAGAACATGTGGCATTGGGATCACAGCTGTGTGTCTGCTCAGTACACTCATCTATATCTGAACACGATCACATCAAACGAACAGTGGCATACATTTGTTGTGTGAGAGAATAATTCGACGGGTTCGCGTACCGGGCAGGTCAAGAACAAGGAGTCATACAACTCCCTGGTCAAGAACCACCTTTCCGCTTCCGTGGGACGCCACCACCCCATGATCAGGCGTCAGATGCGGCTCCTAAACGGTGGGGGAGGATAGATCAGATCCACCAACCAGAGGCCAAAGGCCTAAATCCCATTTGCCACATCCATGTTTTACTCATGCAAGGCCACGAGTTCCCAATTAACTGTGGGTCGCAGCACAGTTGGAAAAAATCATTCCGCTTCCAAGCAGGACTTGTGTGAGAGAAAGTGACAGGAAACGTACAAGGAGTATGTTTGACTTGAACCCTAGGCACTCGAAGACAATTAGATGCAAAAGACTTGAAATTTCCATTCCTCCTTCAATAAGACAGCTGTGCTCTATGAAAATTTCCCCTAATAACATCTAAATCCAGCGGATAGATCTAAAAAGAAGAGTCTTAAATGCACCAGATGTGTAGCATAGTAACTTAGCAAGTAAATTAAAACAGCCACTAAACCAGTGAGTATAGAAGCCAAAACTCAAAAGACAGACTCAGACGGAAATCGTCAGGTTGCATACGCAAAGTGACTACCTACTTGTGCAGATGGTGACATCACTCCAGCTGCCATTGGTCAAGCACTGTCGACGAAGAGTACTTCTGGCATCAATGGTATTGTTCAGGCGATATCCCACCGCACAAGAGATATTCAGCACAGCACCTGGTGCAAATACACTGCCACCAGCATTATAGTTAGACTTGAGCAACGAGGAGTTGATATTGGTGCCATCTGGCGAGGAAGTGCAGTTCAACACTGCACAGAACGCACAGTCACAGGCAAATCAAGCTAACTGCCAGCTGTTCATGGCAAGCACTGCACACACGTACGCATGCACGTACGCATTCAGGCACTCAGGCATACACACACAAACACACACACACACACACACACACACACACACACACACACACACATACACACACACACATACACACACACACAAACACACAAACACACACACACACAGTTGCAGGCCAGACTGAGTTCATGGCAAGCGCTGCACACATCTCATGCTTCTTGTATGTATACTTGAAGCAAGAATATAGTAGTGAAGTACAGTGGTATAGGAGGCCTATCCGGTTACCTTGTTATTGACAGTCAAATAGCTCTACTCTTGCCATCACTGATTGCATGTATCCCTATTTCAAAATCCGTGAGTGGTTAATTAAGTGAATTTTTTATTTTTTATTCCAAGCAATACATGGCTGGGGTAGCCAATGACCACTTTGTGTGGCGATTGCAGGGTGCCCTGCAACCTGCCCTATAGGGCCATAACCATACCTGACGTGTTGAACACAGCAAATGTACTGTTGCCTTCAGCTACGCTGGTCCAAGCGGTGACCTCCACACGGTACACGGTATCAGGGCAGAGGTTGTACAGTGGCCAGATCTGCAATGCCTCGCTTAGATCTTGCCCCGTGATGTTCAACTCATCTTGCTGTGTACATCCCCTCAGTGAGGGTTCGCCAGTGCTCATGTACTTGATGCTATATTGAAGGAGAAAGCCATTCACCTCCAGAGGAGGTAGCCAAGTCAACGTGACATTCTGCGGATTAAGTGCTGGAACTGTCAGGTTCACTGGTGGAGTGGGTGCTGGGGGAAGATAGGAGCAGAGCGCAGTGGAACAGGAAAAAAAGCAATCAATGAGACTTCTCTTTAATAAAGCTGCGTGGAGCCTGGCTAGCGCCAGACGTTACTAATTTTGTAAAGTAACGTCTTTTGCATAGCTACGGGAATTAAAGTACTTCCTACACTGGTGCTCACTTAAAGAGACTGGATTGAAAAACTCCAATCAAACTAGTGCCGGCCAATTAATTCACACATCAACACTACCAGTTTTGTTCTGGGTTGGTTTCAACAGCAGTAACACTTCCCGCTAGCTTTCCCATTGCATAGAAGAAAACAAATCAAGCCAAACGAACAGTCCAACACAGGAACGAGACAATTCTAAAAATATAACCAAATCAAAAAAGTTAGTTTGTGTTACACCAGTTGGTAATACTGGCACACAGACATTATGAGTTAGTGCTAATGAAGACACTACTTTCCAAGAACATACCACTCTGAGCTGAGTCAATGACAATCTGAGACCCAAGCGGGCTAGGTCCTTGCTCAGTGTCTGCCTGCACTTGAACACAGTACCGGGTATGAGGCTGCGTTGGAATAACGAACTGCGTTGCTGATGCACTGACATTGTACATGACTGGGCTGCCGCCAGAACAGCTGTCCTCGGCGCTCTGTCGCTTTCTGCGAGAACCGCCAAAGCTCGAGAGGGACAGATTCCTCACAAGCAACTGGTAAGCAACAATGACACCGTTTGATTCCGTTGGTGGACTCCACGTGATCGTGATGGTCTCGGCGAGAACCTCTTCCTCCTCAGGCTCTGATAAGATAGGTGGAGTGCTGGGAGCTGGAAGAAAAACATCATAAAGCAAAATTTATTTGGTCAATAATGTCACATTTGAGCAGATGGCTCACCCCTTGAAAAGTACAGGCAAAGGATCAGGATCGGAAATCGAGAATGTTCAACGAGAATCCCATGCTTGAATTTGTCGGATTAGACGCATTTAACTAGCTCACCTTGAGGAGGAGTAGTAAGTAGACGTTCTGCCGTGACAAATCTACTGCAGTTAATGGCATTACAAGCGGCCACATTGATGGTGTAGTTGGCAAACGGCGACAGTGTATTCGGTTCAGTGTAGTTTTCGCTGGCTGGCCTCACCAACGAGCTGTTGAGATGAAACACTGTCATGTCGACATAACCTGCAAAGCTCTGCATGGATATTGCAAACACGAATGACACGCGTTGTACAATAGGATTACGTGCATCGGCATAGGCTTATTATTGGTGACTTCATAGAGATTACAAGCATAATGGATGTGTTCTGCAAGCACTGAGCTGACCAGGAATACTTGCTAAAGGGTCGGACTTGCAATGCACGTTAATGGTAAGGCACACCTCACTCTATGCCTGAAATATTAGTACAAGCCGAGCACTTCACTAGTATAACTGAGGTGAACTCTAGGAGAGATTAATAGCAGTAAAGACTCCGGCAGTACTAACCCGATTGCCACTCAAATGCATCAACAGTATCGTGTAGTTGACAGGGAGGCCACTTCTATCCACAGGCTGCTGCCATTCGGCCACAAGCAGCACGGTCTGCTCCGTGCCGTTCCGTGTAGTCAGGTTCAGCACAGGATCAGGCACATCTAAAAATGAGTAGAGCAACCGGAGTAGAGTACTTGGGGGTACGCAAAATGCAAGTGTGTGTTGGGTCCCGCCCTATATCTCAACGGAATAGTTGGCTGTCTTTTGACGTGCCAGGAGATCGCGTCTAAATGATATCATTTCCTTCGATGAGCAAAAGCCGATACATCTTCGCAAATACTGAACAAGCTGACAGGACAATGGAGCGAAAAATTATCTTATGTTCACCGTACCAACAGAATGACGTGCAGTAAGGTGTACTGCTATTCAGTAGAATGCTGGGTTCCGTTCCTGCAAGGTCAACTTCTACACTATATGTATATACAATGTTGAGTGAAGGGAAAAGGAAGTGTGGATAACTTCAAGTCCTCATCAGTGTAGACCTGAACAACTCTTACCTTGAACAAACAGACTTGCATGAACGTCTTGCTCATCGACTACATTTGCAGCGTTGCACGTGATGGTACCACGGTGCTGTCTGCCAACACTTTCAAACTCTAGCGTGCTGGAACTCTTGACAACAAAGCCAAATCCGTCTTGCGCTGAATTGTTGATCAGGGCAGAATTGGAGATGATGGCAGAATCCTCTGCTTCACTGCCATTAAAGTGCCAAGTAAGGAGTGGCGCTGGAAACCCCTCAGCTGTACAAGTGAACGTGACACGGGTGCTGACGGGAACAACTGTATCCTCCTCCGGAACTATGGTGGCGTTTGGCGGCACTACACAAAGAAAGTTCAGAAAAAGACGTACAGTGTTGCCTAATGGAATACGATCAGGGTGTGAACTTGGCGTCCTGTACCAGTGGTACCAGTGAAAATCCTACTGTACACAGTTCTAGGACTGCACAGCGCCCCGGCACATACTGAACTCGCTTGATAGGATTTAATTGAGCAACACTGCACATTGTAGATACACGGTCTTGGCAAGAAAGGTATCAAATGCATGTAGATTTCTTGTCAAAGTAAAGTTCGCACGCCGGCATTATCACAGGCAGTGCATTTGTGCTGAGAAACACAAACCTGCCTAATAGCCTGTAGTGCAGTGGCGACTGTTTTATGAAAACAAATGGAAGGTTGTGTCTTTAAATTCCATGAACCGGTGCTGGGGAACCAACTTTGGTTCCACGGCAACAAGAATACACCCTACTCATACAGTGAACAATACAAAAGCTGAATAGTCTGCTTACCTAGGACGGAGATGTTGACTGTACCGGACATGCTGGTACCATATCGGTTCGCTACTCGGCAAAAGTAGCTTCCTGACTGCCCGTGCGTGACATTATCTAGAGACAAAGTAGCGGTTAGACTGGTGTTGCGACGAGAACACACATCTGGCAGGACACTGCTGTTGTCGTCACGCTCAACTGCAAGGAGTTCCATGTCCCGCGACGAGAACTGGTAGAAGTAGAAGCTGACATTTACCGGGCAAGCCAGTGTTTCATAGTTGCAGATCAGCTCGGTGGCATCACCAACGGATATTTCTTGAGCGGCAGCGCGAATACTATTCACACTGGGTGGACCTTAGAAGGATAACAAGAAGCATGTGTAGAAAAGATCAGAGAAAGCCATTTGCCAACTGAATTGAATTATAGTGCAGTGCTCGAGAGTGCTTCACCCATCAGGGTTTGTGAAATAGATCGACTTCTGTGTTTCATCTATTGATGAAGTGTCAGTAGTAGCTTAGTTCCTGAAACTTTCGGTCTCCCTTATGGCATTCACGTAAAAGCTTGAAATAGCTACTCGGTCTGACAGAAGAAACAACCAGGCTCCAGTCATGAGCTGAAGTTCGTTCTAGCCCCCTCCCTCTCTCTCGATATATAGTCCAATTGGATGGTGCTCTGGATTAAACTTATGCAACGTACCATTAACAATCAGCAAAGCTGTAGCTGTAGATAATCCTGCAGAGTTGCCAACCCTGCATGTAACTGTGCCCTCATCACTGGCCATTACGTTCATGATAGATAGTGTGCTTTGATCTGGAAATCTGGATACTTCGAACCGACCGGCAGACACAATTTCCTGATCGCTGCTGCTACCAAGACGTTGTCGATGCCAAGTGATGTCAGTGGACATTGTCAAAGGAATAGCATCCGTAACATTGCATGTAAACACCACCGATGATCCAACGGCAACCATGGTCTGCTCAGGTCGGATACTGACTGAAGGTCGAACTGAAGGAGAAATGAATACACATCCGAACATGAGTAAAATCCCAACTACTTGCAGTCTGAGATGCAATTCCCCCTCACTAAGTGGTACTGGGAAACATGTGATAGCAAGCCACATGACACAATCCAACATACCTAAGTACAATCACACGTGGATCATTCAGGACCAACTGGCCACAAAACATGCATCTGCTTACTCAGATAATCTAAACCCGGGCTTGGTCTGAATGCTGATTCCACGGGAAATATGAGAAATATTATATTACAGAGGAAGAAGAGTACTCAATAGCATACATATCATTACTTGACTTCCCAGCACATTTCTCGGAGAGGAATACACTCCTTTGGAACAGTGCAGTATGCGTACTACTCGAAAAGGATAACTTTAATGTCATGTAATAAAACCGGGCTTACTCCTGGATTAGCCGATGTCAGTGCCAGGCTTCCATTCAAGCCAGTCTTCTATTCAAGTCAGACTGCTAATCGAAACAGTTATCCCTATGTATGTCAACACTAAAACCAGGCGGTGTAGCTTGAAAGTCAGGCTACACCGTCAAAAGCTTCTATACGAGACATGCTTTTGACACCATGGTATACGTTCTCCGAAGGTTTTTCAGGAACAATGCAAAAAGGCAGTATGTTAGATCCCAGATACTGTCAACTTTTAACTCGGCACAGTTCCACTGTACTTTTGCCAACACCCGATTTTCTGAACTTACCATGAAAAACAACTAAGCTGTGTGTGATGGCAGTAGCCAAGCTACTTTCAAGGTTCGACTGGCTCTCTACTTGACACCGAATTACTCCACTGAAGTTCCTTAGCCGAGGTACCAATATCTGCTGCTCAATGTAGTCAGGAAGGATAGTGAAACGGGTCATCTGGAGAGTGCCATTGCTGGGAAGGGCGAGTGATGTATTGCCGCTTCTCAATGAAGCCAGAATATCCGGAAATGCTGTCAACGGTGCCAATGACCACGTGTAGGAGAACGGTCCGGCGCCGGTCGTATTGCAAAGGAGACTGACAGCGCCGATGGTGGACTCATTACTTAGGTGGAAGCTTGGCGTGAGTTCTCCTGCAACAGGATCCAAATCTGCACAAGAAACACAGATAATGTTTGCGCAATGCAAGCCATACATAAGGTTAGATAGTCTATTCTATTGTTCTACTTTAAAAATACAGATGTACACAACCCTTACATGAAACGTTCGCATCATTTTCTAACGGATCAGGGTGCATGTGTTGTCTGCTAAATGGTTGCATCACAAAACGGGTCAAGTTTACAGCTTGTATTGTGACTAGCAGGCGTTCTCAACTTGTCATGTATGGCCCCACCCTCCGTCGACTTCATGTAAGAAGGTATATCATCCTGTTCGAAGGCACCATAAAAGGGACAACAATGCGTAGCCACGTACCCACACAAAGCGGTGTTGCCCCGCTCAGTGTTCCAAACTCCGTGCAGTACTGCACTGCGTTGGATTCATTCACGAAGCCAAGGTTGCCCGGACAGCTGTACGCGACAGCTTGCGGGAACTCGATCTGCGTGGCATTGCTGGTTAGATTGCTGGTTACTGGGTAATTGATGTTGTGAAGAGTGCAGATCTCAGCTGGAAGGAGATAATTGATACGCACAACAAGAAGGTTCTTTGTGCAAGCAGTGCAAATAAGTGAGGAGTCTATAACTGATGTTGTGAAGAGTGCAGATCTTAGCTCGAAGGGGATAATTGATACGCAGAACAAACATGTTCTTGGTGTAAGCAGTGCAAGTAAGTGACGAGTCTATAGACTGGATAGCGAGATTGGCATATGTCCTAGAGAGTATACTACTAGTGGGTAAATAGCTGTACTTGGTTAAGTTGATGAACAGCACTGCCAGTTGGCAATAAGCCAGTATGGTCAATGGGAAGACTTTCAATACAATACCTGAGCGTAAACTCCACAAAGTGAACTTTCGGAGTTTATCCGGATTGTATCATTATTATTATGCTTTTCGTTTATGGAAATAATTTGGAAACTCTGCAGTGACAGAAGGAAGCACAGCCTCTCAGCAATAGAACAATACATGAAGAAACTGGGTACTTTTATCTTACGAGAGCACATCGGTTGCTCAGATATGTTCCAAGCCCGGTTTGCCTGGCAGATGATGAGCCTATCTCCGACCAGGTTGTAGCCTCGATCACAATCAAAGCTGACAATGTTGTTGAATACGAAGACACTACCATTGAGTGAGCCATGTGTGGGAGGTACCTGATCAGGACAAGAAACCCCTGGAACAATTCAACATATACAATCCGGTGTTGATTGTGGTGTGTAACATAAATGTATTGTCCAAGGTAACAAAGAAAACTGACAATGCATTTAATAAACTGTTGTCAGAAGCAGTCAATTTGTATAGCAAAGCACACTCTTTGCTTTTTAAATTTCTGAAAGGTGTGATCCACTTCAGTACTATGCAGCATGTCCAGTGGGGTTTCAAATGCTGGCCATTGCCAGAAACATGATGGGGCTCTCACACTATACATACCATCCACACACTACACACACCTTCACACACTATACATACCTTCACACACTATACATACCATCCACACACTATGCATACCTTCACACACTATACACACCTTCACACACTATACATGCCTTCACACACTATACATACCTTCACACACTATACATACCTTCACGCACTATACATACCTTCACACACTATACATACCATCCACACACTATGCATACCTTCACACACTATACACACCTTCACACACTATACATACCTTCACACACTATACATACCTTCACACACTATGCATACCTTCACACACTATACATACCTTCACACACTATACATACCATCCACACACTATGCATACCTTCACACACTATACATACCTTCACACACTATACACACCTTCACACACTATACATACCTTCACACACTATACATACCATCCACACACTATACATACCTTCACACACTATACACACCTTCACACACTATACATACCTTCACACACTATACATACCATCCACACACTATGCATACCTTCACACACTATACACACCTTCACACACTATACATACCTTCACACACTATACATACCTTCACACACTATACACACCTTCACACACTATACATACCTTCACACACTATACATACCATCCACACACTATGCATACCTTCACACACTATACACACTTTCACACACTATACATACCTTCACACACTATACATACCTTCATACACTATACATACCATCCACACACTATACATACATTCACACACTATACACACCTTCACACACTATACATACCTTCACACACTATACATACCTTCACACACTATACATACCTTCACACACTATACATACCTTCACACACTATACATACCTTCACACACTATACATACCTTCACACACTATACATGCCTTCACACACTATACATACCTTCACACACTATACATACCTTCACACACTACACATACCTTCACACACTATACATACCTTCACACACTATACATGCCTTCACACACTATACATACCTTCACACACTATACATGCCTTCACACACTATACATACCTTCACACACTATACATACCTTCACACACTATATACACCTTCACACACTATACATGCCTTCACACACTATACATACCTTCACGCACTATACATACCTTCACACACTATACATACCTTCACACACTATACATACCTTCACACACTATACATACCTTCACACACTATACATACCTTCACACACTATACATACCTTCACAGACTGGTGGCTGACCAGACCAGACACCATCAGCTTGGCACTGCTGATACTCATCCTCCGGGTTGGACACTTCGTAGCCAGTGACACAAGTGTAGTTGATGAAGGATGTGTATGGCAATTGGCCATCAGTCGTGTCAAACAATGGCAGTACAAGGCTGGATACAGTGTGAAATGTACAGTTGATGACTGCAGGGGAAATCACAGCATCCAACAGCAAACACAATAATGTATTTCCAATTGCAGTATGGCAGGCTGTTATCAACTGAGCAACAGAGCACCAATTCATTGCATGCTCAGGGAGGGGGGGGGGGGGGGGTGAACTTCAACTTCACATACACATCTACAGGATAGTAATTCGACATCATGCACGACCTTAAGAAATCTGTGCTGTTCCATTAAAAGTGGATCCGCTCTACTCATGACATCAGATTTCCCGGGATCGCCCAACAGCTGACTTACTCAAACATTCTGGCTCTCTTGCAGACCAAACACCCTCCAAAGGACTCTGCTTCAAGACTTGACACTCCAAGCTGTCGTACGTTGTGGACAAATTGAACCCTTCATTGCAGCCGAATTCTACAACTGATCCGTTCGAGAAGACAGTATCACTCAGGAATCCATTTTCTGGGTCATCCAAGCCAGTGCAATTCACAACTGCAGGAACAACAAGACAAGTCGTCAACACGATATTCTTGCAGTCAATGTCAGTGACTGTCTATGCCTCAGTTAGACCTGTGTCTCTGCCTCAGTAACGTTATGAGGCATACTGAGGCATACTGAGGTACATCTGTTGGTCATGCGACAACACTCAGATACAAAGAAGACTTCAACTAACATCCTTGCAAGATATGCTAGAATTCCACTTTCATAGGGGACACAAGAATCGAGGTATTCTCATGTATACCTGTATCAACAGTATCCCGGGAAGCAGCAAGGGCTGCTAAAAATTGCTAGATATGCAGATCACGGAGCATTTTGTACATGGAAGTCGAGAAGTCAAACTGAATTATCAGACAACAGGGGTCAACTGTCGGATTATTGCTAGATAAGCATAAAGCTTTGACTTGCAGGTCATTCCGAATGGTCTCTCATCCTCTCTGTGTGTAACAAGAGTATATGCACTGCATGTGCAAAATGTCACACTCGTGTATTCAATCATTCTCTTCAGTTAGCACATGGCACTTAGATAACGTCATGTATAAGTAGGTAGATGTGCTGCTTGACTTACTATTACACTCTGGTATCCCGGGGCTCCATTCTCTACTGGCATTGCATGTAATCTCCGTTGTGATCTCGTTTGTGTCCAAAGCCGAGCCAAGACGACAGTCGAGGCTTAGGCTTGACATGAAAAACAGATCAGTTCCCTCGACCATAAGATTCTCCCCAGATACCTCATCGCATTGCACAGCTGTACGAAAAAAATCAGTATCAAGGCCAGGTTGCTAGTCTCGTAATGCTATGAGATGTGCGAAGTATACTGTGTGGAGCATTCGTCTGGCAGGTCGTGTACATGCTCGGTGTAGGTGACATGAGTCGTGGTATGTGCATTTTCCTAGTCTCGTTAAGGTTGCGTTCAATGCTGGTCGACGTTCAGAGTACTTCACATAACGTCTCAAGTGGTATTCGTTGGCAACCGTTCCACCTTGTCACCTTGTCACCTTGTCACCTTGTCACCTTGTCACCTTGTCTTGTGTTGCAATTCCGGTTAAAAGTATCATGGCTAATGTTGGTATTCAACATTATGGCTCCAACGCACCACGGCCATGATAATTACGAGTTTCGTCGCCAACCAACTTGAGTACCTACCTCTGCCACCCCCCCCCCCCCCCCCCCCGCCCCAACCCCACCCCTCTTGTATACGCCTACTCAATATGAGAGAATGGTACACATTTTGCTCAATCGTCACACCAATCACACTGCCATCTTACGTGTGCAGTTCAGCGGCTGTCTAGTCCATACTCCGGTTCCCACACACATTCTAACAGTAAGCATTCCTGCAGTGGTGTACCCGTCCAAGCAGTAGTATTGCACTGTTGATTCAAATGCATAGCTGCCTGTTTCTGACATGTTGAATGTAGAGTGTACACCTGGCTCTGGATGATCACACGTTATCGCTATGCAAGGTAGAACAACACAACATCACACAAGAGAACAGTGTCTGTGTGTACTATGTGGACTAGGGCTGGCAATACACTAGCGGAGGTGTGATTTGACAAGAACACTCATGATGGTCATAGTTCAGCCTTATCTTGTCGCAGGTGCATAAAATTCAGTCCTGATATTATTGTGTTGCATGAGGCATTGCAGGAAACACAATTGATCAGGAAGAAAAAAGAATCACGAGTCATGAACAGCTAGACAAACACAAACACACACACACACACACACACGGACCATTATCTTACCCTCGGAGCAGTTTCGTCCAGTGAATCCAGGAGAGCAAGTGCAGTTTCCAGTGATATGATTGCAAGAGCCATGCAGACATGTGCACTGCATTGTGCAGTTTGATCCAAACACGTCCATGGGGCATTCTATCGGGAGGGAATATTAGAATTAGAGAGAAAACATCCGTGATGTTAGACAAAATTGACTTTGTTTATCTTGGAACTCCAGAACTCCACATACGTTAAAAGAATTCGGGTGAACACACCCATTCCCATAGCGCTGCACTTCTGAACCAGTTCCGTCATTTTACAACGTTTCGGCACTTGGCCATCGTCAGGTAAGAAGAACAATGAATGTACGTCGAAGTATCATAAGCACTAAAAGATCATGAACGGCGCCATTCACCTGTTCAAGAAGTGTTGAATTTTAATAAGGACACGGCCGTGATACAACACAGTTGATATGCTTCCTCTCGATTCCTGGGAAACATGCAATGCGGTGCTGCTCCGTTACAGTCTGCGAAGTACTTATGAATGATAATTTCACAAGTTAAGCAAAGAACTTAGACCACTTACGTCGACAACTGGGAAATCCTGGAGACCAGCTGCCATCTTCAGTGCATGCAACCAGGCTGCTACCGATGAGAGCATAACCGAGGTTGCATTCGTACATCAGCGTTGTCATGTCACCTTCCCTGAAGCGAAGCTCACCCTCACCAAGCAAGTCAGAATCGTTTGACAGCGCACCATTCTCGACTATCTGCAGACTATCACAGAGACGACCTGATCGATAGGAAGCCACAAGCACATACATGTGTGTCATGCGAGCAGTGAGTCTGAATTTCCATTCCTTAGACAATTACATGTACATGATTGCAATGATACCAGAAAGTTCGTAAGCTCCAAGATAAGCTGCTGTTTGCCGGTGCACTAGTGTGCTAGTAGAGAAGGTAGATATCAATACCGCAGAGAAACTGTTGCGTTCTAACTGACGGTGCTTCGGTTAGTCTGCTTCGATTCGAGAAAGTCAACTCACACAGCATATATATATGCTGCATATATACAGCATCCGGTACATTGTTAGGCAGCTCCTGGAAATTGTACCAGAGTACACTGCTGCTGTATGAAATCCAGTCCAGCCACCCAAGTACCAAGCTGCCACGGTGCAAGGCACAAACTAGACTCATGCGACCCTATTTCATTGAGCAGCACTGTATTTTTCTTGATAGCATAATGAACACCACGCGCACTCACCTCTACATGTAGGACTGGTGCCGTTGAGCGTGCCGCTGTCCAGGCAGGTGCGGACGAGATCGCCACCTTCGTGCACGTACCCGCCTGCACAGGCATACTGAATCTGCTCGGAGTAGCTTGCTGTCGGAGAGCTCATCACAGTGACGAAGTCGTTCAGCACTCCAGCACTGCAAGTGACCACTGAAATATAGAGACAAAAAGCAAAGAATCTCACAAGGGTGACACTGACTTCAGGAATGCATTCAAACAGATTCAATTATGGAAAAAAACAGCAGAAGGAACCTTTATTACTCACTACTTAGGCGTACCCGTGAGCACACTGGTTATTTGTTTTTTTCCTGTTTGCTTTTCTACGAGTGCCCAAGGGCTCCAATTTGGTTAGAATTGATGAGCAAAAGGGTCGCGAGATCTAGTTTCCTCACAAAACCTGATGTATCCACTTCATAGTGATCTAGATGCACCAGTATCATGAAGAAATGTAAGAGGAAATGGTGTGTGCAAGCAGTAGGTATTGACGAAAGTGCCTGCACAAAGCATGCAGCACAAAGGCATCATACGCATACATGTGCACTTACAAAGTATTTGAGAGGAAATGGTGTGCACAAGCAAAGGGGTATTGAAGAAAGTGCCTGCCGAAAACTGCATGCCGCATAAGTACATCACATGCATACGTGTTTACCATTGCACTCTCGTCCATCCCCAGTAAAGCCAGTGGAGCAATTGCACATGAAGCCTGGCTGCATGTTCGTGCACACAGCGTTGTCATGGCAATCATCAGCCCCCTCTGAACATTCATCAATGTCTGTATATAGCAACAGTGGGTCAAACACAAACAAATGATAGTAAAGGGGGGGGTGTTTGCAGTACTGTCGGGCGCCGAAGAACGGAGCGCCGAAGAACGGAGCGCCGAAGAACGAGCGCCGAAGAACGGAGCGCCGAAGAACGGAGCGCCGAAGAACGGAGCGCCGAAGAACGGAGCGCCGAAGAACGGAGCGCCGAAGAACGGAGTGCCGAAGAACGGAGCGCCGGAGAACGACCAGGCTAGAACTTAATCAAGCACAGCACACCAATGTATAGGCGGTGACTCAGCTGCGCATAGACTGTAATACATGAACAAAATAAGAACGGTCTAGGCTAGGAGGCTGACCACCCAGAGTCTTGGGCGACCGACCATACTGTACCATGTATGCTTTTCTTGTGGGAAAGTGTATGGATTTGACTTGTTCAAAGAGCACGGTGGATTGGTTTTGTGATACTCTTTATCCGGAAACAAGCCAGCATGTAGTTGATGTTGTGGAGAAAAGTGACCGAATGCCTGTAAGGATTGCAAGTTGTTGGCTGTATAAACTGCCATGGCGGCATGTTCTCATTGATGAACCCTTGAAGTTCTAATCTGCTTTACGGCTACAGACTGCAGTGACACAAGCAGCCAGCGCTGATCAGTAAGGTGGGCGTCTAACCGTGATAGTCATCAGTAGATCAGAATGGGGTCACTCGTCTAGATTTGACTCTCAGCTGTGTAGCTGGAAAAAGCTGGGAATACATATATCGTCACATACATCTAATGGTCTACTACCGAACCCGTGAAATGTAGCGAAACTTTCAAAGCGTAAACACCTAGCACTCAACACCTAGCAGTCAAGTATAAAGTTCAGTCTACTACAGTGCTGTCGGGCGCCGAAGAACAGCCAGGCTAGAATTTTACCAATTTGAAGAACGGTGTAGGCTGGATTTTTTGCAGATAAGAATGTACACTATAATGTACACTATAATGTACACTATAATGTACACTATAAGTATCTATTATTGCACGATTAAAGAGGTCAATATATGAAATATAGAACGAGTAAAAGACCGAGGTCCCCCGAGGTCTTTTACGAGGTCTATATTTCATATATTGACCGATTATGAGGGCAATAATAGATTTATCACGACATAGCATACCTAAAACTGTTTTTGCTTCGCTATAGGAAGAAAGGAATACTATTGTAATAGTATAATAGTATGTACATATGCCGTTTACATTGGACATTACTTCTGTGTAAACCGAAGTTTTCAGTTGTCTCTTGTAGTATGTTCCCCAAGTTCTTTGACTGAGAATCTGACGGTTTGGGTTCAAATCCCAGCATTTGGCTTCAGATTTTTCTTCTTTCAGTTCTGATTTTTTTCTAAGTTGAGGAAAAAGTTCTAAGTCCTCGGGCTAAGTGGTCAATAATAAGTGGTCAATATAAGGGGTCAATATATGCTGATATTTGACCGCTTAGAGATCACAAGTTTCTGTGGGGGTCAATAATAAGAGAGTGATAATGTACACTATAATGTACACTATAATGTACACTACAGTCCATTTCAAAACTATAGACGCGTACCTAGGCAAAAACCGTTATGCCAGAATCTATACCACATAAAATCTGTGATCACTTTGTGCATAAATTTTTCCAAATTGGGCGTCTGTTATCCAATCCTTTAGAAACTATATGAGAGTAATTGTGGAGCAATCCTGAGCAATATTCCGAAAACTATTCTCAAAAAGTTCCAGCCAAATTTGAAATATTTCAAAAACCCTACGCGTCTATAGTTTTGAAATGCACTGTATAATGTACACTATAATGTACACTCAGACGTATAACTCTGCATAAATGTACTTGTAAGACTGTACCATCGAATAAGAATGAAACTGCTGTGTTCGCTAAAATATAAGAACGGACTAGGCTAGAACCCTGACCCCCCCCCCCCCCCCAGTTCTTCGGCACCCGTCCATACTGTAGTCCAGTTCGCATTATCCTTACCAAGACACTGCAATGGTTCTCCTGACCAGGTTCTGTCAGCCTGGCAGTGTATGATCAGACTGCTTGCATTGTTCCTTGCTCTGTAGCCATCCTGGCACGTGTAGGTCAGACTGTGCCCGAATGGGTACAGACCAGACTGGTCACTGATATCAGCATTCAGACCGTTGTCAGGCTGCGTGCAGTTGATAACTGAGCACAGGCAGAATGAATGAGACACCTATGAGGATACAATGCAGAGTAAATGTAGTGGACACTGTGCCAGTATGACGAAAACCAGAGCAAGTAGAGGCGGAAATCGTCGAAGGCTTAACGTAAAGCCAGACTAGAAGAAAACACAAGCATGCCGTAGATAGTGATTCAGTGAATAGCCCTATAGCAAGAAGAACTGTCGAGAGACTGGCTCGCCATGTTCCATATGAAGAACACTTGAAGTCCGTACCGTAGCACACAGGGAGAGGTAGAGAGAGATTCCCATGCCGTGCGCATTCAGGAAGCACTTGATCCAGCGGCACGAGCTCATAGCCATTCGCACACTGCACATCCAGCACCGTGCCCAGCTCGAGACGGTCATCTTCTGTAAGCGGGGTGTTGATGAAGGTGGTAACATCAGTGGATAGTGGTAGGGGACATGTAATACCTGGGGGAGCCGTGAAGCAAACATCAAAGAAAACGGATCATGTCAAGATTTGATGAACACGGAGTTCTACCTAACACTAAGCCCACGGTCTACTGGTGCAAAACGCTATCCACATACTTCAACTACAACACGAATCTCTGGAAACGGATTGTAAGCATAGTTCTATAAAGGATTTGTGGTACTGGTCTGTGTGTAACATGCCTTTGCTATCACCTCAACCTCTTGAGAAATTTAGTTCCTGGTACTACCAAGCCACCTTCGCAGACAGCCTTTATCCTTGAGACTTGTCATGTTCCTAACGGATGCGGAAACTCGGTCAGAGCACAATGCAAGCCGCGGGTTTTCCCCACAGTAAAAGCCTAAAAAGTAGGGATGTGCACTGGAAGTCGGGTACCCGTGCTACCCGTGAGGACCTCGGGTAGTCGGGTACAGAATGGTACCCGAAAACCCGAAGTCGCAGACGGCATCATAATTATGACATGTACAGTGCACGTGTACAAATTTGTGTAATACTCTGCATGTCTACCCAGTGTGTAAGAGAAGGGGTGCATTGTGGTGTTACCATGGAAACGTTACCCGATCTGGTACCAGTGCTACCCGTGGAAAACTACCCGAACCCGATACCCGAAGAAAATGCCACCCGACTCAGCACCACTACAAAGCAATGTGTATACCAAGTTGTCTCATGGCTGGATTTCAGCATCCTGACTTCCCATCAAGGGAAGGACACGGTACTTTTTTCTGCCCCTTTAAGACCGAAATCTACGAAAATAGACAAAATTTAATGGATGTCTGCTTTTAGTCGAAAAAAGAGTTGCACTCTAGAAACAGCATTTCACAATTTTAATCTGTGCAAAAGTGTGACACTAGGTCTGTACCTGTGCAGGTTGTTCCAGATCCAGTGAAATCAGGTAGACATGAACATGTGTAGGCTCCATTGGTATCCCTACATTCAGCATTGATATCACAAATATGTGTACCTCGAATGCATTCATCAATATCTGAAATCAAAATACAGCATTTTACAGTTGAACCAGCTAAACAATGCAGAAATCCTTTGCAACGGTTACGGAAGTTTTGCTGCCTCAGAAAGGTGCGGGCTGTGCATTGTACAATTGTGGAAAGTACAAAAATCTATACCGACGAGTGCCACAGTATTCATGTACCAAATTGTGATCAGGGGTCTCTTTTTGGGCCCGACTAGCTAAGCATAGTTAGCCCCATCCCTCACACAAACAAGTCAACAAAGAGGCATCTTTGGATTGAGGAGTGCTGGTTTCGAAACAACTGGTTTGAAGCTCAAAGTAGAGCTGGTGTTAGCTCAGAGCAGAGCTGCTGTTAGCTCAGAGCAGAGCTGCTGTTAGCTCAAAGTAGAGCTGCTGTTAGCTCAAAGTAGAGCTGCGGTTAGCTCAAAGTAGAGCTGCTGTTAGCTCAAAGTAGAGCTGCGGTTAGCTCAAAGTAGAGCTGCGGTTAGCTCAAAGTAGAGCTGCTGTTAGCTCAAGGTAGAGCTGCTGTTAGCTCAAAGTAGAGCTGCTGTTAGCTCAAAGTAGAGCTGCGGTTAGCTCAAAGTAGAGCTGCGGTTAGCTCAAAGTAGAGCTGCTGTTAGCTCAAAGTAGAGCTGCTGTTAGCTCAAAGTAGAGCTGCGGTTAGCTCAAAGTAGAGCTGCTGTTAGCTCAAAGTAGAGCTGCTGTTAGCTCAAAGTAGAGCTGCTGTTAGCTCAACGTAGAGCTGCAATGCTAAATGGATGTAATATAGCGCAAGGCAGAGCCGCAGCAAATAGCTAGATAACACCAGTTGTGAGAGTGGACCCGATTAGTGGGTACGATAATTATGATGGTGTGAATAAGTTGGATAGGGAGGGATGGTGGGAAAAGAAACACTGCTGAAGCACGATCCGTTGTCTGGAAGAGCACAACAGGGCAAGCAAGATTTGTTTTTCTTTTCCGCAAAATGGGCTGGTGCCATTTGTGATTACGCAGCAAAACAAAGCGCATGACGTCAGTCTTGAATGCAGTACAAAGCAATGCAGTGCAGTGTGTGCGCTAGTTCGGATTGTTGCTAACAAGTACTAGCACAGCTAGTACACCATTAGCCCCATCCCTCACACAAACAAGTCAACAAAGAGGCATCTTTGGATTGAGGAGTGCTGGTTTCGAAACAACTGGTTTGAAGCTCAAAGTAGAGCTGGTGTTAGCTCAGAGCAGAGCTGCTGTTAGCTCAGAGCAGAGCTGCTGTTAGCTCAAAGTAGAGCTGCTGTTAGCTCAAAGTAGAGCTGCGGTTAGCTCAAAGTAGAGCTGCTGTTAGCTCAAAGTAGAGCTGCGGTTAGCTCAAAGTAGAGCTGCGGTTAGCTCAAAGTAGAGCTGCTGTTAGCTCAAGGTAGAGCTGCTGTTAGCTCAAAGTAGAGCTGCTGTTAGCTCAAAGTAGAGCTGCGGTTAGCTCAAAGTAGAGCTGCGGTTAGCTCAAAGTAGAGCTGCTGTTAGCTCAAAGTAGAGCTGCTGTTAGCTCAAAGTAGAGCTGCGGTTAGCTCAAAGTAGAGCTGCTGTTAGCTCAAAGTAGAGCTGCTGTTAGCTCAAAGTAGAGCTGCTGTTAGCTCAACGTAGAGCTGCAATGCTAAATGGATGTAATATTGCGCAAGGCAGAGCCGCAGCAAATAGCTAGATAACACCAGTTGTGAGAGTGGACCCATGAAACCAGCACTCCGTTAGCTAAGCACTATTGACGCACAGCAAGGGTCAATTTATGTCAGCACAGGCAAGCATTGTGCAGCTAGAGTTCAGTAGCTCATTACTCACCCGAGTTGGGGATCATGGCATCCATGGCACGGCAGCAAGCCGGGACGATAGCTGGCGCTTAGCGCTTGTTGTAGTCCGGATGTAGCATAGACACGCATCGCTCTTTCCACTGACCTGCCACTCGGAAGAAGGAGTCGGGGCACTAGCCATAGCAGCGGTGGTGGCTGCACCAATGTGGACCGAATGCCCGGAGTAGTTCGACTGGGATGGTACACCGGCCGCAGCGACAAGAGACCATACTGTTACTGTGAATGACTGCCTGGTCAGCTGCTGTCTGTTCGAGAGTACGAACAAGAGTTGCTCTGGTCCCTCGCGACGAGTGACAAATGGGTAGCTAACAATGGCACGGACCGGGCAGTACGGCGGTACAGACGGGCCAATGTCACCAGTAACGCCTTTACCGAATGGGTCCGTCTTGGATGAAAGCAGGAAGAGTTGCAGGCGTCCGTCACCAGGGGAGCTAGTACAGCCCCGTGTGATGCCATTAGTGAATTCAGCACACCGAAGAAATCCAAAGAAGCAGCGTGGCGGCTTGGTAGAGCAGCTTGTCATGGCTATTCAGGATACTACTTTTCCGGCGTGCATCCGTCAGGTGTCGTAGGATTGGCATAGTTATAGGAAGGCGAGGGGTGAGTACAGCCGTACCATGGCATCGCTGGATGCCCTTCAACACCCTCTCCAGAAGCCACGCATCTACTAAGGGGCCGGCAAACCCATTCTCAAGGTGGGCTTTATGCACCGCACTCGCATACACAGATACAGTTCAGGGCACGCTGATCATAGTTCACGCATGAATGTGTGTCCAGGAACGATGACTCGGGCAGCAAAAGTGAGCTTCCCCAGGAGGGACTCGAGTTGACGCTGGCCGATGCTGCGCTCGTTGATAGTAGCCATGAGTAGCGCACGGATCTCGGACAGCTTGTCCTCTGGTAGCCGCAGTCTAGGAAAATACCAAGGAAGGTCAATGATGGTGATGGCCCTTCGAGCTGGGATGGAGCAAAGAGGAGTGCCGAGATACGTGAATGCCCGGAGGGGGATGGTGAGTTGCTGGTTGGCTGCAGCCAAACCAGTGGAGATATCGAGAAAGTCATCGAGGTAATGAAGCCGGTGATCTATAGCAAACTCGTGCTGCATGATCCAGTTGACTGCTGTGGCTACTGAGTCAAAGACGGCTGGGCTGGAGCGGAGGCCGAAAGGCAGAAAGCGCTCGTAGTAGTAGGAGCCTTCCCAGCGAAGTCCTGACGGCGGACTGGGATCTGCCGAAATGCACTGTGTACGTCGAGCTTGGACAAATACACAGGCTGTGGGCATGACATGATGATGTTGATCGCGTTGTCAATGCTCGCGTAGTGCAGAGAGAGCGGCTCGGCAGGAATGCTGTCGTTCGCGCCGGTGCCTTCCGGACTAGACAGATGGTGGATCATTCGCAGCTTGCCGTTCTTTTTGGGGATGGCACCAATACCAGAGCGGCGCATGAACTGAAATGGAGGTGACGGAAATGGGCCTGTGGTCTCGCTGCGGGCGCAGGAAGCAGCTAATTGCTCGGATATAAATGCCGAGTGAGTGAAAGCCAAGGGTAGAATATTAGAGAAAACCGAAATGTCGTGTTGGCCGGCAGATCCAAGAGTAAAGCCACGGCGCAGGCCATGGAGAACATACGCAACACATTATGATATGAGTGGTTACGTAACAGGCGGGCAAAGTGGTCAGCTAGCAGTGTGGTGTCTGCAGAGTGTATAGGAAAGAAGCTACGTACCGAGTCAAGCTATTCAGTAGCCATTCTGCTAGGAGCGGCGGGGTGGCCGATTGGCTCCGCGCTGCTGCTGGTTGCACATGATGCATGGGTGGTCCTTGCCACACTGGCTGCAGGTGTGGGAGAAGCGGCACGACGACGAAGAACAGCGACCTCCATTGAAGTTGCGGCAGATTTCTTGGCCGTCGCTGGTATGGTTGCGACCACTGGAGGTAAATGCTGCTGGCTTGGGGACGAAAAGGACACAAACCGCCCCTGGATGGGCCGTCTTACATTGAGCGCATTTTGGGTGTGCATGGCCTGTGACAGCTATCTGCCATAGGTTCACGTCGATGGTGTCCAACCTCTTCGTGCCTGGTTACTGGGCCACGAGCAGCCGCAGCTGGCGGTCGTACTCTAGCCACGCGCTTGGGAAGAACTGGCAGTTAGCAGTCAGGATCAACTGCTGGTACGCAATCAGTTCAGCAGTGCGGTGTAGGGCAGCAGCCGTGATAGCAGACATGTATGTGGTCCATGCCTCGAGCCGGGTAGCTACATGTATAATTATCGTGAACCTTGCGACGCACCTGCTTCGCGTACGGTCATCCGACTCAACGATATTTAGCTGGCTATCGTTATTCGGGCTGTGAACCAGCCGGAATGTTGGGCCGGAAGTGTGCAAGAATTTCAAGCAACAAACTTGAAAATCTACGAACTCCCCTCGCAAGATACGTTCTTGCACAGCCTTGGGCACAGCTGGTGCAAGTGGCTGATCGGGTGGGTTACAGGAGCTTGGCCTGGCGTAGTGGCGGCAGCAGCCGCATTGCCTTGGCCTTGGGTGAGGAGCGGTACAATGCTCTCCGATGATAATAAAATGGCGGCCGACAAAGCCGACTACACCTCGTCACGTAGATCTACGGGAGCGCAGAGATCCGTTGAGCCCGCGTCACCTGAGCTGGCGGAGGAGGCATTGGTGCAAGTCGGGCTTCTGGGCTCGCGAGCCGTGTCCGCACTGTCAGTGTCATGTTGCTGGTTCTCCTGGCCGGAGCAGACCTCACTACCAAGGGCTAGTTGTGCCAGCAAACGGCCCTGTAAAATACTTTTACTAAGTTTCCTTTCGGATTCAAGCCGCGCTGAGAAGGCTCGCCGCGGGGGCTTGGCAAGGCATTGCCTTGACAGTGTCGATAGTTAGGTCAGACATACTGAAGAAATACAGTGTCGAGGTGACACTCGGGCTGGCAGCAAAGCTACGAAAGGAAAAGAAACACTGCTGAAGCACGATCCGTTGTCTGGAAGAGCACAACAGGGCAAGCAAGATTTGTTTTTCTTTTCCGCAAAATGGGCTGGTGCCATTTGTGATTACGCAGCAAAACAAAGCGCATGACGTCAGTCTTGAATGCAGTACAAAGCAATGCAGTGCAGTGTGTGCGCTAGTTCGGATTGTTGCTAACAAGTACTAGCACAGCTAGTACACCAATATACCTTCAGTTTCTACTATTTTAGCTAGCACTGGTCAGCCATGACCTAACTCAAAGTATTAGAAGGAGACAAAACAGTTGAAAATCATCCACTAGTGTGTCACCACGCAACCCAGACATTTCAAATACTCGTAAGAACAAAACCTGATGATGGCACTAATAAGAGGAGAACAGAGGCTGCAGTGGTTGGAATACTTACTTATGCACGTCGGGAAAGTATTGGAGAAGTTACCGGACATTGTGCAGAAAGGCAAGGGAGACTCGCTCACTTCGTAGCCATCATCCACACAACGGAAACTCAATTCGGTGCCGTAAGTGACAGTGTCTTGAAACTCCTCAGGCAGATTGTAGCTGAGCCCTCCATCCAGAGATGGTAGTCCGCACAGGATAACTGGAAGAAGAAATCCAAAACGCAAACGCACCATACTTTTTAAGGGTTGGTTCACATATCGCCGGTACGCGCCGGGAGTCACCGGCGGTGGGCTTCTTGCAACCTCTCCCGGCGCATTGCGATTGTGTGAACCAGTGCAGTCGTAACAAAATCATACGGTAAAATATCGCAAGGGACCGCCGGCAAAGTTGGACAGTGCCCAACTCTTGCGATCTGCCCCGGCGCCGATCCCGTACAATTTTGACCAAAAGTGGTTTGTGAACCGTTCGCGCCGGTGATCGCCGGCTGCCGGGAGCCAGACTTTGTCAAAATATCAAACCAACACTTGTCCTAAATTTTCCTAAATTGAAGCTAGAGAGGAGGTCCGTTCGCCATTCTTGTAGTCGCTTCAAGGTGGCAAATAAGTCAGCATACCAGCCCGTCCTTCTCGGATGATCTGCTTGACCATTGTGCAACTTCTGAGACAAATACAATTGAAACAAATAGAAAATATGATGGATACATTGGCAAGTTCTTGTGACTTCACCAACGTTTGCAAGCATAATTTCGACACAATCGCTTACTAGACTGCAATAAAATGTGTAGAAGTATTTTCATGATCTCCAGTAAAAGTAGCACCGAGTGGCCATCACCGAAAGACCTTGAACTACTGAAGAAACAAAGAATTCAAGCTTCAATTGGCAAACCTGTCGTAGCATTTGGGCACATTCTGTACTACTTTGTAGTAGATTTGGTACTCGAACCGTATGCGCAACGGATCGGGAGCTGGCTCGCCGCCGATGTCTTGCGGCGGCGATTTTGCTTATGTGAACCAACCCTAATAGACTTGTGACTGTGGAAAGTTGCTGTTGCCTGAATACACTTTGTCCCGACTGCTGGATAGAACAGGTCTGAAATCCTGGCTTTCTGTTTTCGTACACATTGAACATTGACGACAGGCGTAAACAATATGTACATTGAAACCTGGTTTAAGCAACCACCCCACGGTCCAAGCAAAAGCGGTCGTTAAAGCCAGTTGGTCTTTTGAACCAGGCCCCACAGTGTCTGTGTAGAACTGTCCGTGCAAGGGAAAACGGTCGTTAGCAGCAGGTGGTGGCTAAACCCAGAGGTTGCTTACACCAGGTTTTACTGTACTTCATACACGAGATACAAAACAACAAAGACAATCAAGGCGTGTTTGCCGCTACTTCAAGCTTCATGCTCTCGCAATCATCAGGCAACATCTCGAGACAGTCGAGATACACAAAAAGGACTTTGCAGCTACCAGGGCTATGCCTAGGGTACTCTATTTCACTGAAGTTGTAGTGTAATTGCAGAAATGATGAAGCGAAGGTGACAATCAGCCTACCTGTACAATTCACTCCGTTTCCAGTAAATCCATTGTCACAAGAACACTGAAAACTCCCTGCCGTGTTGTTGCAAGATGCATTTGCATGACAGTCATGGTTCATGACACATTCATCGTTGTCTGCATGCATGTACACATGCCCGCATTACGTACATACACAAGCACGCAGACACGCACATACGCACACGTACACACACACGAGCATACTGTAAATATACAAAATTTCGGCGCTGCAAAATTTCGGCACTTCACGAATTTTGACATTTCGGCGGCGATTTATTTTCGGCGTGGGGTAGAGGCGCTAGTATAGTGCGCATGCGACAGATGCTGTGAAAAATTTCATCGGCGTTTTAATTTAGGCGTTTTGGGTCGGTGCCGAATATAGCCGAAATTAAATAGCTGCCGAAAATTTGTATATTTACAGTACGTGTAATCAGTACTGGTCACACACATCACACATAATATCCTGGATATCTACCTCCTCCTCCTCACCCCCCCCCCCCCCCCCCCCACCACCACCACCACCACCAACACACACGCACCTCTCAATGGGTCACATTCATATCTTTGAATTATCCAGTTATCGTTTGCCCCAGCTTGTTATGTTCATAAAATTTCAAATGGCTGCAATACCAGCAACAACATTATCAACTGAATTAGGTGTTCTTCGGCAGGTACAATAACTGTGTCCATACACTGCCTTTGTCTTACAACAGTTTCAAATATACTAGTACTCACAGATTTAATCTTAGTAATGTCAGTAGCGACGGGTATGGAGCGTCAATTGAACATGTTGTTTAGGCATGCAGGTCATCTTACCTTGACATCCTGTGCCATTACCACTGAAACCATCATGACAGGTGCAAAGGAAACTTCCATTCGTGTTCGTGCAGTTAGCATTTATATCACAGCTCTGATCGCCCAATAGACATTCATCAATATCTGGAGGTTTATCATAGGAAAGCAGATACCAAGGTGCCAGATTACGTTCTTTGCAGAATATGGTCCACTGCACCCTCTGTTCAGAATAGTCTTCTGGTGCTTGCCCAGTAGTAGATGTGTACTGGTTTGCCTCCACTAAACCTTGTGTGTGTGTGTGTTTCTATGATTTTGTATTTCTGTGTGTGTGTATGTGTATGTGTATGTGTATGTGTGTGTGTGTGTGTGTGTGTGTGTGTGTGTGTGTGTGTGTGTGTGTGTGGTGCGTGTGTGTGTGTGTGCATGTGTGTGTGTGTGTGTGTGTGTGTGTGCATGGGTGTGTGTGTGTGTGTGTGTGTGCTTGCTTGCGGGACGCAGTGTTGGGCCTGGATACTGCCTAGCAGGAGACCAAGTACAGCCATATATGCCACTCTCTACACTCCCAAAGTCCTATGTACGAGACGAAGGTGTTTTCCAGCATGTAATCCCTATCCTCATTTGAGTATTGTGTGCTACTGCCTACCTGGGAGTTTTCTGGTCATCCGGGTTTTTTCTAGCACAATAAGAGGGTGAGCCAGAGTCATGGCCAAGATCATTATATTATATAGTGGGTTAATTTTATATTCAAACTGCAAAAGTCAGTTTTGTGCCTAGTTGTTGCACTTTCTGACTATATATAGTATCCAGTTACAGTGATGGAGAGTTACTCTCAACTCGTATCCATTATGTCCTTTTCCTTTCTACATTTATTAATGGCTCAACATCTGAGTTTCAAACTGCAAGGCTATAATTTTTGTCAAAGTAATTTATCATACCTGTGCAGTTGAATCCATCACCAGTGAAGCCGCTATCACAAGAGCATACAAATCTGGCATACGTGTTGCTACACGTTGCGTTCACATGACAGGAAACGTTAGCAGTGTCATCCGTGCACTCATTAATATCTGCAGGAAAACAGCCCAGCAAAAAAACAGCTCAGCAAAAATGTTCCACTCGCTTCTGCCCTACGTGTGATTGTCTGCGAAAACGTGTACAATGAAGGGGAAAGAACGCGATAATGTAGTGAAACAAGCATGCTGTAAAATTGATTACAGGAAACTTCGCCTGTGTTCTCATACAGTCATATCTACACCATCACAAGAATCGAAACCAATCGATGAACAGTGAAAATGAAAGGGTTTGGTAAATGTGAAGACTCAAACGTGAGTAATACACTCCAATGAACCAACCAGAGCAGTTGAGTCCGTCTCCAGTTAAACCAGCAATGCACTGGCACGTAAAGCTGCCAAACGTATCCGTGCAAGTTGCATTCGGGTGACACGCACGTACGCCTGCGATACACTCGTCTAGATCTGCAAACACAACGTCACAGAGTTGGTGGACAAGCCGTTGGAGAAGTATCGTAAAAATTTCTATCGTTATTAAATGTTATCAAATATACCACTCTTTGGTCTAGAAAGAATACTTTTTGATATTACAACGTCACAGGTAAAGAGCAGAGGCAGGTATTTGTATTCATCTAGAATGGCAACCGGAACAGGCAATGCTCTAATGACCATGGCACCACTGTAGAGAAGTGAATGAAGAGGGCAGTCATGACAAAACAGAAGTGCAAGAGATTAAACGTGACAAAAGGTGGATTTATCTGCACGGGCGGTAACTGTTCTTTCTTGTGACATAACAAAATGTGTACTATGGTGCAGCATGTTTGAATGTGTACTATGGTGCAGCATGTTTGAATGTGTACTATGGTGCAGCATGTTTGATCACTAGCCTGCTATGTTATGTACACAACACAAGTTAGATCACAGGTGACAGTGTGTGTTACGATCTCCGAACATACTTTGGCAGGTAGTGCCGTTTCCAGTGAATCCTCTTGAGCAGGTGCATTGGTAACTTCCATCTGTGTTGTTACATGTGGCATTTGCGTGGCAATTGGCATTGCCATTTTCACATTCATCAATATCTAGAACACATTCAAAAATCACTATCAATTGAACACAATGGCGGGTTTTGTCGGAAAAAACCTTGTACACTTTACACGAAACTCCAAAACTGAAAAAGGGTGAGATCTGCCGTTGAGCATGAATTACTACTCCAGCGTATATATAAAAATGATACGCCAGAGAACTGAATACAGGGGAGCGGCGTAGAGTATAGACTGACTTATATCCAGTCGGATCATGGAATATGCAAGGTTTCCATTGCATGTCATCAAGAGCAAAGTAGTAGGAGCGGAATGACAAAACAGTAATATATAATGAGCTCGCTGCATGCGACTATTCGGTCATGTTTACTCAAATTTAATAAGGACAGGTTTCTTTGGTAAAAGGTATGAAATCAGGTCTGCAACCCAGATGTTCAGTATTTAAAGTGGGTTTGAAGCCTGAATTTGGCCAAAATCGGGTTTTCAAACTTTTGTTCTGTTCTATCTGACTGGACTGTAGGCAAGGTATGCATCACTCAGATGCACCATTAGAGGCGACTTGATCAGTTTTGCAAAGAAACAGTCCAGCAAAATCTTGCACTTAATACTGGGCTGTCTTTCTGTGATAATGTTGACAAACACAGAGACCAGCTGGCTATAAGCTGGCTAGTACACACAGCAAGCAAAATGCATGTCTACACACAGCCACAGAAGATGGACAAGCCTGTAATACAGATCACCAAGTTCATCTACCTTCACATGCAGTGCCATCTCCTGTGTAGCCTTCAATGCATGAACATTCATAACTGCCCTCATTGTTGTCACACTGTGCCCGCATGTGACACAGTGGTGTGTCCGATAGACATTCATTGATATCTGAAAACACCAGGGAAATACCATAGCATGATCGATGTGTGGTTGAAAATTGGTGGGATTGATGCTGTTGTGTCCGTGTCGTCAAGTGTGAGATGTGTATGTGAACTCTTATCTGTGGGTTTGTGTATGTCCGTGGGTGTGCATGTGTGCGTATGGCACACATGTTTTCCATCTGAACTGAGGTGAAAGGGACATTCGCTGACTTGTACAATGAAGTGGGTGAAAACGTAGGATTCTGCTTTCTGTTTTCACACTAATACTAGAGGCGTTGGAAGGTGTTTAGTGTGGTACGGGCAGCCATCGGAAGTACAACTTACTCGTGTTGGAGGGGTGGCTGAGCCGAAAACTTTGGAAATTTGGATCCAAGATCAGTGTTTTCTATTGATTCACAGGGTATCTGGGGCATAAAGTGGTACGGTCAATAGCGTAGTGACCGTACCGCGTCCGATGCCCCTGACTACAAGGCATTGCTTACCTTGACACATTGTCACGGTTCCGTTCTTTTCAAACCCTTGTTCACAGATGCACAGATATGACCCAACCGTATTGCGACAAAAGGAGTTGTCAGGGCAGATATTGCTTCCTACTCCACTTTCGTCCTCGTCACCGAGGCTCAGACTACCAATGTCGCCGCTTTCACTTCCACCGGAGCCACTGTTGCCTGACCCTGACGAGAGACTTTGACATTCATCCCTGTCTGCAGGGACAAAGGCAAGCGGACAGTGCATTGCAGGATTGGCACAGGTTCAAAACTCAGGATAATCATTGAGATGAATCAGGCTCTGCACGCTACATCAAAATGGCACAGTCAATTAAAAAAAAAAGTGCAATCTTGTGTGTCACGTGTTGTGGGCGAAACCTAGAGTTTTCCAGGTTCAGCCTGGGCCCACATATCTGGGCCCACATATAACTTATAGCTCATTTGTGTAAGGTCTTCAGGCTGCATATAGTGCTCTACGTCCAGTGGACAGAGCCAGTAATACAATAATCACACAGCAATGAAGCAAACAAATCTTTTTCCGCCGTTACTCGGAGTTTCGTGTGAAAACTCATCATAACTTTTGGCTCCTATGACTATCGGTTGAGCTTGATACATCATCATTATTGTAGCAAGTACCACTGATGATCCCACATACCTTGACACTGTGGCTCAGATGCAGACCAGCTGCCATTAGACAAGCAGTGCAAAACCTCTTCACCTCGCCGATCAAACCCGTCGCTACAGGTGAAGTTCACCGATGTGTTGAAAACCATAATGTCTGATGAAATCAATCCGTTTGTTGGAGTGTTTAACGCTGGACAGGTCACAACTACACGAGGCAACAAGAGCAAACGTATCCACATCCACATGTATGATTAGGTCACAATTTGTTTCTTTTGTATATCAAGAACCCAACTCCGTTCGGTATTGGAATAATATTTTGCCTGATGATCGCGAAAACGTGAAATTCGGAGATGCAACAAATTTCGTTCCACCTTACTTCTATTATTCGATCATGCTCAGACCACACATGCTTTCACCAACTTAACCGCTGGAGGACGTTAGCAGCCCGTTTCCTGTCTGCGACATAAGGAGTACACCTGCATTTAGCTGCATTGGTGGTAGCAAGACAATCAGAACGAAACTGCCAAAGAGCTTACCAAGGCAGAGTCTTTTCGCCAGTGTTACTATTTCAAATTTGCAAAACATTCCCAGAGCAGTGCCTGATCATGCTCTTTAGATCTTCAGTTAAGAATACAGACTTACTCCTGCAATCGACGCCGTCTCCTCTATATCCAGTCATGCAAGTGCAGTTGAAACCACCGGCGTAGTTGCTACATTCGGCAAACTGGCTACAGTTGTGGCCTCCTCCAGCACTGCATTCATCCAGGTCTGAACCAATAACATCAGAACACCGAGTGCTTATATGAGTGGCTCAACATTCTTCTACACGGTTTTGAGCTCATATACAAAACTGGCATACAGTGTAAACAATTCTCCCATGGGCTGAGACCTTTGAAGGTAAAACAAAATATTAAAAATACTCCAGGATTGAGTGAGACTCAGTCTGAATTGAGTCTTCTTCATCCGTACCAATGCAATCCACCTTAAGGACCAAGGCGCAAATGTAGCCTTTCAAGGTGATAGTCAAAGCGTTAAATTAAAAAAACAAAAAACAAGACTCTTATTCCTAGCTCAAAGCATTCTTCTTCTTGTGGGTTTTCATGTGCACAGATTGAGTGCCATTGAAAACGTGAATCCTACAACATTCACAAAAGAGGTTAGATATCCCGTGGATCGTGATTCAGGCAGGCAAACAATTCCGATACACCTATCCACAGCCAGTGACCACATATCTCCGAAGAGGAGATAATACTTTGTGTGGCACAGTACCTTGACAGGTTGGAAACTCTGCAGACCAATTCCCACTTTCCTGACATTGGATAATTTGACTGCCTGAGACAACATAGCTGGTATCACATTGCAGGCTTAGGGTTGACGACTGGGAATAGTTGACTGCTGGAAAACCATCTGCCAGCTGCAGGGTAAATTGTCCATTGTCAACGCCTTCAGGTTCATCACACTGGATCTCTGGAAAAGGGCAGACAGGGAAAATCAGTGACAAACCCAGCATATAGCATGCAATGATATCTCTAGATGTACGGTCTTTTACATCTTTAAGCATACCAATGATGGATCTCGATAAAAGCCAACACAGATGTGAAACCACAGTGCGTTGTTTTGTCATGCTACCATTGTTCCCACACATGCACTAAAGCTCTCACACATATGCACACGAGTGCATACACACCCACACACCGGCACCCACGCACACACGCATATGGTAAGCAGTAGCCATACCTGTGCAGAATGTTCCATTCCCAGTGTAGCCTAGCAGACATGAACAGTTGAAGGATCCTCCAGTATTACTGCAATCAGCATTCTCATGACACTCACGCATACCTTGATTGCACTCATCAATATCTATCGGTACAGAAAAGAGACACGTGAAAGAATTATAAAACTGCAAGGTGAAGGGGAACTTGAATGTCCGTTGCAAATCTGAGTTTCCCATGACCTGAAGCAGTGCTCTGCCTAAAGTCATGGGGAACTCTTCGCAAACCCAATATCCCTTTGGTGCGTCCATGGAGCTATGAAGCCGAGACCTCTGGTCGGCGGAGCTTAATGGGCCCCACCACCACACTCCATCATTCACCTCAGTGTCTGGAGATATGTGGATTTTGTAGAGAGAAAAAAAGGGCACTGATTGTAGAAAAGAGTAGTTCAAAGCTACCTTTTTGACAATGACGATAATTTACAACCACAGTAGCAGCAAGGAAACACATCCTTTACTAAGCGTTATACCCACATTCTTATAGTGAAAGACTAATCAAAAACCATAGGACCGAGTGAACATTTTTCTCGAAAGCAATGCGGCTAACTAAAGATTAAGCTCTTCAAAAAATTTCTTTAAGGTGTCACATCCCTGGACATGACTGCACTTGTAGACAGTCATAATGTTGTTTACGAGGAGTCAGAAGATTGTTCTATCACTGAGTAACTTTGTCAACTGGATGAAGTCTGCTGATCGAAAAATCAGCATCCCTGGAGCACATAATTTTAGGTAAAATAAGATTGCAGCAGACAACGTAAGTCACCTTGACATGATGGGAATGTCGCAGACCAAGACCAGCTCTGCTCGTTCCGTTGGCATTGTATGGACATGGTGCCATTCACGTCATATCCATCGTTGCATTCAAGTGTGAGGGTTGAGTACAGAGAGTAGTTCACGGCCGGTGCACCTTCAACAGGTGTTTGGATAAAGTCGCCATTTTCGACCATGGGAGGTTCTTCGCATTGTATTGCTGCATATCACAACGAAACATAACAAAAACAATTGCTCATTCCTGGACACACATGGTATGTTCGAAGCTTAAAAAGTACCAGACTTCAAGATTATCATGTTGTATTCTAGTAGCACACTCCATCTGTCTACTAAAGCAAACTATGGATATTCCCTTTAATGTTACCTCATCATTGGAAAATCAAGGACGAGAGCAATTTGCAAAATATGTATTGATCAGCCTCCTGCTGTAAGAACTTGAAAGACTCCATTGCAACCAATTACGAAGTCCACAAGTTCCTCAAACCAGCTGTCATAGTAAATGCAGGCCGCTATTGCAAGTGCGTTTCATGTTGCATTCACTCCACAATTGTATATAGCTCAATTTTCAACAACCAAGAGGGCACGTTCGCCCAGTGATGGGAAGCACCTTAAATGCAGCTTCGATGAGCAGGGCACACATCAGCTTTCGCTCAATGTGATGTCTACTGAAATGTAAGGACCTGCCAGGCACATGCAATTCGGTGCTTCTAGCTGAGGCGTTGTATATGCAAGGTCGAAGGAGAGGAAAAGGATAGCCAAGGTCCTGCAAAACGTGCTTCACTACAATGTAGTATATACAATGAAAGGAGAACATCATTTTTTACCCAGGGTCCTTTAGACTGATATTTCAATGTACATGTATTCAAATTGACTTACCCAAACAAGATGTACCACTGCCGGCATACCCGGGGCAGCATTCACAGGTAAAGGTGCCAGGAGTGTTTCTACATACAGCATTCATGTGACACCGTCTGTTACTTCCACTGACTCCGCTTCCGGAGTAGTCGCTATCGCCTGCGTCTGGATCCATGCCAGATGAGGCGTCAATGCTGCTGCCGATTAAACTGACACCACCACTCATGCTGCCGCAGTTTCCAAAGTCCATAACGGTGGTGTTGCCAATGTCATCCTCACCGCATTCGTTTTCATCTGAAGGAAGGTGAAATGACACAGACGCACTTCGTGACTTGCAGCTTGGAAATATAGCTCTGGCATTTTTGAGACTTTCCCAACTTTACTCATTGAATGCTAAACCTAATAATAATGTAAACAGGCGTTTCGGAAACAGCAGTTTTGATATAGCAGCGCGGACGACTACTCGCACTGTAAGCATTTCCTAAATGTCGACATGTACATGCATGAGTAAAATGTGAAACGATGATCGCAAGGCACACCACGAAAGCGAAATAATGCTGAACAGAAAAAATCGCATCCAGGCAGGTTTATCTGCACATTGCCGCAGCTTCAGAGGGCGTAGTGTTTTCTAGTAGTTGTAGGGTTAGCCATGCATCCTCATAGCACTACATCCTCATAGCACTCTCCAAGCACTCTCCTGTACTACAGTAGGCTACACCAATCACTGAAGGAAATAATGAAATCCGAAAATGTTGCCGGATGTATGGATGGCAACAGCGGAGTAAGCGCATATTGAGAAACGTTCTAGGGTTAAGGCTGCACACCAGTCAATGCATGGACAGTACCTATGTACAGTACAACCTGTCAAGGTGACCACTCAGATAAAGCGACCACCTGTGCTAGAAGACCAATGAAACCAGGACCAAGGGATGCTGTTTCCAGTCAACTGACCCTGGACAAGGAGACCACCTGGTAACAGAGACCACGTTTTGAAGGTCCCTTGAGCGGTCATCTTACATAGGCTTCACTGTACATGCGGAGAATGTTCCTGTATAGGCTCCATCGCAGCTTACCTATACACACCGGCTCACTGTCTGACCATTGGCCACTAGCGTTACACTCTAACGCAGTCGCACCATCCAGATAGAATCCAATGTTGCAGTTAAAGTCCACAATCGTTTCGAATGTAGTGTTCCTTGTTGACAGGTTGCCGTTGTCTATCACACTCAGGTCCGGACAGGTCACGACTGAACAAGCACCCAAATATGCATAGAAAATACACTGGATACCTCTCCCTTCATGAATTTCAAAAAAATGTGCCGGTGCGTGTGTGTAAGGTGTAAGATGTAGGTGTGTGTATGTGTATGCATGTGCGTGTATGTGTGTATACATGTGTGTTTGTGTGTGTGTATATATGTGTGGGGGGGGGGGTGCGTGCATGTGCAAGAGAGCTTGGGTGTGTGCATGCTGTGAACCATATTTCAGAGTGAGCATTAGTAGTAACGGGAATGAAATTCAATCAGGTGCAGGCCTGCCGGAACCGGTCTCCGGTTGGTCAGGTTAACACCGGACCGACTTTGTAGCTACCAACGCATATTTACTGGTGAGGAGGGCATCTATCCCCGCCGCCGTATTACACACAAACTGTATGAAAGACTATGGTAGGACAGGACCAATTGCAAACTGCTTCCGACGGTCCTGTGTGTTATCTTGCACAAACCAATTGACTTACTTTGACACTGCGGCTCAGAACCGTTCCACGTTCCATCAGCCTGACAGTAGAGCACAGAGTCCTGGCCATCGCCTATGAAGTACCCTGGGTCACAGCTGAAGATCGCCGTGTTGTTGAACGTCGGAGATGTCAAGTTCAAATCGCCGTTTTCAGGTGCTTGCAGGTCAGGCAGGCAAGGACGAGCTACAGAACACAAGGAATGAGAAGAACAACGCGTGTTAACTTTGCAAGAGCACGTGGCATAGCGTCGCAATCTGCATGTCAGTCTAGTGACTGTAGCCAAGTGATGTGATCCAATAAAAAAGGGTTTCCATGAGTATACGGCTTCCATTCGCCTGCTGCATAACTCCAGATGATTGGGTAGGCATCCACCTTGAGACACACACAACGGATAAGGGTGCACTGAGCTGTTGAATCTGAACCGTGTCTTTCTGGAACAACATAGTGGTTGAACACTAAAGACCAGTCCAGACGGCAAGTATTTCAACTCCACAAAGGACATGTTGGATGCACATCTAGTCACTCCGGCCTGGGCTGGTGAACATCACCGGTGCCAAGTGGGTGCATCCAGGATATCATGTACACATGAAAGCAAACTGGTGCACGATCTTGTTAACATGCCAGACAGGCTGGCTTGGCCATGCAAGATATCGGATACCTCACACCTTGACTCTAGACAACATGGCCTTGCCATATAAACGCACAATGAATTTCAGTTTAGTTGTTGCTATCACGCTCTATGTACAATGTTAGACAGTGGTACTTGCCTTCACAGATAGGAAAGTCGTCAGACCATTGACTGTTCTGCAGGCATACAATATTGTCTGCCCCGACGATGTCATATCCAGGTCCGCAGCTGAAATCTAGCTCAGCCAGGAGAGAGTAGTCGATTTGGGGTGCATCTTCGTTACGTGTCTGGAAAAAAACCCTTCTGGGCTCCTCTGTGGGTGTGTCACACTGAATTACTGCAACAATGACATCACAAGAATACATAACAAAATGGCGGAAATGCATAAGGGCACGTGGATGATTGCTTCCACCACGTCACGATACGCCTATTAGAACATTTCCATTGCACGAAAGAAGGAAGCTTCGTGCATGGAACTTAAATATTCCTCCTGGTAACACACAGAGCAACAAATGGCAAGGCTAGGTTGTCATTACTATGAGTTTCATCTCCTGGTATCAAAGAAAAGGTGAAAACCTATACATTGAAGATTGTAAAGCATACGCATTTAACCCAGGAAACAAAAAAAGATAAAGGAACATCTGTCTATCAAGCACCCTTGTAAGCAGGATGCAACAACACACATGTCTGACTCGCCTACTGTTGACTTTGTTTGGTGGACTCACCTTCGCACTCGGTGCCATTCCCAGCGAATCCAAATGAACAGTTGCATTCAAAGGATCCGGGGAGGTTGGTGCATGTGGCATTCCTATCACAGTTGCTCAGTTCGGTGTCGGTACACTCGTCAATATCTGGGTAACGAAAACCAGAACGGAATTGAAATAGTGTTTAGCAGCGCAAAGAATTAATAGATTGTATTCTAAAAATGGCAAAGCTGCAACAACTACATTGTAGATCTACTAATGTAGATTAGAGTAAATGTTGAAGCGTATACCTAAGTGCACGTTGAGGGGAAATGGTGGACATGTGTGTGTATATGTGTGCGCATGCAAGTGTGTGCGTGTGTATGCTTTTTTGGTGTATAATTTTTTGATGTATCTGTCATACAAATAGCCAGCATTACTCCATAAAAGCGGGACTTTTTTTGGACAGGAACCAGCCTGGGCTTCAAACACATGTACCGACATATGATCAACGCTGTACTGGCATATGGCTAGATAATCACACATACCTCCACAGACAGGTGGCGTGCCGCTGAAACTTCCATTACTCTGGCAAACTCGTACTAGGTCTCCCTGACTAACATTGTATCCTTGCAGGCATGTATACCGTACGCGGTGATCAAACAGGAATACCTCTCCCTCGGGACCAGACACAGTTCGATTTGAATTCTCAACCAGATCAGGCTCAACACATTCAACTCCTGCAGTCAACAGACAGAGTAAGACAGAAGTGGATGATTTCAACATGCTGTATAGGAAACTAAAGTGGAATTTCATCAATTTAACAACCAGCAGGATCACGAAAAGACACACCAGGTACCCTGAGGAGCGTCGTTACTTCACCGGCGTAGCCGATGAACGGCAGTAGAACCATGAGAATGTACATGTACCTCGTCAAAATATGTAACAGCATGGCTCGCTGAGAGAGCAGTATGAAATGGTAAACTTTGTGTCGAATGTGAACTGGCAGTGTTCTCAAAATTACACTGAAGAAAGGCTGAGAATCAACATGCATCACCTTTAAAAACACAAAACAGGAAGACTATCAACTTAGAACTTGTAGAATAACCTACATCTGATTCTCTAATCATAATGGCTTACTGGCAACGCAGTCTGGTGGCAAAAATCCGCTTGGACACATGCAGACGCTGGTTCGGAAATCACAGCTAGCATTGTTGGCACACCGATCGGAGCAGCGGCCTGTACAACCATCACCAAACGTGCCCTCCTCACATTCTGGGCATGTCAACAAAACAGAGACCATCAGTTAACTCGACATTACGGTATTCTAGGGGTTATCTGAAGCCGCTAGCCTTGTCGTCTCGGGATCATCTGACCATATGCCAGATCGCAAACGTGCAAATAGATATCTTCCAACCAGAAGAAGCATGGTAACTCCCTGCTTCTTCACATGGGGTACATTATGAGTGTGATAATAGTAGAGACTGGGAAACGTGGTTTACACTGCTTTTAAAATTTGTCTAATGCTATTTCGCTCATAAATATTTAATAGAAGCCGTAGCAGTTGTCATCCTTACGCTCTTCGCACAGCGTTCCGTTGTAACCAGGCACACAAGTACAGCTGCCGTCCACCCGATCACACTCCGCTCCATTCTGGCAGAGACAGGTCAGCGCGCAGTCTTGACCGAAAGTGCCGTCCTCGCAGGCTGTAGGAGAAAGGAGAGCCGGTTAAATGAGCGGAAGTCGCAAAATGCCAATGAACCATACGATTGTGTTTAGACGAGATGGGCACGAGTTCTCTATATCTATGGACCCGTGCTCATGATGTCATTCAGCACGACCAGCAATGACGTAATAGCAAAACCTCTACAGAAGAAGCGTTTCAGGATGTAGACACAGGAAACATGCCCACATGCCAGCAGAGGAGAAGGATTTGAGTCTCTGCATTTACACTGAAGCACACGGCCAATTAAAAGTGAATTGCATTAGCTGAGGTAAAGCTGGACATCGAGCTACATCACAGTCACATTGCTTACGACTAGCACAGTTTGGCCGTTGAAATCCAGGAGGGCAGATGCAATCTCCAGTCTGGAAAGTGCAGTCCGCGTTGTTAGCACACACTTCGGAGCAAAACCGAGTGCAATCTGGTCCAAACACACCAGCTGTGCAACCTAGATATGGAACAATGCAGAACACCGATTCTTCATTGCTTAGACTAATTTGTACTAAGGCTCCATCTTGAGGTCTTCAAAATGACGGCGGGAAGCACTGAACCATGATCATCCATCCCTTTGGGTATTCGTATAACTACTGCAATTTATTCTATTCAAAAGTTTTCCAATATCGTGCCTGCGATTCAGCAACACTATGCAAAATGCTGGACGTACTACATGCCACATACACGACTAAAGCCCAAGACAGCTCATCAGGGGTGGTATAGCCCCAGATCGGCTACAGGGCCGGAGTCAGCACATGAGGGGTGGTACGGCCCCATGTCGGCTAGATGGCCCAACAATCCCCATGCCCAATTTCAGTGCCATGAGCTAGTCCCAAATGTGGCATCATAATTATCTGGTTGTTTCTGCTACACATTCCGCTATAGCAACAGACACCTAGCAAAGCATGACTGGACAAGAAAAACAGCTTAGGTGGAAGAGACTACACAGTAAGGGTAACTTAGCTTGATTGTGCTTCCACATAATAAATGATAACACTTGACATTCCATTAAAGCTGAAATTGGTAAAACTGGTGTGGCCATGGGGTACAGGCCTTACAAGTGGCGCAGGCCTTGGACTCAACATATGGTTTACTATAATCCAAGTCTTTCTTTTAAAAGGCAAGAACTTCAAAACCGCAGCTCACCAAGGAATACCCAATACTATTAGTATGTATTGTGGAAGTCTATGTATACTGCAGGGGAGACTTCATCCAAGTATGTTGCTTACGATTTTGACAAATTTCACCAATGTAGCCCGGCGCACATGCGCAAGAGCCATCAACCGGATTGCATGTTGCTCCATTCATACACCGACATTCCGCCGAGCAGTTCTGACCAAACGTGCTGTTCATGCAAGCTGCAGGCCAGCAGTACAGAGATGAGGGAAAAAAAGACAAAACTCAATCGTTTGCAACTGCAGACCCTAGTCCATAGCAACGATGTGGCATATCTCTCACGGCCAGACCTTCAAAGTAATGCTACACTGGGATCATATGAAAAATAGAGTTTGGGCATTTCCTCCTATACGTTGATGCCAACGCCATAACAGTAAAACATACCATATATGCATTGATAAGAACCTGGAAAGGCAGGTGCTCAGGTCGCACCAACCAAGAACACTACACTAGTCATACAATATTTTCCGAAAACAAGCCATAATGGAGCATACCAGAAACAGCTGTTTTCCCTTCATCTCGAGTTGTTGCTATGCCCGAGGTCGTCATTCACGAGGTTGACTGTGTACAAAGAAATATTTGTTGGCCATATCAGATAGGCATAATTATATTATGAGGAGGTCTACGTACGCCATTGACCTGCAGGAATGCAGGAATGGAGAGGACTACGTATATACAGGAAAATTATCATAACTGTAAGCATGACTTACTTTCGTTGCATGCAGCACCAATGGATCCGTTGAAACAGGCACAGTGGCCGTTGACGGGATTGCAGATACCTCGATCACACACGCAATCGAACTGGCACTGAGGGCCAAAAGTCGTGTTACTGCAGCCTGCGACGAAAACATAAAGAGTCATTGCAAATATTGTTGCTTCTTAGAGAGGCCCCCTAGTTGGCTTGGTTTAATCTTTTAGATGCAAACACTTGACATGCATGGTAGTACCCATTCAGAGATGAAGACATGACAGGAGGCAGTACATGTAGACCAACACACAAAGGGTAAATGACACCAGGCCGGGCACATAGACAAATACGATTCAAAGATAGCTGCTCTAGTAAACTGGTAAACTTTGCTCATCAATTTGGTTGATCACTTACCTTGACAGACAATCCCGCCTCCGGAGAATCCCGAGTTGCACTGGCACTGAAACGAGCCTATCGTATTACTGCACATCGCATTGATATCACAGTTATCTGGGTTCTCCACGCATTCATTCATATCTGAATACAAGTAGGGAGAAAAGGTTATGGCAACTTCTGGCAAAGTCATCAATGCAAACATAGCTGAGTTATTGACACATATGAAGAGAAGAGATCCAATTGAATTGAGCTGTAACAATACAGCACGCACTTAGCCAAAGCTTTCCAACACAGACTGAGCAGAACAGCACCAGTGGTGGGAATTGCGTGCATGCCCACCGTGCAGTGTGTGCAGTGGGGGGGGGGGGGGGGGGGGGGGTGCATTGGCCTACAATGACTGTGGTATGCCTGTAGTATTGTAATCCCTTTCAGTAGCAGTAGTTTCAGCAGGTAGAGAGCCATTGCATACAGCCCACAGTCACGAGATCTACAAATATGACAATATTGACTGATAGGTCTCACACACAGCAAGGAAGGTTCCCAAATACTGAATTCTAGAAACAGATCAGATCAGAATAAATAATTATGTATGACTAGACTTTGGTGGTGAGCCAAGGATGAATTTATAAGAAGAAAAGAGGACCAAAGTTCTAAAGTAACTGCTGGTTTTAGTGGATATTATAGCGTAACGTGTAGCTCTTTGGTCATCTTTTCTTCTTATAAATATTAATTTTGCAAGTACAGTTTCTGCAATACTGCTACAGCGCAGCTACGTACCTGTGCAGTTAGGAGGAGCGAAGTTGTAATCACCGGAGCGGAGGCATGTCAGGTCCATCGAGCCGGTCAGGTCAAAGCCAGTGCTACACTGGAACGTTGTGATGCCAAAGATGATGTTGTCCTGCACAGCTAAGGCGCCATTCTGAGGGGCTGGCAGAAGTGGGCACGAAATCACTGCAAGCAGCAGGAGAAAACACATCACAAACAGGAGAGCGGCTTGGATGCTTGCATTTTGAGACAGCGCTGGAGGAAAGTGAAACTCAAGAAAGATATCAGATAAAGATTTGGTTCAATAGGGCCCACCCATCATGTTGCCAAGGCAATACCATGATGATGACATGGAAGATGCTCTGATGCAAACGCAGCGGTTTTATCTAGCATGCGCGCTGATGCTTTATTCAGTTCTTGGCAGGTACCAACGCAGCAGAAAGCATGTTTCTGCACAGTATTAAACCTATTGCTATTGACGTACACGTGCAGGTCAAGCCGTCACCCGTGAAGTTTTCTGTGCAGTTGCATTCGAATGATCCAATGTTGTTGCTGCATACTGCATTTGGACTACAGTTGTGTGTGCCAATCTCACACTCATTGATATCTGCAAGAGGAAAGGCATAGAAAGAAGTACACAACAAACTGAATGTGTTTCCATTGTGGAAGATATGCCATCATTCAGCACTTAACACGAGAAAAACTGGATTTTTGACAGGCTAGAAACGACTTGATATACCATCTATGCCTTAGAGAATTAGCAGATAAATAGTTCTTTGGACAATAATTTTACCTGTACAAGTGGGTGCACGACTGTCATAAGTGCCATTTTGTAGACAAGACAGATTTGCTGCACCGGCAATGGCATAGCCAGGAACACAGGAGAACCGCACACTGCTGCCAAATAGAGCCTGTGAGTTGCCAATAATGAAGCCGTTGGCTGGAATAGAGTCGTTCAGTAATCGACATTGCACATCTGTGTGAACACATGATAATAGCAGCACCAACAAATTGAGCACACGAAGTTTTTTGGCTATTATCTGAAAAATGTGCCAGAATATCCGCAACAATTTCAGAAAACCATTTTTCACTAAAGGAAATCAGTATTTCCCCTGGCAGTTCTAGCTGAACAAAATCAGTCAGCATCATCCAGATTAACACTGATATAGATCAAGACGGTCGTGTATAGTAGTGCTTACTGTCACAGAATGTTCCATTCCCTGTAAATCCCAAACCACAGGTGCATATGAATGATCCAGCAGTGTTGCCGCATATAGCGTCAGGATGGCAGTCGTTTGACCCAGTTCCAGATCCACCGAACAGGACGTCTCCGCTGTCCCCACCACTACCACTACCACTGTCGCTGCTGCTGCTGATGCCACTGCCACTGCCAGTTTCACACTCATCCACATCTGTATGGTGTCAAAACAAAAAAGGGGCCACAATGCCCAGCTTAGCCCTATTTAAAACATGGCCGGTAACAACTGCCATGACAACAACTGCCATGACAACAACTGCCATGACAACAACTGCCATGACTTCATGCATAGCTTGAACCTGCTGTGATAATCAATACTGCTGAAAGAGCAACCTATCCACTAGGCATCCTCTATATGAACTCACCATCACACATGGGTGGCTCCACAGGTGATAGTTCACCTGTAGCAGTACACGTCTGCAACACCTGGTCCGTGGGTAGCTGATAACCCGCAGTGCAACGTACAGGCAACTCGTTCGGGAACGCAATGCTGTTGTTCAGAACCAGGCTTGAGTTGAAGTGCATTCGTTCATTAGATGCTGGTACAAGACACCGCACAGCTGTAGAACACAGATCGAAGGAGATTGAACTACACTGGACCTCATTGCTTATCCTAATAAAAATGATACAAAAGTACACCATTCACCATTACAAGTTGCAATCTCAGCTTGCATTTCAATGTGTACACTTAAACTCCTTGACTTAGTAGGATTCACTTTATCCAGATTGCTCTGGTGGCGGTCTCCCACCGACCATGCATTTGACCATACTGTGCAATGAAATTCGGGCGGAACAGAAATTAGACCAAGCATACATGTACTGTACTGTAGATTGACGGCCTCAGTTGCGGAGAGGCTCTCGTCCCGAGTTTGCCGAGTAAGGATCGTTCCAGTGGAAAAACAATTTGTTCTTTACTGGATAATATCTTTGCACAAGGTCGAAAACTAATCAATGCCATGTCTGGCTGTACCTCGTACCTCTACAGACAGGGCTTGTGCCATTGAACTGCCGACCTTCGCCACACGTTCGGACTGTACGATTACTGCCAATTACTGGCACATAGCCAGTCGCACATCTCACAATCAAACTGGAGTTGAAGAAGAATCGCGTGCCTTCCGTCTCGATCACTATGGTTTCATCAGTTGTTGGGCGCTCACAGAGGTACTCTGGTGTTATGAAGTAGAAACACAAAACACAAGAAGAATTGGGACACTACACATTTCGGACAAAACCCCTAATTCGCTATACTTGCGATGGATCCATTGATCTGTTCATGCATGGTAACGATTTTCACAGAGATGCACGAGAAATCAAATTAATTGTTGCCCAGGATTCGATGAAAAAATGTGAGGAAGAATAATGAAAAGTGAAGCAAATTCCATGATAGCGCGGTTGCGTTTTCTGCGCACCTTCACAGAACGTTCCATTTCCTGAAAATCCTTCATTGCAAACACAATGAAAGCCAGGAACATTGTTGGTGCATGTAGCGTTGGGATGACAAGGGCTGCCTTCCAGACATTCATCTATATCTACACACCACAATAATATAGGACAGTAAGGCAGGAATCAAACATGGACCAATGGATCATGGAATACTATCAAATGCACAGAATAAGAACATCAGTCTGCATGAAAGTCACATGTAAGAGATACTCGGGACCAGCACGTGGTCTGATAATTGATAACAAACTTCTTCAAGCTGCTCAGGTGACTGACACATATTATTCTCATGCATTTTTGATGCATTGAATGCTTAGACTATTTCAGAAACACAATAAACAGGCTAAAAGGTACTGAAGAATAGCAGACATGAGGGATGGTGGGGACATGTAAGAGGAATGCCATAAGTGGGTTCTTACCATTGCAATTTGGCACAGGTGGTGCTAATGTCTGTGATGCCTGACACACCGGGAAACTAGTCGATGTCAGACGGTAGCCCGGGCAACAGGTCACGTTCAATGTGCTTTCAAACGCGATCAGGATACTCTCAGAAGTGGATGTAGGGACGCCATCAGGACCAAGACCGGAGCCAGTTTGTGGGCATGAAGCCAGCCCAAATAGGGAATCACTAACATCCACCAACACCACATTATCAGGCAAATTGTTGACTTCACACAGCACTCCTAGAAGCACAGAAGGACAAAAGCTTTGGAGAAGATGGATCTCCGCATCTAACTCGTTTAAAGCTGTGAACACATCATTGCCATCGCGTTCATTTCACCTAAAAAACACTATATGCTATATCTCACACCTACTCTGAGCATCAGGCCTGCTATCGCCATATAGAACACATTGAAACATGCGCTGAAGTCACCAAAACATAGTGATAAAGTTGCGCGTTGGCACCTGTGATAAACACCAGAATGATCCCCCCAGTCAGTGCTGGTGACAAGGCAGCAAGGTGAAAAATTCCTACACAGCCTCCACTCACGTTCACACTGAAGTCCTGTTCCCGTGTACCCAGCGTTACAGGTGCACTGAAAGGATGGCGACAGGTTAGTACAGCTGGCGTCTGGATGACATGGCAATGTCTCGCATTCATTGATATCTGAAATAGCAAAACAGTCGAAGTCAGCGACATGTAGCTTTGGGCATCCCATGGGGCTCCTAACATGAGACCAATATAGCACTGTAACCTTCATGTGCACTGCATTTTGAAAGACAAGGGCGCGGGTAGCAAAACAATACCAGAGTTGAAACGATCGCACACGATCAAAGTGCATCGCCACTAAATTTCACACAATTGAAGACAGCACCTCTTTCATATCAAGCTGCGTGTGCTCAAATCCACCGTTTACTAGTTTATGCTCTAAGAACGCACGGTTGATTTTAGTCAAACATGGTACTACTAGTAACTCTGAGTTGCTTGTTTTCTGAACAAGTGCTGTGAGCAGGACAAATTCCTCACTTCTGCCAAACATGCTAAAAAACAGAAGAAACGGTAAAGTCACACTAGCTGACAGAGCAATCAAGCTGATTCTAATGCAACCATACCCATACTCCCTTGCTTGTGGCATCCAACAAATTCTCGGGACCATTTTTTGTCTTCAGCTCAAAGCACACATTGTGAAAAACTCAAATCAATGTATGCATGAGATCAGCAGTGATTTATGCAGTATCTCTGTAAATGTCTGTATATCAAAGTGCAGTGCAAGTCTAAGCAGTACCGTGTGAATATGATAAGATAAGTAACATTGAATTGGTGAAGTTGTCATCAGATGCATTACATTCATTTGTCATTGGTCGGTAGTTTGAATCCTAATGCCAATATCTGAAGCCCCGAGCTTAGCCTAGGGGAACTTCCACCGGGTTGACTGGCCTGACATCCGCACGATGCTCTGGAAAAGCGGGCCATGGACAGTCTCCCAGGCTGACACTGCATTGAACGGAGATTTCGAGTACTTCTCTGGAATGGCGTCGAGCTTTCCCGCCGAGCACTGGACGTTGTGCAAGAGCCATGCCAAGTCGGTGCTGCCCTCCATCAGCTCCAGTGTACTGTACAGCGTGTAGTCACACAGCCGCGACTGACCTTCTCCTTCGCTTGCTCCCTGAAGCAGCCACTTGGCGAGAAACAGGCTACTGGCAGCAACGTACGACGGCCTCCATCGTGCCGCAGTCGGGCAGAGTATCGCCAGCTCAGTAAAGTACTTTGCCACACAATGCTCGGCTGAGCTCGAGTCTGTTCCGTACGAGAACATTCTCAGGAACTGCAAGCTGAATGGCCGCATTATGCTCATGTCAAGAGCCGCCAGTTGGCTGCGTTCAAACTTGATGATGTCGTCGCTACTGCAGCCGTAGTCAGTGATGTAAGCAAAGTCAGCTACCTCGGGAGTCTGCACCTCCTCGTACTTCGAAGCTACAAGCATGGATGTGACTCCAGCCAGCTGCAGGTTTCGACCGGTCACGGGCATTTTGTCGAGGACGGCATCGAGCAACTGTACTGTTTTGAACAGTGTCTCCTGTAGTAGGCCGTAGCGATAATGAACCTTCACCAGCCAGTTGATGAGGAATGCTCTCATCATCATACTGACATCGGTGCGCTTCAGAAACTTTCTGCTCAGAACGTACTCGGGCTTGCTCTCTGCCGTTCGCATGTTGGTCAGGATCTGGTCATAGTACTCCAAACACATCTGCGGATTTTCTGGTACATACTTGACACTGTGAGCCCTAGTGACACTATCTCTGTCGTCGTTAGGAGGTGCACCTTTCCCCGCCTGATCATTGCGTTCGTCCTTTCGTTTTTCTCCACCAGCACAGAGTGGGTTCAAATCGGACGTGGCAGCCTCAGGTCCCTTGCCTTTGTCTCTTGCATCATGTCTTGTGCACCCTTGTGCAGCGTCGTCCTTGACTTCATCATCAGCAAGCAGGACACTGGAGCAGTCACTCATGTCGATATCGGAGAACATGTCCATCCAGTCTTGGTCAGTGTCTGCCTCCCAGGATGAATCCTGAAAGGTATCGTCGGACTTCATTTGCTGATCAGGAGACTCGACGTCGGATGGCATGTCTATCTCTGCACCCCTAGTGACACTATCTCTGTCGTCGTTAGGAGGTGCACCTTTCCCCGCCTGATCATTGCGTACGTCCTTTCGTTTTTCTCCACCAGCACAGAGCGGGTTCAAATCGGACGTGGCAGCCTCAGGTCCCTTGCCTTTGTCTCTTGCATCATGTCTTGTGCACCCTTGTGCAGCGTCGTCCTTGACTTCATCATCAGCAAGCAGGACACTGGAGCAGTCACTCATGTCGATATCGGAGAACATGTCCATCCAGTCTTGGTCAGTGTCTGCCTCCCAGGATGAATCCTGAAAGGTATCGTCGGACTTCATTTGCTGATCAGGAGACTCGACGTCGGATGGCATGTCTATCTCTACATCGCATGTACTACCGTCCACAATGGCTTCAGTCGTGAAGCTCATACAATTGCTAGATGTATCTGCTGCATTTTCTTCAACAGGGGACACTGAACAGCAGGCTCTAGGAGCTTCACTCGGTACAGCAGCCTCCGGTTTAGTGAGTATCGCAGAGCTTTCTCCAAGATCACCGTCAGGTGGCAGAAGATCGTGGAGAGAGGAAGGCATCACCTCACAAGAGGTACTGGGGTTGGCCTTGCTCACAGTCTTATCATTGTCGCCAGGCTTGTCAGGAGCGATGTCTTCAAAGCATGCCTTCACTGACTCTGGCACAACACGGGAGCCAGAAGGCTTGACTGGCTCGAGAAGCTTGGTCTTGGTGATGGTCTCGAAATTGGTGATGTCCTGCAGAGCCGGTCTGCCCTGGGCGCCGTGTCTACGTCCCTTGCCTGGCAATACTCGCGTAGCGTTTGTCCCAGTGGCTTTGCATGTCAGCACAGAAACCTGCCTAGCAGCAAACTGCTGAATGGAGGTCTGATCCATGGTGTCCTCTCCAGCTGGAATGGTTCAAATATCCCGTCTTGACTTAGCCACTGCTTGATCAAAGTGAGCAAGGGTAAGCACTAAGCTGTTGTAGAAATAGAAATGATCAACCGAAATGTGGCGGTGGGAAACTATCTATGTACAGGCAGTGCTAACGTTTTCGCTTGCACTGTTCGTCAGCTGCAGTTCCATAAGATAGTTGAAGGTGCCATAGTGTGAGGTACAGCGGTGACGACTGATCAGTAGTGACAGCATTGTCAATTTAGCACTATCACCATATAGATTTGAACTGATCTTTTTAGATGGAGGCAATCTAATAGTAGATTGCGCTAGATTGACTGAGAAAATCTTCCTGCACTGTAGGTTAACATAGCATGAACGGCATGTCATCCATAACTGGTGCAAGGAACGCCCTTCAGAGATGCAAACATAGGTACAGCTAGCACATGAGATGTGACAACAGCTGTTGAACCAGTGATCCTGTTCTAGTACATTTACAGTTATCACTTGACCAGTAAACTATCAGGTTTGTATTGTACAAAACTAACTGGGCTTGACTTCAGCAACAAACGCATTGTACCCAAGAAAGGTAACGAAAGCACACACAGTAAGGAACATTATACAGCTGATCTATGGACAATGATGCTTGCAGTGCATACAGATTTGAGTGAAATCCTGTAGAGGCCCTAAGGAAGAGACTGTACCTTCACATGTGAACCCGTTTCCAGTGTATCCACGAAAGCACTGGCAGGCAAACGATCCATCCGTGTTTGTGCAACATGCATCAGTATGGCATGGACCTTCTCCACTGCCACTTCCACTGCCACTTCCAATGCCACTGCCAATGCCACTGATGGTGCCACTGATGCCGCTAGCAGAAACGCCAGTAGAGCCACTACCTGATCCAAAGTCGGAACATTCAATTCTGCCACACTCATTCACATCTGCATTATAACACACGCATACATGCGTACACATGGGCATCAAGTTGATTAGCTTGACCCTCACGCAAAGGCCACCACTATGTGCAAATCCAAGTACCACATTGTGGCATTGGCAATGACGCCAGGTATTACACGTCAGTACATGCATACACACACACACACACACACACACACACACACACACACACACACACACACACGTGGTCCTGGTCCTGGTATACACCGCCATGTAGGTCACGTGTTTCTCGTTGAGCGAGACGGAGACGAGAGGAGACATGAGCGTTGGTGACGGGATAAGTCATTTCGCCTTTTGAAACGCATCTGGCAATTCTTACATTGCAATTGGAACTTGTCCCTTTCATCAGCAGTTGGGCGCCTCACACACACACACAACTACATTATACAAACAATCACACACGCACATAGGCTCGCACCCCCCCCCCCCCCCCCCCACACACACACAGACAATCACACACCCACTTTTGCACTAACCTTGACAGAAGGGAAATTCTGCAGACCAGTTCCCATCCGTCTGACACTGAATAAACTGGAGCCCGCTAACATCATACCCTTCTGCACATGTCAGACTCAGGTTTGCGAAGAGGGAAAAGTTGACCTGTGGCAAGCCCGCTGCTAGGAGCAGTGCGAAGTTACCATTCTCAACCCTAGGCGGTTCCTCACACTGGATCTCTGCAAGGCATGAGAAATACCAAATTGTGATGAAAGGTGTCAAAGATGGAAAGTGGGCACAGGGAAAAGTGGAGTATTATCAATAATTCCCCTTTGGGGGGGGGGGGGGGAGGCAGGGCGTGCAATCACTACAGAACCAGGTTCAGAACCAGCTTCATAGACACTAGTCATAACTCCATGGAAACAATTATAGTTGGGAAACTCTAGCAAGGTATAAATCAGGACAGATTGCATACTATCAGGCGCTAAGGGTGTGAGTTTTTTTGCGCTAGTAATTCTAGCTCTCGGACACACTTGTATGTTCACAGGAATGGGTTCCCTTGCACAGGAATGGGTTCCCTTGCACAGGAATGGGTGCCCTCGCACACGAATGGGTACCCTTGCACAGAAATGGGCGCCCTTGCCCATGAATGGGTGCCCTTGCACAGGAATGGGTGCCCTTGCACAGGAATAGGTGTCCTTGCACATGAATGCCCAGGGTGCCTTGCACATGCACAACCGGAACACTATGGTACAGCGTAGGTATAAGGTATCCAACTATAGTGCTGGCAACTGAAATCCGACCACTGGAGCAGTGCGCTCACATTGCAAAGACCCAGCAACGAATTGTCACACAACAAAATGGAGTCCGCTAGACTGGGTGCCGCACTTGAGGACGAAAATCAGGGGTCGGATTTCAGTTGCCACTACTGTAGCAAAATTCAACTACCTGTACACAAAGTGCCATTTCCAGTATAACCCAGAAGACAAGTGCAGTTGAATGAGCCTTGTGTGTTGCTACAGAGAGCACGGCTGTCACAGTTATGGGAGCCATTCACAACACACTCATCCACATCTGAGAGACAAATCAAAACGCAAAGGACAACCACAAATAAAGTAAAGCAGAGGCTTCGTAGATATGGCAAAGAACCTTTGAGACGGCAAAGCACATAAAGGGACTCAGTTGTAGGTGCCAACATAGCAACACCGATACAATCGTCTTGCAAATACAATTATAGGCCACTGGGCACATTCACAGCAGCCTGGAGCATTTAACCCTTTAGTTCTGGTATGTCGACTTCCACATATGCTGACAGTGCACACTGAGAATGATCACAAAGCCAGCCTCGTACATCGCAGATGCCTGATTTTGTTTACAGAGACACCTTAGCAGCAGGCCTATCGATAACTACAGGTAGTGCGGGTTGCATTTGAAAAAATCAAGTTTGGATCGACACGAATATGCACATCACGCACAGCATGATCAGGCAGGCACCAAAGGGTTAAGAACTGAGAGACATCATGCAAGCATGTAATGCAGAAAATGATGAACACTGGTGCGAACCTTGGCAGACTGGAAACTCTGCGGACCAGCTCTCATCGCTCTGGCATTGTATCGTCTGGGTGCCGTTCACCGCGTAGCCTTCATCGCACAGCAGAGTGAGATTCGACAGTAAGGAGTAGTTAACCGCCGGCAATCCTGGCGCAAGCCGCTGTACAAAGATTCCGTTGTCCTCCATGGGTGGCTCTTCACACAGGATCTCTGCAATGCAAAAGAAGAAAGTCGTACACCACCTTCACTTCTAGCATCACAGACTTCATCCACGGATGCAGATTATGTAAGGCTCGTGAAGAACCAGACACAAACACAGTAGAAAATGTCCCCAGCACATGTCTGTACTCAGACGGACATCTGATCCAGGTCCCTGTAAGTCGAATTCCTCTTCACATTGAGCATAAGCTACCGTATCTTCAGGAGTACAAACCGTACTGGATTAGAAGACGCACAGATATTGGTTGTCCCCAAATCCAGACATCTACCCTGTCTTTCACGGTTCATTCGACCTTCATAGTATAAGCCACGACGACTTTTTTCAAGTGAATTACGAGATATTTAGTGATTGCCTATTGCATCGATCCAAGTGGATCGATATTTGAATGGCTGGTAGTGAGAGTGTTAAGGCGCGCAGGCGCGTGCTCGGCGATGGGCACGGGGGGCACGTGCACCCCCCAAAAATTTTCAATCTGGGTAATTGCAATTGTAATGTATGCAAATATGCTCTAAAATTCAAGAAAGGTTGCAAACAAATTGCAGAAAATTGCCGGGCGGGGGCTCCCCTCGGCTCCCGTGCACCCCCCCTAGTTGGGGGGCCGAGCACGCCCCTGGTGCGGTATACACTCCGGAAAACAAGGTACATGACTGTTAGCCATGGAGAAAACTAGTTATACCCTGGATGGTGATTAATCAGCTGTACAGTGCCAATAGGTACCTACCTGTGCAGAAAGTGCCATTCCCAGTATAGCCCAGAAGACAAGTACAGTTGAATGAGCCTTGTGTGTTGGTACAGAGAGCACGGCTGTCACAGTTATGGGGACCAGTCACAACACACTCATCCACATCTGAGAGGGAAGGTGAAATAGCAAAGCACATAATCACAGTGTCGTTACTCGCCAAAGACTTTCCTTTAACAAACACATCGGTCACCTTAGAGGAAAGAAGACAAAAGACAACACCGCGGTGCACGTCATGATCAACATTCCACCGACTGAACCTGCCAATGCAATGTCAGAAAGTGCAATGGCGATGCACAATATGCTGTTCGTGTTCTTCTCTTGATTCTTATTGATTCAACCTCCACGTTTCACAATGATGACCTGTCTTTTGTTCGTAAAACATTGCAGAAGTTTGTATGGACAATGACCTTTGGTGGAAGGCAGCTCAATATTCTGGTACAAAAGTCTGGAAGAAAACTATAGAAAGATAGCCAAAGGGCAAACTGCAGCAGAGAGTTACCTTGACAGAACGGAAAGTCTGCAGTCCAGTTTTCATCTTCCTGGCATAGAATTGACACAGAGCCATTTACTGCATAGCCGTCAGCGCAGTCAATAGTTAGGTTTGAGTATAGAGAGTAATTCACCGCTGGTGCACCATCGACTGGTGTCAAGGTAAAAACACCATTGTCAACTTCCGGTGGCTCTTGGCATTGTAGTGCTACACACACGGGCACGCGCATGCACACACACACACACACACACACACGTACACACACGTACACACACATACACACACGTACACACAACAACAACAACAACAACAACAACAACAACAACAACAACAACAACAACAACAACAACAACAACAACAACAACAACAACAACAACAACAACAACAACAACAACAACAACAACAACAACAACAACAACAACAACAACAACAACAACAACAACAACAACAACAACAACAACAACAACAACAACAACAACAACAACAACAACAACAACAACAACAACAACAACAACAACAACAAAGATCCAAGTATCAGCATACACTAGGTATCCAGTCCTATGCTTTGTTGAAGTCAACTCAAATGCTTGATAGCTTGAGGAGCGAGCAAGAAAATGGGAAAGTCACACTAGTTAACATCCAAATATAGCCGCAGTTTCACAAGTGCTGTCAGCAGGTAGCCGGTGACAGGAGGTACCTGTGAATACATCGGGCAGCTTTGCCATGGTCTGTGGTGTTCAGTGCACATCTCTTACTGGTTAGTGTGCTACTGAAGCTGTAGTACTTACTACCAATACCAAACACCGAAAAGTCTTCATACATCTTTTAAAGCCTTCTTGGCAATAATAACCTCGGTGGAAAAATCAAACTGTGAGTCACAGCTAGGGAGAGAGACAGAGAAAGTAGATAACATAAAAGGAGACAGAGAAAGGGACAGAGTAGGACACAACACAGCACAAGTGCAGCCACCACTTACCAGTGCAGGCATATCCAGTGCCGGTATACCCGGGACAACACGTGCATGTGAAGTTCCCAATCGTATTGCTGCAGGCTGCATTGCGATCACACTGGAGCTCCAGAGCACCACCACTACCGCTTGCTATGTCTCCACTGCCCATGCTTCCACTGGCAATGTCTCCACTGGCAATGTCTCCACTGTTCATGCCTCTGCTGGCCACGCTTCCACTGCCACTCATACCATTGCCGCTCAACATGCTGCTTCCAACATTCTGACTCAGTCCACTCGCAGAGTACATCATGCTGCCACAAATTCGAAACATGAAACCACCACTTGCACTTCCACTACCGCTCCCACTGCCACTACCGCTCCCACTGCCACTGCTTCCGACATCGCTCTCTCCACATTCATTAACATCTGTGGAGGGCAAATGAAGAATACACTGCATTGACCAACTAAAGAACTGAAGAAAACCCTATCATCAAGCTTAGTCTCAAACTCGGTGATAACATGTCATCTTCAAATGTACCCATTCAACACTGTATGCGTACTGAACCAGTCCATCCGCTTCCCTGGATGTATAACACATGATTAGAACATATCTGTACCAAACAGATACAAGAAGTGCTCTACACCGTACTAGATAACACAATAGATCACACTCTATTGCATACAATGAAACCTGTTTAGCGACCGCTCAAGGGACCTTCAAAACCAGGTTTCTGATATCAGGTGGTCTCCTTATCCAGGGTCATTTGACTTGAAATAGCACCATCTGAGTCCTTGGTGCTGATTTCAGTGGTCTTCTAGGACAGGTGATTGCCTTATCCGAGTGCCGGTCACCTTGACGGGTTGTTCTGTGCTTGCACTCACCAAGACACTCTGGCTCAGCACCCGACCAGTTCCCACTGGCCAGACACTGCAGGTAGGGCAGACCGCTGAGACGATATCCAGCGCTGACGCACTCAAACTGTGCAACTGTCATGAAGCTGGTGTTCAGCGTGGACAGTCGACCGTTGGCCACTGCACTCAGAGTGCGACAGTTAACAACTGGAGATAGAACATAAGGCCACACACAGAAAAATATAGCTCTGTACAGAGACAAGTCATTTTCAGTATGTAAACTCCATAACAGCCATTACAGTCATAGCAGCAGCAGCAGCAGCAGCAGCAGCAGTTGAATCGAGTTGCGTTGAGTTCTATGTCCATTGTTGTTCTCACATTTTGCTGATTGTAACAACAGCTTTGTATTGAGCAGCAGCAGTCAGAGCAGGAGCAGCAGTCAGAGCAGCAGCAGCAGTCAGAGCAGGAGCAGTAAAACAGCAGCATCAACCTTTCAAACACAAAATGTACAGCGCATTTACAACTAAGCACTGTGCAAGAAATCCTGTTCAGAAAATTTGAAAAATGATCAGCTTCCAACAGCATTGACACTCTGCTTTCGCTTGTTGGCGTAACACAGGCAGCTTACTTTGACACTGTGGCTCAGAACCGTTCCATGTTCCATCAGCTTGACAGTAGAGCACAGAGTCCTGGCCATCGCCTATGAAGTACCCTGGGTCGCAGCTAAAGATTGCCGTGTTGTTGAACGTCGGAGATGTCAAGTTCAAACGACCGTTCTCAGGTGCTAGGAGGTCAGGCAGACATTGACGAGCTGAAAGAAATGATTTAGAGAGCATGGTTTAAAACATATGGATTGGGTGAAAATAGTGCTTTAACACTTTCTACATGGAAGAATGGATAAGCGGATCGACGGATTGATATATGAATGGATGGATTGAATTGCGGATGGATGTGGTGTCGGGTGGTCAGCTGGAGAGTCGGATGTTATGTTCTCATCTATACGACACTGCCCTCAGATCCAAAATATACTTGTATGACGATGGAAATTTGATCATATCAAACATAATGATATCGATAATTGTATGGCATGAAATACCATGAGAGCCCCAGTGGCCTAACAAATACGTGAGAAGGAAAATAATTGAACAACAAGATGAGCAAATATCATACCAACGATTAAAATCACTATACCCTCACCTTCACACAGAGTTCCATTGCCCACATATCCAGCATTACAACTACAGGAGAATGATCCCTGTGTGTTGCTACAGGTTGCATTCGCATCACAGTTATGACTGCCTCCAGCAATACACTCATCTATATCGGCACAGTTAAATCCATCTCCAGAGAAGCCAGTTTGACACGTGCAAAAGAAACTTCCGTCCGTGTTTGTACAGTTGGCAAACAGACTACATGGACCCACACCAGAGCCACTAGCACTGCCACTAGCACTGCCGCTCATCCCATCCATAAGGTTGTCATTGCCACTTGAAAATGAAAGACACTCATCAACGTCTGGAGGCAGAGGAAAATTATATTGAGAACAAACTGCTGAGTGATGGCAGAAGAACACACCTGGAAAAATGTCAGCAAATACATGCCTGTCCATACAATGTTCTCTCAGTTGCAAAGGATAGAGGACTCTACTGAAGACAGGCTGAGTGGGAACAAAGCAGCCTCATGGCAATTCATAGTATATTATACTGCACCTCTTTTTGGTCCGTTATCTGACCACTTCAAGACATATCAAGGAGTTTGGAATGAGATCGATTGCCAGGGAGTCTGGGGTATTGGGCAATGTTAGACATCCATAAAAGAACAGGGTAAATCAATACACCTGATAATTATACCTCACCTTCACACAGAGTTCCATTGCCCATGTAGCCAGCATCACAACTACAGGAGAATGATCCCTGTGTGTTGCTACAGGTTGCATTCGCATCACAGTTATGACTGCCTCCAGCAATACACTCATCTATATCTGAAAGCAGAGTTGGAGCATACAAGTCAGCAGTATGTTGAAGGTGAAAATTATGAGTTTGTTTGTTGATGGAGGGTAGTGGAGAGTGAAGAAATACATTCCTTGCAAAGAGAACGGGATTGTGGTGTTCTTCTCACTGACACATTGAAGGCACTGAAGAAAGAACTGGTCAGAGTTCAGCAACCTGTTTGGGTTTGGCTTACCTGCACAGTCAAAACCATTCCCTGAGTATCCGGTCTGACAGGTGCAAAAGAAACCTCCATCCGTGTTTGAACAATTAGCAAACTGGTCACATTGCCGTAGACCAGAGCCACTAGCACTGCCAATGCCATCACCACTACCACTTGACAGACCACTGTCGCTTGCACTAGCACCGGAGAATAGGAGACATTCATCAATATCTGCAAGAAAGGATCATAACCAATTGCTTTAGATAGGCATGAGAGAGAGAGAGAGAGAGAGAGAGAGAGAGAGAGAGAGAGAGAGAGAGAGAGAGAGAGAGAGAGAGAGAGAGAGAGAGAGAGAGAGAGAGAGAGAGAGAGAGAGAGAGAGAGAGAAAGAGAGAGATAGAGAGAGATAGAGAGAAGGAGAATGAGAAGGAGAGAGAGAGAGAGAGAGAGAAAGAAAGAGAGAGAATCAATGCTAGCACATGGGCTAAGGCAAGAGCAATAGCATGTACAATAAGTCTCCTGCAACGCTGCCCTCAAACCAGCATGCAATACCAAGTTGTTTTTTCACAATACCAAGCAGATGGCTCATGCATGGTACTTCTGACGAGTCGGTCACTAGAGGTTTCTGCTCTTCAACATAGGATACATCAGGGGAATACCAGTAATTTCTGTCTACTTTTGACATATATTTCCTCTTGTTCTGGTCACTACAGTCAGACCTCGCTTATCCGGTCCTCGTTTATTCGGTCCTCGCTTATCCGGTCCTCGTTTATCCGGACCCCTCGCCATCCGGAAGAAAATCGTTGGTTACCGATTTACAGCATATGCCATGTACACATACAGTATGTGTGTCCGATTATCCGGTTCCCTCGCCTATCCGGATATTTTTGTGGAAAACGGACTTGTGCGGTTAAGCGAGGTCTGACTGTATTGTCTATAAAAATAGCAGACTTTGGATTGATGCAGCATGAACTTAGGACGTGACAGCAATACATGTACTGTTTACAAAATAGAACTGGAATGCCCCTCCCCGCACACAAGCTCAAGGGCAATTGTTTTTGGAGGTTGAAGATGCAGCATAGCCTATACTGATCTTCATATAATTATTATAGAATTTAAGGACTTTCCATGACTAACTACAAGATGCAGATGTGCCAATGAAAGCAAAGAAACCATTAATCATAGCAACACGTCTTACCTAGGCAAACTGTGCCCGGTCCACTGTAGCCGAAATTGCAATCACACTGAAACTTTCCGTTTAGATTGGTGCAGATGGCATTTGAATCACAGTTGTTTAGTGTCACGTTGGAACATTCATCAATATCTAGAGCACAGAAACAACGCGGTGTCAGAGAGAAAACAGCGACCCAATGTCTTGCTTGTATCGGTACCAGGGCTAAACCAATGCTGGGGCAAAGTAACCATAAGAATAATACAATTGCGTTTTCTGCCAATGTTTCACGATTTCACTGCATATTCAGCGCACACTTGTGATCGTCTTGCAATTGTATGAGCAACACTACCTTATAATACAACTGCAGGGCCTGCACCAGTCAGCCATGCCACGACCAATACATAGAGATCCAAACAGACGGAAGGAGAACATTGGAGACAATGCACTGCGTTTTCTCAGTGACTCTCCAGAGCTGGTTGATTCAGCTCTGAGAGGCACAAGGTTGATTACCACACTGTGGACATAACTGCCTTGATCCTCTGCCACTGAAGGTAGCATCAGCATGACAAACTGGTACGAAGTCACCCCTGATAATGTCGTACTCTTGCTGGCATGCACACATCACTTGATGATGAAACATGATAAGGTTCCATAGATTACAAAACTACTTTGGGATATATCAAGGAAAGGAAGTGATTTGGGAGGAGATGGAATGAGAGTGTGTCCGGGGTATTGGGTACAAATAAGCACCAAACAAAACACACACATAACAGAACAGGGTAAATCATTACATGTATTAACTCTACCTCACCTTCACACAGAGTTCCATTGCCGATATAGCCAGCATTACAACTACAGGAGAATGATCCCTGTGTGTTGTTACAGGTTGCATTTGCATCACAATTATGACTGCCTCCAGCAATGCACTCATCTATATCGGCACAGTCAAATCCATCTCCAGAGAAGCCAGTTTGACACGTGCAAAAGAAACTTCCGACTGTGTTCGTACAGTTGGCAAACAGACTGCATGGACCGAGACCAGAGCCACTAGCACTGCCACTAGCACTGCCACTAACACTGCCGCTCATCCCATCCATAAGGTTATCATTGCCACTTGATAATGGAAGACACTCATCAACGTCTGGAGGCACAGGAAAATTATTTTAAGAACACAGAGCTGAGTGATAGTGAAAGAACACCCATGAAAAAATGTCAGTACATACATGCCTGCCCTTACCAGGTTCTCTTACCTGCAAAGGATAGAAGACTCTACTGAAGACAGGACTGAGTGGGAACAAAGGAGCAGTTATGGCATTTCATCGCATTATACTGCACCTTCTTCTTTTGGTGCAATAGTGGGAGTTTGTTGGCGCCGATGGACTTTCCATTATTCGACCACTTTGATACATATCAATGTCACGGCATAGGTACAGTCAGACCTCGCTTAACCGCACACATCCGCTTTCCCCAAAAATATCCGGATAGACGAGGGAACTGGATAACCGAACACCAGTTATGTTGGATGCATCACGTATGTTGTAAATCTGTAACCAGCTATTTTCTCCCGGATGGCGAGGGATCCGGATAAAAGAGGACCGGATAAGCGAGGTCTGACTGTACTGGAATGAGATCGATTGAGAGGGAGTCTGGGGTTTTGAGCAATGTTAGGAATCTGTCAAAGAACAGGCTGAATCATTCCATTTACACACTAATTATACCTCACCTTCACACAGAGTTCCATTGCCCATATAGCCAGCATTACAACTACAGGAGAATGACCCCTGTGTGTTGCTACAGGTTGCATTCGGATCACAGTTATGACTTCCTCCAGCTTCACACTCATCTATATCTGAAAAACGAAGTGGAAAGCAGAGTTGGAGCATACAAGTCAGCGGTTCTTTGAAGGTGAAAACTATGAGTTTGCTTGTGGATGGAGGGTAGTTGAGAGTGACATAAATTCCATACAAAGAGAATGGGATTGTGGTGTTTTTATCACTGAGACATTGGAGGCACTGAAGAAAGAACTGGTCAGAGTTCAGTGACCACTTTGGCTTACCTGCACAGTCAAATCCATCTCCAGAGAAGCCAGTTTGACATGTGCAAAAGAAACCTCCGTCCGTGTTTGTACAGTTTGCAAACTGGTCACATTGCCATAGACCAGAGCCACTAGCACTGCCACTGCCATCACCACTACCACTTGACAGACCACTGTAGCTTGCACTAGCACCGGAAAATAGGAGACATTCATCAACATCTGCAAGAAAAGATCAAAATCAGACCCCCACATGCAATTGATTTAGGGGGTCGAAGATGCATCGTAGCCTATCCTGATCTTCAAATGTAGCTTAAAAGGACTTTCCATGTCTAACTACAGGATGCAGATGTGCTATTGCTAGCAAAGGAACTAAACAGGATAGCAACCGGCTCCTATACATGTATATGGCTGTCTTACCTTGGCAAACTGTGCCCGGTCCACTGTAGCCGAAATTACAGTCACACTGAAACTTTCCGTTTAGATTGGTGCAGGCGGCATTTGAATCACAGTTATTTAGTGTCACGTTGGAACATTCATCAATATCTAGAGCACAGAATCAACACAGTGTGAGAGAGAAAACAGTGACCCAATGTCTTGCTTTCATCGGTACCAGGACTAAACCCATGCTGTGGCAAAGCATACATACTACATTTGCGTTAGCTGCCAATGCTTCATGATTTCAATGCGTATTCAGAGCACAGATGTGTTCATCGTCCAATTGTCTGCGCAGCACTGCCTTATAATACAACTGCAGGTCCTGCATACGTCAGACATTGCACGACCATTGTATACAAATCCTAAGAAACCATGCACCGTGTTTTTTCAGTGACTCTCCAGATCTGGTTGATCCAGCTCTGAGAGGCACAAGTCTGATTACCACATTGAGTCGGAACATAACTGGCTTGATTCTCTGCCACTGAAGTTTGCATCAGCATCACAAACTCGTACGAAGCCACCCCTGATAATGAGCTACTGTTGCTAACATGCATACATGTACATCACTTGATGATCAAACATGATAAGGTTCCCTAGAGTATGAACAACTTTGGAGCTTATCAATGAGAATAGGTAGTTTGGGAGGAGATAGAATGAGAAGGCGTTTGGGGTATTGGGTATTGGGTACAAACAACAAAGCATCAAAAACACACACATCCATAACAGAACAGACTAAATAAACACACAATAATTATGCCTCACCTTCACACAGAGTTCCATTGCCCATATATCCAGTATTACAACTACAGGAGAATGATCCCTGTGCGTTGCTACAGGTTGCATTCGCATCACAGTTATGAGTGCCTCCAGCAATACATTCATCTATATCTGAAAAAAACGAAGTGGAAAGCAGAGTTGGAGCATACAAGTCAGCGGTTTTTTGAAGGTGAAAACTATGAGTTTGCTTGTGGATGGAGGGTAGTTGAGAGTGAGGACATATATTCCGTACAAAGAGAACGGGATTGTGGTGTGTTTATCACCGAGACATCGGAGGCACTGAAGAAAGAACTGGTCAGAGTTCAGTGACCACTTTGGCTTACCTGCACAGTCAAATCCATCTCCAGAGAAGCCAGTTTGACATGTGCAAAAGAAACCTCCGTCCGTGTTTGTACAGTTTGCAAACTGGTCACATTGCCGTAGACCAGAGCCACTAGCACTGGCATTGCCATCACCACTACCACTTGACAGACCACTGTAGCTTGCACTAGCACTGGAGAATAGGAGACATTCATCAACATCTGCAAGACAATATCACAATCAGACACTCACAGGCAATTGATTTTGGAGGTCGAAGATGCAGCGTAGCCTATCATGATCTTCAAATAATAGCAGAAAAGGACTTTCGATGACTAGCTACAAAATGCAGATGTGCCATTGCAAGCAAAGGAACTAAACAGGATAACAACCAGTTCCTATGTATGGCTGTCTTACCTTGGCAAACTGTGCCCGGTCCACTGTAACCGAAATTGCAATCACACTGAAACGTTCCATTAAGATTGGTGCAGGCAGCATTTGAATCACAGTTATTTAGTGTCACGTTGGAACATTCATCAATATCTAGAGCGCAAAATCAACATAGTGTGAGAGAGAAAACAGTGACCCAATGTCTTGCTTTCATCGGTACCAGGACTAAACCCATGCTGTGGCAAAGCATACACACTACATTTGCGTTAGCTGCCAATGCTTCATGATTTCAATGCGTATTCAGAGCACAAATGTGTTCATCATCCAATTGTCTGCGCAGCACTGCCTCATAATACAACTGCAGGTCCTGCATACGTCAGACATTGCACGACCATTGTATACAGATCCCAACAGACCATGCACCGTGTTTTCTCAGTGACTCTCCAGATCTGGTTGATCCAGCTCTGAGAGGCACAAGTCTGATTACCACATTGGGTCGGAACATAACTGGCTTGATTCTCTGCCACTGAAGTTTGCATCAGCATGACAAACTCGTACGAAGCCACCCCTGATAATGATCTACTGTTGCTGACATGCATACATGTACATCACTTGATGATCAAACATGATAAGGTTCCCTAGAATATGAACTACTTTGGGGCTTATCAATGAGAATAGGTGGTTTGGGAGGAGATAGAATGAGAAGGCGTTTGGGGTATTGGGTATTGGGTACAAACAACAAAGCATCAAAAACACACACATCCATAACAGAACAGACTAAATAAACACACAATAATTATACCTCACCTTCACACAGAGTTCCATTGCCCATATATCCAGCATTACAACTACAGGAGAATGATCCCTGTGTGTTGCTACAGGTTGCATTTGCATCACAGTTATGACTGCCTCCAGCAATACACTCATCTATATCGGCACAGTTAAATCCATCTCCAGAGAAGCCAGTTTGACACGTGCAAAAGAAACTTCCGATTGTGTTCGTACAGTTGGCAAACAGACTGCATGGACCCAGACCAGAGCCACTAGCACTGCCACTAGCACTTCCGCTAACGCTGCCGCTTATCCCATCCATAAGATTGTCATTGCCACTTGATAATGGAAGACACTCATCAACGTCTGGAGGCACAGGAAAATTAAATTAAGAACACAGGGCTGGGTGATAGTGGAAGAACACACATGGAAAAATGTCAGTAAATACATGCCTGCCAATACAATGTTCTCTCGGCTCCAAAGGAATAGAGGACTCGACTGAAGACAGGACTAAGTGTGTTCGATATTTCTGAAGACGGTATTATTGTACCACAAGGAGCGTAACGATTCCACAAAAGGCGATCGTTCAAAGCAGGTAACACCAAAGAGCAAACTAAACTCAAAACCAAAACCAAACAACAACTGCACCAGCAAGCTCTTTTCTTGCACTTACTACAAATACATCAAAAAACAAGCAGCAAAATGCAAATCCGCACGCATGTTTGCCGGAACTGAACCTCCGTAGCGCAGCTGATCATTGCGGCTGCACGGGACGACCTTCCCGCCACAGTAGGGCAAAGAACTATGCATGGAACTAGCAATGAATGCATGCAGCACACCAGCAAGCTGTCCCTATGCAGACGTCTAGTCTAGCGTGTGCAAGGATGAATAGCATGAGAAACATGATAATTATGACACATGACTCCTATGATGCATGCAATGTATACAACACTAAGTGGGAACAAAGCAGCAGTCCTGGCATTTTTTCGCATTATACTGCACCTTCCTTTTTTTGTGCAATAGTGGGAGTTTGTTTGGCGCCGATGTACATTCCATTATCTGACCACTTTGAGACATATCACGGTGCATAGGAGTTTGGAATGAGATCGATTGCCAGGGAGTCTGGGGTGTTGGGCAATGTTAGGCATCCGGCAAAGAACAGGCTGAGTCATTCCATAATAATAATATTCGCGGGATCCGCGTCGGCATCGCTTGAATGTTCAGAAACACACAAACTAGCCTTCGCAACCGCAGGCTGCCTGTTCACCTTAGTGGCGAATGCAGACCTCACAAGTGAGTCAGGGGAGAGGAGGTTAGTCTCTCAACCAATCGGGCGTGTAACGGCCCATAACCCTGTAAACTGCATCCTTGTTATTCTCACTCCGAGATGTGAGTACCCAGTTGACCGTGGGTGTCGGCGCAGTTCAACACGCGTAAAAAGTCGTTTTACACGCTCCCTGCTACCAGCGCGGGTCTTGAACTCGGGACCTCATGATTCGCAGGCAGGCCTGCAAACCAATCGGCCATATGCGTTGGTAGTCATTCCAGACACACACAAATTATACCTCACCTTCGCACAGAGTTCCATTGCCGATATAGCCAGCATCACAACTACAGGAGAATGACCCCTGTGTGTTGCTACAGGTTGCATTCCCATCACAGTTATGACTTCCTCCAGCTTCACACTCATCTATATCTGAAAAACGAAGTGGAAGCAGAGTTGGAGCATACAATTCAGCTGGACGTTGAAGGTGAAAAACTATGAGTTTGCTAGTGGATGGAGGGTAGTGGAGAGTGAAGATATAAATTCCTTAGAAGGAGAACGGGATTGTGGTGTGTTTGTCATGAAGACATCAGAGGCACTGAAGAAAGAACTGGTCAGAGTTCAGCAACCGCTTTGGCTTACCTGCACAGTCAAATCCATCTCCAGAGAAGCCAGTTTGACACGTGCAAAAGAAACCTCCGTCCGTGTTTGTACAGTTAGCAAACTGGTCACATTGCCGTAGACCAGAGCCACTAGCACTGCCACTACCGTCACCACTACCACTTGATAGACCACCGTAGCTTGCACTAGCACTGGAGAATAGGAGACATTCATCAACATCTGCAAGAAAGGATCACAATCAGACCCCCCACAGGCATTTTATTTCGGATATCGAAGATGCATCGTAGCCTATCCTGATCTTCAAATATAGATTAAAAGGATGCTCCATGATTAACTACAAGATGTAGATGTGCCATTGCAAGCAAAGGAACTAAACAGGATAACAACCGATCCCTATATATGGCTGTCTTACCTTGGCAAACTGTGCCCGGTCCACTGTAACCGAAATTGCAATCACACTGAAACGTTCCGTCTAGATTGGTGCAGGCGGCATTGGAATCACAGTTATTTAGTGTCGCGTTGGAACATTCATCAATATCTAGAGCACAGAAACAACACAGTGACAGAGAGAAAACAGCAACCCAATGTCTTGCTCCCATCGGTACCAGGGCTAAACCCTTGCCGTGGCAAAGAAAATATATACAATTGCGTTTGTTGCCAATGCTTGACGATTTCACTGTGTTCATCATCCAATTGTCTGCGCAGCACTGCCTCATAATACAACTGCAGGTCCTGCATAAGTCAGACATTGCACGACCATTACATACAGTTGTCGTTGCTGGCATGCATACCTGTACATCACTTGATGACCAAACATGATACGGTTCCCTAGAATATAAACTACTTTGGGACATATCAAGCAGAATAGGTGGTTTGGGAAGAGATGGAATGAGAATGTATCTGGAGCAATGGGTACGAACATCAAAGCATCAAAAACAAACACACACATAACAGAACAGGCTAAATCAATACACCTAACAGGGCATAGATTAACGGCCGGACATCGGACATTTTCCGGCCATTTTCGGCCACTGACCGGACGTTTTCAATTTCACCGGACATAGTGTCCGGTCAAAAAAGGAAAAAAAGAGCAGCGACCTTTCGACCTTTTTTAATATGCAGAGTTGGGCTTTCTTCGGAGCTTCGTGCCAAATGCGACTTGCATATCGTACAACTAACACGTCTACACCGTAGCCTCAGGCGTACTTCACCAGATTTACTTGATCCGCCTGTAGCAACGCGGTTGCTACAGTCAATTCACACTTTCGACCTTTGTACATGGTGTCGACTTCGCACTTGAATCGATGGGTTGAACCAGGGAGTAGTACTACTCCCTGGGTTGAACTGCAGTCTGCAGTGCAGTTGTTCGCTCTTGACTCGAGAGGAAGATGTCATCTTTTATTTTTCACTCTTTCACTGACCAGGAATGCAGATAGTCTTTTAGAATGTCTTGTGGAAAGCGAAATAAAAGGGATAAAAGGGAGATTCAGAGGACTTGCCGCCGGGCAAAAAAGTCCGTGGTGTGAAGGCCGCTACTTGCGATAAGTGGATCTCGGACAATGATGCAGAGCTGACTTACTTCCGCCTGGCTGATTTGTGACCGGCAGAAGAACGATCGGCTGTTAGCAGAATGTTTGAAGTCTTCCGTGTGCATCAAGTTTGTAGACAGAGTCCGCAGTTGTAAAAACTTCAGCGAGGCTTTCATAACCGGATCCAAGAACCTGAGAACATCAGCGTTCAAGGATCATGCTGGAACGGAGATGCATAAACGAGCAATGAATCTTTTCCGCAGGCAAGAGTGTCCCGCTCGAAATGCCCTCGAATTCGCTCCAATTGCGAAGGCACTGTGCAAGATAGACGATGGTGCTGCCGCTATTGCACGACGCAAATTCGAACTGACTTACCTTCTCTGCAAGGAGCATATCGCGTTCGCAAAATTCTTGACTGCAACGCTTTCTTGTACATACATTTGTCGTCAGTAAATAGTTCAGTTTCTAATACAAATAAATTGGGGAATTGTACATAGTAATGTGTGAGAACCAGGCAGGCACAGTGGGTTGGTCAAAGACCATGATTGAGATACGAGAGGTACCTGGTTCAAGTCCTGCCTGGGAGCGGTTTTCCAGCCGTGATGCTACCCACAGTCAACTGGGAACTTGTGGCCAGGCACAAGGGGTACATGGATGCAGCTAATGCCGTAATGGGGTCGATTTCGGCACTTGTGCCAGTGGTTGTGAGACTTGCCCACTCACCCCCACCGTTAGGCGCTGCATCTGCCGCTAGGGTTTATCGGGTGTTAGCGGCCGTCGTGAGTTCCCTTCGGGAACGGATACGATAATTTACTTTTTTATTTAATGTGTGAGATACGTCCACATAATGAGTCATTGTGAATATACTTCAGTACTACTAAAAATAAAAAGAAGAAACACCCTGAAAATGTGTTGTGGAAAATGTCCGGGCATGTCCGGACAGATTTCAAAACGGAAGGACATTTGTCCGAGCTAAATGAAATCCTTAAGCTATGCCCTGCCTAATAGTTATACCTCACCTTCACACAGAGTTCCATTGCCCATATAGCCAGCATCACAACTACAGGAGAATGATCCCTGTGTGTTGTTACAGGTTGCATTCGCATCACAGTTATGACTGCCTCCAGCAATACACTCATCTATATCGGCACAGTTAAATCCATCTCCAGAGAAGCCAGTTTCACACGTGCAAAGGAAACTTCCGACTGTGTTCGTACAGTTGGCAAACAGACTGCATGGACCCAGACCAGAGCCACTAGCACTGCCACTAGCACTTCCGCTAACGCTGCCGCTTATCCCATCCATAAGATTGTCATTGCCACTTGATAATGGAAGACACTCATCAACGTCTGGAGGCACAGGAAAATTAAATTAAGAACACAGGGCTGAGTGATAGTGGAAGAACACACATGGGAAAATACATGCCTGCCCATACAATGTTCTCTCAGCTGCAAAGGATAGAGGACTCCACTGAAGACAGGATTGAGAGGGAACAAATAAGCAGCCATGGCACTTCATTGCATTATACTGCACCTTCTTTTTTGGTGCAAAAGTTGGAGTTTGTTGGCACCAATGTACATTCCACTGTCTGACCACTTTGAGACATAATGAAGGGCACGGCATAGGTAGTTTGGAATGAGATCGATTGACAGGGAGTCTGGGGTATTGGGCAATGTTAGGCATCCGTCAAAGAAAAGGCTGAATCTTTCAATACACACACTAGTTATACCTCACCTTCACACAGAGTTCCATTGCCGATATAGCCAGCATTACAACTACAGGAGAATGATCCCTGCGTGTTGCTACAGGTTGCGTTTGGATCACAGTTATGACTGCCTCCAGTTTCACACTCATCTATATCTGAAGAAAAGATGAAGTGTAAAGCAGAGTTTGAGCATACAAGTCAGCAGTTCGTTGAAGGTGAAAACTATGAGTTTGCTGGTGGATGGGGGGGGGGGGGGGGGTAGTGGAGAGTTAGGACACTACTTCTTTACAAATATAACAGAATTGTGGTGTGCTTGTCACTGAGACATTGGAGGCACTGAAGAAAGAACTGGTCAGAGTTCAGCAACCTGTTTGAGTTTGGCTTACCTGCACAGTCAAAACCATTCCCTGAGTAGCCGGTCTGACATGTGCAAAAGAAACCTCCATCCGTGTTTGTACAGTTAGCAAACTGGTCACATTGCCGTAGACCAGAGCCACTAGCACTGCCACTACCGTCACCACTACCACTTGACAGACCACTGTCGCTTGCACTAGCACCGGAGAATAGGAGACATTCATCAACATCTGCAAGACAATATCACAATCAGTTGCAGTAGAGAGGCATGAGAAAGAGAGGCTATGCTACCGTATGGGCGGGGAATGAGGCCAAAGCAGTGTAGTATTTACATACAACACTAAGACATTACCGTAAAGTACCGTTGATCCTCCCCCTCTCCAATTTCCACGCCGTGTAGAATGTCTGCCTGTGCAGCGACTTTGGCCGATAACGTTACAATAATTACTGTATTTGAGTCACGTAGAGAGATGTTGCTCATACACATGGATACACAATATAAGGAGTAGACTTTGAATCTAAACAACATCCATTTCGTTCGTCTTTGGGCATGTTCGATTGTACGAATCCATCAGCCCTTGACCCGGATTCGCCAAATTTGTGCATGTTAGATTGTACGAATCCGGATCCCGAGAGCACGGATTCGGATCCAGTCAACCCACCTCCCAGAGACGGATTCGACGGATTCATTTCGATAGTACGACTCGTATCTACTCAAAACTCGCAATATGCATGCACTAGGTCAAGAGTTTACCACAACGCGTACAGATACTACGGGATGAGCTGTAGCAACGCGGTTGCTAAGGCCTTGAAACGGATTATCGGTTGTGCACATTCGATTGTATCCGTCCGATCGAAGTGATCTGGTCGGCGGGGATCGGGATCCAGTTTCTACAATCGAATACAGCCTTTGTCTCCGTCTCTTCTTCTCCAATTATAAATGTCGTTCCGCCTACCCGTGCCCATTGACCGTTGTGTCGGGGGAGTATGACTCCTTTCCGTACTCAACACAAGTAACAAACTGCTGTGTACCGAACAGCAACCAGTTTCTATACACTCATCCTCGTTTATCCTGGCGGTCCGGGACCGGCCACTGCCCGTAACTTTGAAATGCCCGTAACTCCGAATCACATACATTTTGATGGGGATAGGCCATAGAGGTGGCATGCGGAGTCTCTATTTCAAAAAAGGGACAAAGGGTAGTAATATATCCATTGATACTCGCCCAAAGGTTGCCTCGTAGACCGAAGTGCCTGGGACTTCGGGGTCCAGATATCCGAGGTATGAGTTTAATATGGCTGTCTTACCTTGGCAAACTGTGCCCGATCCACTGTATCCGAAATTGCAATCACACTGAAATGTTCCGTTTAGATTGGTGCAGGTGGCATTGGAATCACAGTTATTTAGCGTCACATTGGAACATTCATCAATGTCTAGAGCACAGAGACAACACAGTGACAGAGAGAAAACCGCGACCCAATGCCTTTCTTGCAGCGAAACCAGGACTGAACCCATGCTGTGACAAAGTAACATATTATACAATTTTGTTTGCGGCCAATGTTTTACGATTTCACTGCGTATGCAGCGAACACTTGTGGTCTTGGTCCAACTGTCTGAGCAACACCACCTTATAAAATAACTACAGGTTCTACAACAGTCAAACATAGCACGGCCATTACATACAGATCCAAACAGACGGAAGGAGAGCACCGGAGACCATGCACTGTATTATCCCAGTGATTCTCCCTATCTGGTTGATCCAGCTCTGAGAGGTACAAGGCTCATTACTACACCGTAGACCTGCCTGTTTTGAACTGCAAAGTGGTCTGCCACTGAACCTTTCCATCAGCCTGACACACACGTATGAAGTCACCCCTGAAATGTCGTACTGTTGCAGGCATACATACATCACTTGATGATCATTCAAACATAATATGAGTCTCCAGATTATCTAACTACTTTGGGACGTATTAAGGAGAATAGGTGGTTTGAGAGATGGCATGAGAGTGTGCCTGGGGTATTGGGTACAAACATCAAAGCACCAACCAAAAACATACAGACCAGAACAGGCTATTAAAATTAATACATAATAACTATATCTCACCTTCACACAGAGTTCCATTGCCCATATATCCATCATTACAACTACAGGAGAATGATCCCTGTGTGTTGCTACAGGTTGCATTTGCATCACAATTATGACTGCCTCCAGCAATACACTCATCTATATCGGCACAGTTAAATCCATCTCCAGAGAAGCCAGTTTGACACGTGCAAAAGAAACTTCCGATTGTGTTTGTACAGTTGGCAAACAGACTACATGGACCCACACCAGAGCCACTAGCACTGCCGCTCATCCCATCCATAAGGTTGTCATTGCCACTTGATAATGGAAGACACTCATCAACATCTGGAGGCACCGGAAAGTTAAATTAAGAAGACAGGACTGAGTGCTGGAGGTAATAAAGCACACCTGGAATACTTTCAGCAAATACAAGCCTGCCCACTAAAACCTTCTCTTTGCTGCAATGGAAGCTTGCTGGTGACAAGGTACTATCCATCATAATTATGACCGCTTGAGATATAATGCATAGGTAGTTTGGACTGAGATCGAGTGAGAGATGATCTGGGGTATTGGACAATGATAGACACAGGTATCCATGAAAAGGCTGAATTAATGCACACTTTGCTCATACCTCACCTTCACACAGAGTTCCATTGCCCATATATCCAGCATTACAACTACAGGAGAATGATCCCTGTGTGTTACTACAGGTTGCATTTGCATCACAATTATGACTGCCTCCAGCAATACACTCATCTATATCGGCACAGTTAAATCCATCTCCAGAGAAGCCAGTTTGACACGTGCAAAGGAAACTTCCGACTGTGTTCGTACAGTTGGCAAACAGACTGCATGGACCGAGACCAGAGCCACTAGCACTTCCACTAGTACTGCCGCTTATCCCATCCATAAGGTTGTCATTGCCACTTGATAATGGAAGACACTCATCAACATCTGCAGGCACAGGAAAATTAAATTACGAACACACGGCTGAGTGATTGAGGTAATAAAACACACCTGGATTATTTTCAGCAAATACACACCTGCACACAAAACATTCTCTTAGCTGCAAAGGATAGAGGACTCAACTGAAGACAGGATTGAGAGGGAGCAATGCAGCAGTCATGGCACTTCATAATCTATTATATTTCAATGCTGTTCTTGCAAGATTGGGAGTTTGTTGGTGACAAGGTGCTATCCATTATAATTAATGCATAGATAGTTCGGACTGAGATCGAGTGAGAGATGGTCTGGGGTAGTGAACAAAGAAAGGCACAGGTATCCAAGAAAGGCTGAATTAATGCACATTTCAATCATACCTCACCTTCACACAGAGTTCCATTGCCCATATACCCAGCATTACAACTACAGGAGAATGATCCCTGTGTGTTACTACAGGTTGCGTTCGGATCACAGTTATGACTGCCTCCAGCAATACACTCATCTATATCGGCACAGTCAAATCCATCTCCAGAGAAGCCAGTTTCACACGTGCAAAAGAAACCTCCGTCAGTGTTTGTACAGTTAGCAAACTGGTCACATTGCTGTAGACCAGAGCCACTAGCACTGCCGCTACCGTCACCACTACCACTTGACACACCACTGTAGCTTGCACTAGCACTGGAGAACAGGAGACATTCATCAACATCTGCAAGAAAGGATCACAATCAGTTGTAGTTGAGATAAGATAGTGTGCATGAAGCTGGTGCAAAGTCATTTTCAATATATTTTGATCAGAGTTCAGATACCTGCAGAAAGACATTCGTATTTTTCCTTTTTTTCTAGTTCCTTTCCATCTGGCTTGTAAGCCTTTTTTTATAGATAAAAGAGCAGTAAAAGGCAAGTGGCTCAATTTCCCAATGCAGAAAGAAAGGAAACAAGAAAATTGAATGACAGTGCAGTACATGTAGAAGATGTGTAGGTACTACATTAGTTGCAGTGTTAAGGTGCGTTACTCCCCCGACCAAAGGCCTTGGGATCAACGTGAATTTCATGGATCGGGAAAAGTGAGAGAAAAAAAGAGTGGGTAAAGGAGGCAGGGTGTGTTGGGGGGAGGGATGGAGAGGAAGGGGAAGAGGTAGAGAGATGAAGAGCAATAGAGATAGAGATAGAGCAAGAGGAAGAGAGCCTATATTAGCATACATGCTGGGTACTAGACCACAGCAATGTAACGTGTACATACATAAAACAAGGATAAGAGTCACATTAACTGTGTATCCACCTAGGAACAATGGTAAGAGCTGTAACTAGCTTCGATCCTGCAGGAGCTTCAAAGAATTGGCTCCACCTCCACCACATGTGCTCCATGGCCGACCTCATTCACACCAGTAACATGAACAGGAAAGGTTCATTGATGAACTAGTCGAAAACTGTTGCTTGCCCCCGTATCACAAGAAATTAGTTCATACTATGATGACTGGCGCCAATAGTTGCATACGGTCAGCCTTATTAGCCAAAAGTTCTGATCGCGTTCAAGTTGCAGCACATTACGACACTCGCTTGCTTTCAACATACATGTACACTCCTACATCACTTGATGTTGATCGAGTTTCACAACTCACCTTGACAGCTTGGAAAGACGTCCTCATTCCACACACTTCCCAAACATAGTAGGGTAGCGATTCCAACGATCTCGTAGTTTGGATCACAAATCAGTGTGAGCCGAGCATTCAGAGAGTAGTTAATCTGCGGTGCACGGGAATCGAGTTCCTGCACAAACCGGCCATTGCTGCGCTCCGGTGGTGCGGGGCATTGTAGAGCTAAAGCAAGAGCAAGAGCATGTACAATGAGCCATAACACTCTGGTTCTCAATCTATTGATTTTCTTCCTCTCCCTTGATTTAAATTCTCAGATATTATTTGAGTTTTATCCGTTTCTATTTTTCATTATTCAACTGGTTTGGTGAGACTCCCATGATAGGTATCCATTCACCTCTGGAGAATCCGTAAAACAAACAATACAATACAAATACACTTGCATGAAAGACCAGCATGCAGGGCAAAGCAAGTGGGTCACATGTGATAGTTCTGCCAAGCCGTTCATCCAAGCTGTTGCCCTGCCACTTCAGTTATGAAGCAATAGTGGTACATGGCCCCGGATCCGTTATGCTGGTCATACACATGCACACGCATGTAAGAAGGAGACTTTGAATCAAAGCAACATGCATGCAAGTAACGATTGAAACAGGATAGCAACCGGTTCCTATGTGGCTGTCTTACCTTGGCAAACTGTTCCCGGTCCACTGTAACCGAAATTACAATCACACTGAAACGTTCCGTTTAGATTGGTGCAGGTGGCGTTGGAATCACAGTTATTTAGTGTCACGTTGGAACATTCATCAATATCTAGAGCAGAGAAACAACACAGTGTCAGAGAGAAAACAGCAACCCAATGTGTTGCTTATGAAAATCATTTACCGTTAAACACTACTTCAACTTTGCATCTGCAAGTCCTGCAGGTATTCAGTGATCATCCAATGGATTCAAATAATCCAATTGTGAGATCATCGTGTAAGCCTTGCAGTGTCCCATGGCAGAAATGACTTTATACTGCAGTTCAAGCATACCTTCACAGACCGGCGGTATGCCGCTGAAGTTTCCGTCGGCCTGACAAACCCGTACCAAGTCACCTCCGCCAATGTTGTACCCAGGCAGGCACTCATACAGCACTTGATGGTCAAACAGGAACACTTCTCCTTCAGGACCGGACACCATGGGAGGATTGGCATTGGCAACTGCCTCCGGTTCAGCACAGGGGACTCCTACAGACATCAAAGACAGGGTATGTTAATAAGACAATAAGACAAGGATGCGTCAGGATAGAATGTGCGGATAGGCTGCAGGATCCACCGTACTGTATAAACATTCTGTTTTAACGCAAAGCGCTTGTAGGATAGCATATTTCATTGTAATGAGAACAGTGTAAAGCACAGCAACATACTTATAGTGTGGCATGTTAGAAAGCATTGCCATGTCATCTTACACTCTAAGCTAGATCGGAAATTCAATGATCTGCGAATGATGTAAAACGACTCTTGGAATATATGCTTACGGTTGGAGCAATTTGGCTGGAGAAATCCGGGTAAACAGAAGCAGCTTCCATTTTGGAAATCACAGGAGGCATCATTGTCACAGACTTGAAAGCAGAAACGTTCGCAGTCCACGCCGAAGGTATTATTGGAGCAGGCTAAATAGAAGACCAGAGAGTGGATTATAAGTTTTCTGCTTATGTTTGCTGAGGCTGGGATCTCATATTATTCCCGCCACGGGAGACATCCATAGATTTTGAAAATGAGGAAAGTGAGAATGTGCCGGCCACATAATCAACAGCTGAAAACTGAGCATAGTATGGCTCAGTGCACATCTGGGTGCATAGCTTGTTAAAGTTGTTGCATATACAATCCTATCTCTGCAGAAACGGTTCATGACATGCGGACAGTTGAAGCAACATTATCGACATCAGGATCCATAAGCCTTTTGCGTGTTGTACAGATGTACGAAGTTCAGTGCTAGGGCGTAGGTGTGTACAGAACCGATTGGGTGTTCATTGTGTGCTATGCATGCGCATTTGACCAATTTTAGCCTCATAACTAAGGGCAAACAATCCCTATTCCAGCTTCTTCAATTTGGTTAGAACTAATGACTAGCTAGATCTTTGTCAGAAAAGGTTTTCGTTTGAAATGCCTTCAGGGCCCATTTCTTAGTGGAAATAGCAGAAAACACAATAGGGTCCTGCACATTCAACACCCATTAGGTTCTACGGGATTCTACGGGATTTCGTGCATCTGTACAACACGCAAAAGGCTTATTGTTCCACAGATGCCCGGAAATACCAGCGAACATGACTGTCACACATTGTTACATGATGCATGAGAAACGTTCTAAGAGTGCATCTGACCGCGCTATGTATGATTTGTATGTGGGTTGAAGGCTACATTAGCGGTGCACACAAACGTTGTGTTAAGTACGAAAAGGTACCTAACAATTGCGATTGAATCCGCTTCTCTTACATTTCAGTTCCTTTCATTTTTTCCTCTATCCCCTCTACTACCGCCATGGCTGGCTATCGCCCATATCACCTTTTAATTGGCTAGTGCCGCGTAATTGTAAATAAAAATTCTTTTTAAGAAACTTACGTTTTTCGCAGTATGCTCCTATGAAGCCTGGCAAGCATGTGCAAGAGCCGTCGACCGGATCACACGTTGCTCCGTTCATGCACCGACATTCAGCCGAACAATTCTGACCAAACGTGTTGTTCATGCAAGCTGCAGAATGCAGTGCACAAGATCAGACCAAGCACAAGCGCACAATGACCATGGCTTGAACAAGAAACCAATGGAAAAATGGAAATGCAGAATTATATACCAATACAGATCGATTCATAAGTTTGAGGGAGTTGTAACGGGAAAAGTCTGCAGAAACAGTTGACCGTCACCACCAGGACTCAAACATTTTCTTAATGTCAGCAATTCTCTAACCACTGAGCTACAGTGTAGGCGTAATCTTATTGTGTAGACTAATATCATTGACTTGACTTACTTTCGTTGCATGCTGCACCAATGGATCCGTTGAAACAGGCACAGTGGCCGTTGACGGGATTGCAGATACCTCGATCACATATGCAATCGAACTGGCACTGGGGTCCAAATGTCGTGTTACTGCAGCCTGCGACGAAAACAGATATGAAAGCTAAATTAGAACAATCCCGCATACTGGTTTACCCTCATTTGTAGGTCTTATAGCAAGTATTAGCTACTATCCAGGCTTGTATGCACGGCTGTTAACTGCGTTTCCGGGGACAGGGAATTGGGATCATTGTCTACCAACGAGGTTTGTCCTGTAACCGATGGCGTACTCACGAGGGTAGACATGTAATCAGTGATTCATGATCTGTCATGAGAATCTAGTATGTTTCCCAAGTGCAGGGCAGTATTTTTCCTTACATACGTCTCATGCTCCTCCCTAAATACGAGTGAAAGACTAAACATGCAGGTCAATTGATGCAAATATAATTACAAAAAAACGGTAAATGATCGTCCCTGTTACCGAGGTAACCTCCAACGGCCGCTTACACCCGGTATATCAACTTTTGAAAATAGCAGGGTGCTAAAAAGAGGGCTGAGTGCACATGTTGCAGCTGCTCGACTTGCCTTCACAGAATGTTCCGTTCCCTCTGAAGCCAGAGGTGCATGCACATTGAAATGAGCCTATTGTGTTGTCACACATTGCATTGCTGTCACAGGTATGACTGCCTTCAACACATTCATTGTTATCTGTACGGGAGGACACAGCAACAACAGCAAATACAGGATATATAGCGAATTCAACTTTTAGACGTAGAAGTACATCAGCTACCAGCAATGAAGGTCTGGCTTGCAAGAATCACTAAAAACAAAAGGACTTCACGTAGTACTGTATTTTACGGAGTATAAGCAGCATTGGAGTAGATATTTGTCATGAAATGCAGACACCTACACTATTTATGACTGTTAATTTGACCATCCTAGTATAAGCTACACCGACTTTTCGAGGGTGAATTCTTGGTCTTTAAAGCGCGGCTTATACTCCGGAAAACACGGTACAGTCGTCCCTCTTTAATCCGGCACCTTTTGCAACGGCATTTTCTGCTGGATAAACAAGGGTGCTGGATTATCAAATCCTGCCCTCCAACCCGGCCCACCTGTTAAAGGGGAAGTATACCCTAAAATCAAATTTTCACCAGTTGTAGTCTTCTGGGTGCTGAGTCGAATGGTCTTGGTCCGAGGAAGCTGCGACGCTCCCTTCCTACTTGAATCCCAATCGAACTCGCGCACTTCCACCGAAACTGGGTGACTGCGCCCTACTAGATGGGGATTTGTATGCAAAATGTCACTAAAAGCGCCATTTCGTTCTTATAAAAGCACGGATGACCGCGATTGGCCCATATGTTGTAGTCTTTTGGACGCTGAGTCGACTGGTTTTGGTCCGAAAAGGCTGCGATGCAGCGTTCCTCCTTTATTCCCAATCGAACATGGTTGAAGAAGCGGTCACGTGCTCCTGCGTACACCAGTCACCTGGTCACCGTGCCTGCAGGGTACAACTTACTAGCCTGTTTGACCTTTTTTGGGTGCAGTCCTGTCACTCGAGTTGAACTCGAGTTGAACCTTGGTGTGAAAGTTGTCACCTGCTGGCGCGGTGACCAGGTGATTTGGGCACCCAGGAGCACGTGACCGCTTGTTCAACCATGTTCGATTGGGAATAAAGGAGGAACGCTGCATCGCAGCCTTTTCGGACCAAAACCAGTCGACTCAGCGTCCAAAAGACTACAACATATGGGCCAATCGCGGTCATCCGTGCTTTTATAAGAACGAAATGGCGCTTTTAGTGACATTTTGCATACAAATCCCCATCTAGTAGGGCGCAGTCACCCAGTTTCGGTGGAAGTGCGCGAGTTCGATTGGGATTCAAGTAGGAAGGGAGCGTCGCAGCTTCCTCGGACCAAGACCATTCGACTCAGCACCCAGAAGACTACAACTGGTGAAAATTTGATTTTAGGGTATACTTCCCCTTTAACATACATGTTTGTGTCATACATCAAAACGTAGAGATTTTCTGTGTCAGTCCAAGTAGTAGTAGTAGTAGTAGTAGTAGTAGTAGTAGTAGTAGTAGTAGTAGTAGTAGTAGTAGTAGTAGTAGAATTTATTATTTTGATAGGGAAGGCCCTACAGTACTTTGTGGAATGCATGTCTTTAACATACACTTGGGAATATCCTATGCACTGGCATAAGATATTCCCAAGTGTATGTTACATGTGTTGTGTACGTTGCAGTGCTCCCTGACGGTATGCGATGTACAACTGCTGGATTAGAAAATCGAATTATGTACAGTTTGAGTGATTTGTTGCAGAAAATCGCTGCTGGAGGTGGAATTCAAGTGCCGGATTTAAGCGTAGAAAATGAACTGAAAAAATCGGTTTGGCCAGAAAGTGTGCTGGTTTGCAAAGGTGCTGGATAACCAAGTGCCGGATTAGAGAGGGACGACTGTACATTCATTCCCAGGGAGACAGGATACATATCAAATCGAAGTGTGCGTACCGGTGCAAGTAGGACGAGCAAAGTCATAGCTAGCATTCCGCAGGCACGTCAGGTTCATTGAGCCAGCCACACTGAAGCCAGTACTACACTGGAAGGTTGTGATGCCGAAGATGATGTTGTCTTGCTTGCTTATGATCCCATTCAGTGGTGCTTGCAATAACGGGCATGAGATCACTGGAGATGTCAAGAAAATAAAAGGGAACAAAAATGTCCAGAACGATTGTCATGGTTAAACAAAAAGTACCTCTACTCCCAACAACTCACACCCAATGCAATGAAGATAATATTATTCCTCGCTAGCATAACATCTGAAAAGAATAGTTTCTTCAAAGGACAATTCCTGTTCTCTGTGGATACTGAGCTCCTATCAGATTGCACTTCCCTTCTCTCTCACACCTCACATCTACAACAGCAAAACCACAGTGCAGGGTCGTCTGCGGACAGCCACATTGCAAGACAAAAAAAGTTTCTTCAAAGGACAATTCCTGTTCTCCGTGGATACCGAGCTCTTATCAGAATGCACTTCCCTTTTTTTGCTCCAGTATTCCTGGGATGCCGTGTATGGAAAGCTTGGAAACCAGGGACCAAACTGCAGAGCTGCTGCGCACCCATCCCATGACCATATGGTGCAGCCATTTTGTTTCCAAACCCTGCCCATCCTGTCACCAAAGGGTGATACAATAACAGTTTGGTTTATTCCACCGTCCGAATGCCATTTACACTTTGGTCTCTGCTGGGATGACGACTACACCATAGCTCAGTGGTTAGAGCATCGCTAGCTACAAGCGAGGGTCCCTGATTCGAATCCTGGTGGTGACAGTCAATTTTTTCTTCAGACTTTTCCCGTTTGTGTCTTTCCCTCAAACTAGTCAACATTTACACTTTCTACCAATATGCAGTCACATAACAAAGCTGTGAAATCACTCTATCGAAACGTACATGTGCAGTTCACTCCGTCGCCAGTGAAGTTCTCGGTGCAGTTACAATCAAAGGATCCAATGCTGTTGTAACACACTGCATTAGGACTGCAGTTGTGTGTGCCCGTTTGGCATTCGTTGATATCTGCAGGAAGCGTGGCAACAGTTTGAGCAGACAATGCCAAGAATACTAAGACTGCTAGGCAGGCAAGGAAGTGATCAAGGCTGAATGGCTTTGGACAGTCTCAAATCATGCATACCCACACCCACACACACCGTCCCACACACCCATGTGTCATACCTTCCCCTACTCAACCCCCACACACATACACCAACATCCAAGCACCCCCCCCCCCCCCCCTCCTCCCCCCCCCCCCCCCCCCCACACACACACTTCAGTTGAGCTACACAGTTGGGTAAACGGACATCTCTAAATGCTCCTTTAAACAGTGGATTAGTTACTTAGTCACCGCTATAAAATCAAATGTCACTTATCCGACCACTTCGGGAATCAGGCATGTTGGATAACTGGATATGTTGGATAACTGATATCATTTTTTATGTGCATATATGGCTGGATTTCACTGATTTATGTACACAATACCCAAATATATTCATGCATATTCATGAATTGCTCCATGTACACATACATGTTAGCATACTTGACAACATCTACTTCAAGTAAATGCATATTACACCGTATAATGTACAAAAAAAACAATTTTTTTTAGAATTTTACTGTTGAGAGTCAAAAAATTACCACTCCCGGGCTTGTCGGATAACCGACGTGCTCGGATAACTGGCGACCGGATAAGTGACATTCGACTGTATTTCAACTTGAACCACAATACAGTAGTTTCTTGAAGCAGCTACCTGAGCAGATTGGCACATCATTGTCATAAGTGGCATTGATCTGACATGTTAGGTTCGATGTTCCATTCAGAGCATAGCCAGGATCGCAGGAAAACTGCACGCTGCTTCCAAATAGTGCACTCGAATCACCTACAATGCGTCCATTGGGAGGGATAACACTGAGCAAGGAAGGACAAGCCACCTCTGCAAGACACAAAACACAAATGCCAAACATTCAAAGACGTTTTAGCCATCCACGGACCTTTAGAGGGACCGCAATATACACATAATTATTCCTAGCTTTGGAGTACATTCATGTAGTAAGGAAGTCAGTATGCAAAAAACAATCACCAAGAAAACTACTTCGAAAAAGTAGGGTCTCTGTCTTGTTTTGGCTGAAATCTGTCATTGGTCACCACTTACCCTCGCAGAATGTACCATTGCCAGTAAAGCCAAATCGACAGGCGCACATGAAAGAACCGTTGGTATTCGTGCAGTTAGCGTTTGGGTCACATACGCCACTGTTTGTGGCATTAACCACACACTCGTTGATATCTGCAGGCAGCCGCAGTACAGATATAACATCAACAGCACTACATTGTCAGGGACAAGGTTACGGCACGCTATGCATTTCGAACTTGCACATATGCACACAGCCTCAAAAACAACTCAGAAGCATTCAATTTTCCTACAATGCTGCTACACAGCTTCAAGAGTCTTAGACTGCCCCCTAACCCCATTCAGTGGAGGTGGAAGTTCTGTGCATAACACCATAGTCTACGCTTTGATTGCAATGCCAAACTAGTATGTGTGTGTGTGTGTGTGTGTGTGTGTGTGTGTGTGTGTGTGTGTGTGTATATATGTGTGTGAGTGTGTACGGGCATGTCTGTGTACATGTGTGTGTGTGTGTGTGTATGTGTGTGTGTGTGTGTGTTTGTGTGTGTGTGCATGTGTGCGTGCGTGTGTGCGTACGTGTGTGTGTGCGTGCGCGCATATGTGTGATGCCACTCATTAGAAACACAGCAAACAGTGCTGTAATTGCCTAGACTCTCTATTGCTGACAGGAGCAGCCGGTGTGTTGAATGAACTGATGAAGTAAGTGATCAAGCCACAAACTTACCTACGCACACTGGTACAGGATTGTCATAGGTGGCGTTCGGCAAGCACTGCAGGGTGTCTGATCCAACTAGCTGGTAGCCCATGATGCACTGGAAAACCGTTCTGCCAAACACATCGCTGTTGCTCGAGTTGATGAGGCCGTTGGCAGGAGTGATCAGAGGCGAGCACCGTATGACTGTAAGCATAGGGGAATATGGATACTTATATGCTTGCATAATTGAGGTGGGCTTTGGCAGCTAGAGTGGTGCACCTTGGTGCAGAGCCTTATACAGCCTTCAACATCATCATTGTACAGGACCCACCTAATCGGCTTTCCAGTTTAAATCTTCAATAGGCTATAGAAGCATTCTCGTTGCGGTGAGAACTCTAAGGTTAAATTTCCCCTATAACTCACATACAGGGTATGAGAAGCCGAGTGGAGGTTTACTCAGTACTTTAAAGAAACTTGATAGGCATGACAAATACAGCTGACAAAGGAGCCAATAAAGTTGATGGCATTGCCCGCTAAAGGCAGGGCTTCAAAATTCGTTCCTTACGCGTGCAGTTGCGTCCGTCTCCCGTGAAATTTGCGTCACATGCGCAACTGAAGTTGCCAATTGTGTTGGTGCAACTTGCATTGGGATGGCATGGCTGTGTGGAGTTCAGGATTCGCATATCGTCTTCATTCAGTGAGAAAGGATTTGCAGCCAGAAGCACGCACTCGTCCACATCTGAGGATATCAGAACCATAAATAGGAACAATAGAACATTCACCAAAAAACACAAACTAGCACAACCAGCCAACCATTATACACAATCATACTGGGCCAAGTAGAATGAAGTCGAACAAACTGTCGTTGACAGAATGGCCTGGACAGGTTGGGGCCTCTTCATATCCTCACCTTCACAGACAGGCTCATTGCCACTCCAGCTTGCATTCTCTTGACATGTGAGAAGTGACAGTCCAAGCAGGCGGAAACCAGCGGAGCAGCTGAATGCTACGCTTCGATTGACAACACCTGGCCTGCTGTCGTTCAGCATACCAAACATGGGCGCTTCCAGCCCTGGACACTGAATCACTGTCACACAGCAAAGGGTACAGAATAGAGTTCATTTCATCGTTCATTTGCAGATCCACTGCACTCGCCACTCACCTACTAACCAAACCATCTACAGTGGTGCCATCTGAAATCTGACCCCGGATTTTCATGCTCGGGTGCAGCACCGATTCTAGCGGTCGTGTACAAGCGTGTGCTGGGTTCTTGCAATGTAAGCGCACCGAGCTGGGGTCGAATTTCAGCTGCCAACACTGCAGTACCTTGGTCAGGAGACTTGTTTTAATCCTGTTTGTATGAGAGATCCTTTTCTTGAAATGACAGTGAATATAATAGCCATCACTCACAGGTAACTATAAATACAAATAGCCGTTACAGTAGTTGATGAACCTAGAATAAGTTAGTTTGTTGGGCTATGACATTCGTTCTGGAGGCTTTCTCAAATACTCACATTCACAATTTGTTCCATTCCCCGTATAGGCAGGCTGACAACTACAGAGAAAAGACCCGTTGGTGTTTGTGCAATCTGCATTCACGTCACATCTTGTAAGTGGACAGGGAAACAATGGTAGACCCAGCATGGCCAACTCTGCATCGGTTAGGTTCCCAGATGCGCGAAGAACCTCGCATTCGTTCACATCTGCATGCAGAAATGGTGAAGAAAAGGCCACAGATGAGTACACAGATTGCAATGGCAGTGGCAATGTGCACAATGATCACACACCAGTGCCGTAGCTGGTCACCCCCTCCCCCCATGAGGTGCACATCTGACTTCACAAGAGGCATTGAACTTCGATCCCTAGGCCATTTGGGCCAAACATGTACATATGATAACAATGTTTGAACACATTTAGGGAGAGCACACACCCCATGTGTCCCTCAGGGGCTACGTGCCTCCAAACGGCAAAAAAAGATGTTCTCTGACCTGCAAAAGAACCTCTCCAGAGTAAGCAGCATGTGTCCAATTGGAGGTTGATAACAATGAATGTTGTAAGGGAATTCCCAAACAACAAATATCACCGGTAACTTAAAACAGCATTGCTTCCACGCAATTGAAGGCTCAGAAAGTATTGCTATCTATTGTGGAAAACAAAGTGAATTAATTTTTCCTCGCCTACCTTGACAAGAAGGCTGCTGGGCACTGAACGTGCCATTGTCCAAACAGGTCAACGTCGATTCACCGATTAGCTCATAGCCACACTGGCAGCGGAAACCAATAGTTGTGTTGACGACAGCTCTCTCGGTATCGTTCGGAATGAGAAAGTCGACTTCATCCAGAGCAGGACACTCAATCACTGTTCAGAACATGCAGATACACAGCATAACAAGAGTATTCACATCGGTTACAACACATTACGCTATAATGTCCACTAACACCACCAGCAAGCTTGTAGTTCCTTGGTCCTTATTCTTTTTCATATAATGTAATCATTGGCTCTCCATCCGAGTCTACTTACAATCGTAGATCATGTTGAAACTAATTGGCAGTAGCTGTGTATCACACACAGCAAGCTGCTGCTACTTCAATATGACTGTATCACAAAGACTGAATGTGTTGGTTTACCAGAACGGTTTCATTGCAGATTCATAGGAGTACCCCACGATACGTTGCACTAAATTTTACATCAAGATAGTTTCCTAGGATGGCCTGAAAATGTTACACATGTGTATTATGATGAAACCACAGCTACAACAGTCACACTTACATGTACAGTTGAATCCATCACCAGTGAATCCACTGAAACAGGAACAACTGAAATTTCCTATTGTGTTTGTACAGGTAGCGTTCTCGCTGCATCTGCCAAGACCGGTACAGGCTGGTGGAGGCACACTACATTCATCAATGTCTGCATGAACAACATAGGGGAACCGAATGTGGTAGGACAGCATAGGTCACAGGAAACAAAACGTTGGTTGCTCAGCCTCAATCAAACGGAACTTCTCATTCGCTACAATCTGCATTGCCGAGCAGATTCGCCTCTATAGTGGGTCATGGAATGTCCACATTCAATCTACAGGATTGGTAACAAAATAGGCTTGGGGTGGGAAGGGGGAGTGACAGAAATACATGTAGTGTTTGCAGTTTACCAAACGTTGCTTTTTAGCAGTTTCTGCATAAATATTATATAGAAAAATACCTTCACAACTTGGTTCCAGAGCACTCCAGTTGCCATCTTTCTGGCAAGTCAACACCGCTTCTCCTAGGAGGTTGAACCCGCATGGACAGGTGAATGCCACACTGGTGTTCACAACTCTGTTGGTGTCGTTCAGCATAGCAGGCTGTGTGACATTCAGTACTGGGCATTCAATCACTGGAGGAAACAAACAACACGAGATGTGTGTTCCTGTTAACTTCTACAAAGAAGATGCAGAAAAAAGGGGAAGTGTGGCATAATTCAGACCTAATCCTCTAGGAGTGTGCACCTAAACTGTGGTCTTTGCTGGGTGACGACTACACTATAGCTCAGTGGTTAGAGCACGCTAGCTACAAGCGAGGGTCCCTGGTTCGAGTCCTGGTGGTGACAGTCTATTTTTTCTTCAGACTTTTCCCGTTTGTGTCTTTCCCTCAAACTAGACAAGACCTAAACTGTTGTATACATGTGCTGCATGCTGAGTCATAATATTATGATGTTAGCTTGATCTACATCTGTGTGTGTGTGTGTGTGTGTGTGTGTGTGTGTGTGTATGCGCACACTTAGGCAGTGGTGACTGCAATCTCATGGAAGACTAATACAGTTGAGAACGGGGAAAACGCTATCTGGTGAGTTTCGAATTGTGTGCACAAAACTCGGCCTGGTGCATGTGCATGCACAGTTGCACTTGCATGATGCTGTTCTCAAATAAGCAAAACAAGGTGCAGCAACTGGTATCTAAAGGCAAAACTTCTTTACTGTCCATCAGCACAAGTTGTTAATGTCCAAGTGCTCTCTCCCATATAACTTACATGTGCAGTTGAATCCATCACCAGTGAATCCACTGAAACAGGAACAACTGAAATTTCCTATTGTGTTTGTACACGTGGCATTCTCACTGCATCTCCTCTGAGAACAGACAGTTTCCGGAGTATCTCCACTGCCTGAGCCGCTGGCCCAAAGGCCAGATGTCGAGCCAGAACCACTGCCAGATCCAAACATGCCGAGTGCAGAACTGATTGAAGGTGTTGAAGGCAGGCATTCATTGATATCTAACCATAAAGGAAAATCAAACCAGGCCACATTCAATTGCACATAACCTAAATCAGCTACAAGGACAGTGTGAGAAATGAAGTCAAGGGCGTTAATCATAATCATGAGTTCAGGTGGTGTTGTTGCTCTTCAGATCTAGCTTCAAAACGTCAATCCATGTGGTTGGTGGACGTCCACATCACTGGCATTGCAGTCAACAAAATTGGAAATGCATCGGACAGAAAAACCTGTAGCATTACAACTGCCCAGACTGGACCTGATTTTAATCTGCAGCATTTGGGTAAAAGACTGAAGCTACACTACTGCTGTGTGAAGGAGTTTACCTTCACAAATTGGTTCCAATGCGCTCCAGTTGCCATTTTCCATACAAGTCAGCACAGACTCTCCGAATAGGTTGAATCCGCATGGACAGGTGAACTCGACACTGATGTTCACGACTCTTCTGGTGTCATTCAGCATAGCCGGCACTGTGACATTCAGTACTGGGCATTCAATCACTGCATAAAACATAAGAGAACAGATACATTTTAACCTGTGAGAAAGAAGCAATTCCACCTCTACCACATGCACTCTCTGGCCGAGCTATACAGGCTGACAGCTGCTGCTTACCTTTGAATAATAAAAGAAATATGGAATACTGTGCCTGTTATCTTTGGACTCGATGAAAGAGAGAGAAAGATATATTTCAGGTTTGATCATCACTATCCCTTCCCTTAAACAAACACAGCACTAGATATACTGTTGGATATGCCGGAACGTAGCATTTTCTGACAAATGTGTACCAAACAACTCACATGTGCAGTTGAATCCATCACCAGTGAATCCACTGAAACAGGAACAACTGAAGTTTCCTATTGTGTTTGTACAGGTGGCATTCTCACTGCATCTTCTCTGTGGACAGTCCCTCTGTGCAATGTCACCACTGCCTGAAGTGCTACTCCACAGGACCAAAGAAGAACTTGAGCCGCTACCAGATCCGGATGAACCAAGTAGAGAAGGTGGAGTGATACATTCATTGATATCTGCATATTGTAACAGCAGCAATAGAGAAAACCAGTGACTTGTTCAACACAGAACTACAATCCAAACCAGCATCATCAGAGCACATACAACACAAAGCGAGTGACTCTCTCTCTCTCTCTCTCTCTCTCTCTCTCTCTCTCTCTCTCTCTCTCTCTCTCTCTCTCTCTCTCTCTCTCTACCTCAAAGACAACCCGAGATTGCAAGTGTCGAGTTTAGGAGAGAAAAATGAGCAGTAGGCAGGTGGCCCAATATGATTGAAACACAAACCTACCGAGGAATTTGGAAGTAGATGAAGCCGGAAAAATGCGTAGACATATAATGATAGGGGCCACACAGGGTGGCTGTGGCCGTGGGGCAAACCAATACGTCAGATTTCACAGCTATTGAAAATGTGCTGTCCTCTAACTTCTGACTGTACCTAAACGTACAGGTACAGGTGTGTACAAGTGGAAGGTTACCTTCGCAAATTGGTTCCAGAGCACTCCAGTTGCCATCTTCCCGACAAATCAGCACCGACTCTCCTAGGAGGGTGAATCCGCATGGACAGGTGAACTCGACACTGGTGTTCACGACTCTTCTGGTGTCATTCAGCATAGCCGGCTCTGTGACATTCAGTACCGGGCATTCGATTACTGGAAGAAGCATGAAGAAACATTGCATAGGATTACTTTGGCCTCGAACAAAAGGATGACTTTATGTCGGCACTCACTGCGGAGGTGAATTAGTTGATAGAGCAGACAAGGTTGCCTTACAATTTGTAATTAGAAGCTACAGTGGCACATCCAAAGAATACAACTGTTCACATAACGCTGTCACATGCACATATTTGCTACCCAAGCATAGACAGACTAGTTAGTGCTGGAATGCTCTTCGAATGTTGAATGAATTGCAATTAGTGTACATGTTAAGATAAGAAATCTGCTTCTGCATGGCTGAGGATCACACAAGTGGGCATCCAGGGCCAAATCTCAATGGCACACTCTACCACAAGTAGGTCTTCAAACCCCCTGTGGGTGCAGAAGCTCCGTGGGAACACAGCCAAGCCTGCAAAACCAAAAGCCCAAGAAATAAGTGACCGCCATAGAGCAGTGTGGTGTATTCTTGTCACCTGCGACTGTGAGTGTGCAGAACTTACAGGTGCAATTGAACCCATTGCCTGTAAAGCCAGGCAAGCAGGAACAGCTGAAGTTGCCAATAGAGTTTTGGCACAAGGCATCCTCACTGCACAGCGTCTGCGAGCAATCCGTACACGAAGTGTTTCTCTCTGTGCCGTACGGCAGAGAGCCAGAGCTAGATCCAGAGCTGCTGAACTCGAGTCCACTGGTAGACCCGCTTGCTGACCCAGACAAGCCGGAAGAGAGAAGAATGCTGCACTCATCCACATCTGCAGTTGGACATAAACAGCATGGAAGACACATTATGACAGTTAGTGTGCAGTATAAGCCACTGCTCAAGAAAACGGAGAACACAGCATCACATGTGAAAGAGACAGGGTTCAAGTTGAATCTGTAAAATTTCATGCCGAATCATCATGAACCTTTTCAAAGGTAAAAGTCACACCAGAGACCAATTGCATCCACTCCCATTGAATGTGACATAGCTCTGCGCTCTGCGCATAAAGCACTTTTCCGGTAGTTGGTCAAATCTGTCTTTGTCTTCAAACTTCTCCATGCTAGCAGCAACCAGTTTCACAACAATCGTCGTCTCAATTATCAACAAACTCCCAAACCCGGTTTTCAAACATTAGAGTGCATTCAACAGTTCAATGATTTTGTTATCTTGGATCATGTGCTTCTTGGTCTTCAACGACAAACACTGGGCGTACCTTGGCAAGTAGGCTCCAGTGCACTCCAGTTACCATTCTCCAGGCATGTTAGCAGCGGCTCACCCACGAGGTTGAAGCCACATGGGCAGCAGAACTGCACTGTTGTGTTGACAACACCCCGGCTGCTGTCGTTCAACCGAATGAAGTCAGCCTCAACCAGGGGAGGGCATTGTATTACTGGTGGCATAAGGAAGTACACACAAAAGTAAATCAGTACCAAACCAGTATCCTGCCAATGATAAAATCAACAACTTTGCAAGTAATTTACACTAGCCGGATGATACCAAAGCAAAATTTTCTTGAATCACAAATGTAGAATTTAAAATAGACAAGCGGCTAAAAGCACATGTTCGAAATAGTGTTGGCAACTGCAAACAGGCACTGCAGGATAATGAATTCATTCATGCAAGGTCAGAAAGCACAAACACACATTCACCAGTACAGAGACTTCAGATTATATTCAATCCACTTACACGTGCAGTTGAATCCATCACCTGTGAATCCACTGAAACAGGAACAACTGAAGTTTCCTATTGTGTTTGTACAGGTCGCATTCTCACTGCATCTCCTCTGAGGACAGTCAGGGTCTGGATTAGCACCACTGCCTGAACCGCTGGTCCCAAGGCCAGATGTAAGAAATGAACTGCTTGAACTGGATCCAGAACCAGAGCCACTACCAGATCCCGACAAGCCCAGCATAGTGGCAAATGAAAAAGGTGGAGTGATGCATTCATCAATATCTGAAGGTTCACGTGTAAGAAATTCACAAGAAACAGATATCGATCAAGTCATACTAAAAGTAGCAGCGGGTCTGGCTAGTTTAGCCATCGATGGAGTCTAGTTATGGTCAAGCCTTGCTTCAATTAAAACAGTCCACCCATCCAATTCAAGCAATACCATTGTGTTTGGTGAGTCCCATCCTGCTACCCTATGTATACATACACTGTGACATGAGAGTAGTGGACTGCCTGTATTCGCTTTAGCTAGCTGCATACTAGTACAGCCGGTTACAGTAGTTAGTACACGGATGCCCTGGGATATGCCACACACACACACACACACACTGTACAGATCACAATAAAGGCGCTGGGTTATTTTTTGAAATTCTCTAGGCCACTGCCCTCAGACCTTCTGCCCAGAGATGGGACGCAGGGTCTGCTCCTGCCGGCCAGCTCCACTTGTTCTTGTGTGAAGTGTCTCACATAGAATAGACACACATTTTAAACGGCACTCTGGAGACAGTCAAGGTAATAAACATGGTCAGATGTTTGTACTTGAATGCTTGTTCTTACCATCACAAACGGGCTCCAATGCGCTCCAGTTTCCATTCTCCAGGCACGTTAAGATGGGCTCCCCCACGAGCAAGAATCCGCATGGACAACTGAACTCTACACTGGTGTTCACCACTCTGCTCGTGTCATTCACCTCAGCAGGCTCCGTCACATTCAGTACTGGACACTCAATCACTGGAGAGAAATAGAATTATCGCACGAAGGTCGATGGCAAACCAACGCACAAACCAAAAGAACAACTTTTGATGTTTTGTTTCATGCCACTGTCACATTCTATACGCTAAATAGATTAATCAATGTACGGTAAACCCTGTCTAGGCGACCGCTCAGATAAGGCCCACCACCTGTCCAAGAAGACCACTGAAACCAGGACCAAGCAATGCTATTTCCAGTCAAATGACCCTGGATAAGGATACCACCCTGTAACAGAGACCACATTTTGAAGGTCCCTTGAGTGGTCATCTTAGACAGGCTTCACTGTAACAGCGATTGCACTGAACCGTCTGCACAGATGATCGAATTTCGGATTGGCTACACATCATTGAAGTGAACAACATGGAGCACATTATGTTATATATAACGGCCCAACCAATCGAGGCACACAGCCATTTCACCTTAAAGTCCTAGATAACTACTGGACACGGTGGATCTTTGGGACACTCACATGTGCAGTTGAATCCGTCACCAGTGAATCCACTGAAACAGGAACAACTGAAATTTCCTATTGTGTTTGTACAGGTGGCATTCTCACTGCATCTCCGCTGAGGACACTCAGTGCCTGGAGTAGCACCACTGCCTGAGCCACTGCCTGAGCCACTGAACCAAAGGCTGGAAGTTGAACCAGAACTACTGCCGGACCCCGATAAGCCAATTGGAGAGCCGAAAGAAAATGGTGGAGTGATGCATTCGTCAATGTCTGTAGTTTCACATGAAGAAAAGCATACATAACATCGGAAGTCACACTCCAGTAGAGCGCCGAATATCTGCACCCCTCGGGGCGCAGGCTGTCTCCTGAGGGGTTCGGATGAGAAGAATGTTCGGATAAGGGAGCAGTCACACATCCGCTATCTAAAACATCAAATTCTCGCATGTTTTCACCATTTTTCATTCTCTTCGGCATTACAAGAACTATGCACTCTCCAGCCCTACAAAATGATGCCATCGTTATACATTTTGACTCCAACTTGTTTTAATACATATTGTGTACCGTTTGAATGGTGGTTCAAGTGTCTAAAGTCAGCAACAACTTCGGAAAACCTCCTAATTTTTTCAGGCGGTCCATATAATCGATCATTCGAATAGTTGACGTCCGGATAATCGGTTTCTACTATATTAGTACTGCTGGTGTATTTAACAAGATAGTCACTGCTCGGATCAGCACAGCAGTTTGCCTCCATCTTGCGCCACACATGAGCAGACAAGAAAAAGCAGTCAAAGTCTTGTCAAGACTTGCCCTTACCTTTGCATATGGGTTCCAGTTCGCTCCAGTTTCCATTCTCCAGACACGTTAGCACTGGCTCACCAACCAGCAAGAATCCGCATGGACAACTGAACTCTACACTGGTGTTCACCACTCTGTTGGTGTCATTGACCACAGCAGGCTCCGTCACGTTCAATATCGGGCATTCAATCACTGGAGAATTGAAAATGATGTGATAGTAAAGCATAAGATGCTAACAGGTAAAAAGCTAACAGCGTGGTCTTTTTTTACAGATGTTGACCAATACATCAAGAGAGCTTTAAGGCTGACACGCCAACCTTCCTTTGCGATCTCAAATTTCAAAATGCACATGGCTGATGCCATCAAGCAAAGTCTGCTTCAAACAAACCGGACTGCACATAAGGAGAAGTAAGACACATTAATCGTGGGATCCTGCATCTTAAAGCCGTTATATGAAAACCTGAAGGTACTTGTACTTACAGGTGCAGTTGAATCCATCACCAGTGAATCCACTGAAACAGGAACAACTGAAATTTCCTATTGTGTTTGTACAGGTGGCATTCCCACTGCATCTTCTCTGAGGACAGTCAGTGTCTGGAGTATCACCACTGCCTGAGCCACTGAACCAAAGGCCAGATGTCAAACCAGAACCACTGGCAGATCCCGATAAGCCCAATGCAGAACCGAAAGAAAATGGTGGAGTGATGCATTCATCAATGTCTGCAGATTCACATGAAGAAAATCATACACAGCACCAAAGACTACACTTTTACAACAGTAAAACTTCCATGATCTGGGCAGGTTGGGATCGAGCACTACCCGTAAATCGGAACATACATACTTACTGCATGCAAGTTAGCATTTTTAGTGCCAATCAATAGTTTACGGGTCGTTTTTCGTTGAAAAGCTCGTATTGTAACTCTTCATGGGTAAGAAAAGTGCGAGCGTGTTTTTCATAAAAGAGCCATTTTGTGACTCTATACGGATCAGAAAGGTGCAGGGTAGACAGACGTACCCGGATGAGGGGCCTCTGGATAAGGGGAGTTTTACTGTACTACTGTTAGGTACCTCCTCCCGTACAACCTTTTCCAAGCTGGCCTGCATGCACCCTTTTTATCAGTACAAGATAGCCACTGTCCTAACAAGCACAGTGGTTCATCATATCTTCAGCCACACAGCGAACAGGGGACACGGAAGATCATGAATGCGTTAACGTCTTGTCAAGACTTGTCCTTACCTTCACATATAGGCTCTAGTCCACTCCAGTTTCCATTCTCCAGACAGGTCAGTACTGGCTCCCCCACCAGCAAGAATCCACATGGACAACTGAACTCTACACTCGTGTTCACCACTCTGTTGGTGTCATTCACTTCAGCCGGCTCCGTCACGTTCAATATCGGGCATTCGATCACTGCAGTGAAGAGAATGATGTGACAGCAAAGGATGCTAGCAGGGTACACACTTATGACATGGTCATTCAGAAATTGACATTCACGTCAAGACTGCTCAGTGTGTGAAGGCAACATTCCTTAGCGATCTTGAATTTCAAAAAGTACAACGCTGATGCCATCAAGTAAAGTGTGCTACAAAAACAATGAACCACTTATCAGGCAAAACAGTACACATCTCTCATAGGATCCTGCATCCTCAAGTTGGTAGGATCATTGAGAATCCTGGAAATACTTACATGTACAGTTGAATCCATCACCAGTGAATCCACTGAAACAGGAACAACTGAAGTTTCCTATTGTGTTTGTACAGGTAGCATTACCACTGCATCTCCTCTGAGGACAATCCGTGTCTGCAATATCACCACTGCCCGAGCCACTGACCCAAATGCTAAATGATGAACCAGAACCGCTACCAGATCCCGATAAGCCCAGTTCAGAACCGAAAGAAAATGGTGGAGTGATGCATTCATCAATGTCTGCAGGTTCATATGAAGAAAATCATACACAGCACCAGAGATCACACTATTAGTACTAAAGTCATCATTCCAAGATAGTTACTATCCAAACAAGAACAGTAATTGATCCGCATATTCAAGCACACAACGGACAGGGATAGCCCAGAAAAATCAGTCCTGTCAAGACTTGTCCTTACCTTGGCATATAGGCTCTAGTCCACTCCAGTTTCCATTCTCCAGACATGTGAGCACTGGCTCACCCACCAACAAGAACCCGCATGGACAACTGAACTCCACACTCGTGTTCACCACTCTGTTCGTGTCATTCACCTCAGCAGGCTCCGTCACGTTCAATATCGGGCATTCGATCACTGCAATAGAGAATAAAGATATGATTGTAAAGGATATTATAAGCTTACAAACTAACAACATGGTCTTTTTTACACTGGAAGTTGACCATCACGTCAAGAGTGCTTGAAGGCTGACTTCCTTTGTGATCTTCAATTTCGAAACAAACATGGCTGATGCTATCAAGCAAAGTCTTCTTCGAAAAAACCGGACTGCATATAGCGAGAAACAAGACACATTTTTGGTAGGAACCTGCACCTTAAAACTGTTATCATCATTGAAGGTACTTACACGTGCAGTTGAATCCATCACCAGCAAATCCACTGAAACAGGAACAACTGAAATTTCCTATTGTGTTTGTGCAGGTAGCATTCCCACTGCATCTTCTCTGTGGACAATCAGTGCCTGGAGTAGCACCACTGCCTGAACCACTACCTGAGCCACTGAACCAAAGGTCAGATGTCGAACTAGAACCACTAGCAGATCCCGATAATCCCAATGCAGAACCGAAAGAAAATGGTGGAGTGATGCATTCATCAATGTCTGCAGGTTCACATGAAGAAAATCATACACAGCATCAGAGACTACACTATGACAACAGTAACACTCCCCTGATCCAGCCATATTGGGATCAAGCATTGCCCGTAAATCAGAACATACATACTTACTGCATGCAAGTTAGCATTTAATTGTGCCAATTAATAGCTTACGTCAGGCGAAATAGCACGTCATAGTACATTTGAGATCAGCGGGAAGAATATGACGACGTCCACTAATTTCGTATCTGTGCACACGAATCTGCCGTGTGTGTGACTCTGTGTGTCAGCTATGATATCATCTTCTGTGGTTCCATGCCTAGCATGTACGTCTGAACCATCCTGCAAAGTTTGAATGACGTAGGTTGAGCGATCGCTCCGCGAAACATACTTTTTGAAAATCTCTTCATAGTATATCTTCCACCATTGAAATTTTGAATTTCTTCCAAAAAAGTGCTGAGAGGGGTGGCTTGCAACCTCGATATGGCTTGTTCCAGGCATGCTTTGGAGCCATCTTCTGTTGAAGTAGTGGCGGGGATCTGCCCTGCAACTGCTACAACAAAAAATGATTCGATCTGAGAAAGGGTGAGACCGCGAATCTCGGTTGAATATTGAGTATTTCAAGCCTTTTCACGACGAAGATGGAGTTCTTTTTGGAGATGGACGTCGCTGCAAAGGACATGGTGTCCGACTTCTGGCGTCTGGTGAAGCCAGGGATCATTTGTCCAGTCAGGTCGGCAGCCTAACAGTCGGTAAGCTTGTGTTTGGATCCCGTTCTGCTCGATGTGGTAGATCACAAACAATTTGATATCGCACAAATTGATCTCAGCATCGTGCGTACGGTATTTTATATTCAGAAAATCCCAAAGTGTCTCTGTGTGGCCGTCCTATGCCACGAGAAACTCCAATCAGGCTCCTATGTCCTCTGCCTTCATGATTGAATGTCCACTTCGTTTGAACAACGAACACAACAATCGAGGACGGCTTTGCAATGAAAAATACAGCTATACTGGAGCTGAAAAAAAGAAGAAAAAAACGTGCTCAGGATGAGACTCGAGTACACGCATACTCTCCCAGCAGGTGAAACGCAAATTTTTGTGAAAAATGCGTGTCGCCGACTGACCAGTAATTTCGCCTGACGATGGGGCCGTTTTCGTTGAAAAGCCATTTTTGTGACTCTTCATGGGTAAGAAAGGTGCGCGGTAGACATGCATGCCCAGATTAGGGGAGTTTTACTGTACTGTTTCTATGAGTACAAGCTAGCTACTGCCCTAACAAGCTCACTGGTTGAACTCTATCTTCAGCCACACAATGAACAGGGGACTGACAAGAAAAATTAGTCAATATTGTCATGACTTGCCCTTACCTTTGCATATGGGTTCCAGTTCACTCCAGTTTCCACTCTCCAGACACGTTAGCACTGGCTCACCAACCAGCAAGAATCCGCATGGACAACTGAACTGCACACTCGTGTTCACAACTCTGTTGGTCTCATTCACTTCAGCTGGTTCCGTCACGTTCAATACTGGGCACTCAATCACTGGAGAAAAGAGAAAGATTGATTGCAAAGGGTGCTAGGAGAGTGCACACTAACAAAATGATCTTTTTGCAGAATTTGACAAACACGTCAAGACTGTCCAGGCTGGAAAGATACCCTTGCTTTGAGTTCTTCAATTGCAACAAATATCATAGCAATGTCATCAAGGAAATTAAGTCTGCTACAAAAACACCAGTCTACATACAATGAGCAGAAAGACATAATTACTTCTCATACGATCGTGCTGTATCGAGGCAATGTGGTCGTTGAGAATCTTGAGGATACTTACACGTGCAGTTGAATCCATCACCAGTGAATCCACTGAAACAGGAACAACTGAAATTTCCTACTGTGTTTGTACAGGTGGCATTCTCACTGCATCTCCTCTGAGGACAGACAGTGTCTGGAGTATCTCCACTGCCTGAACCACTGACCCAAATACCGGATGTCGAGCCAGAACCACTGCCGGATCCTGATAAGCCCAGTGCTGAACTGAACGAAAAGGGTGGAGTGATGCATTCATCAATGTCTGTGTAGAGATTGATACACAACAATAACGGAAATCATGGAGATAATAACTGCCGAGTAACTGTATATACACGTGTCATCCTGGGTGCAATGCAATGCTGATAAGTGTTTGCTACCAGATACCAGCATGACATACGATAAACGGCGTCAAAAGTGGTACAAAGTTGACAGAATATTGTCAACTTTCCAAATCACTGCACATTCTCACCTTCACAAGTCGGCTCCAATTCACTCCAGTTTCCATTCTCCAGACAGGTCAGCACTGGCTCCCCCACCAGCAAGAATCCGCATGGACAACTGAACTCTACACTGGTGTTCACCACTCTGTTGGTGTCATTCACCTCAACCGGCGCCGTCACGTTCAATAGCGGGCATTCAACCACTGCAGTAGAGAAAGAGATATGATTTTAAAGGATGCTAGCGGGACACAAACAAATGACATAAACTTCAATGTCTGTACCTTGTTAACCATGTAAAGAGTACTAAAGACTGTTTAGGCTGTGAGTGCAGCTTTTCTTTTTTTTGATCTTCAAATGGAGAAAAAATGTTGGACTCAGTAGGCAGTTGTTGTCCTATAAAAAGTTGGAAGTCCAGTAGGAAGTCCAACTCCTGAAATAGTCATATTTTACGACTTCGTTGAACTCGCAAGACTTCCTCTGAAGAAAGTGGATGCATTTCCAGTACGCAGTTCTGAGTTTTCGCGTCTCTCTCGCGCTTTATATCGCCATCAATATCCTGCCTGGCTGTTGTCGCTTCGGCTTACCGTAAAGTCGCGGATAAAAGCCGGGCTTATAAGCACATAAGCCGCTTTCTGCATCAGGCTTCAATGCAAACCAGGCTTGTATGCAAACCATGCTTATATGCACCACTGATATTTTTGCCAGGCTTGTATGCACATCGGCCGATCCGGGCTTGCATAGAAGCCAGGCTTCTGCGCACGACACGCGTAGATTTACCACTGACTACCGGTATGGCGGCAGTTTTACTATGCACTGTACATAGCGCATGCACTCTTGACCTACCCGATCCGCGCTTGCATAGAAACCAGGCTTCTACGCGCGACAGGCTTATATGCATTGACCCGTTTGATTTTCAGGCTTCTATCCGCGATGTGCTTGTATGCAAACCCGGCTTTTATCCGCGACTTTACGGTATGCGAAAGCTATACATGCTGTGTATATCTACATTGCATTGATGCCAACGTGGAGAAGTTCCTAATAAGTTCTGAGTTTTTGGTATTTTAGAAGTTGTCTACTACATGTATACCCCTTTGACATGCACCCTTTCAAGTCGAGATAATCTTCTCGATTGGTTTTTTCTAGAAGTGGTTTTTGTAAGACTTCGACTGCATACTGAAGATCCAACTGCTTGCAGAGCCCTATGGGGCACGCCATGCAACAGTTCACAAAATTTAGACTACATACTGGACTGGGGACTGCCTATTGTGACCCGACTGCCTATGGTGAACCGATTGCCTATGGTGACCCGACTGCCTATAGTGACCCGACTGCCTATAGTGACCCGACTGCCTATAGTGACCCGACTGCCTATAGTGACCCGACTGCCTATAGTGACCCGACTGCCTATAGTGACCCGACTGCCTATAGTGACCCGACTGCCTTTAGTGACCCGACTGCCTATAGTGACCCGACTGCCTATAGTGACCCGACTGCCTATAGTGACCCGACTGCCTATAGTGACCCGACTGCCTATAGTGACCCGACTGCCTATAGTGACCCGACTGCCTATAGTGACCCGACTGCCTATAGTGACCCGACTGCCTATAGTGACCCCACAGCCTATAGTGACCCGACTGCCTACTGAGTCCAAAATGTTGTTGATGTTGCCGAGCAAAGTCTACTCTAAACAAACCAGATTACATATAGCAAGAAGCAAGACTTATCTCTTGTACGGTAATGGATATTCAAGCCGATCACAGGCTACCTTGAGGATACTTACATGTGCAGTTGAATCCATCACCAGTGAATCCACTGAAACAGGAACAACTGAAATTTCCTAATGTGTTTGCACAGGTGGCATTCTCACTGCATCTCCTCTGAGGGCAATCCATCTGTGGAATATCACCACTGCCTGAACCACTGCCTGAACCACTGGCCCAAAGACTAGACGTCAAATCAGAACCACTTCCAGATCCAGATAAGCCCAGTGCAGAACCGAAAGAAAATGGCGGAGTGATGCATTCATCGATATCTGCAGGTTCAAAAGGTGAGAACGAGACACAAATCATAACTGCAAAGCAGCTCAGCACTCACCATCATGTGCAGTATCTCATGAGCAAATATTCTCATTCAATCCTGTTGGCTGTTTGCAGCCTCATGGGAACATGCAATATCACAAGTAAACGTTGAATTTTCACAAAGGTTGACATGAAGACATTGTCAATTTTCAGTACCAGTGCATAATCTCACCTTTACAAATGGGCTCCAATGCACTCCAATCACCACTTTCCAGACATGTCAGCACTGGCTCACCAACCAGACGGAATCCGCATGGACAACTGAACTCCACACCCGTGTTCACAACTCTGTTGGTGTCATTGACCTCAGCAGGCTCTATGATGACCAGCTGGGGGCATTCAATCACTGCAGGAATGCAAAAAGATGATAAAAATAGAGGGTGCAAGCTAGCAACACATTGCACACACTACACACCAATAATATTATTTGCTTTTTCAAATGCAATCCTGATTGCCCTACTTATCTGACACTGTAATCTGCATGCATTCCCATCCAACACTGATTTTATCCAAGACAGTCTACAGACTGGGCATTCATATCCAGGAAAGGATTCGCAACACCGAACTGGGTGGTGACCTGGAGCGCTGATAATGCCATACAGCCAGCATTCCCGGCTGAGAAAAATTGCCATACGTGCTACATATGCTCCATATACTAGTCATATTGACGTTCACGGACAATCTTGAGGATACTTACACGTGCAGTTGAATCCATCACCAGTGAATCCACTGAAACAGGAACAACTGAAATTTCCGATTGTGTTTGTACAGGCGGCATTCTCACTGCATCTCCTCTGAGGACAGACAGTATCTGGAATATCATCACGGCCTGAACCACTGCCAGAACCACTGCCGGAACCACCGCTCCATGAACCAGAATCAGACCAAGGTGGTAAACCACTTCCAGATATAGATATTTGTTCTATTCCACTTCCAGACATGGATAATTCTGTGATTTCTCTGCTGACAACATTGCATTCATTGATATCTGCAGGAGGGTAAACACAGCAGTGATTCGGAGACAAGCCTTGAAAACGGACAGTACGTACTGATCCACGCCAGGCTGATATGGTCCACCATTTTTAGAGACCCAGATGGATACAAATCAATTCAAAAAGAATTCCAAAAATTTCACTGTTCGCGTGAGACTTAGCTAGATGCCGAGTTTTCCGCATCCGTAGGAACGCCACCACCCTCAAGGATCAATTAAATGCAATTGATTTGTAAATCCCCAAAAGTCTCCACCAAGAATTGCTATTGATCAGTGATCGCGGACTACAGCCAAGTGGCCACACACAGTGCTGTAGCATACCTTCACATGTCGGTTCTACAGCACTCCAGTTGCCATCTGCCTGACAAGTCAGCACAGACTCTCCAAATAGGTTGAATCCGCATGGGCAACTAAACTCCACGCTCATGCCCACAACTCTCCTGCTGTCATTCAGCATAGCAGGCTCTATGACGATGAGCTCTGGACATTGAATTGCTGGAGGGAATATAAAATGACAGACAACGGGCAGCCTCTATGATAAAAGAAGAAGCTTTTAAAGGATGTCTCTTGGAAGCGAATAACTTTCAAATCCACAACTATACTAATTATTTTGCATAGCTCCTCTCCATGGAAATGAGGTATAAGAAGACAAAGTGAAATGTAAGAGAGGATGTTAATGCTAAACCAACTATGGTACAAGTAGTACAAAATCAGACCTTTGTGTCTCTTAACCATTTCATACACAAAATCCAAGTAACAGTACTTAGTCTGAAGAGAATGTTGAACAGTCTCTGCTGGGATAACAGCTACACCATCGCAGCATCACTGGCCTCAAGCGTAGGTCCCGTCCCTGGTTCGAGTCCTGGTGGTGACAGTCAAATTTTTTATTCAGACCTTTCCCGTTTGTATCTTCCCCCGAACTAATTAATATTACACAAGACTTACATGTGCAGTTGAATCCGTCACCAGTGAATCCACTGAAACAGGAACAACTGAAATTTCCTATTGTGTTTGTACAGGTGGCATTCTCACTGCATCTTCTCTGAAGACAGTCCATCTGTGGAATATCACCACTGCCTGAACCACTGCCGGAACCACCGCTCCATGAACCAGAATCAGACCAAGGTGGCAAAGCACTTCCAGACATAGATACTTGTCCTATTCCACTTCCAGACATGGATAGTTCTGTGATTTCTCTGCTGACGATATTGCATTCATTGATATCTGCACGAGGATAAACACAGCAGTGATTCGGAGATGAGCCTTGAAAATGGACAGTACGTACTGACACACGCCAGGCTGATATGGTCCACCATTTTCAGCGACCCAGATGGATACAAATCAATTCAAAAAGAATTCCAAAAATATCGCTGTTCGCTTGAGACTTGGCTTGAGGCCGAGTTTTCCGCATCCACAGGAACGCCACCACCCTCAAGGATCAATTAAAAAAATACAATTGATTTGTAAATCACAAAAAAGTCTCTAACACGAATTGCTATTGATCAGTGATCGGGGACTACAGCCAAGTGGCCACACACAGTGCTGTAGCATACCTTCACATGTCGGTTCTACAGCACTCCAGTTGCCATCTGCCTGGCAAGTCAGCACAGACTCTCCGAATAGGTTGAATCCGCATGGACAGGTGAACTCCACGCTGGTGCCCACAACTCTCCTGGTGTCATTCAGCATAGCAGGCTGTACCACGATGAGCTCTGGACATTGAATCGCTGGAAGGAATATGCAATGACAGACAACAGGCAACCTCTATAATAAAAGAAGAGGCTTTTAAAGAATGTCTCTTGGAAGAAAAAAACTTTCAAATCCACAATTATACTAATTGTTTTGCATAGCTCCTCTCCATGGAAATAAGGTATAAGAAGAGTAGTGAAGAGTAAAATGTTAGAGAGGATGATAGTGCTAAACCGACTACAGTAGTACAAAATGAGACCTTTGTGTCCATCACCCATTTTTTCACAAAATCCAAGTAACAGTACTTAGTCTGAAGAGAATGTTGAACGGTCTCTTCGGGGATGACAGCTACACCATCGCAGCACCGCTGGCCTAAAGCGTTGGTCCCTGGTTCAAGTCCTGGTGGTGACAGTCAATTTTTTGTTTATTCAGATTTTTCCCGTTTGCATCTTTCCCTCCAATGAATTCTAAACAAGACTTACATGTGCAGTTGAATCCATCGCCGGTGAATCCACTGAGACAGGCACAACTGAAATTTCCTATTGTGTTCGTGCATAAAGCATTCGGACTGCATCTTCTCTGAGGACATCGACTACGAGTAGGATCACCGCTGCCTGAACCACTGCCTGACAGAGCTGAACCACTGCTTGACAGGGCTGAACCACTGCTTGACAGGGCGGAACCCGATGCGAAAGAAGGGAACCCAGTGCCGCTACCGGATATGGACACCTCAGATCCACTTGCATCCAGTGTATCACATTCATCAACATCTTGATAGCATGGAACAGAGCAAATATTCCCCCAAACCCTCTCCATACTGCTATTCGCACGTATTCGTATATTCAACGGAATGCCACTTGAACATTCCACGTAGCAAAATGTAAAGCTCTGTGGTAGAATCACACTGAAAGTGGAGTGAACATGGGTCTTCTTAGCCAGTGCTCAAATACAGACAATACAGCAATGCTTATTGAACTATGCAAAAATCCCTAACATACTAAATGATAATATGCACAATGCTATGCGAGAAAATATTGGGTGCATACCTCTGCAGGTAGGAGGCGCACCACTGAACGTCCCATTATCCTGGCACAGGAGCACGGAGTCACCAACTAGCTCAAATCCACACGGGCAGCTAAACACCACACTAGTGTTGATCAGCACCCTTCCTGTGGTGTTGAACTCCAGCAAGTCTGAGACCACAAGTCCGATACATTCCACCGCTGTACAAGCAGAGATAGGGTGAGGGAGGGGAGATACGAGAAAAACAGTGATGAATGTGTGCCGGAATAAAACAACTGGCATTCATGATCACAAAACGCTCCACAAGGACGGTAAACTTCCCACTTCATGCTGCCCGCACATGTACTTGGACCCCACCAAGGGCACAGCTACTGCTATGGGACTGGGAGCAGGTGGAGAAAAGGCAGTTACAACAAATGACATACAAGTAAACTGCATAACCATGTTGTACCTTGGCAAATAGGTTCAGCTCCACTCCATGACCCATTCTCTTGGCACATAAGCACAGACTGGCCAACCAGTTCAAAGCCAGCTGAACAATTGAACTCAACCCTGCGGTCCAGCACTCCTTCCCGGGTATCATTGAGAAAGCCGAACAACGGCTGCTCCAGGCCAGGGCAAATTATCACTGGAGTGTGAGGAAGAAAACAGAAAATGTTTATGCATTGACGTTCACCTTTAGCTAAAACATTATTTGATATAGACACTGACCGTTTAGGACATGGTACAGCATTCTGTTTTAGCTATTTTTTTAGCTCAATTGCTAAAGAACAGCATACTATTATGATGCATTGCTACACTCCCCCATTTTCAATGGCTATTTGCATTGGCTTAAGCTGCACCAGGAGACAAAGGGCCTTTCTACTTTAACAGCATTCAGGAACGCCTTGCTTTACCAGTAGACCACAATTTTAGTCCATATTTGCTTCTTTCTTCTTTTCCTTTTCTTTTTGACTTCTTACTCTTTTCCATGTTAGCCATGGTTGGCTATAAAAACCCTGCAATCGCCACGCAAAGTGGTCATTGGCTACCCCAGCCATGTATTGCTTGGAATAAAATAGAAATAATGTGGGCCAATCAAACCCCATCCAAATAAGGTGTTCTCAATTCCTACTTCAAAGTAAATTTATCTTCGCTCTGTGCTAATAAATTTAGCGTAGTGCTTCCATCCACATGTCTGTGACAGATGGTGCTTACATGAGCAGGTGGGCTCTACCCCGCTCCATTGACCAGTCGACAGGCAGGTGAGAACATCCTCTCCGACTAGTTGGTATCCGGCTATGCAGGAGAACACAGCGGTGGTGCCCACGGTCGTCTGTGTGGTGTTGGTCAGATTCAGCCGTCCGAACGTCGGAGTGACCAAGCCAGGACACGTGACCAGTGTTGTGTCTGGAAGAAAACCGACATAAGCACGCACATAGCAACCCATGCACAACAACATCAAAAGCTAACCTCCCTCCTGGATTAGGCTCTATGCCTAGGGCACGTCGCTAGAATTTTTTGAATCCATTGAAAAATACATCCTACTTGTAATATAATTCAGTGTGGTTCATTGAAAGACTAATTTAGACCCAAAATGCCCCAGTGGGGCAGTGTTCAAGTGCTGTGGTGCTCAATGGAAAATGCAAGCTTTTAGCGACAGCGATTTGAGAATGTGCCAAGGGTTTCAGTATCACTCGCAGTGCTCATGAAGACATTCTATACATTATCACATTCCACCTGATCTCCTGCTTCTCCTCTATAATCCATAAGTAGGGTGGTGATTGATGTTTAAAAACAATATTCAACTTACCTGGCACACACTCAGTGAATGCATCGCCAGTTGTGCCTGCCGGACAAGCACAGGTGAATGTGCCTGGCAGATTGACACAGTCTGCATTCTGCCCGCACTGCTGAAAGAACCCAGGGGTACTTCCTCCACTGCCAGAAGCCTCACCAGAGCCGGATTGCGACAGACCACTGCCTGATACTGACCCAGAACCAGATTGCGCGAGACCGCTTCCTGACGCTGATCCAGAGCCTGTCACGCTTCCCCGAGCTGATCGTCCACTCAACTCTATGTCATCTATCGAGAGATTGTAGTAAGGGCCACCACCGGAAAAGCTGACAGGCAGCATACATTCATTGATGTCTGAAAACAAAAAGTCATAGGGATTGCAAAAATTGTTCAAGTCATGGAGAAGAGTCCACAAACCTGTCTCAATTTCCTCGATACTGTCAAATTGTGTGTGATTAACTCTTATCTACCACTTTAGTTTAAAAGCATACCTGTACATCTCCCATGCTAAGGGTGAGTTTCCTAACACCATACCTATGCACTCTGGTTCTGCCCCACTCCATGCTCCAGATTCCTGGCACGTCAAGACAGATTCACCGCGGAGTTCAAATCCTGTTGAGCAGTTGAACTCGATGCTGCTATTCACAGCGGCCATATCAGTTGTGCCATTGACTGCTGTAGCGTTGACGAACCCAAAACTTGGTACAGCTAATCCTGGGCAAAACGTGCCTGCAGAACATAAACAAAACACAGACAAGCATTCCATAACCATGGTACTGCACTGTCATCATTGTTAGGTCAGTCGTGTACACAGTGCTGAAGATCTTTGACACATCAGAATTATCACAAGGATGTAAGTCAGTTGGTAGCTGGCCCAGCTTACACCCAGATGATTCAGTTACTTTCGTCTCAATACAGTGCCCAACTGGTATGGGTATACAACAGATATGCAGAGTCCCGATAGCTGGGAACCACTTTGAATCCACCCCAGCCTCTACCCCGGAACCATTCTGCCAAATATAATTGCGCATGCAGCTGCTCTTCAGTGCATCTTTGAACCATGCAGACGCCATCACAGGAATATGTAAGTAGCACAAACTGGTCCTACCAATAATCTGCCCGTGAGTTAGCCCTGCCATCGGTTGGTTGGTTTGAACGCAAGCCATTTATCAAGATCATTATTAGATGTCTGTATCCTGTAATGATGCGACTAACAATAACCTAGGTCTTAGCAATATCCTGGTCAGTTTTCTGGTTTGTTGCTATCAACACTCACTGGTTCGGAAGACTAAACATAAAACATAGGTATGATTGCGCTCACAGGTAAGGTTGTGTTCATAGGCAGTATCCTGTTCATAGGTAGGGTTAAGTCCATAGGTAAGGTCCTGTTCATAGATAGGGTCCCGTTCATAGATAGGGTCCTGTTCATAGATAGGGTCCTGTTCATAGATAGGGTCTTCATAGGCAGGGTCGTGTTTATTGGTTAGGTTGTGTTTATAGGTAAAGTTCTGTTCAAGGAACTTACGTCTGCAAATTTGGCCATCACCCATGAATCCCGGAAGGCATTCACAGCGAAATGATCCTATGACGTTGATACAGACTGCAGCTCTAGCACACGGCATTTCCACCACATCCACATCCTCATCCTCGCCGCTGACACCCGAGCCACCTGAACCTGTCGAACTTGATGCTGATCCGCTTGCAGAAAATTCTTGAAGTCCCGAACCTGACACCATGGTGGACTGATCGTCTGAGCTTTCTGATAGTCCCACTGCACTCCCTGAGCCACTTGATGTTGATTGTACTCCTGAGGTGCCACCTGAGCCTGATGTGCTGGCAGAGACACCACTGATAGTGTCATCTTCACCCGGGCCAGAACTGGCTGAGCCAGATCCACTATCTGGTATGCCTGATGCCCTGGCTGGGAACGATGAGCCACTTTCACTGCCAATGCCGCCGGACCCACTTAGCGAGCTGTTGAAGAACGACATCGCTGATGACATCATGGGTTGACGAGGCAGAACATCACACTCATCAATATCTGCACAGAGCACAGTCAGTCGTGACAAGCCTTATAATCATGAAGTTTTCGCATCGTGCCATCACCAATTGGAAATTCCACCTTCGGCTCGATCCTATCACCAAAATTGAATACACAGTACAAATTGCATGAACAACACTAAAATCCCACAGGCAATTCAATGACAACTGCCCTGAATGGTTGGAACGTACCCAAACAAATCGGCTCGTCGTTGCTCCAGTTTCCAGACAGCTCGCATGTCAGCAGATCAGCGCCTTGCAGTCGAAACCCAACATCGCAGGAGTAGAAGAGCGACGCGCCCGGAAAGCGACCTCCCTCCCTTGATCGGTTCACTGTGCCATTCGCTATGCTCTCGAGTAGTGGACACGGAGCTCCTGCAGATTGAAGACGAGCAGAACACCATAGCTATGACACACTGATACTAAATTATTTATACTTAAGGATTCCCCAAAGGCTAAATGCCTACCTGGTGGGTATCCAGGATCAAGGAGTTAAATGAACATTTACTACAGTGCGAACTTAGAAGTTGCGACTTCGGCGGTCATAGTCATGAAGTTGATTGTTCGGCAAGAAGCGTGTGTTCCTAGTTGGAACAATCAACTTCATTTACTACAGTGGTGGAAAATAAAATGTATAAACATTTTGACACGGTATCGTGAATTTAACAAGACTTGTGCATTCAAACACACAGATGTGCAACCAGCTCTCTGGGGAATCCATCCGATAATGGGTTTGCTCCACACAGACCCCCAGCTACTGGTCATCGGATCTTTCTGCCTGTGGCAATGTCAGATTTCTCTACATAATCGCACAGTGCTGCACAGAATGCTGCATCATTTTACTTACTTATACACTGGAAGCCATCACCAACAAATCCCTCTTGGCATTCACAGATGAACGATCCAGGTAGATTAGTACACACCGCCAGCATAGAGCATGGTGTTGTGAACGGAATCGGTGGCTGATCTGTTGGTGCTTGCGGTGATGGTCCAGAGGTGACGCCATTACCAGAGTTTCCAGAACTGCCACTGCCTGAGGCAGTGCCACTACCAGAGATTGCAGATGCAGACTGCTCATCACCGCTACCAGATAGAGGAATGCCAGACAGGAGTACATCACCACTTGCAGAAGCGCTACCTGAGCCTGATAGTCCCGCCGAGCCGATATCACCACTGACACTGCTCCCGGACTGGGCCTCGCCTGAAGAACTGTCTCCTGAGCTGAAATCAAAGCCAGATCCACTCACTGAGGTAGAAGAATCAACCGAGCCTGAAATCATATCCGCAGAACCAAGTTGGACAGAGTCATCTGAAGATCCAGAAAATCCTGGCATGCCGGATTGGCCCAAGCTGCCAGAACTGCCACCACTGTTAGATATGCCTGAGCGTTCTGAACTACCAGGGAGTATAGCATCAAAACTTGCGTCCAAATCACCAGACATAACTGTGTCAGCACTGTCGCCTGAAGGAAGGTCCCCGCTAACCTCAATGTCAGATCCAGAGGAACTGCCAGATATTTCAACACGATCAACTGAGTCTGCGGATGCACTTGAACTATCGGGTAGACCACTTCCAGCACCAGACATAACTGTGCCAGCACTGTCACCAGAAGGAAGATCCCCGCTAACCTCCATGGCAGATCCAGGGGAGCTACCAGATATTTCGACACGGTCAACTGAATCTGCGGATGCACTTGCACTTGAACTATCGGGTAAACCACTTCCACCACCATCAGTTGCTGATGCTTCTTGTCCACTGCTCATAGCTTCTTGCCCGGAGCCCGAAAAAGGAGTGGATCCAGATATGCTATCAAAAGCGGAGACAGATCTTCTTCTTCTTCTATTCGCGTTTCCATCGGTGATCGATCCTTCTTCCGATTGCGTTGTTGCCGGGGAATTAGTACTGAACAAGGTGTTACTGATCATTGTGGTGATTGTTGAAAACATGCCACTGCTAGTCCCGGTAGAAGACCCGAAGCCAGACCGTAGATTTCCAGAGGTGCCAGAGAGAGAATCGGCATCATCCACATCATCTTCTACTGATCCAGAACTAGACGTATCACCTCCACTGGAAGACAAATCAAGTGGAGAATCGCCAGAATTTGTCCGTGTAGATCCTGATGCAGAACCACCAGATAGGAGCAAATCAGAACTAGGATCCTTTGCTGCTGATGCTGATCCTGGATCACCAATCACCCCTCCTGATCCAGCCTGGAGCTGCATTGCACCAGATCCAGACTCCAAACCAGATAAACCGGACAGACCTCCAGATATCGAGTCAGCTCCCGATTCCACAGGTTGGGCTGCTGGTGGCAATGTTCTATCTGTTGCAGGATCTCCACTACCAGAGCTCCCTTCTGATACCGAGGCAGAGCCACTCAGATTGGGTTCATCAGCCGCCATGCCACCCAAGCCAGGGCCAGAACCAGACAGATCGCCATTTCCAGAAACACTTCCCATGGCAATCGTAGATCCAGATCCACTGAATGGTATATCAGTTACTGTGGGTCCGGGTGCAGATCCAGTCCCGGAGCCTTCACCGGATGCATCGCTGCTTCCTGAAGAGCTACTGGAAACACTGATCTCTCCACTTGCAGATCCAGACCCTCTGAGCGGTATATCAGTTGCTGTTGGGCCTGGTGAAGGACTCAGTGACGGTAGTGGCCCAAGAGTTGTACTACCGGAAGATCCAATCCCAGAGCCTTCCCCGGACATATCGCCGCTTCCTGAAGCATTACCCGACACACTGACCTCGCCACTTGCGGATCCAGACCCGCTTGCTGGTAACTCAGTCGCTGCGGATCCAGTGGTGGGACTAGATGTAACGGCCATGGTTGGGAAGACCAGCATCATACACTCGTTGATATCTGCAGTGCAAAATGACATAGCCCAACGAACACAAAAATAATTTACACTTATTATTCAGTCTGTCGGAGGTGAAACGGGAAAAAGTCAGAAGAAAAAGTTACTCCCTTGAGCAGTCAAATGATGTTCAAAATTGATGTTCAGTTCAATAGCAGACATAAGCTGCAAACAATTATCTATATTGTTTCCCTCTCCCCAGTATGTGCTGTTTCATTCTTGCTGAAGCCTAGTAACTGGACGCTATGATGTTGTCTGGTCAGGTTTTCTTGATCAAGGGCTTATATGAAATGCTAGAGTGAGGTTTCCAGGGCCATATTTCCTGTTGACATTGTCATGTTGTTCTGAACAAGCTACAATGGAAGGAAAGGTGAAGGTTTTATAATAGCCTGAACAAAAACTATTTTGTCTGGGGTCAAATGGCCAGCTTGCTGTTCCAAGGAGATAACAGCTTCTCTTGAACAACACTTTAGAGATAAATATGCCATGTAAAGTTCATTCGCCGTCCGTAGAGGGCTCAATTTGCCAAAAGGAAAAAAAGCGGAGTACACAGACAGAAGAACGAGCAGTTGTTTTTCGTAACTCTCCGAATCGATCATCTATTTTTGTGCGATGATCGATTCAGGTTCGTGAAACTCAGAGTTACGAAAACAATTGCTCGTTCTTCTGTCTGTGTAGAGATAATATTATATTTTGTGATCTGGAGTATGGTAAATGCCTCTGATTGATAAATTTCTCCTCCGTAGTCAGAGTGCAGCAGACATCCAGCACTGCCCTAGCTCTCCTGCGCTTCTGCTTCTCTTCTATTTATAATTCCCCCTTCATTTTTCTCTTTCTCCCGTCTATTAGTATTACCGCCATTGCTCGCTATCGCCCACATCAATTTTTCACTGGCTAGTGCCACGTGATTGTGAATTTAAAAATAAATCATACCATCACAAAAGTTGAATCCATCTCCACTGAAGCCCTGGAAACACTGGCAAAGGAAAGACCCTGGGACATTGGTGCACACAGCGTTCGGATGACATGCCGATGAGCGGTTAAACAATGGCCGCGGCTCGTACGGCAGCGCCAAGCCCGTTGCAGTCAGGTTGTACTCGAATGACCGTTCCATGCATTCATCAATATCTGCGTAAGAGAAAAGCAAATTGGATTGAGCTGGGGCGCGAGTTGAGGCATAGGTGGGAGTACAGGAAAGGCAACTCTATAAACAGGAGCGTCATGCAAGGAATCAGCTAGCATTCTCCACATCCATTGAAGTGCCTCTGAAACTTAGTGAAAGGGCTTGAAACTGAGGATGTCAGAAATCGACAAAATTATATGACTCCCGGGTAAATCCCTGGATCTAATGACCATGGCAACGCACAGTAAATGGCGGATTGGTCCCTCGTGCCACATGCAGATATGACTATTCTCTGTACCAGAAGTGGGTCCCCATCTGGGAGGTTCCATTCCAGCCTCTGTAAGCAGATGCGTCTCCCTACAGTCACGGATGAAAACTATGCAAAAGTGTATGGATACATACAAGTATTGTACTTCCCTAGAGGATCCAAAGATCAACTTTGTCGTGATTTCGGCCTGGCTGTGACTTGCCATTTTCTTCACACTTTTAAAATTGTGTTGATATAGCCTTCACCCCCCCCCCCCCCCCCCCCCCCAACTAGAATCCATAATAGCAAGACACGACACGAAACAGTCATTTAACACCATAGTCTAGCAATGTGAATCAATTTTACTACTTGTAATCCAAGAGAACAGCCCCTTCCCCTTTGAACACCGTTCAAAGGGGAAGGAGGCCGATTCACCTAAATCTTGAACACCACTGAATTCCAGAATTTGGGGAGGGAGTGCAGTTGACACGTGTATGTTCTTCATGAAGCAGAGAAAGCAAACACTTACCCACACACTGTGGCGGATCGCTGCTCCAGTTGCCGGAGAGTTCGCATGTCAAGAGCTCAGCTCCCATCAGACGATAGCCAGAATTGCACATGTAGGATAGGGTGGCATTAACGAAACGACCTCCTTCCCTTGACCTGTTTACTGCACCATTCTCGAGCTCGGACAGAATAGGACACCGTGCCCCTAGGAAAACAAAAAACGAAGATCGCATTGATCTGCAGTGAAGGATGATATATAATATTATACAAGAGTCTAAGAACGTGACCGAGTATGGTCACTGCAGATCTTCCCTCCAATGTACTGCTTTTATGCCCCTAGAAACACAAAAGAAAAATATGAAAATTCACTTGCATTGATCAGCATTGAAAGAAATCTATCCCTCATCCACGAAACTATTACATTCCACTTACTGATACACTGGAATCCATCACCGACAAATCCCTCTTGGCATTCACAGATGAACGATCCAGGTAGATTAGTACACACTGCCAGCATAGAACATGGTGTTGTAAACGGAATCGGTGGCTGATCTGTAGGGAGGGCTGGATCCTCGGTTGAAATCCCAGAACCGCTTCCGGATATATCTGAGCCACTACCGGATGCGAACATCGTAGAACCGGATGAACTAGTACCCGAGGAGGAGGAAACGCCACTGTCACTTCCGGAGATGGCACCGCTGCCAGACTGTCCACCATCACCGCTTGTCATGGGAACAGATGTGGAGAAACCGTCATCGTTCATGTCACCACTTTCCCCGCCGCCACCTGACATTGATACACCTGATTGTACATCTCCGCTGCCTGAGCCTAGGCCGGACATGGCAGTGCCAGAACTAACACTGCTACTACTACCGGAGGCCGATTCACCTAAATCTTGAACACCACTGAAAGTTCCACTGCCAGATGCTGAGGAGCCAGGACTAGCAGCACTGTTTTCAGCAGATTCATCTCCATCGCCAGACAAGGAAGTGGATCCAGATACCAATGATTCATCGCTAGAGCTGCCACTGGAGCTTTTGAACCGTGCACCAGAGCCAGACATAACAATATCAGAGTCAGGTGTACTATCGGAGAGCTGAACATCGAAGTCGTCAGCACCATCTGAAGCTGAAGTGTCATCTGGAGACTGATGACTCTGCCCATCACCGGACAACGGCCCTAGCGATGATCCCATGCCAGACAAATCAATGTCATCCGAATCTGCAGTGCTGGAATCTGCTACAGTGGACCCCGAGGAATCGTTTTGTTCTTGTCCAGTCATTCCACTGGCAGAAGACCCACTGCCACTCAGCAAGGTGTCAAACTCTGGGCTGGAGCGATTATCTCCCATAGATGAGGAATCGGTTGGCGTTGACGCTGCATCCGTACTCCACAATGTATTGGCGATTACGCTTGTAAACGCTGAAAAGAAGCCGCTTACACTAGCTTCCCCGCCATTGCTGGCGCCTCCATTGTCACTGGGGTCTGCGGTACTAGGCACTGAGCTAGTGTCATCAGTATCACCAACACTGTCATTACTTGCTGGGCTGGACTGCATTTCTCCGGAGCCAGAGCCAGAGCCAAGCGGCACAGGTGGACCACTTGGATCAGAGCTTGTTACTTCAGTCGGACTGCCAGTAGCAGTAGGCATGGCGGGTGTTGGAGTTGCCAGAACACTAGTGCGCACGGTCGGGGCAAGAATGGTACTGGTGGGTATATCCAATGAAACCGGGATGGCAGTGACCGTGGCTACGGTCGGTGTGGGTGTTAGCATGACACTAGGAGCTATAGCGGTGGGTGTTGGTGTTGTGCCTACTGTGGGATTCAAGGATGGAGCTGAAATGCCCGCTGTTGGAGTTGATGCCCGTGTTGCTGTGACTTCTGGTGCCAGTAGAGTTTGTGTTGGGGTGCTCATGACTGTTTGGCTGCCTGTGGGGATGAGGACAGCTTCAGAGACTATACTGGGGAACACTCTAGTCAAAGACGATCCAACATCGGAGCTAGGAGAATCAGATGGCCTGGAGCCAACGGATCTCACACTTCCCATGTCATCACCTGAGCCAGAGCCACTGAAGATGTCAGCTGAGGCACTTCCACTGCCACTCACGATGACCGTGGTTGATGTTGGGGTGAAAGACGAACCAACACCGGAGCTAGGGGAGTCAGACGGCCTGGCAGCAACGGAGGTATCAACGGAACCTACACTACTCATGTCATCACCTGAGCCACTGAAGATGTCAGCTGAGGCACTTCCACTGCCACTCAAGACAACCATAGTTGGTGCAGGGGTGGGTGAATTCGGAATTGATGTTGGCCGTGTTGTCGAGACAAAGTCAGTAGCAGGTACAGTTGGGAAGATCAGCATCATACATTCATTGATGTCTGGAAGAAAAGGACAAGAAAAGCCAATAACTAAACAAGAATGCTGTATGTCTTCACAACACTTAAATTAAATTATAATATATATTGCAAAAACTGTCATTGATCTACTGACAAACGGGTAGAATGCAATGCACATGATCCATCATCATTTGTCAAAACCAAAGCCACTGAACATAGGTGCGAGCTTGTTTGGCAGGATAATGACGATGGGTGTGGCTGGTCCCCCATCCAGGAAAGGGGGTACATGGCCGCATATGTGTAGAATGACTGGTGCATGTCATTCATGGTCACTATGTGCATGCTGAACGTAGGTCGAAATATTTAGGGGGGGGGGGGGGGGGTGCACGGTCCCTCCTTGCCCCACGCGGGTTACATGCCTGAATGACCTACCATCACAAGTGTTGACTCCATCGCCGCTGAAACCAGCCAAACACTGACAGGAAAACGATCCTGGTGTGTTTATGCAGCGAGCATCCGGGTGGCATGGCGACGTGCGATTGACCAATGGCTGCGGGTCATAGAGCTGCTCTAGACTTGTGGTCAGGTTAGGACTGAACCCAATTTCCGAGCATTCATCAATATCTGAACACACACAAGGCAAACACAGCAGGCATTGGACTGCGCCGAAGGAGAATGGTATGGTATCCTTTGTTGTTCGAATATATGATATTATACAATACATGCTGCTTGCATGCTTGTTTCAAGAAAATCAGAATGTCTTTCCGTGCTCATCTCACATTGAAATCCTGGAACTCGTAATTACGAAGTAATATTGGGTCAACTTGAACACACAGATTATTGCGTATCAAGTTATCTCTTCTTTGGCAGTGTATGTGTGTTGTAAGGACCAACATCTAACTGCGCAAGTTACAGACAAATGAAAATGTTTGCCAGCTTACCAGAGACCGTAATCACCCACACTTGACTAACTTGCAGGCATATTCGTAGGATCCAAATTTTCAATTTCGATATGGCAGGATGTCCGTAAGTGTTCAAAGTATGGAAATTTTGAATCATGAATCAGTTCCTTAGTGTAGCATAAGCTTGGACTCAGGCTAGTGGCATGGACTTCTACCCAGCCGAACGCCAAGCAGGTATGTAATATGCTGCCCTATCGAAGCAGCAACTTTTCTAGTACTTTTCAGAGTTCTATGAATGATGGAATGCTGGTGATTGCCAGTAGGGTCACAATCATTGATATCAATCAGTATGATGGATTCCAAGTACTAGTATCTGGAAGTGATGTGTCACTATATACATGTAAATAGCACTCCATGCACAGGAGACTTCTTCTACTCCAATGAAAAAGGGTAAAAGGTTTCTACCTCAGTCCCGTGATCAGAAGTGCAAGTGCAACACACACACACACACACACACACACACACACACACACACACACACACACACACACACACACACACACACACACACACATTCTCTCTCTCTCTCTCACTCACTCACTCACTCTCTCTCTCTCTCTCTCTCTCTCTCTCTCAGACTCACCAGTACAGTGGAGTACACCATCACCGGTATACCCACTCAAGCAACGGCATTCAGGTGCGCTCATGCCCGCACGAGCGCAGTATGCCGCGGCATGGCACTGCCGGTCTCCGCAAGTCCCTGCAGGCATGGAGAGGGGAGAGACGGAAGTTGGAAAATCAGACAAGCAAGTTGGCACTGTGTATTCCATTGGGCCCACCCTTCAGTGTAGGATACTAGTACACGCATGCTGAAAACAAAGGCATTGCTGAGAAACTAGTAGTCATGGTGATCAAACAATGTCGATAATTGCATTGTGCAATGACGTAGCTTGTTCGCCATGTTAAATCTGGCAAAAAGCCTGTCGTATGGGTTCCAAGTTTACGATGTACTGTACAAACTGATGTCTAAACTAGTGGTGGCGTTTGATCTTCCGTACTCTCCCTCCCCTCAACCCCCCCCCCCCTCCCCCCTTGTCCCAAACGTTTCTTCAGTGTATCCTCTTATTCGTGGAGTGAGCTGGACAATATTATGTAAGTGTTGGTTTGGTAGAATGGCACACCACACACCGAGAAAGTAAAGCAGCCCACCAAAGAGACGTGCAAGCAAAGTATGATCGTGGTTCTGCTTCTGAAGTCCGAAAATAGATCATACATGTACATGATTGTACATTATTCATGTACCGGTTCTACATGTAGTAGTACTAGCATCTCGTTGTCCCAGAAACTCGAAGGGCCAGGTGTGATCCCGGCTAGTACAGTGTCCTTGCATTCCATCCATATCATATACGGAAAATGGTAAAACAAATCACACTTGAGAAAACAAAGCGCGTACAATACCAATGGGTCACTTACGGGCCAAGTGGACGGACAAGAGCCTTCTGAACCAGATGGCAAGGCATCATCAAAGCTCGCATGGCACAAGCATAAATCTACCTCCAGACCACTTTCCTCGCATATGGTGTGACATCCCATTCTTCAAATGTCGGCGACGGAAACTGTCAACTATTTCAGTATTTGATGGAGCTGGAGGTGCAATGTAGGTTCCCCATGCATTGTGGTGCTCTGTAGCTAGCTGGCGAACGTAGCGCGGCACTGAGTCATCATGGTAATCCTGGATACTAATAATTATTACCGAGCGATACCGGACATTCAGGAAGACAAGCTCATGTAAATTCAGTGGTAACCACGGCAGATACCGCCCGCATGTCATCCCAGTGCATTGCTATTCTTTTCCGCCAACTCCCCGGAGCCGTGCTCCGCGCGCCACTCGTTCCAAACCAGGCAGGCGAGGAAACGATAAGATCAAGACAGCAGCCACTTGAAAAAAGAAAATATTATAATCAAGTACCATTCTATAAAGTGACATTGCGCTTTTACAAAGTCAGTTCGCTAGCATTAGTAGCAAGCAGCAGCGCAGGCCGTCAGTCTTTGCCTTTGCAATTTATTTGGTCGACGACCAAAACCATGAAAACCTGAAAACTGATCGAAGATGATGACCATGATTGCATGAACATGAAGGCATGATGAGGACCACGTGTGTAGAACGGTGGCGTAGCCGTCAGACGCAGGGTTACGCTTGCAAGCCAAGCTAGCTGCAGGGAGGGCTAGGCTACTACTAGTACTACGGCAGTAGGTCAACGCCTACGCCTCGACATATCGACGGACCGTGCAGTCACCATGGACTGGTCACCTCTCTGATGGGGCCGCGCCGGGGTAGATCTGGCGTTGCCGGGTGTCTTTTGCGCTGTACTGTACTCTGTAGAGTGTAGTGTAGTCTATCTACAGTCACTTTCTTTATCCACTGACGATGTTGTTCAGAACAACGAAACGTCTGGAGAAGTATCGTAAAAATGTCTATCGTTATTAAATGTTATCAAATATACCACTCTTTGGTCTAGAAAGAATACTTTTTGATAGTCAGTAGAACGCCGATCATCCGGACGTATGCGCGTAGTAATACTAATAGTAATACTAATAGCATACAATCATGTAGTAGTACCCAGAACTTCAGGCAGAAGTCAGCTATCCAGATCAACGCTTATCCGGTTGAAGTTTCGGAGCAAATCGAATGTGACTTAGCCCTTCGCAGATTGTGCCCGAAATTTTGGTAGATTCTGCTCGGCAAGAAGTGAACTTGGTAGAACCATAATAAACTTTACGGCAGTCACTTCCTTGCTCCATTTCTTTATCCACATACCAAACATAGGGACCGCCAGATTCTGCTCGAAAAGGTGGCAGATTCTGCTCGAAAAGCAGTGAAATTGGCAGAACCATACAAACCTTATGGCGGGCAATTCCTCGAATTCTGCTCCATTTCATTATCCACATACCAAACATGCATGAAACATACCTGAAAAGTATCAAATTCTGCCGTTGTTTCTGCTGGCATCATCCACCAAGGACTAATGTGACTACGCCGATCATGGTAACACTGATACCAATGGAAGCAACCTCTTTTTCCAAGGTGGCGAGATTTGTGAAGTTACACAAAACCCATAACACAAATGAACTCAAGAAGAATCTTGAAAATCCTTGCAAGATCGATATGACGTAACCTGGCAACGGTCTAGCACAGAAGATTTTTGTCTGTGCACTTGGTTTTGTTTAGCTTCTCAAATGTCACCAAGCTGGAAATCGGTTGATTGTATTTGCCAAGATTGGAAGTCATGATAAAGTTTTTCATGAGCACCTTCAGATCTTCTGATACACTTCCACTTACCTGATGATGATGCAGCGGAATGCACTTGTTCTGAAGTCCAATTCGCTGCAGCCATATACTGCCATCTAAAATCGGGATATGACTGAGAGTCACTGAAATTTGCCCGCAACTCAATCCTCAGGTCGGTGACGAACAGTCCTGGTGAACCCGATCGATTTGAGTTTATGAACCACGTGACCTGGAAAGAAAAACGAAAAGGGAATCACTACGGAATGGGCTTTGTACAGTGATCATGGTGATACTAGTACCATAGTACAATCATAGTCATTGATTACACATGAGGTTTACGGGCTAGTGAAGAGACGTACATGTACATGTACATGTGCAAGTAGAATTAAATTTGTCAGTAATAGTGTCTGATGTCATTGGTGGAGAATGGGTCTGGGGGATATACATGTAGCTTACTGTGGTACCCTTTACTATGATTATTTTAGATCTACCACGTACCACGTACCATGCATGGACCACGTACCACGTACCACGTACCATGGGCAACTGAATATACTTATAGCCTACTAGCAGCACCCCAGGCCAGCGTTGCCTGGCCGAATGTGGCATGCGGGTGAAGCAAGTACATGAACAGCACACTTGCTCAGCACGTGGTGGTGGCCAGACCGCTGAAGTCCTGGTGAGGAAGGTTCTTCATGGTTGGAAGGAGAAGGAGGGACGTCTGTTACGCCTTCGGGAGGCTGGTCAGGGTTGTCCATCACCGGCCTGGTGGCGGATGAAGCGGCTCAAAAATTCATAAACTTACGAACAAAAGTGCGATGCGCTCTTCACTGCAGATCAGATGCAGAGTGCAGTCAGTGCAGATCTTTTGTATCCTTTTGTTGCAGATGTTTCTATTTGCAGAGAACGGTTCACGTGGTCCGCAGCGCTTGTGCGGCTGCTAGTGCTACCTATGGCCTACAGCTCAGTAGGCTAGGTGGCTACATGATTCGCACGCTTCGCGTGCTCAGTGCTTCTGCGCCCGGCTGCTACTGCTACTCGCGACGGAGTCGCGTACTCGTACTGATCGTGTCTGCATGCATAAGCGCTACCGGTAGATCTACCACCACCTAGTACCTACCTACACTGTTCGCACGCTTCGCGTGCTCAGCACTTGGTGGTGGCTACACGATTCGAACGCTTCGCGTGCTCAGTGCAGTGCTTCTGTACTGCTGTGGCTGCTTCCGCTAGGTACACGATTCGCACGCTTCGCGTGCTCAGTGCTTCTGCGGCCGGCCGCTAGCTACATATACACTGTGCTACACTGTTCGCACGCTTCGCGTGCTCAGGGCAGCGTGACACAAACACACACGTCACAGGTGCCTCTTCTTCATAAGGAGCGTGACACACACACACACAGACACACGTCACAGGTGCCTCTCTTTTATAAGTAAAGATATTGGCGCTGAGAAATTTCGGTTCGTTCCTTTCAAGCAAGGCCTGCATTTGAGTAACCATAGCTGCGAAAGGGAGCAATAGATCAGGAGGGACGGGTGCGCATTACATGATCTCAACATGCCTAGGATCTAGGCCATACACCGCGCACAGAGAGAGAGAGAGTAGTGAAGTTTGCAACCATGGGCTTTTACCAGTGTCAAGTTGCTAATGTTAGATTATTGCTATCAGATTCTTGTGTCCTCTTCCTGGCGTAGACGCTACGAATGCCTGGTTTTCACTCACTAGTGCCATGTACAATGTAGCTCCAATCTACTACTGGCCATCACCATCACCATAAAGAAGGGCCTCTTTTACGGGCAATCCAGAGAAAACTGAATAGATTATCATCAATGAATATGTCAATATAGTCGGGAAACCATTGAATTGAGTTAAATTAAGAGTATTATTGTGCCAGACAAATATTGGAAGATTGCTGATATTGTACCAAAAAGATATTGTCTAATATAAGATATTGATCCCACATAATTATTGAAGTGACGTGTGATATTCTGCTCAGGTCAATTCACCATCACCATCACCATCACCATCTGAGTTCTCAATCTACTACTACTAGTACATGTACCATATTCTGAACGGCTTGTGTTGACGAGTGAATGCTTCGTTATGGGTTGTATGCGTTCACACAAGTACGTGATTGTATTATCTTCCAAAAGGGATTTAGCGGATAAACATTTTGTCACAGGTAGCAAGAAGGTTGTCAAATGCATTTCTCAGTCAACTGTCACAGACATTTTCCAAAATCTTTTCGACCCGTTTTTATTCGCGTATACATGGGAATGAAGTAAAATAAATCAGAAGCATCCAATAGATACTGCACAAAGGGGGCGCGTAAAGTAAGGGATAGGCCATCATTGTTACCTGGCATCCGCGCAAAATCATATTATGCACCTTTCTATTGCCATTTATATGGGATAGTTATAACAAAAAATTGGTTTTGACTTCGGCGGTGATTTGTAAAAAGGGTCAAGTCAAGTCGGCGGAATAGCGCAATCTCCAGTGGAGGGAGCAAACCCTTTCTTATAGTTATAAAGCTTTTCTTTATTCGCATACAAGTACATTCACTAAAACAAATGGGTGAAATAGCGTTTTGAAAATGTTTTGACAGCTGGCTGCATGATGCAATTGGCAAACCCGTTGTGGCATAGACTCTACATGTTCTGTACATGGAATTCTGTCGCCATGACTGTTTGTGGAGGGATGAATGATTGGCTGCAGGGGAGCCTCCGAATGCTAAAGGAAATGATTGCTTGTACTGCGATATAGACAATGTGTGCATTGCAGCACTTTTTCTCCACATTTGTCGACTGGGACTGCGCTGAAGCTCCCCCCCCCCCTACACATACACACACACACACACACGCACGCACACACACACACACGCACACACACACACACACACACCGCACCGCTGACACATTCATCACCTGCAATTATTATGTATATGTACTTCCTACTACGGTACATGTACATGTACATCATGTATGCATAAGCACCTAGGCACTGAATCCTCCATTAAATCACATTTTTAGTCTGATGATGGACCAGACCCGAGCACTTGGTGGAGTTTGGTGGAATTTAAATTCGCAATGAAGAGACCGTTCTTTTCAAGTTGAGGCAGTGAGGATGAGTTGCACATGTGTACTCGTACATGGCTGCGCTGACGTTTATGGCCAATTCCAAAGTTGCTCCTGTGTGTGATGTTATCGTCCATGTCCTTGTACACACTGCTGTTCGTGCTACGCTGGGCCAATCCCCTGCTTGTGTTGCAACTTTTTAATTAAGATAACATTCAACAACGACGACAACAACAACAATGGACACAATGTCAAGATAGATTTGGTTTGCGACGGGAGCAAACCATGGCGAAGAGACTCAAGACTCAAGAGAGCAAGGAAGGGAACGCAATCAAAGAAAACGAAAAGGAATTGAAGTGGAAGTGCCCGGTAGGTACAGATGGATACATACACAGCTTTCTTCACACATGCAATGGACTTTGAAGTACATGTATACACGTACGAACCTCGTACATACATGTACATGTACGTGTACATGGCATTGTATATCGCACACCGCCAGGGAATCTAGACGAGGGCAGAGACACAACTCTCCGACGCACATACGTATACATGTACATGTACATGTAGAAGACGCGGATATCTTTTTTAAAGACATTATTTATTAAAAAAGATGCACGTCAATATTTCGAGGGGACAGTGACCACAACAGATGGTACTACAGTGTATATGTATACAGTGTGCATGGCCCATGCCCACGGGTGCTGCATTGTGATTTAGATCGACAATGCATGAAATCGGGGAGCGCCCTTGGATCTCTGGCACTGGTGCGGTATACCGCCCACACAAGTACCGCTAATACAATGAGGTAGATCTACATGTATAATTATGTACTTTCGAGTCTTACAGTGTACTGTGCACTAGTAGTAGTCAGTCAGCGAATGGCTCCGAGAGTGCCAGATGTAATGTTTTCAGCACCTGCATGAGCAGCATGAGGAAGTGCCGGAGACGTGACGGAGCTAATGAAGTACGAAGCTTTGCAAAACCACTTCAAAAGCTGAGCAGAGGCTTGTTCTCCTCAGTCATGTCAGCCTGGGCTGCTCCTAGCTCTAGACATTACCGTAGTACAAGTACAAACCGCCCGCCATGATTGAGCAATCGGCCCTTCTCTGGAAGAAGGGACACACATTCCTCTGGATCCTTGGCACTGCTTGGCGTGCGGAAATGACCGTGAACACGTTAGCATGTAGCCAGTTGCAATGTCGACTGAGGTCTTTTCAGTGGATTCCCACGGGCGGCAATGTGCAGAAGCATTAATTCGATTCTACTGCTTGAATCCTAGCGAGGCGTCGCTCTTCTCGAACACCCCTGAATCTGGACTTCTGAAGTGGCCATCGGTCCCATCAAATGCCTTTCCTATTGTCTTCTGAGATGTCCTGTCTCGATGCTTCAGTGCAGATGCAGTGCGATCGATGCTTGACGCTTTCCCACATACGGCCAACATACATGTGTATTCAGTAGTTCGGCGGCCACCGAGTCTCACCTCCTCATTTAACCGTGTTTTGGACCAGCCTTATGTGACTTGATGTACCGACACGGGGACAAGTATAGTAATTATTTTCTCCCTTTAGTATGCTGTGGGCTGACGACGAATTATTCTAGGATGCGTTTAGACTGTGGGCCAGAACTGGGGTCTAGAATACTGCACACCTACTATGGTGTGTTGAATCAAACACACTAACTGGCAGTGACTGATGTCGCAACCCTTTTCGCTTTAGTTTAGTGGATCCATTGCGCTCGATTCATTACTAAGCCAGGCTCTGAACCACTTCCTGTTTTAATGCCACTCGTTCCGACCGTAACCCCCAGTCTAGTTTATTATCCCCTGCTCTTCCCCGACCAAACCGGATGGTGCATTCCAACTGATGATCGAATCAAGCTCAATGGATTATCGCTTTCCGAAACCCTATATTATCATTGGAAGTCCATTGAGTACGTGCTATCATCACCACAACAAAATCCACGATTCACGTGAGACTCGTCTGAAGGCCGAGTTTTCGGCATCCGTAGAAACGCCACCACCCCCAAGGATCAAGGCGTGGATGCAGCTCCTAAAGCGGTTTTTCTGATCTACTCGTCATCGCTATATTCCCAGTCATAGATATTATCGTTGCACCCTACATGATTCTATAAAGGTATCATCGCAAGCACAATTCCAGAGGAGGCATTGTTTCACAGGTAAATATAGAAGAAAAACACATTTCTTATTGGCTCAGTATCCGAGTAAAACTGATGTAGTTCTACGTTCTCGACGTTGGTGACTTCAGTTTGCAGACAATCTCACCCAGAAGTGGGTGTCACCTGATAGGCATTACCAGCGGCGAAGAAGCACACAGACCACGCCTGCATGTTTTTTTGACTTTAAAGTCAAATGTTATTGGCCAATTTTGAAAATTTTCTTTCTTTGTAGTTTCTATGTATCGCCTTTCCATTGGGATATGGCCTCGTATGGGATATCCAGTGACCTCCGAAGATCCAGCTCATCGTTCAGCCTAGAGTGTACCTCATGTCTTCTGGATCTGTGGGTGCGCAAGGTAAACGATGGTTAGAGCCGTCCCTTGCAATATTACATGAACGAGGTACAGGTGGCGCATGAAAATTAAGCGCAGGACCCTTGGCCGTTCTACATTACCACTACCAGTACTACGGACATACCGTCCGCTTAGGTGACAGGCAATGCATACTGCTCTTACTTGAACGTAAAGGGAACTCATCGTCCTGACGTGTGGCATTTAGGAGAACTGTGACAAGGCCACTCAAGGGGGACAGAGATATTTGACTGGAAATCTGAATTTTGCCAAGTAGCTCTTAACAGCTTGTCGATAAGGACTGCTTCTCCCAACCTTCCCTGGCTGTCTCTTTCCGCTTCTGTAACCATCATCACACTACTGATAAGATGCGCCAGTTCACACAGACACCGCTATTAGTAATCTAGCCACAATGTACACCGGGAGATGGTCATTATGTCGATTCTGTGACATCACCCGCATCATCATGATGCGATGTCATCAAGGAAGGATTAGATTTTCGCTTAGTTCCATTGAGGATGGCTTATCAGCGAATAGTGCCTTGCTCATAATACCGGGAGTGTAATACGAGTACATAGTGAAGATTTGTACCCAATGCTGTAGGCAGCAAGCTGTTTCGGCCATGAAGGCCTCATCCGTACAAGCCGAGTTGCCAGCCATGGTGCAAAGGTGGCACCACAGACATTAAGACAACTCGTTGCTCTATCGCCAGAGTGCTCAAGCTACGAAAGATAGCGAGCAATGCGTAATGCGAGTGAAGATTTGTACATGTATATATGTCAAAGTCTGAAGAAAATAATAATTGTGAACGGTCGCTGCTTGGATGACGCAGACACCATAGCTTAGTTGTAGAGCATCGCTGGCCATATCCAAGGGCCCCAAGTTCGAGTCCTAGTGGTGACAGTCAATTGTTTTCAGACTTTTCCCGTTAACAGTTTTGCAGCTTTCCCTCAAACTAATGAATGTACATGTAGCTTCTTATGAACGTTTTCCTCTTCTTTAGTTGTTGTAAAAAGGAGAAGGACAAAATGTTACGTGTTATGACCAACCGTCCACCAACGTAACCAGATCATAATTATGCAGTCAGCGAGTGCGATAAAATGGCACAAACCTGACTGTATTATGATCTGGTTACGTTGGTGGACAGTTAGTCATTACTCGTAACATTTTGTCCTTCTCCTTTTTTACCATAATTAAATTGGCTCACCATCCGAAGTCTTTAGTTGTTGGTGACACAGGAGCAATATTAGAAGGTCATTCCAGTCCCAATTTCCTCCCTTCAAGCCAGGGGAAAGTGAACAACAGCAAATCCCCCTGGGATGAACCCCAGAACTAAGACCATATCACCACGGAACAACTCACTAACCCCGAGCTAACATGTTACAAGCAGCAGAGACAAACCTTTCGGGTCGGTGATATTCTGAACGGCTTGTGTTGGAGAGTGAATGTTTCGTTATGATCGATCCAGGCTCCGGGAATGGCAACAAACGTGTCATTCCCTGCCGAAATGGATGTAGATGCTTCACTCACACCATCCGTGTACCATGTTCGCCCATAGTCATTTGAGTAGAACATAGTGGCACTCATCGGTGGTATATGGTAGAATAATATACTGCTGCGAAGTGAATGCGTTCTTGCTGTGATCCGTCTTTGCAGCATGGCACTGTCATTTCCCGGATGAGACAGCCACACTCCGCCCAGAGCATCCTGGCTTCCGACCAGCGGAAACAGGTGACGAGGGCTGAATGTGGAAGCATCGCATTTCCAGCATGCCGTCTCGTTACTATCGTGCAGCGTGCAGACAATACTTCCATTTTTGCACACAGACGACACTGAGTATCCACTGGACATCGTCTGCTCGTACTTGACATCTTCCATTGCAAGTTGACTTGCAGTCGCCGCTCCGAGTCGCCATAGCGAAATCAAAGAGCAGAAAATCCACCATAGGACTTTGGCAAAGCGGCGAGCCGGCCCTACGCCTGGGCCGTAATTAGTATTGACCATACGATGGCGTTCTGCCTTCGTCATCTCCTCAGACAGATCCATGCGTCCTCTATAGCATCCATGACACACCTCCGTCGTGGCGACAAAATCCTCGCCAGTGACAGCTCGCCAAGAGACAAGAAAATCTTGTTCTACTCCACGCAATACAAGGTATCACAGGAGGAAGCCTGTCATGCAGTGGAGTCCTCCTCTTTCCAGACACATTGAAGGAACACTACCTGTACCTGTACGAAAAACACAGAATGTGAGGCAGTGCGCTTGGTACCAAGACTGGCAAGAGAATCTGGGAAATATCCCCCCACCCGGAGTACAATGCATAATGGCATACTACTAGTACATACTCATATATGTAGCATCTCTTGACCATGTTTTGTAGATCTACACTGACCGTGTATGGTGAAGATCCCAGACTGTATAGAACTAGTGCGAGTAGCTTACACCAACCAAAACCATGCTAACGCTTCGTCTGTTCCCTGGGAACATAGATAGCACGCGATGCCTGATGCAATCATGAGCAGGGAGCGTGGCCAAAATGTGACAGCTAGTTGTTGCAGTCCATGATTCAGCCATTGCGCTAGCAGTACTATGTGTGCGTATCATCGAAACCAAAGTGGAAAGTGTGGAGATACGATCCGGTAAGGGCACCTGCTTACACTTCAAGCTCCTTGAAGTAGTCCTCAGTTCTAAGCATTATACACGCCCAGGCTATATTCATGACAGTGAAGCTTAGGCTAGCGCCTATCCGAGTGCATGACTGAGCACACTAGACCAGTCAAAAGTCACACTCGCTATCCAGCACGCCATGCCCATCGACTTAGTGTTGTTTGCCATCATCCGTCGGCTTCTTGTTCGGATGACATGACAACAGCAGTACGGATCAGTACCGATCGGCACCCTTTTAGTTATTCTGGAAACACGTACTCTCAGAATACAAGCCCAGTCTGTGTTCTTCCAATGATCATGCCTTCAAGAATAACATAACTGTGTGACTCCCGGGCGCGCTCTAAGCCGCATACCTAGAATTCCTCACTCCGCTCCTCATGATACATGGTGTTCATGACCATGAGGGTCTTCGATAGTATCCCTAAAGACCTATTAGCCTTCTCATCCTTGATTGTTAAATTCCGAAGACTAGATTCCTCTCTTTGAGCCCACCAGTGTCATGCCTGTAGCATTTTAATCTCTCTTGATTTCTCTCTCCACCTTTCTTCTTTCGATATTCGGAGGCATGAAGGAGGTGCCGATGCCGAGGGTCGGTGCAGCCTGCAGCACCCCATCGCCACCGCGTATCGCTGCCTCGCATTGCAGCTGTATGCTGCAGTCAATGTCTTGCCAGTCTGTTGTCTTTGTCATTTCCTCCTTTTCTACGACAATTGTGCACGGCATGGAGAGTCTAATCCATCTCCAACGCAAATAGTCTCTTTGCAATTTTGGAGGATAGGCTAGGAAAGCAGGTGAAGTTACTTCAATAAGGAAGAGATGAATCATGATCTATGCTGTGGGAAGCCAAAGTGGTGGCGCTCTCAAGTCTAGATTACATAATTATTGAATATGACCGAGGGTGGATCCGGGTTGGCTGGTGTCCTGACTTAGTTGTCGGTAGAAAGGTTGCTTCTTGACCGGATCACCAATGAGCGATGCAAGGTAAGCGATACACTGGCAATGAAGAGTAAGGAAGACATTCTGTCATTCATTCTGTTGCGCATCAGGCCCTCGTGCACTTTACTAGTGTAGTTTGACTATGTACCCTTTATATCTTTACTGTTCTCTTTCAGTGACAAACTTGAGCCATACGTCTACATGTACATATATACTACCATTGGTTTGCGTGTGGCGCCTAGTCAATGCACGGTCCATCATGCCCAATGGCATCTGACAATTTGTACATTAGGTAGCGCCTGGAGAATAGAAGATGGCACAGCTGAGACGCGTTAAACGTGCATTGTATGCTCGTCTCCACTGAACTCATCAGGTGTGTCTTCTTCTTGGATGATGTCTGGTGGTGGCGGTGACGGTCAAGTGGTGTTGTTGACGACGGTGGTGTAGTGGCGGTGATTCTGTTGTTGGTGGTGGTGGCAGTGGTGATGGTGGTGTAGTGGCGGTGATTTTGGTGTTGGTGGTGGCAGTGGTATAGTTGTTGTTGGTGTTGGTGAGAAGGAGAGCAGTGAGCTGTATGTCAGATAATAGCTTTGCACCTTAGAGAGCGTGTTTGGGTGTATGGACAGTCGTTTATATAGCGCCATTTTGTCAGGTTTATCTTTACCCCGATAGAATTGAACCATACATGTGTATACATGTGGTAGTTGTTATAGTATCATTGTTGCAGATGAATAAAAGTCCAGTTAATCTTGTGGCTAGTCACTATGAGAAAAGTCCTCCACCTTTAGCCTATGATGTCGGCACTGGGTGGTTTGGTGTTCCTCCCACGAGGTTATGGCTAATGTAATCTGCTTGCTCATTACAGGCACACCAATAATGTATTCATTCGTGAGTAGCATACCTGCATATAATACCTAATGAAAGGGTGTGTGTTTATCTTGTATTGCATAGGCCCAGCAGAATATCCTGTGCTGCAAATATAATTAAACTGCCGTGCAAATGTTGCACTAGGGTATGGTGTCTGTATGGTACTAGTATACGATTACCTGACTACAAAATATTGTCAGGTAATGGTGGGCAGAAGACACTCCAGCATCTGGCACTGTGGCTCACCCCCCCCCCCCCCACCTATCTCTTGTGATGTCTATAGGGTTGGTTTTCATAGCATTGCATTAGACCTAGACTGAGCGCTGTGTTTGATGTCCAAAGAGGTATTCTCTTCTTTTTCTTTGTGTTTTTCCTTTCTCCCTCTTTCTCTCTCTCTCTCTCTCTCTCTCTCTCTCTCTCTCTCTCTCTCTCTCTCTCTCTCTCTCTCTCTCTATGTCTCTCTCTCTCTCTGATCGTAGCGATTGTGTCATTCGTAAAAATAAAAGCTGCAAATAGTTCGTGCAAGAATGAGGAGCTGGGTGGTCAATCTGTTTCTGTGATGTTTGAGTAGCGGTGTCCTGCAGCAACGTACCCCTTGGAGCACGAATACAGAACCTGTCTACACACAAATGTGAACATGCTGCCAGTGTCTCTTCTCTAGCCTATGGCTGTATATCCAAGTCCAATGTGCTAACATTAAACTAGTATAATGAGTTGTTGGTGGCGGAAACATACCGTAAGACAGGTCGGATATGCATTGTTGCGCTCCGTGCAAAGAGTCTCTTCATGCTGTTATCCCGCGGGGACGCGCAGTAGTTCAGAACATGACATTGTTCAAAGCGACTGTCGGTATATTGTCCCTATATTGGTCTAGAGCTCTGCTTCCCGCAAATATTCTGCTTGAAATATGTCTCCAGTGACTGCTCGTATATTCCCTGACTGGTCATGGCGACATTTTTGGATATCTGGGATGTTTATTCTGGCTCATGTATACAGCTGGATCTAATCTTCAGAAAACCTCTAATGCGTTCTTGACCAGCACTTCCGCATCGACAAAATCCGGTGCTGCCACCGCCATAGCGAGCCTGTGAGGATCCTTAGGCCCTGCCTTGTTTTAGAACGTGAATGATATTTCAAGACCTTCTGGACAGGTCCATGGTTCAATTACCTATTTCCTCGTTCGAGTGCTACACTCCCTCGCCTCGACTTGGCTATTCTTCCCTTCTTCTTTACGTCAACGGTACCTGTCTTTGTGCGAAGCCCCATCGCTATGTTGAGCGCAACTCGAACACTTTAACTTTTTTTATTAAATTCTTTGAACTGATTTCAAAATGATTTGTTGTTCATTTGATCTCATTGCGATCCCGTCGGTCAGTAACCGAATCTCTGGTAATGCCGCTAGCTGTTCGAAGATGGTCTATCTACAAGTACTCGTCCAAACAAACTCACAATAAGTATGTACCCTGTTCCCTTTGCTCCTTTCACTATTTTACTTATTCCTCTCGTGGCGTCTACCGCCATATAATTTTGGCCTTGCCATTCAAATCCGTTCAGTTTGAAGTTCGGGACTTATGGAGAACGCCCACCATGTTATCGTCAAGGTACCAGCCACAGCGGGATGCTACACCGTTGGACACATCGCCCTTAACCGTTTTACTATTTGGTCTGCTCTGTTACAGGATCACGGAGCAAACACAGTACAAATACGTCTCACCAATCGAACGCACTGCTCACACAGATTCTTTAAGACTATTTCCGCATGCCTGTGTTGAGCTCCGCCTAGTTGCGGAATTACGACACTCACCACCTTACAGCTGTACAGTGAACGTGTCGGAACAACAGAAGTGTCCGACGGCTACAAACACATATCGCGCTTCCATGTACTAATCAGGTGACCCACTATATTAGTCTTGTGCTGGATAGAGTCTCACCAGAGAATCATCCGACTCCCTGCTTTTCCTCACCCGGGAACGGAACTGCTGGTAACATTCACTACTCACAACACACACTGTGTCCAATGTCCACCATAGACCTTGTTTTGTGCGTATGTGTGTATATATGTGTATACTTTGAAGTACGCGTGTGCGCGCACACGTAGACCCTGCCCATACCTTCATGTACATGTACAAGTACATGTACATGATAATTTTGTCCACCTCATCAGCGCATGCAAAGTGCCAGTTCAGTACAACTACAAGACTCATAGTCATACAAAGCAGAGTGCTACAAAAAATGGCGAGCAAAGGCAAACAGCGCAAAGCACCATCTTCACACTTTTAATTGCGTCTGCCTTTGCCGACAGAGCATAATAATCATGTACAATGTAGATAATTTCTTCAGTGATCTTCTCGGTACGTACGAAGGCAATTGTTGTTTTAGGGCCGTTCTAATCTGTCCCAATGAACCTAACCTGTACAACCTGTACAACATTTTTAAAAGAGCAGGCAGGCATCGTGGAATGGTCTAAGACCATGATTGAGAAACAGAGGGTACCAGGTTCAAGTCATGCTGGTAATTTTAAGAGGAAGGATGTTTCCAGCAGTGCTGCGACCCACAGTTAATTGGGAACTGGTGGCCTGGCACGGGGGAAACATGGATGCAGCGAATGGGATTTTGGGTCTTTGACCACTTTGATGGTGGGCTGATCTACTCACTTCCCACCGCTTTAGGAGCTGCATCTGCGCCTTAGATCTTTGCAGGGTGATGGCGTTCCTACGGACGCTGAAAACTCAGTCTTGCTGAGTCTCGAGCGAACCGTGAAATTTGCTCGAAGAGAAAATCTCCGTTACTGAGACTTTCAAGTTGGAAAGGTGCTGGTTTACGCTTCTTAGATGTGTTGGAGCTTCATTGAAGTTGTCAGGTCGTTGAATGTCTCAGTGAAAATGCATTGTTCAGACGAACCTCTGCTACTTCCCTGTTGTATTGTCATAAAAATATTTCGCTCCTGCTCTTGTAGTAGTTGAGCACTCTCATGTGGGGTATTACCTTTGCTGTTTGCGTTATGCAGAGCTCACTGACTTGTCAATTTGAGCACTCTGGCAAGGTACGTTCGGCCTGGTTTAAATCTGGCTTTGGAAATTTATTTTTAATTGCTATCAAGTGTTAGTTCGGCCTCTGCTCATTATTTTTCTCTGTGCTGCGCTGATGAGTCCACAAAGGACGAAACAGTTCTGTCCGCAGATTGAGTAAATATATGTCCTCTATCTAACTTCACGCCTCCAGTTACATAAACCAGGATCACACCTGATGTCTGGCGCTGATCTTGCAAGTGCATGCATAGAATCACCGCTTGACCTTATTTCCGCTTAAATTCTCTGACTAGCACCTTACCACACTATATCAAGAACATTCATTCAGTTTTTGTAATCATTGCTGTCTGATGATCGCCACAGGCGTGAGACTCTGAGTCACAGCCAACCCAAGCTCCGTATCCCATTCTATTCTTTTTGTATGTTCCTACATGTAGCTCCCAGCACAAATGGCCATGACATCCTACTTCCGACAAACAAAGGACGAGAAAAATTCCGTGGCCGGCCGCCTTCCACACTCCCACCAACACTGACAACTGACCTCGCATCAAAGGGAATGAAGCTGCAGACAGATGAAAATCTATCACATATCAGGGACCTGGCACAGGACAGAGCAGCGTGGCGGCGGCTATTCCGCACCTGAGCCTGCAGAGGAATGCCCGGATTTGCCCACATGGAACATGACATGATGTATGAAGTGAACGGAATGGACAATCTGATATATTTCTTCCAAATCCTTTGCCTCCTGTTTACTTTCCTTCTTTCGACCCCGCTGCTCTGCGTCCTTTCCCTTGCTTTCTCTTGTCCTTACTGTCTTCTGGCTTGTTGAGCGGCCTGAGCGAATGCTAGGGGTGGACGTGTATTATGTAGATTTTTTGATTTTGTAGTGCCACACCCTGATGCAAACGCGGAGAGGCAAATAATAATGATAATACATGTAGCTACAGTACCCAATGCTGTAGACAGCAAGCTGTTTCGGCCATAAAGGCCTCATCAGTACAGCTACGAGCTTTTAAAGTAAGCCGAGCTACCGGCCATGGTGCAAAGGAGGCATCACAGACATTTTAAAAGAAATTTATCGATAGCTCGTCGCTCCAGCGCAAGAGTGCTCACACTACACAAAATAGCGGGCGTTGCTACAGTATTATGCATATTGAGACTAAGTAACACTCCGGTGTCAGCGGTTCAGTTATGCAGTCACTGCGTCTCAGTTCGATAATGGTTAGGAAAGGCTGCTTGTACCCAGGGCACATCATGGAACTGGGCGTGTCTGACACTATCTCATAGCTCTACTTGAGCATCTACCGGCCACTTGTTCTGAGTGGAAACACGGAAAGCGCACTGGAATCATCTTTGTCTTCTAGGCTTCACGTGAAATTAGCCATGTTGCCCAGCTCTCAGAGGATACCTCCATCCAAAGTCTAGGACAACGCTACCAGGCCTGATGTGGCCCTGGCAAGCGACAAGCAAGTCCTAGTGAAGATGTGTCTTCGGGGGGGGGGGGGGGGACTCTTTCCGAAATCTCTCTGCAGTTCTCGAACTTGGATGCTACCAATACGAGGCGTTACACGTTGGCGCCGCTGGCATAGTTCACTCGTCACCTTCTCAATGAAGTCGGGAGGATACTTGCCAAACGCGCCATTATATTTGGCACGCCAGTCAGTGTGCCATATTATGCGGTGCTACGCAAGACTTTGCCTCAATTGCGATCAAGAACTTGAAGAAACACGAGAAGGCCCTGTGTACCCTTGACCAGCTCCACGGAGAGTGGACATGGTTGCAGATACCGGTATTGCATCAGAATTCCCTTCGGTTTCTCTTCTGAAAGTCGCACGTGTCTCGTGGCCATCTCCACAAGGGCTTCCGACGCACTCAGTTCAATATTGAGCAGTGATGTTTGATGTGTGTAGTTTGCCGCATTGCACCATAGCAGATGCAGAGGCCGTTCCTGCTCGGAAGCGTCGTGAACGAAAGAAAAATGCTGTGGAATTATTTGGGAGACTGAGATGTGTGGAATTTACTGTGACAAAATTGGCAGGTTAGCTGGATATTAAAAGGTTCAGACAAGACTTTGACACTGCGATAACGCTGATAGAGCGGAAACAGTGGCCTCAAAATCTCCACTGCACGCAAACACTGCACGTACTGGCCGGCACCTGATGTTATTCGTACTATGTTGTGAACGTGCTATTTGTCGCCTATCATATCAGCATATTGATGCCTGGACATGCATAGAGCGTTCCAGTGTGGATAGCGGCAATCTCGACTGCGAACACTCTGGTAAGCTATTCTGCCACTGGTGATTTACATGACACTGTATGTTTCTCATTACTCATCGTTGTTGTCGTTGTCGTTGCTTTGATTGGTATATGAACCTCACCCAATTCCCTGTGACCATTATGTAGTGGATACCTGGAGGTAGCGAAGCGATTTTAAAACAGTTGCACATAGCCAGCTTGTCGTTGCCGTACCCGGCCCAGGCTACGAGGCTGACCTCCCTGTCCGCAGGCACGTAGGTCTACGCAGGGTCACCTCTAGGGGGGTTTCCAACCGAATCGCAAACCGAATGACTCGTTTTAACCCTTTGTATTTCTTATTTGTATTTCTAAAGAGCCCTGAAGAACTGGGACAGTCGCAGTTCTTCAGGACCCGACAGGACAGTACCGGTAGTAGAGATTGCTTGCATGATATAATTCTGTTTCCCTCCTAGCTCCTCTTTGATGCAGCCTTACTGGACTACATGTATGGGACTGAGCATGCATGATGGAAATGCAAAGAAGCGTTTCAATTATAGAAACAAGTGATGTGGACATCGAAATGAGTCACCCACATTGTTTTCTTGCCCCTTGTAGACCCATCTTCATGAATAAGACTACACAAGAGAGAGAGATAAGAAGCTTTGTTACAACAAAGATAGATCGATGAATAAGACTACAGCAAAAAAGGGCACATTGAGCGGATATTGTAGCAACTACTACTACAACTTAGTACAAGTAACCACTACGGGAGATGTTTGCTTTGCTTTGCTTTGTTTTAGTGTGAGGGGTTTCAAAGCAATCCTCAACTTGAAACGAAGACAAATAATTCAAACCAAGATTCTCGTCTTCGTTGATCTACATGACAGCACGTCATTCTGCTCAATATAAGACCATCCATTCGAATGTAGCTAAGCTACAGGAACATCACAACCGTCAGTGGATCAGTACTCTGCCGGCATATCTTCAACTTGCTTATTTCAATAATTGTGGTGGGATTCCCCGGAAAGCAGTTTTATCACTGCGTTTGGGATAGACAGGCGTCGTTCCACCAAGTCTTTTCATTTGCCTGCTCTGGCAACGTTGATCACTGCCTTGTGATTTGTCACTATCCATGTCACCTGTCGTTACTACGTTAGTCGTGACAGCAATCAGATGTTTGCGGGCAGGACCTGCCAGTCGTGCGTGGGCTTCGTCAGCATGAAGCCGTTAGTTGGAGTATGGCGGAGAAGCGTTGCTGTTGCGGAGTTCCAACAGCTAATCCCTAGACACTAACAAGGAGTAGCATGTACCATCTATACATTTTCTGTCCTGTCAGTGTCACAGAGGTCGCACGGGGTCGCTGGTCGGAGACTCTCAGACTCGCGGTTGACAGACAGACTCTCGTGTTTCAGTGACAGAAAAACGAAACACAGCATCAGCGCGCTGGTTCACATCACTCATCAGGGATTCACTGGTTCACATTATGTCCAATCATCACTTGGCCGGCCAGGGACTCCATCAGTCCATGATCCACGGATTTCTACAACATAGAAGTCGTGTCTCCTCTTTCAAAGTAGGTTTTTGTAGAGTGCACGAAAATGGTGTGGATTGGGATTTCGTCGCTCTTCCTGGCATTGTTGCCGCTTGCCCTGACACAGGATCAGTGCGAAGTCTCACGTCTTGTGAAGTCTCCACGCCGCACAGCTCCGCACATAGAGGACTCGGCGCGACCTGAAATCACCAATGGCCAGGCCTGCGGCAGTGATCCTCGCCGAGAGTCGCGTCGAATGAGGCTCAACATCAACGTCCAAAGCGCGTCGTGTGAACCAGTGGCAAACGCCCGGATATTCCTCAGCCAAGCTGACTCCCATGGCAATGAGCTTGCCGACTGCGGGGGAGAAATATCAACATTGTCTTATGGAAGGTAAGGAGAAGTGGTGGCCTGCTAACTATTGCAGTACAGGTGAAATCCTGATAGTTCGAACCTCAAAATGCCAGGAAAAACTTCTAATTATCTGGACATTCTAATTATCCAAACATGAACCCACAACTCAATAATGTATGTCAAAATGCTCTCATGGTCACGCAGAGTTGCGCTATGGACCTTAGACACAAATTTTACGGACACTGAAGTGACCGGCACAGCCTGCTCATGCAAACTGAACTGACCAGTACAGTGTACAGTGAACTTCGAATTACACTTTGCTAACTTCGAATTATCATCACAAATTCCACACATTTTCTATGTAAGTGGAATCTGTGGCACTTCTAATTACCTGGACATGTCCAGTTCGAGGTTTGAATTATCAGAAAATTTAATGTGGGAATCGTATTGATAGAAATTGGTCCTGGAAAAACTTCTGATTAATTAAGCGGTATGTTCGAATTAAATATTCGAATTATCAGGATTCCACCTGTATTGGGTAGTAAACATTTGTATGTACATGAAATACCTTACCCACACACAGCTGTAGACCCATGTTCAATGAAGTCATTATTTTGGGAAATTTCTGGATTGTTTTACATCATGCCAGCAAGGTAAATGTGGAGGAGAGCCCAAAAAGAAAGACCCGTGAAACACACTTGAGGTTCTAGCTGTGAGCTCCAGTACTTCCAGTATGATATTTACATGTATGTACATGTACATGACAGAAACATACTGTCCATTCACAAAAAAATGGGTCTTGCGCTTCCTTGAATACTACAGGCATTGGGTACTACAGGTACCCGGTAAAAAAGTACCCTGGATTCACCTTTCATTTTGCACTCTGTTTTTTTTTTAGATTATTTTGTGACTGGTATGGTACACACTATAATTATAGGGGGTGTGCGATTCCATCATCAGTTGAGATGCTGTGGCACAGTCGTGGACTCGCGGCACAGCGCTGCACTTGCACTACATGTAGCGACTCACGATGCATACCTGAAGTGCCCATTCGAAAAATCTGCTGGCTCATGCCGATATGCTTGAGCCCAAAAGAAAATCTGCCGTAAAATCAATTGTGCTCTCATAACAACAGCAAACAAAATGAAATGAAGTTAAGTTCCATAACGTTTAGCTAATATGATTTCAGGTAAAATAGGAATACAGCAGCCAGCAAGTACAAAAACTCAAAAAGCAAAGTTTACAACTTTCCAGTGTGTGAATATAGTGTATGAGAGAAAGGTAGTGGCAGATGAATGTGATACTGTGTGGATGAACACATACACTATATTCGCACACAGGAAAGGTGTAATCTTCGCTTTTTGTACTTGCTGGCTGCTATATCCCTATTTTACCTGAAACCATAATATCTTTATAAGTGTATGGTTTAGCTATTACATTAATTTTTTATGTGACGGCGTTCCACTGATGGAAGTCACGAGAAAACGTTATGGAATTAAACTTTCTTCATGTTTTGCTGTTGTTATGAGTACACAATTGTTCTTATTTATTGCCACTTACGACTATTGTCTTCTCGTTGACTATTTATTTCACAGTTACTTTTTAAAATCTTCGTTCCATGTTCGCCTTTGGTTCTGTTTCACTCATGAGCTGGACACGAAAATCTAGATTAGTGAGTACATACATCGTTAGATTGTGTAGCTATGTTTGTAGCGACCAGCCTGGTACTACAGACCACTTCGCCAGACACGGACGGCCTCACATTCATTATGGTTGTGAGGTGCAAACCTCAAACTAAGCACCACCTGCCACTAAAGGCCGCTTTTCTGGGCCCCAGGGGTGGTCGTTAGTCACAGGTTTTACTGTCATTACAATAACTCAAAGTACGAATAGGAAAAGTACAATTAACTACGGTAATTATACTTTGACCTTCTGTTGTGTAAACCTTCTTCAGTGGCAGCGTTATGACCGTCACACCTGGTCGCTACCACGACATTAAGCACCCCGGGTCCAAACGCCCGCGTCTGTTTCAGCTGGAAGTCAGAGCACCAGCTGGCTGTGCGTACGCAGGACTTGAGGAGGACGAGCCATACTTTACCCAGTTTTATTTTCGCAGTAAGTACAGCTAATGTAAAGCTAGGGTTGTGCAATTCTTTCGGCTTGAAGAGTTTAAAAGTCGATTCCATCTGTCTGTTTCTCACCCACCTACTTTGACAGGGAATACCTATAATTATGCCATCACCAACGGCCGTTTCAAACACCCCCCCCCCCCTCTCTCTTTAGACTTCAACGTAATCATCGTGTACTGTAACATTTTTATCCGTCCCACCTTCCAAAGGCACAACTGTAAGTACAGGAGAGCAGGCGGTGGAGTTTTCTTTTTAAAACCGTCTTCAGGTTCTATCTGTTTTGTGACATTATTCGTTAACTTCAGAGGACAAAACTCGTCACTCCGACCCGTGCCCGAACGATCAGTGCCATGCCGACAAGCCGAAACAGATCCTCACCTGCAGCCGCATTGCTGGACTTCGGCAGTGCACAGCACGAATCACTGTGCCGCAAGTATTGTGCGGTAAGCATGGCATGAAGAAAGATATTACCATGCAGTGCATGTGGACGGGTGTGTAGTGTATTTGCCATGCAATACTGAATGTATGATCGAGTGGAATTTGAAATGCGTGTCGATGGACGTGGTTGTGTGCACATGTGTGTCTGCGTGTGAGTGCACGTGAGTCCGTGTGTTTGGATGTACATGATTGTGCTATAGGAGTATAGCTCATGAATACAACACCAGCTGGTATCCAACAAACACCTGCTAAATGAATAACGCTGGTTAAAGCAGCGGTCTGGGTCCAGATGTAGATTGGTTCTTGACATTATTGCAGTTCTTCAGGCCTGGCTGTCAGGCAAAGGCAACAATAGTCAGCGAAAAGATAACACTGCACAGCAATATGTAGAGTGTATACAGTAGGTGAAATTTCGCTTCGTTTCCAAGTGGAGCTACATGTAGATGTCATATCGTTCCACCTGACAACAAAGTAGAACAATCCCTCACAGATCCTGGTGTAACGTACCAGATCTCCTTAGGTAGTTTTGTTCCAACTCTATTATGTCATGTAATATGTAAGGGCAAAGCAAATTTGCTTACAATAATATTATGACAGAAAATCTCAATACCCAAAAAATAATAATAATAATAATAATAAATAAATGAACAAAATGTCAAGAATCTGAAGAAAGAAAAAACTCAATCCAATTCTTTGTTGCCATAATGGTGTCCTAGCTGTGCTAGTACTTGTTAGCAACAATCCGAACTAGCGCACACACTGCACTGCATTGCTTTGTACTGCATTCAAGACTGACGTCATGCGCTTTGTTTTGCTGCGTAATCACAAATGGCACCAGCCCATTTTGCGGAAAAGAAAAACAAATCTTGCTTGCCCTGTTGTGCTCTTCCAGACAACGGATCGTGCCTCAGCAGTGTTTCTTTTCCTTTCGTAGCTTTGCTGCCAGCCCGAGTGTCACCTCGACACTGTATTTCTTCAGTATGTCTGACCTAACTGTCGACACTGTCAAGGCAATGCCTTGCCAAGCCCCCGCGGCGAGCCTTCTCAGCGCGGCTTGAATCCGAAAGGAAACTTAGTAAAAGTATTTTACAGGACCGTTTGCTGGCACAACTAGCCCTTGGTAGTGAGGTCTGCTCCGGCCAGGAGAACCAGCAACATGACAGTGCGGACACGGCTCGCGAGCCCAGAAGCCCGACTTGCACCAATGCCTCCTCCGCCAGCTCAGGTGACGCGGGCTCAACATGGGATCTGCGCTCCCGTAGATCTACGTGAAGAGGTGTAGTCGGCTTTGTCGGCCGCCATTTTATTATTATCGGAGAGCATTGTGCCGCTCCTCACCCAAGGCCAAGGCAATGCGGCTGCTGCCGCCACTACGCCAGGCCAATCCCTTGTAACCCACCCGATCAGCCACCTGCACCAGCTGCGCCCAAGGCCGTGCAAGAACGTATCTTGCGAGGGGAGTTCGTAGATTTTTCAAGTTGGTTGCCTGAAATTCTTGCACACTTCCGGCCCAACATTCCGGCTGGTGCACAGCCCGAATAACGAGTCGGATGACCGTACGCGAAGCAGGTGCGTCGCAAGCCTTGCGGGTTCACGATAATTATACATGTAACTACCCGGCTCGAGGCATGGACCACATACATGTCTGTTATCACGGCTGCTGCCCTACACCGCACTGCTGAACTGCTGAACTGATTGCGTACCAGCAGTTGATCCTGACTGCTAACCGCCAGTTCTTCCCAAGCGCGTGGCTAGAGTACGACCGCCAGCTGCGGCTGCTCGTGGCCCAGTAACCAGGCACGAAGAGGTTGGACACCATCGACGTGAACCTATTGCAGATAGCTGTCACAGGCCATGCACACCCAAAATGCGCTCAATGTAAGACGGCCCATCCAGGGGCGGTTTGTGTCCTTTTCGTCCCCAAGCCAGCAGCATTTACCTCCAGTGGTCGCAACCATACCAGCGACAGCCAAGAAATCTGCCGCAACTTCAATGGAGGTCGCTGTTCTTCGTCGTCGTGCCGCTTCTCCCACACCTGCAGCCAGTGTGGCAAGGACCACCCATGCATCATGTGCAACCAGCAGCAGCGCGGAGCCAATCGGCCACCCCGCCGCTCCTAGCAGAATGGCTACTGAATAGCTTGACTCGGTACGTAGCTTCTTTCCTATACACTCTGCAGACACCACACTGCTAGCTGACCACTTTGCCCGCCTGTTACGTAACCACTCATATCAATAATGCGTTGCGTATGTTCTCCATGGGCTGCGACGTGGCTTTACTCTTGGATCTGCCGGCCAACACGACATTTCGGTTTTCTCTAATAATCTACCCTTGGCTTTCACTCACTCGGCATTTATATCCGAGCAATTAGCTGCTTCCTGCGCCCGCAGCGAGACCACAGGCCCATTTCCGTCACCTCAATTTCAGTTCATGCGCCGCTCTGGTGTTGGTGCCATCCCCAAAAAGAACGGCAAGCTGCGAATGATCCACCATCTGTCTAGTCCGGAAGGCACCGGCGCGAACGACAGCATTCCTGCCGAGCCGCTCTCTCTGCACTACGCGAGCATTGACAACGCGATCAACATCATCATGTCATGCCCACAGCCTGTGTATTTGTCCAAGCTCGATGTACGCAGTGCATTCCGGCAGATCCCAGTCCGCCGTCAGGACTTCGCTGGGAAGGCTCCTACTACTACGAGCGCTTTCTGCCTTTCGGCCTCCGCTCCAGCCCAGCCGTCTTTGACTCAGTAGCCACAGCAGTCAACTGGATCATGCAGCACGAGTTTGCTATAGATCACCGGCTTCATTACCTCGATGACTTTCTCGATATCCCCACTGGTTTGGCTGCAGCCAACCAGCAACTCACCACCCCCCTCCGGGCATTCACGTATCTCGGCACTCCTCTTTGCTCCATCCCAGCTCGAGGGCCATCACCATCATTGACCTTGGTATTTTCCTAGACTGCGGCTACCAGAGGACAAGCTGTCCGAGATCCGTGCGCCACTCATGGCTACTATCAGCGAGCGCAGCATCGGCCAGCGTCAACTCGAGTCCCTCCTGGGGAAGCTCACTTTTGCTGCCCGAGTCATCGTTCCTGGACACACATTCATGCGTGAACTATGATCAGCGTGCCCTGAACTGTATCTGTGTATGCGAGTGCGGTGCATAAAGCCCACCTTGAGAATGGGTTTGCCGGCCCCTTAGTAGATGCGTGGCTTCTGGAGAGGGTGTTGAAGGGCATCCAGCGATGCCATGGTACGGCTGTACTCACCCCTCGCCTTCCTATAAACTATGCCAATCCTACGACACCTGACGGATGCACGCCGGAAATGTAGTATCCTGAATGGCCATGACAAGCTGCTCTACCAAGCCGCCATGCTGCTTCTTTGGATTTCTTCGGTGTGCTGAATTCACTAATGGCATCACACGGGGCTGTACTAGCTCCCCTGGTGACGGACGCTTGCAACTCTTCCTGCTTTCATCCAAGACGGACCCATTCGGTAAAGGCGTTACTAGTGACATTGGCCCGTCTGTACCGCCGTACTGCCCGGTCCGTGCCATTGTTAGCTACCCATTTGTCACTCGTCGCGAGGGACCAGAGCAACTCTTGTTCGTACTCTCGAACAGACAGCAGCTGACCAGGCAGTCATTCACAGTAACAGTATGGTCTCTTGTCGCTGCGGCCGGTGTACCATCCCAGTCGAACTACTCCGGGCATTCGGTCTACATTGGTGCAGCCACCACCGCTGCTATGGCTAGTGCCCCGACTCCTTCCGAGTGGCAGGTCAGTGGAAAGAGCGATGCGTGTCTATGCTACATCCGGACTACAACAAGCGCTAAGCACCAGCTATCGTCCCGGCTTGCTGCCGTGCCGTGGATGCCATGATCCCCAACTCGGGTGAGTAATGAGCTATTGAACTCTAGCTGCGCAATGCTTGCCTGTGCTGACATAAATTGACCCTTGCTGTGCGTCAATAGTGCTTAGCTAACGGAGTGCTGGTTTCATGGGTCCACTCTCACAACTGGTGTTATCTAGCTATTTGCTGCGGCTCTGCCTTGCGCTATATTACATCCATTTAGCATTGCAGCTCTACGTTGAGCTAACAGCAGCTCTACTTTGAGCTAACAGCAGCTCTACTTTGAGCTAACAGCAGCTCTACTTTGAGCTAACAGCAGCTCTACTTTGAGCTAACCGCAGCTCTACTTTGAGCTAACAGCAGCTCTACTTTGAGCTAACCGCAGCTCTACTTTGAGCTAACCGCAGCTCTACTTTGAGCTAACAGCAGCTCTACTTTGAGCTAACAGCAGCTCTACTTTGAGCTAACAGCAGCTCTACCTTGAGCTAACAGCAGCTCTACTTTGAGCTAACAGCAGCTCTACTTTGAGCTAACAGTAGCTCTACTTTGAGCTAACAGCAGCTCTACTTTGAGCTAACCGCAGCTCTACTTTGAGCTAACAGCAGCTCTACTTTGAGCTAACCGCAGCTCTACTTTGAGCTAACAGCAGCTCTACTTTGAGCTAACAGCAGCTCTGCTCTGAGCTAACAGCAGCTCTGCTCTGAGCTAACACCAGCTCTACTTTGAGCTTCAAACCAGTTGTTTCGAAACCAGCACTCCTCAATCCAAAGCTGCCTCTTTGTTGACTTGTTTGTGTGAGGGATGGGGCTAATGGTGTACTAGCTGTGCTAGTACTTGTTAGCAACAATCCGAACTAGCGCACACACTGCACTGCATTGCTTTGTACTGCATTCAAGACTGACGTCATGCGCTTTGTTTTGCTGCGTAATCACAAATGGCACCAGCCCATTTTGCGGAAAAGAAAAACAAATCTTGCTTGCCCTGTTGTGCTCTTCCAGACAACGGATCGTGCCTCAGCAGTGTTTCTTTTCCCACCATCCCTCCCTATCCAACTTATTCACACCATCATAATTATCGTACCCACTAATCGGGTCCACTCTCACAACTGGTGTTATCTAGCTATTTGCTGCGGCTCTGCCTTGCGCTATATTACATCCATTTAGCATTGCAGCTCTACGTTGAGCTAACAGCAGCTCTACTTTGAGCTAACAGCAGCTCTACTTTGAGCTAACAGCAGCTCTACTTTGAGCTAACAGCAGCTCTACTTTGAGCTAACCGCAGCTCTACTTTGAGCTAACAGCAGCTCTACTTTGAGCTAACCGCAGCTCTACTTTGAGCTAACCGCAGCTCTACTTTGAGCTAACAGCAGCTCTACTTTGAGCTAACAGCAGCTCTACTTTGAGCTAACAGCAGCTCTACCTTGAGCTAACAGCAGCTCTACTTTGAGCTAACAGCAGCTCTACTTTGAGCTAACAGCAGCTCTACTTTGAGCTAACAGCAGCTCTACTTTGAGCTAACCGCAGCTCTACTTTGAGCTAACAGCAGCTCTACTTTGAGCTAACCGCAGCTCTACTTTGAGCTAACAGCAGCTCTACTTTGAGCTAACAGCAGCTCTGCTCTGAGCTAACAGCAGCTCTGCTCTGAGCTAACACCAGCTCTACTTTGAGCTTCAAACCAGTTGTTTCGAAACCAGCACTCCTCAATCCAAAGCTGCCTCTTTGTTGACTTGTTTGTGTGAGGGATGGGGCTAACGGGAACTAAACGGGAATGGGAACTCATGTAATATGTAATGTGCGTGTAATAATTATGTTGGAAGTGGAAGGATTTTTTCCAGCCGTGCTGCGACCCACAGTTAGTTGGGAACTCATGGCATGGCACGAGGAAAGCATGGATGCAGTGAATGGGATTTTCGGTCTTTGACCACTTGCTGGTGAGCTGATCTACTCACCTCCCACCGCTTTAGGAGCTGCATCCGTGCCTTGATCCTTGAAGGGTGGTGGCGTTCCTACGGACGCGGAAAACCCGGCCTCTAGCCGAGTCTGACGCGAACCGTGAAAAACATTATGTATTATGTAATATGGATGCGGCTAGTGGGGTTTCTCGGCACTTGTGCCAGCGGTTGTGTGACACTTGTGAGACTTATCCTCTCATCCCCACAATTAGGCGCTGCATCTGCCGCTAGGGTTTACCGGGTGTTAGCGGCCGTCGTGAGTTCCCTCTGGGAACGGACACGATAATTAAATTTTGCTTTTGTATTTTTATTTTTTATGTATAACCTTGCAGAACATGCCCCAACTTTCTCACGTTCCATGCCCACACGCGCTATGCCAGTGGAACCGGTGACTACAGAGCCAGTATGCACTCGTCCAAGTGCCACCCAGTGGGACACGCCTGGACCGTTCTACATAGACAACCAGCCGTACCGCAACCCGATGTGCTCTGAGGATATCAACCACGCAAGCACGACGAAGCTCAAGCTCCACGTGCGTCTGACCGATCGATCGTGTCGCACGCTCACGGGATTTAATATCGATGTATGGTCCGCTAACAGCCAGGGACAATACGTTCCGTACTGTCGCTCTCTTCTTCCCACTAACGGCTCAGGAATGTAAGCACTCTGTGTGACTCTGAGATACTTACATAGCTCTCTTCAGGGCCATAAGGATTTCCTTGATATTTTGGTGGAATATTTGTGAGAAACTGAGCAGGAATCAAGATCATGATTCCAGACCTGGTTGTGACAGAAAGAAGGCAATTGTATACCATGTACTTGAAGTAATCTCATGCCCCTAGAGCCCGGAAATCGTCATTGAAAACATAAAGGCTAGCGCTGCAACATCATCTATCCTTAATGTGACTTGTCTTCCGATGCGGCTTGCAGTTGTCTGTGAGATAACTGCTTGTTCTCTGTTCAAATCAAGCATCAATCACTGACTCATCCAACCTGCCGACTATCAATTTGTCCACTTGCAGGTTTACGCTAGACACTCTGAAGCCAGGGAGGTACCCTGGCCGGCCACAGCATCTGCACTTTCTCGTCCATGGCACAAAGGTGGGAAATATGTGCTACAGAGAGTTCACAACGCAATCCTACTTTCCGGGTAAGATTTGAATGAATGGATCAGTGATAATAATTTTTGTGACGGGACATCATCCAGTGTTCGGACCAGTTTCGAAGGGTGTGCTGCCACCTGCCTGCCTTCTGGTTAGATTAACTCGGTGTGTAATCATGGAGCTAGTGAAACTAATATCAGATCCACTCTGATTTAGCCACCCACACTAGTAGCAAGTATTACCTTCATTGGGGGCAAGGGTAAATGCAGTTGGATCCCGGGACGGATACCATGATGCTGTCTATCCTTTTTCTGCACCTTGTCCTCACCCACTTACTGAGGTGTGGTGAGCCCATAAGTAAGATCATTTTCAAGTCCACCCAGAGTTTGGAGATTTCAGGGGTGTCGAACGTTGGGCGGTTCAATAGCCAATTGAGTCGTCTTTCCGATATTCCTTTTGAGTCTCTCTCCCCTCTCCACTTAACCAGTTTTGGCAGTGACCAAGTACAAGTATGTATGTGTGCGAATGTGTGTACGATGTGTATGTACATGTGTTGTAGAGAGATTCGACTATTCAGCACTTGTCAAGTCTTGCAGGGATCGCACTGCCGCAGGAGGCACTTCCACTGACCTGGAATGCGACTTCCCAATTATCCTCAACGACCCACGGCCGTGCTGAATATCGGGCCTGTGTTATGAAAACACAATACTCTGCTTATCTGTTGCCGTTCGCCACTATGCCACTACTATAAGTGTGTGTTATGTGTTGCTAAATACTCTGTGCAATTTCGCCATGTACCGGGCATGGAACAGATGACCTAATTCCTCTCTTATTCTATGTCTGGTAGTGTAAGGCTGGCTGTTGATGGCATGGATCCATTTTGTCAACCGTTGAATGAATCTTCCTACGCACAAATTGCCGAAATCATGATCACATGATCACATGATCACATTAACCATAGTCACTTTAAAATATTCAATGCCGTAAATATACAAAATTTCGGCGCTGCAAAATTTCGGCACTTCACGATTTTTGACATTTCGGCGGCGATTTATTTTCGGCGTGGGGTAGAGGGCACGGTATAGTGCGACAGATGCTGTGAAAAATTTCATCGGCGTTTTAATTTAGGCGTTTTGGGTAGGTGCCGAATATAGCCGAAATTAAATAGCTGCCGAAAATTTGTATATTTACAGTAGTCAATCATAGAAGCCATAGCCATAGTAGTAATATTCGTCGGGGTGCTTTCAAATCATAGGGTCTTTATCCCTGCAGTTAACCAGTAAGTCCCTGCCACTGGATTTACCGGGTGCTAGCGGCCGTCGTGAGTTCCCAAGGGGAATGGACAGGAGCATTTACTCCTTTATTTTTTTTTACAAAAATTGCGCCTGTTGCTTGGAGTTGGACAGCGCTGTGCATAGTCATTGTGCAATCAAATACATTTGCACGGGAGTCATGTACACCAGGGTTGAGAATTAGCTGATCAGATTCAATCCCATTCTGTCCGGACTTTCTGCTCTTGGCTGGTGCTAATAAGTACAGTAAAACCTGGCTTAAGCGACCACCCCACGGTGCAAGCAAAAGCGGCCGTGAAAGCCAGGTGGTCTTTAGAACCAGATCCCACAGTGTCTGTGTAGAACTGTGCGTGCATGGAAAAGCGTTAAGAGCAGGTGGTGGCTAAACCCAGAGGTCGCTTACACCAGGTTTTACTGTACAACGAATGTATCTACTATTGCCTGAGTACGAGAAATAACGGCCGAGTACCCCCCCCCCCCCCCCCCGAGTAAAAGACCGAGGTGAAAGCCAGGTGGTCTTTAGAACCAGATCCCACAGTGTCTGTGTAGAACTGTGCGTGCATGGAAAAGCGTTAAGAGCAGGTGGTGGCTAAACCCAGAGGTCGCTTACACCAGGTTTTACTGTACAACGAATGTATCTACTATTGCCTGAGTACGAGAAATAACGGCCGAGTACCCCCCCCCCCCCCCCCCCGAGTAAAAGACCGAGGTGAAGCCGGGTTCTTTTCCTAGGTTTATTTCCTATTGACCTACCGGTAGTATGAAGTCAATAGTGACAATACTCGATTTTTCACGACTAGCCAAATCATGTGTTAAATCCCTAAAACGGAGTCGAGTATAAGCAGTCAATAGCCGGCCCTGAGTGGAAATAATATGCAGGAATATTTAAAGGGGAAGTTAAGGTGGCAGTCTGGGTTCAGAGGGTCAAAAAACAAAGTTTCGATTTTCTGTATTTTTTCACTGGCAGCGTCTTGTGTATGGTCCAAAGGGTTTATCCTGAAAATTTGAGCGTAATCGGGTGCTTCCTTCCGGAGATATAGCCGCGCAAAGTCTGCACAATTGTTTTTGAAATACTGAAATATCAGCAAATTTCTACAAAATTTAGGTTTGCACACTATTCCGATTTTTACCGTCAATCTTTGAGCGATTTCATTAAAATTTTCTGGAGCGACTCCTGGTACTCCTCTGCGCTGCAGACTGACAGCCGCGCACGATCTTTGTCACCATGGCAACCAAGATAACTTTTGCGCATGCGCAAATTCAAAAAAATTCAAATTTCGACTCTCATGATCTCAGCTGATCGCTCTGCTGTTGAAACTAGTTACTTTTGGAGTAATTGTTTTGGAGTAATTGTTTCTTGGAGCTAACCCCTTCGTTGGCTACTATGGGGAAGTCTAGAGCCAAGGGAAAGCCCGGACGATCTAAGAAAAGGAAAAGAACGTTCTATGGAGTGTCTCAGGCGCCGAAGGCTCCCTCTGGTGAAATTTCGCCTGCAAAACAAATTCCTGACTTGCCACTGTCTGATGACGACCTTGAAGTGTCAGCTGAAGCCACGTCTTCAAACAGCGATAGTGATGGAAGTGGCGGTGAAGTCGACAGCAGTTCCTCCGACAGTGACTTGGATGAAGAGTGTGAGGAAGGGGCGCATGGATTTCGCCTGATTGATCTCGAGTGCCTTCAGCAGCTTTTGTCAGCTGCAGTTTGTTGCAGTGGCTGTAATGGCGCAGTCACGATCAGCGAATCGCAACGGGGAGGCCTTGCATCATGCCTGGAGCTTTCCTGTGTTAACTGCGGCGACATAGCAAGCGAATTTATGTCCAAGAAGTTCAATCGGGTCTGGGAGGTGAACAGACGAGCAGTATTCGGAATGCGACTGATTGGCCGTGGACGTCAATCAATGGTAAAGCTGGCGGGTGCACTGAATATGCCATCACCTATGAGTCGGTCGACATTTTACAGCCATGCTAAAGGCCTGCATTCCGCGTCCAAGAGCGTCGCTGAGCGTAGCATGACTGAGGCAGCTGAGAAAGCAGTGTCCGCAGCAGATGGGGGTAGCGATATCGCTGCTTCCTATGACGGTACCTGGATGCGCCGAGGATTCGCATCGCTCTTCGGAGCCTTCACTATAATTGCATATGATGTCGGCAAAGTGGTGGACTGCGAAGTGCTTTCAAAGTTTTGCCACAAGTGCACGCACTTGGCGTCTAGAAAAGAGAAGGGAGAGCTAACCAAAGATGACTATGATCGACAGATTGCCGAACACGATTGCTCAGTCAACACCACTGTATCAGCTCCTGCCATGGAGAGTGCAGCCGCCAAGACTCTGTGGGCCAGGTCCTTTGAGAGCCGCAAGCTGAGGTACACCACCTACATTGGTGATGGAGATACCAAGAGTTTTAAGGCTGTGCGTGACGCTTGTCCGTATGGGCCCGAGGTGCCTGTAGTCAAGGAGGAATGTGTCGGCCACGTTCAAAAACGCATCGGTACCAGCCTAAGAAAGCTGAAGAAAAACCTTGCGGGCAAGAAGCTTGCTGATGGGCGCACTATAGGCGGACGTGGTCGCCTCACGGATGCCATGATCGACAAGCTGCAAGCCTACTATGGCATGGCTGTGCGGAACAACAGCGGAGACTTGCAAGCCATGGCCAGGGCCATATGGGCATCCCTCATGCATCGTGCATCCAGCGACAGTAAACCTCAGCACCAGTATTGTCCGCCTGGAATTAACAGCTGGTGTAGATGGCAGCAGCAACAGGCAGGTGGTGATGTCTACGCCCACCACAATATCCTGCCAGAGGCAGTATGGAAGGAACTGAAGCCGGTCTACATTCGGTTGTCCGACCGGAGTTTGCTCGAGCGCTGCCAGAAGGGTGCTACGCAGAATCGCAACGAAGCGTTCAATGGACTCGTGTGGCAGTTGTGTCCAAAGACAGGCTTTGCATCCGCTCCCACTGTCCAGATGTGCGTCTACCTGGCCGTGGCCTGGTTCAATGATGGAGGTGTGGCAGTGAAACGCGTTCTGGACGAGATGGGCCTCCCTACTGGACACCATACGACACGTCTCATCAAGCTGCTAGACCGTGAGAGACAGGCACATGCTGCCAGAAAGAAGTCAGAAGAAGGGAAGAGGTCACGAAAGAAGCGAAGGAGGATCAGGAAAGGCATCCAGGATGAGCAGCAAGAGGAAGAAGGTTTGACATATGAAGCTGGTGGCTTCGACTAAGTTCTAGTAAGTTCTAGTTGGACAGACATACCTCCATCTGTACTTGCACAGAGCACTTTTTTTCTCCATTTTCCACTGAGTCCCGTACCTCTTAGACAGCGTAGCGAAGAACCTGTAAGTCACAGACCCCATAAACCATACATTTTTGGAAACTGTGAGCATTTATCAAGGTGCTAAGTGTCATGGATTTTTATATTTGTCTAGTAGCTTTGAGTAAAGTGCTACTGATCGAGGACCTAAATTTTGCGCGATTGCATGATTTTTGTTTGACAGCTTGAGTACTTTGTTCTGAATATGATTTCAAAATTCCGCTCCACTTAGCACCTAGGTATATGTGAAGGAAATCCTGTGGAGCACTCAGTTTCTACCCAGCTTCTTTCTGCGTTTGCATATTGCGTCTAAGGTATTGGTGGTACGGCATAATCGCAGATTTGACTATTGTGTCTGCGGATTCCCATGTGTGAGCTTGATTTATACTTCATTGGACTTAGTGAAATACACTGGGTATGTGGTCAAGATTTGAGCAAAATTCATCAATTATTATGGAAGTTACGGCTGTGTTCATGCGGTCGGGCCGCGAACCCAGACTGCCACCTTAAGGCAAAAATTAAAATTTCACCAGTTGTAGTCTTCGGGGTGCTGAGTCGAATGGTCTTGGTCCGAGGAAGCTGAGACGCTCCCTTCCTACTTGAATCCCAATCGAACTCGCGCACTTCCACCGAAACTGGGTGACTGCGCCCTACGAGATGGGGATTTGTATGCAAAATGTCACTAAAAGCGCCATTTCGTTCTTATAAAAGCACGGATGACCGCGATTGGCCCATATGTTGTAGTCTTTGGGACGCTGAGTCGACTGGTTTTGGTCCGAAAAGGCTGCGATGCAGCGTTCCTCCTTTATTCCCAATCGAACATGGTTGAAGAAGCGGTCACGTGGTCCTGGGTGCCCAAATCACCTGGTCACCACGCCAGCAGGTGACAACTTTCACACCAAGGTTCAACTCGGGTTCAACTCGAGTGACAGGACTGCACCCAAAAAAGGTCAAACAGGCTAGTAAGTTGTACCCTGCAGGCACGGTGACCAGGTGACTGGTGTACGCAGGAGCACGTGACCGCTTCTTCAACCATGTTCGATTGGGAATAAAGGAGGAACGCCGCATCGCAGCCTTTTCGGACCAAAACCAGTCGACTCAGCGTCCCAAAGACTACAACATATGGGCCAATCGCGGTCATCCGTGCTTTTATAAGAACGAAATGGCGCTTTTAGTGACATTTTGCATACAAATCCCCATCTCGTAGGGCGCAGTCACCCAGTTTCGGTGGATGTGCGCGAGTTCGATTGGGATTCAAGTAGGAAGGGAGCGTCTCAGCTTCCTCGGACCAAGACCATTCGACTCAGCACCCCGAAGACTACAACTGGTGAAATTTTAATTTTTGCCTTAACTTCCCCTTTAACTGCTCTATAAATGTACATGTAATAAACAGAGGAATCGAGTGTTGCTCCCTACGTGGGAGCTCGCGCTTTGACTCACCACTGCCATCCAAAACACACGAGATGTCCATCAAACCTTCCACTCGGCAAACCTGCAAGAAAGCACTACTCCCTGCTCAATACACAGTGTTTCGGGGAAATCACACTTCATGACATCAGTTGAACTTGGTTAGGCCGAGGAAGATTTTTTCTGAAGAGCACCACTTATAGTGATCTCCAGACCAAACAATCACCAGGGATACAAACTTACAAAGACGCTCCATTTCCAGGTCGACAAACACCTTGTGAACACCAGATAGCAGCGTGAGTCAGTGTCGCTCATGGACGTGCTGAACAAACGCTGAGGACCGTTGGCCATTCACAGCGTTGTTGCTTCCACACCATCTAATTCGCAAGCCCGCGCCGGGGACGACAATGTGAAGAAGAGGTTGATACCACTTCAGCGATACGTAGAGAATTGTGTGTTGCTCCCTACATGGGAGCTAAAATGTTTTAGAGGCAATGTTCATACACTTGTACAAGCCAGTGTTGTGTGTACCGAAGGAAAGCGTTATCACCCTCAAATAATATATTAAATACTGGTAATTGTTTACAGAGTGGTATGGTGCGAGTGTGGTGAGTGTGATTGTCACCCCCCCCCCCCCCCTCCGTTCACACTTCCGCCTCCCGTCTGTTCAGGTTTCGCTTTGTTTTGCTGATGCTGGTGATTCACACAATGTCATGCATGTTGTTACCTGCTGAAATAATTGTCCCCTGCTGAATACATGTGGTATAATCACCTTTTCGTTTCGCTCTTTTTTCCCCTTCTTTCACTTTTATTTTGTCCTTAGGCCATCATTTTTTATATCTACATGTATGTTTCGCGTCGTCCGCACGCATACGTTTTGCCTTTTTTTCGGAAAAAATAAAAAATCGAACATACACAGTGAGTGTACGATTGTGCGAATCATTAGTGTGGACTGGTTGCATACGGCGAAGCTGGGATTCAGAAATGGCCTCGAGGCCAGCGTTGGTAAATCGTTTGTTCGGCATCTGCGAGCAGTATTCTATGAGCTTACACCAGACCGCATCGATTGCCTCAAGCTGAGAGCCTCCGGGATGCGTCGTTCCGGACCTCTTTGCACCGCTGCTGAAGTCTGAGTACAATAATCCAGCGAAGCATGGGCACCAACGGTTGCCTCCTCTGTCCAAAGTGAATATTTACTCATGCTGATAACCCAGATGTTGTGCTTGGATGTAGGATTTTTCTTTCGAATGTACACCATGCACGAGCTATTGTGCTATATACAGTTCTAGCTAATTCTATACACCTCTGATGAGCCTTTTTATTATTTTGCAATTTTTTATTTCTTTCCACCTCTCGCATATGATTCTGGAAGTTGAGCTGACGCGAAACATAGATATAAAAAATGATGGCCTTATACGATTTCTGAAAGGAAATCGGGTGGACACACCCATTCCCATTACCATAGCGCTGCACATCCGAACCAGTTCCGTTATTTTACAACGCTTCGGCATTTGGCCATCGTCAGGTAATAAGAACAATGAATACAGTTCAAGCCACACAGGAGCACTATACGCAGCGTGTAGCGCCAAAAAAATATGCGAGTTATGTCACCTCTATGCAGAGGTGGGGGGGGGAGGGGGGGGAAGAGAGATTCAGAAGGTGCAACTGTCTGTGCACATAATTACGGAGAAGAAGCAGCAGAAGGTAGCGCCATTGTGCTCTGCGAAGTGAGGGTGCATGTCAAATAATATGGTGTTATGTAGAGTGCAGCGCCAAAAAAGATGCGAGTTATGTCACCTCTATGCAGAGAGAGAGGGGGGGGGGGGAGGGAGAACGTGCAACTGGGCACATTACGGAGAAGAAGCAGCAGAAGGTAGCGCACCATTGTACTCTGCGAAGTGAAGGTGCCCGCGAGATCCAACACTTCCCATGCCTAACTGCTATAACCAGGGACGCGACGAGGCGTCAGGAACAGAATGGATTTGAGTGTCTCTGCATAGAGTATGATTATAACTCGAATCTTTTTTTGGCGCTACAGTCTGCGTTTATATACTGCTCCTGTGTTACTTCCACTGTATTCACTGTTCTTATTACCTGACGATGGCCAAGTCACGGTGCCGAAACATTGTAAAAATAATGGAACTGGTTCGCATGTGCAGCGTTATGGGACTGGGTGTGTCCACCCGAATTCCTTTCAGAGATGAAGCTGCAGGAAGCTTCAGCCCTTCTTCAGATTATTATAAGATTTGTTTCAAGTAGTCTGTTATATCATCTGTATCATGCCTGTCATGATTGTCTGAAGCTATTGTCTGTGTTGTGGTTGACTTCACTCTTTAGTGCTATTGACTGGTCTTTCGTACAATACCTATTGATGTCTAGAGACAGACTGTCTAGCCTTCCCCTAGTGCTCTTATTGATACACTATCCAGCTGTCCAGCGGCTCTCCTTCCACCGCTCTCTATCTTGCTATACTCTTCTTCACAATCTATAAGTTCGTGTCTTCTTTACAATAAAATCAGTTCAGTGACTGACGGGTTCGAGATCACAACATAGTCTCCATTCCATTGTTACATAGATTCACTGATGAATTTAACAAGAAAACAGTTCTGACCAAATCCTCTCTTTCCTTTTCCTGTCCCTCCAGGAAATCGCGATTCCACGGACGCGACAATTTTCGCGATTTTGGCCCAAACCCGCGATTTTCTGAAAAATCCGCGATTTCCCGCGTTTTTTTGTTGTTTTCTGCACATCTTTTGACATTTTTCTGCACTTTTCACGCAGTATACAGTGCTTTCCATGATCCTGCTCGTAGGTTATTTCCACAGTACGCAAATAGCGATTCTAAGGATACAACAAATTTCGTGATTTGGCCCAAATCCGCAATTTTCTGCCAATAATTCCGCGAGTTCCTGGCAAGTTCCGCACTTTTCGCCGCATTTTTTGTTGTTTTCTGCCGCAATTTCTTGCGCAAGTTTCCGAGGATTTTTCCCGCAAATTCCCGCAGGGACAGCTTTTCGTTGTGTGCCTTCATTCGATCATCGTTTCACATTTTACTCATACATGTCGACATTTAGGAAAATGCTTACAGTGCAAGTAGTCGTTCTTGTTGCTATAATAAAACTGCTATCTCCCAAATGTTTGTATACTACTACAATTTTTGTTTCTCTCTTCCAATGAACAAAGTCAAAACAATTTAGGTGTACGATGTGTGATGAATCTATTATCAAACTCATAATCGTCCAATGTATGGAATTCAGACATCTCTATGGGTGGCATTCAAATCAGCTTGTCTTTCATACATATACCGGTACTCATACACACACACACTTGAAAAAGGCATCAAAAGCGTTTCTGCTGTAACTCTGAGTTCAGCGGTTTTTACCGATCATCAGACAGCAATGAGTTGCTGCGGTAACGGCGGTGGCTGCGGCAGTGTCAGCGGTAACGGCGGTGGCTGCGGCAGTGTCAGCGGTAACGGCGGTGGCTGCGGCAGTGTCAGCGGTAGCAGCAGTGCTGGAGCTGGTGGTCTACTTGGCTGGCTGAGCACTTCTCTATTGAGCTGGATATGCAGGCACAGTGGTGCAGCACTTAGTGCGCTGGATGCTTGGCAGTCCTAACATGGCCTACTTCTACGGGAGAGTCATCAAGATTAGGTTTAGATTGTTAGATGTGCCTTAGCAGGGTCCCTTCAAACTGGCCGGAGTGAACCACGCCTCCGGCGCCTTTTCCAACTGGAAACTCCGCAAATATCCATCCCACTTGAAACCGTCTTGCCTCGAGTCTGGAGTACAAACAAGCGCACACATAACGTACTGCTGTCTAGTACTTCAAGTAGTGTCTTGGTGTTTATGTCACGCCCATGCGCTTGCACACACACATGCACACACGCGCGCACGCACACACACACACACAATCCTGTCTTGGCTATAAATACACGTACCACAAAGGGTATGCAGGTAGCGTTGGTGAAATTAATAAAATGAAATCACATTGGACCTATTCAGGACTTAGTGTACTTCCATCAGTCCGCCTCGGCTTTATAGTGCTATTTTCTCAATCCCAACACATAATGGTCTCTCTGTTGCAAATGTCACTTCAGGTTCACTAAACATTTGGCGGTGTGGCCCATCTGGCTGAAAAACTTCAAAGTAATCTGTAAATTGCTGCAAGGGAGTTTGTCAGTCCTTAATTAAAAGGCTTATCAATGTTTTTCTTCTATAAAAGCTATACACTCAGGAAAAATGTGGGCACAGGTTATGCGATCGAGTCCACCAACTAAACCAGATTGTGAACAGTCTCCTTGGCTCACCATCTGAGTTCTTATAAACTCAGCCTCGCATTTGTTCGTGATTGCCTTCATCAAGATCGGATAGAAACATGCACAGAGGAGAAAAGGTAGCTGCCTGCTCAAAATTATAGTCAAAGTATGTGCTTGCTGGTGAGCTGATCTACTCACCTCCCACCGATTTAGGAGCTGCATCTGCGCCTTGATCCTTGAAGGGTGGGGGCGTTCCTACGGATGCGGAAAACTCGGTTTCCAGCCGAGTCTCACGCGAACCGTGATTTTTTTAATTTTTAATTTTTATGTGCAGTACCTTGTACTGTACTACCGTAGTGTGCTGCAAACGTGTAGCGAGTGTTTTTCCATCAAAATGCAAGAGAACAAACAGTAAGCTACACCCATTTAAACTTCACTTCTCAACTCCAAAAACGGTCTCTTCACTGCGATTCGAACCAAAATCAAAATTAACATCACGCCAAATTTTCGGGCCTGGTTTGGAGTTGAGAAGCGAAGTTTAAATGTGCAAGTGGCTGCGTTGGAGTTTGCGGACAATTAGAGATGTTATATCCAGGTTACTTTAAATTGAAATTGCACCTCAATAGTACACTGGTGTTGAGAATAGTACACTGGTGTTGAGAATAGTACACTGGTGTTGAGAATAGTACACTGGTGTTCAGAGACCTAATCCAACTCTCAATAATTATGCGCATGCCTTGCAGCCAAGTTGCAGGGCACTCCGCAATGCTGTTGGTGGCAATATCGCAGTAATAAAGCCGATCAGACCTAGGAGAATGGACATAATGTTGGCTGGCGCTACCAGAATTCTACGATTTGCAATGGATGTTGTATTTCTCGACGGCCGAGCGCAGCGAGATAGGCGAGAAATGATTTCTCGCGAAATATGTTTAGTTGCAAATACGGCATCTGGTGTGTTCTTTATTGTCGCTTCTTTTCCTGACTTCTTCAGTCAGTTTTGAGTCTCACCAGTGTCCCTGCCCTCCCACCCTTCATTTCTGTGCACGTTATCATTGCTTTTTATCACTTTTTGCCGTGATGTGCTTGCCATGCCTACATGATGCCTAATCGCCATTGGGGATATACACCCGGTTTTTCCCTCACAACTGCGTCCGTCGGCGCAAGGGTTTTTTCCCGGCTGGCTCGGTCCAGAAAAATTAATCTGACGGTCCCAGGTGGTTCTGCATCATGGCCTATTTCTGCTATCCACTGGCACGCCTATTCTATCTGAGACACTCTGTTCTCAGTCCTTGCTTTCATACCTCACTCGTTATCCGGTTCACATCTGGCTGCGGCCAACTACCTTTCACTTTGTGTGTTGTCGCTATTGCTGTCTATGTCTCTGTGTGTGCCAGTATATGTGGAGCGAGAAGGACACAATACAAGCCTGCACACACTCTCTCACCTTCTGCACCGCGGCCACACAGATCGATGTACGACTCTTGCGGCCCTTTGCCTCCAGTCTCATACTTGGCTTGAACTGAGGCTGGGCCGGTGAGCTGTACTGTTGCAATTCCTTAAATATAAACAATGAAAATGGAGACAAATTTTCCCTGCGTTCACGATCAACAAAAATTCACCGATTTAATTCACCCTGAAATACTTTATGCATAGGTTTTGGATATTGTACAAATGGATAAAGGAGATACAGTAAAACCAGTGACTGACGACCACCCCTTGGGGCCAGAGATAGCGGTCTTTAGTGGCAGGTGGTCCTTAGTTAGAGGTTTACACCGCTCAACCATATACGAATGTGAGACCGTCCGTGCCTGGCGAAGTGGTCTGTAGTACCAGGCTGGTCGCTAGTCACGGTGGTCTTTAGTTACAGGTTTTACTGTAGTACCAGGCTGGTCGCTAGTCACGGTGGTCTTTAGTTACAGGTTTTACTGTAGTACCAGGCTGGCCACTAGTCACAGTGGTCTTTAGTTACAGGTTTGACTCTATGCTAGAATCAGCTCACCGTGAAAAGGTAGGTCGGTACCGCACGTGCATTCTGTGACTTAATATACTCGGACCAGATGAAGCAACCCGTCAATCCTGACCAGCAACACGTGAGAACAAGTCGAACACACAATACACAAAAACACTAAATCTACTTATCCAGCAAAGCCTAGAAATCGAGAACAGCAGGCCATTGACAGAGAAAGATAGGAAAATTGGACTCAATACTCAACTGGTATTAGCATTTTGTATTTGTTTTCATGGATTCTCCTCAGGCCTTGGCCGAATTCGGGGGAGTCTCCGTCAGATGGGCAGTAGAAGAAATGAACGCCAAGTCTGGCAAAATATCCGGACTCAGCATTGAAACATAGGTGAAGCACATACACACTCGCACACACCCGCATACACATGCACATACACACAGACCTTTGACCTTTGGTGCCCATCGCCAGAGGCGATGATAGCGATGCTACAGCAGAAGCCGTAGCAACTTGTGCTGGGATTTCACCATTCAACAGCTTGCGAGGCTGAAGAATTGACCGCCACTATTCAACCTGGTCTACATCACAGAGCTACGAAGTGGCTTCTTCTGGCCAGCGAATCCCTACTTTTTGGCCTTTTTCATTTTTTCCCACACACACATCACACCACATACTGGCTGTTGGTAACCACCCAGGAGAATGAAAGAAAAGTCAGGAGGAGTCCGAGAAAGAGAGAGAGAGAGAGAGTGTGTGTGTGAGAGAGAGAGAGACACACACACACACACACACACACACACACACACACACACACACACACACACATACACAAACACAAGCACATGTGCATGCCTAAAACACACACATGGATGCATGTGCACGCACACAGACACAACAACAACAATGACAACAACAACAAAATCGTGAGAATATAGAATTCAAGAATACAACAACAATAAGCAACAGCAGCAGTGACATACCAGGGGGTTTACACAGCTCCAGACCACTTTGACCACACCAGCCGATTGGGTGAATGTCTGGTGATGATCGTTCACACCAGTAGTCGCCGTCATTGCTTCGGCCGTCAAAATGGATGAACAAACGGCCTTCCTGGACCTGAGCTATCGATGCCACGCCGTATGCTGGTTTTGGCCCAGGGTGTGCGGGGTCCTTTGCTTCCAGCTTCATACTCTTCATGAAGCAAGAAACTCGCGTGCTGCCTTCGTCCTGGACAAGTCATATTGCAAATATCCTTCATCAGCGAAAAGGGCCATTTTCACTATCTTAGCTGCCTGACATAAGTAACCTCAACAGCATTGCAATAGTGAAGATGAACTGTGCTTCTCCATTTTTCGGCAAATGTCTTTTAGTCCTGGAGAGTTTCTCCGCCGTCAGCTGTATCTTCGCTTTCTGTTACTTGTACATGCAATGGTTTCAAAGCGAGAGACCACAGGCTTTGGGCTTCTTTTAAAGCATACATGCACGCGGTGTGTGAAGACTTAAAAGCAAGCTGTCCTGTCACCACTGTCCTGCCGCAGAACTTCCAAAATGTTGGGAACCGTGAACATGCCAACCATGGCTCGAGGATACGCTAGAAGTCTGGGCAGAACTACTGTTTTCGAATTGCATTATAAGGGGCTTCACTAAGTTAGTAGTATGTCGTCTGTTGGTTGCCCTGTGTGTGAAGCTTTTCAAGAGTTACCGAATTTTTCCCGAGTACAAGCCACACTTAAAACACTTGTAATTCACCCAAGAAAAGGCCGCTGCGGCTTTTACTAAGTTACCATGGTCAAATGAATTGAGATATACGTTAGGCGCGCATGAGCAGTGCTAAAACCGAGACCCCTGGTCGGTTTAGCTGCTCTTGCCCCGCCTCCACTGCTTCGGCTGCCATCGCTGTGTGCATGTATCTCTGTGCGTTTTTGCCGGCATTTGCACCATGATGGTTTGTGGTTATCTTGTAAAAAAAAATACAGGGCAGATGTCAAAAATATGGGTGCGGCTTATGCTCCTGTGCAGCTTATACTTCGGAAAATACTGCACAGCAAAGAAGCCTACAGCCTAAAGTATTTCTGTAATGCCATTGTAGTTTGTAGGCAGCCTTCAGGATACCACAATACACACAATCAGTTCATACCAAACAGGTTAATCTCGTACTCACCGCAAAAAGCCGCTTCGGAGCAGCCACTGCAGCTATTTCTTGTAAGTAGGATTTCCAATCGAAATCGGTGCTTGACCGTCCTTGTTTTATAACACACACACGCGCGCACACACACACACACACACACACACACACCCTCACACACACACACACACATGCACACACACATACGATCGTGCAAACACGCGCATGCACGCACGCACAAACACACATGTGAATACACAGAGGAAATATACTGTATACATATTCGCCATGTCATTATCCTATTCAGTATCACCTTCTCTGACTAGCCTTTGTGAAGCGAAACAGCTGTCAGAAGGAATATTATCAGTAACAATACTTAAATTACCCGCAATTCCTTTGTTGTCTGTAATTATTGGTGTGTGTTATGGCTACCGAGGGTAGCCAAGTGTCGGCTGAGAGGGCATGAAGGAGAAGAGGAGGAGAGATTGCTGTATTATTGAACAGCCGATAGGTACCGTTCACAACTTCATTAATAATAATAACTCTGGTATAAAAGAATGGACTCGGATGGAGAGCCATCCTGGGTCCTTTTTCTTTTCTATAAATAAAAGACAGGTCTCACCTTTTGGCGGCTGCAGTTGAAAGCCCACTCGGTCACACCAGCCAACAGGGTGGATATCGTCCGAGTCCGGACTACACCAGTAGTTATACTTCTGCGAGCAGCCATCCAACGCAATCAACATGCTGCTACCCTCCACGTGGGCAACCCTCGCCACGCACATCATGTGCGGGTTCAGGCGGTCGCGTGCCTCTAGCCTCATGGCGGGTGCGAAACGGCTAGCGGGAGGGGTCATGCCGTGTGCTTGCTGCGCCTGGGAACAGTTAACATCACAACAAAACCGAAGTGCACACATATTACTATTGAGGTACAGGCACACACACCCACAACATACCAATTGACCATTTGACGCCCATCGCCGGAGGCGATGATAGCGATGCTACAGCAGAAGCCATAGCAACTTGTATTGGAATTGCACCATTCAACAGCTTGCAAGGCTGAAGAACTAACCGCCACTATTCAGCCTGGTCTACGCCACACAGCTATGAAGTGGCTTTGTCTGGCCAGTGAATCCCTACCTTTTGGTCTTTTTAATTGTTTTTCCCGCACACACATCACACCACATACTCCGGCATGCACTGGTTGCTGTTAACCACCCAGGAGAATGAAAGAAAAGTCAGAAGAAGCCTGAGAATGAGAAGAACAATGAGTGAGACCATAATCGTCGGGAATCGAACCCGCAACCTCTTGATCGCTGTACTTGAAAAAGTACATACCAACACACCATATGGGACACACACACACACACACACTACTACTACTATGTACAGCTACGCTAT